CCGTCTCGTAGAAGAGATTCGCGTGGGAGTGGTCCTGGGTTCAATTCCCAGAGAGGGCCTTTTTGACTGTTATTCGATCGGATCATCGCCTCTTTCTCGCTTTCCTAACATATCAAGTCATCAAGTTCCGTCAGTCTTCCTGCGCCCAAAGCTTCTTGGCTACTATTTATCGCCTTTACATTGTGCTGATTATCTCCTAGTCTTTGGACAGAGTCTGTCACTCTCTCAACCTCCATGATTTTACTCACATTTACGAAAAAATGTCGATCCTCCTGCGGGTCCCACGTCAGGATGTCCTACATATAGCCTGCACCGCGCACGTTTTAGTTCTCTTGCAAAACTGGATTGATGTGCCATTGATTGAAATCTACAACGGGTAGTCCACGCGTTCTCGTCCGGGAGTCTTGCCTGCAGGGCACAGATCATGGCCTGGGACATCGGCTTGGCAAGAATACTGGACATTTGGATTTCCTTTCAATCGCCATTCCTGTCCATTCACTCGCGCAAATCAGACCCAATCACCGATGTGATTGTTGCAGCCTCGCGCTTTGTGTCCCACGTCAACCACGCAGTAGCGCGGTCTGGTTTCCCGCTTTGAGAACAAGGACAGTTCATGATGCTCATCTAAATTCAATCAAATACCGGTTGTAACCGGGCGGACGTGAGACCTGTATGCGTTCTCTGAGAGATGCGACTCTGATATTCTCCGAGGCGTGCGCTGGCCTGCTCCCTGCGTCCGGAATCAGAATTTTCTTTGGTCTCTAACAGCATATATTCATTTGCATAGTCTGAATCAGTGTAAGGCCCTGACTCGGCTCGAGTCGCCGAACAAAACCTCGAATACATTCGCACGTTTGACCAGAATTGCCAAAATAGTCATAATATACATCCTCGTACTCGTAGACGGCATCCATAATGGTCCCTCAGGATCCAAGTTCATATTTCAGCCAAGAAAACAGTATATTCATGATCTAGTAACGTGTATGGCCTCCATTAGCATCCAATACAGCTGCGACACGGTCCTTCATTGTGGCTGTGTACTTTTCACACCTCAGTTACCACCGCCATCACCCGGTTGCACCCCCGCGGGGGTCCTCCTGGGTACCCTCAGACGTAGCTCTGAGGGTACCTAACAGGTACCCCCCTGCGGGGCCCGCGGGGGGGATTTGGTCCATTTGGGGGCGGGGGCATATGCGGGGGTCAGCAGGGGGGGGTCTGTACATGTCATGTGATTTATCATTGGGAGCGGGCAGGTGGGCGCGAAAAAAAAAATGAATCACATGACACATCCAATGGGCGGGATGGCGGCTGATGGCGGGAAAAAAAAAATCACGTGATGCACCGCATGAAAATTATCAAAAATGGCTAGCAGGGGTTGGCGGGGGTTGGCGGGGGCGCTACTGGCCCCCCGCACACCATGGCGGGCAGTGGGCGCATTATCACGTGACTTTTGGGGCACCTTTTGTGCACCATTCGGCATGATTTCGGAGGTGTTGCTTGATCCATTGCATGCTGTGGCAGACAATGGGCGCATAATCACGTGATTTTCCGCCCAAAAAAATGGAAGCCTTCCCCAAATCATCCTGGTATCATTTCTATCGGTAAATACACTAGTTAAGCATGAATTTGAGCTTAGAAAGCCCAAAATGCACCCTGCACAATGGGACTGGTGATGCACTTGATCCCATCATTTGGCGGGGTCTGCTGCGGGGGGTGCCACGGGGGGTGCTGCGGGGGGTGCTGCGGGGGGTGCCACAAGGGGTGCCGCAGGGGGTGCCGCAGGGCCCGCTGTGGGGTCAACCACAGGAGCAGGGGTAGGGGTGCATTGCATCATATTTTGATCTATCTATTCTCGCTGTGGTCATAGCATGCAGCATAATTATCCTTCATTTTGCCAGGAGTTTGGAGGCTGTGTCTGGGGTTGGTCTGCAGCTACAGCCATGTGACTCCCTGATGCTTCGGCAGGGGCTGGGATATCAAAACTGTGCAATATTGTCTGCATAATCCAGGCATGTAGGGTTAAAAAGAAAGTGTGATTTGTTCATTTTTTGGCTGGCAGGGTAGGTGGGCTGACATCATGGGCTGCATCGGGTCCACTGTCAACTCATTGATTGTTTTGTCTGCTCTTTCTATACACATGCCCATTGGTAAACTGATCATGCTGTAGGCACAGTCTAATCTTACCCAGTGGATAATACCACACGTTAATTATGCACCTAATGTCACACTTCCTGTCTGGGACTCATTGAAGTTCATCTGTTCTGTGTTACTGTTGAGATGACGAGTATGTCTGGGCGATCAGACGGTATGGACCGTTGGGGGTTGTTGTGACCAACCCGTCCCCCTATTAATTTTCTTCGATCATATTCCGCTCCTCAGTCTTACCTTCACTACGGTGCGACTGAGGGTGCGTGTATTTTACTCATCTACCTTATCAAGAGCACATACTTACTGTATATCTATAGACTTACGTACGTCTCTTGTCTACAGGTAATAGAAGAGTCTTACCTTCACTACGGTGCGACTGAGGACTTACGTACGTCTCTTGTCTACAGTTACTTTACAAGCAGTTTGCTTTAGTTGCAACATGAACAGATGTAATAGAGTGGATTTGACATGCCCTGAATTGATTCCTAGGTGGAATATGAGACAATGGATTCACCAGCAAGTTGCCTCACAATAGTCAGAGATTGGTAATATTTGAATTTCAAATTTCATATACAACACTCTGTGCACTCAGAGCTCGTATATTTGCAAGATAGACTGTAGAGACATAGATGGTTACTTTTACTACCTCTGGGGCTGCACACATCCTTGCCATGACCCACTGCCTGCACCCCTGCTGGTACCCCCATTGGCACCCCCGCCGGCACCCCTGTTGGCACCCCCGCCGGCACCCCCGCTGGCACCCCCGCCAGTCTAGCACCCCCCGCTGCACCGGTGCCTTGTCCCCGCGATTTTCTTATATGTAAGATTATGTAAACTGACAGCTCGGAACACGTCAAGTCACTAGCCAATCAGAACCTGTATAAACGTCGTACCTAAGTGTTTACTGCTCTTCAAACACTGTTCCTACAGTTATGCAGCTGAAAACCATCGGAATAAGGTCTCCTTCTGCTATTCTTATTGAATATGTAGATACTTCATATCATTTGTCCACCTAAAATTCGAAACATGAAAAGAGTTCACCATTGCTCAAGGTTCCTATGTAGACAATGGTTCAACATGGTTCACTTTGGGTATGGCAAAAAATATTTTTTCTACACACAAGCAATTCAATACAGCTGAATGATATACTCTTTGGCAGTGTCTGAAACAAATTCTGAGAGCCCTGGACCCTGGAACTATTCAAAAACTTGAAATGAGTCCGAAAAATAGGGTCTTGATAAACATGAGATATGGGCTGGTTTGAAGAGACATGGGCCACCGGTCATGTTGAATATAGTATTTTACAATGTTTCGGTGCCCTACCTCTCATCACATGGCCTCATTTCCCACTAAAAAGGGTGCATACACACTCAAGCTCATAAAATCAATTGTCACCCAGAAACAAGAGTAGTGAAGTTGTTTCACTGGGATTGGGTAAAGGTTACCTAGAAGTCACTTGGGTTGCAGTACAGAAGCTTTGGAAAGTGATTTTGTAGTTGATCCACATTTGGTAGGCTGGCAGATGCTTGTGCACCCCCACGGCACCCCCCGTGGCACCCCCCGCAGCACCCCCTGTGGTTGACCCCCCCCCCCCAACCCCTGCAAGGATTTAATTGACAAATGTCCTGCTCAATCCATTGTAAGAGTCTACAGTATTATTGGATTCAGTAAAGGGCCCAAATGGTGTGTAGACAAGAAGTATGAAATCCGGAAATCAACAATTATGACACCTCCACGGAATATGCTGCAAATGGAGAGAAAAATTTGAGTGCAGACAGACTACCTGAAGCAAACAGACAGAGAAAAGAAACATTAGCCATTTCTTGTTGATGATGTTGGCTGTCCCTGGAGCATGTACTTGGGAGATTTGCCTAACAAATCAAGTTGCACATTTTTCAAATTTTTAGTTTGACCTGACAGCTTGAGCAGACCATGCTAAAATGAACCAAGTCATATATATCAGTGCCCCAAGCCAAGCCAAAAGATTTAGGTAAATTTGCACAGTTTTGATATCCCAGCCCCTGCCGAAGCATCAGGGAGTCACATGGCTGTAGCTGCAGACCAACCCCAGACACAGCCTCCAAACTCCTGGCAAAATGAAGGATAATTATGCTGCATGCTATGACCACAGCGAGAATAGATAGATCAAAATATGATGCAATGCACCCCTACCCCTGCTCCTGTGGTTGACCCCACAGCGGGCCCTGCGGCACCCCCTGCGGCACCCCTTGTGGCACCCCCCGCAGCACCCCCCGCAGCACCCCCCGTGGCACCCCCCGCAGCAGACCCCGCCAAATGATGGGATCAAGTGCATCACCAGTCCCATTGTGCAGGGTGCATTTTGGGCTTTCTAAGCTCAAATTCATGCTTAACTAGTGTATTTACCGATAGAAATGATACCAGGATGATTTGGGGAAGGCTTCCATTTTTTGGGCGGAAAATCACGTGATTATGCGCCCATTGTCTGCCACAGCATGCAATGGATCAAGCAACACCTCCGAAATCATGCCGAATGGTGCACAAAAGGTGCCCCAAAAGTCACGTGATAATGCGCCCACTGCCCGCCATGGTGTGCGGGGGGCCAGTAGCGCCCCCGCCAACCCCCGCCAACCCCTGCTAGCCATTTTTGATAATTTTCATGCGGTGCATCACGTGATTTTTTTTTTCCCGCCATCAGCCGCCATCCCGCCCATTGGATGTGTCATGTGATTCATTTTTTTTTTCGCGCCCACCTGCCCGCTCCCAATGATAAATCACATGACATGTACAGACCCCCCCCTGCTGACCCCCGCATATGCCCCCGCCCCCAAATGGACCAAATCCCCCCCGCGGGCCCCGCAGGGGGGTACCTGTTAGGTACCCTCAGAGCTACGTCTGAGGGTACCCAGGAGGACCCCCGCGGGGGTGCAACCGGGTGATGGCGGTGGTAACTGAGGTGACTTTTCAATATCCGAAATGGGCATATTTTCCCACTCTTCCAAAATGGCCGTTTTGAGTGTTTTGAACAATGTCGGAAGAGGATCGCGTGCTCGAACGCGCTTCTTCAGCTCGTGCCAGACGGGTTCTATGGGGCTGACATCGGGAGAGGTGGGTGGATGGTCAAAAACGCGCACGCGATGCTTCTTGAGCCATGCACAGGTTGACTTGGCAGTGTGACATGATGCACCGTCTTGCTGGAACCGAATTTGATCGCGCCCGCCTCGCATCTGCTTTACCGAGTCCAAGGCCTCAAAGAGGACAGTCTCCAGGATCTGCTTCTGATAGCGGTCGGCTGTCATCCCACCCTTCTGGCCACCCGGATATTCCAAAACCACCAGCGGGCCCTTCCACCCATGCGCAATGCATCCCCAAACCATGACGCGTACCGAGGACTGCTTGAAGGCTGGAACCAGGCATTCCTCAATGTCGGCCTCCTCTGAGGTGCGTGTGACAAAAATCCGGCCCTGATTGCCATTCAAATGCACGTAACATTCATCTGACCAGACAATGCGGTTCCATTGACGGGCGGTGTTCCTGCTGTTACGCTCCGCCCAGGCCAACCGCTTCTCTCGGGTAGGTTCAGAGAAGTATGGGACGTGCCTGGCAACCCGTCGATGCATTCCCACGCCATCGAGCACCCTTCCGACTGTCCTCTCGCTCACGGGAGGATCCATTTGGTTGCCGATGTCCCTGAATGGCATGCGCCGGTTGTCGCGCGCAGTCTGCTCGATTGCACGCTCCATGTCAGGTGTGACCTTGAGCTTTGGGTGCTGCTTAGGTCTGTCTTTCACGGAACCGGTCTCCTGGTACTTCCGCCAGAGTTTCTTGGCTGTCGAGTACGGGATGTCAAATTGTCTCGCATGCTTCTTGATGTTGAATTCATTCAACATGGCACCAATGAATTTGGCCCTTGTTTCGAGGGTGTGGTGAGGACGAGAAACATGTTTTGACATGGTAGATGTAGAAAGGAATGTATGTAGTGTTGTCTACACAAGTTTAGTTTCACGTGATCCCGTTGGTGGAGCGCTAGGCATCAAATGACATAGGGACCATTATAGATGCCGACTACGAGTATACGTGAAGAAAGCACTGCCTGCAAAACTGTTGTATCCGCCGTGGCTATCGATGATCCATTAGAACCCTTCTGTTTGACTCACATGCCCAAGCAAACGATTCGGGAAATAATATCCGTAGCCTCCAGTGCCTGACAGATGACACGAAGCTGGAGCGTGATCCCCTCAATCTACAGTCGCATGCTACAATTCATCGGCTCGCACATTCCTTGTTTCGGATGCACTCCGACCTATCGGCGACAGGGCTGCAAATTCAGACCATTGATGGTTAATTCTCGACCACAGCTGGCGGCGTTCTTGATCAAGGAAATGGTGTTGACATTGACGGAGTACGTGACATTGGTCAAGAACCCATTTACAACTCACAATGTTGAACAGAACATAATAATACCACTCAGAACACGGCTGTTTGGTCTCCTTTTTGGGGAGCACCTGCCCACCACCGCATGCGAGTGCGGCGCTTATCGATGTCCGTCTCGACCGATTCGCAAGAGACTAAGTCCCGAGATGACGGGCGTATTCGGATGGATGTGCTCCGTCCCATTCGAGCACAAGAATCCCCGCCTCGAGGCATCGGGCGCGTACCGATCACCCGCTCATCACACCCAATCTGACATTTCGGACCCACCGGCGCCCACAATATGACCCCGCGCACCAATAGAAATCACTGCACGAGGCGCCTAAGCGCCGATCACATCAACATGAGGCGCCGAAGCCGCGAAAGCGGAGAAAAGATTCCTTTTGGGGACGCGTCACGGAGCCCTAAATCAGCCTTTGCCGACTACGGGGATGCCCGAGGCTCTTTCCTCCCTCATCACCACGACTTTCTTGCGTGGACGTATAAAGGGCGGTGAGGAGATTGCGGGGAGTCGATAACGTGGGAGACCAGTAAAACGGAGGATCGGAAACCTCAGGTGCGGCGTTTGACCCTAGATGCTGCTGGGGCTGCACCGCTCATCGATGTCCGTATTACAGCCGGATGTCGTTTACAGAGAGTGTCGCTATCGCGCTGTACGACTGGCACTGCACTAGAGAAAAGCCTGTCACTCCCTTCGTCTCCGCGACCATGGCGCCTTCAGGACCCCCACCAGCAAAACGTGCCCGGACGTGCGCTCACGGCTCGCTGACTCTTCGCGGGGGGAGCGCTATCGACAAGCTCCCCAATGAGATCCTCTCCTCTGTCTTTGTCTTCGCAACTCACGCCCACGCCCATCATGACTCCTACGACAACGACGCCTACGATGACCACCCTGATGAGACTGACGACTCGCAGACGCCGACACATGACGCGACGACCTCGACACTAATACCAACGGCTTCTGCTCCGACTACCTTCTCCCACGTCTGTCATCGATGGAGGCTCGTGGCGCTTTCTACGGGCTCATTATGGACGAAGCTGGAGCTTACGTTCCCGACGTCACCAGCGCAGATCACACGCACTATGACCTGGATCCAGCGTTCACGACACCACTCGCTCGATATCACTCTCGACCTACGAGACGAGGAGTGGGACTTTGAGAGCGAGGAAAGGCACGGGTTCAGCGCGGCCGACATGGTCTCGGTGCTGCGGCTGCTGTCTCCCGTGATGCGGCGCTGGAGGAGGGTGGAGGTATTGACGGACACCTGGGCGCCTATGTTCACGTTCCTGACGTATACCCACGGGATGGGCGCCTCTCTTCCGAAGCTGGAGTCTCTGCACCTTGCGAGGTGCAACGAGTACTTTGCCCGCAAGGGCGAGGTGTTCGAGCCTGCTGCCCTCGGGGAACATGTGGCCCTCTTTGACGCCGGCGGGATACTTCCAAAGCTGAGGGAGGTACAGCTGACCGGCGTCCACATCAACTGGTCTCACCACCCGTTCCTCAATCTCACGAAACTCGACTTCAAGTACCAGGCCGCCGATGTCATGCCGACCATCGCACAGTTCGCATCGATCCTCGCCACTAGTCCCGCGCTCGAAACGCTCTCTATTGTCGGCCACGCACCGCAGTTGCTGGACACGGACACCGAGATAATCAAGCTCGCCCATTTGCGGAACTTCACGTTCGGCTTCGTCGACGTGTCGCACGCCATCCGGTTTCTTTCCTTACTGGACATTCCCTCCCTGCGGAACTTTAGCCTCGAGGACGTGTCGAGCTCCTTGCGGGAACAGACAGCCGAGAGCGCGGCTACGCTGTTACAGTGGCTGGCCGGTAGCTGCGAGTTCGCTCCGAGTCATCTGGATTCTGCTCCCGGCAGCATTACGCGGACCCGAATCCCGTTCTCGCAAGTCAAGACCCTCACGCTCCATTCTCTCAACGCTTCGCCGGTGGCATTTTCACGCTTCTTTGCGGCATGCCGCACAACGGCCCGGTTACGCATTTGGGATGTCTCGGGCGATGTGCTGGACGTGCTGCGACAGGATACTGATGGGGTTCTTCTGCCTGATCTCAGGAGTCTCACGGCTCGCGGAGTGGATCGTGACTCGTTCGATCGCGTGGTCGGCGAGCGCGGGATTTCGCTCTCCCGTGCCCGTCTTGACTGTGCGGCGCGTCCGGATACATTCTCTCACGATGATGATGACTCGGACTATCATGGAGAAGCCTGAGTCAGAGCCAATCATGCGGAGCTTCTATTCCGAGCAGCTTCGGACAATGAACTGTCGTCTGTCTGTCGCTTGGAAGTTACGACCTTGTTCAAACTGCTGTGCTTTGTTCCTCGTTTGCTTCCCTCCATGCTTTGTCCTGCTTTATTCTGTACATCCTGACGCTATACATGCATTCCACTCTCCTTCCTCCTGTCCATATTCATCACTACATACAAAACGATCGCATCCCGCATTGTCACTACCATATGCATCCTTCAGTCTGTATCAATTGCCCAATCTGCTCATCCGCCGTCTTTCTCCGATCAACATTGCACCTGTCCTAAAACGACATCTGTGATGGATTCGGACACCTGTTGCGCTGCGCCACATTCCTCCGGGGATTCATCCGCCCACAGCTCCGGGATTCGTGTCGACTGTTCCCGGTTCATTTTTTGAACAGTGAAGCACATCGTTCTTCTGGATGAGACGAAATGATCCCAGCCGCCGAAGATAATCGATGAAATCCATCCGTGCGATTGCATCGAGGTCCTCCGCCCAAATGGCCAACGATCGCATGTCTAGTTCGGGGCGCCGCCGCAGAACGAAAGTGCAGCTCGCTTTGAAAGGACAGGATGTGACGTCCGGACAGCTGTGGCGCCTGCAGCCTGTCCGTTCCTCGGGTAGGGTGAAAATTCGATAATTCCAGAGCGTCGGACGTTTCAGTGTTGCTAGGAGGCTAGCAATGCTGAAAGGTCCGCTGTTTCTTCCAGACTGAACAGGCTCGGATGTTCGAGCCTGGTCTTAGCTATGAATATCCTAAATTGTAGTTCGGATCCATCTTTGTTCCTCACACTGTTAATTGGTTCGAGAGTAAAGATTCATCGTTACTTTGTGAGCCAGCGTGAGCCTCAAACCAGATAAATCGAAACCATGCTTTCAGAGATTTCTTGCCCCGACCTTATATCTTTCCAACGGAGCTTCTTCGCACCAGGCAGCACCATTGTGGTGGATGAGGCGTGTCCTCCAGCTTCTTCTCTCTTGGGGTTCAGATCCAGATTTCTCAGAATTGGGTATGGACCGCAGTGACCAGTGACGGCTTCAAGATGGAGTCACAGGCCCGAGCCATAGCACTAGGATTTAGACTAGTGCACATGGCTGTAGCCATAAAAACCGTAGACTATTTTATGAATGGTAGCCATGACCCGGGATTGACCTGGGAGTGAACTCGTGACTCTTCCAAAAAACGAGACGGATCTGCAGCAATAACCATTGAGCCATAACAGCATACTGATGAACCACATGTTGTCAACTAAAACCCTAACAACATCTGCCAAAAAATGTTTCCCCCACTTAGGGCAAGGAGCAAGCTCCTTTCCCTAAGTGGGGGAAACAACCCTAACCTCTAACCACCCGAAACCCCTACCAACCCTGACCGCTAACCAACCCGAACCCTAGCCAGTAAAAAAAATGATTTTTGGGACCCGAAGCCCTATCCCGAACCCAAACCTTATCCCAAACCCGAACCTGTCTTAAGTCCGAGAAGGAGGGACACAGCAGGGTATCACTTGTGGGCAGCTGATGGAGATCACATGATACATCACATGATCACACAATAGACTAATATGCATGGCTACAGCCATGCTATGGCTACCATTCATAAAATAGTGTAGGGTTTTTATGGCTACAGCCATGACATTAGTCTAAATCCTAGTGCTACGGGTGCAGGCCCTACTGTACTCTTTCACCTATCGACTCAGTCCGAAATAGTGCAAATCAAGGTCCGAAAATGGCCATATCTCAGTCTGAAAAACAGCGCAAATCAGGCCGAAAATGCGAAATCTCAGGCTGAAATAGTGCAAATCGCGGGGGCAAAGCTCAATTTTTTTTCGCATTTGCTCGTGTCCTTTGATGCCCGAGGAGAGTCAAAATTAGGTCGTTCACCTACTGTGGCAAGCCAGATCCTGTGGAACGCGCCTGGGCCTGAGAAGGGGGAAAATGGACGGAAACTTGCTCATAACACTACAAAAAGCTCCAAAATTATCCAAATATAGGTGAACCTCAGTCCGGACATACACAGATCAACGCTCAGAGGGCCGGTTGGGTCGTGAAAATCAGCCTCTTGAGGCGGACTGACCTTGTAGGGAGTAGCCGGGGGCCTTCTAGGGTGGGTTCCCCGTGCCCGCTGCCACGTCCATCAATGACCCAACCGACGTTGACAGTATGTTGATGGTGTTTATGGTCGTCGAGATCAATGATGTGGACCTTTTGAAGTCCCGCAGGAGTGCTGCTATGGCTTTCCGCGGCATTTCAGTGAGCCTGGCCAGGAGCTACCTACGTTAAAGGTCTTCCGATGGAACAGAAATGTCAGACCGATGGCTTAGCCCAATTTTCAAGACAAGATGATAAAGTCCCAAGGGTTTGACCTTCCCCTTCCGAGCCAAGGGGGTTCGTTGCTTTATCGCTGGTTGAACGCGTCACGCGCATTAATTGGGGGTTTACCCCTTCCCATAGTCCAATCAGTGGTCCCTGCTACATCGTCTCTGCCTCGGTTCGCTACATACAAGGCGTAAAGGTCGGCACCTACCCGGGTGCTTGACAGTCTAACAGCACCTCCTGACCATCCATTAGCTCCCTTGGCTTGTGGTCTTAGAGCGCATACATTACAGCTCGGGACCGTCGCTGTGCATCTCGGGCGAGAACGTCATACACAGGGTTCCGTCTGGTATAAAGCTAGGCATCCATCGAGGATACAACGCAATCCAGTGAAACCAGAATTGCAAACAACCATGCTCCCGCATCTCCTTGCTCTCACGCTCGGGGCCTTGTCCTTCGTGAACGCAGCTCCTTCTCACCAGGCAGCGCTCGTCTCCTGCAGCGCGAATGCGCACACTGGCGCCTCTGCCCAGGCCAGCAAGCTCTGCCCTCAGTAATGATGAATGCGCTGATCCATATAAGCAGGCTATGACTGCATCCGGGACATACGAAATCCACAGCAAAGCCCTCGATGGGGCGGCCGTTCGCGTGTACCTCCCTGGACAGCCGCTCTACGCGAGCCGGTCTACTGAAGACGCTCTGGACTATAAATTGGTGCGCCTAGCTTGGGTGATTCTCGCCGTGTCTAACACAGGGACCGTTATATTAGTTCGACTTGACGTGGCACGCCAAGAATATGATATCACTGCGGCATATCGGATTGGATTCCCCCGTTACAGTGGACAACGATGTGCGATTTTGTGCTCTTCGCCGGAGGTTTCCCGCTCAAAATCCCAAATCATGTAGAACTGGGTCTCAACCGCGCAATCCAAGGATGATTTCGAAATTTTCGTGCTGGAATCTGTGTCGGGTCTTCCGGGCTACTTTGTTGTCAGTCATATGCTTTCAACAGTCGCAACCTGCCCTCTGAGCAAAGATCTAGATCCATAGTGCCGTCTCCGCGGACCTCGTCTGGACTCTCAACTCTGCCGACGGTTCCGTCAGTCAGAACGTAAGACAGCCATTCCGAGTGTCCTGTGTTCTTCTTTTTCGAACACGTCCCAGATCAAAGTTGCAGAGCGCGTCTCCGGATCGCAAGCCCAGCTTTTCACTTTCACACCGGGAAAGTCTTCCGCGCAAGTCAACCTCGAGCAACTCTTCAGCAGTGGCATCCATCACAATTATATGAAGACCGATGGGCGGGTACGACCCGGAGCGTACACTATTCTTGATACGATTTCCCGCGCCCCACTTCGCACCGGCAAATTCAATCAACCGATTTACAGCTCGAGGTCTCAAGGCGGGCAATACCCTGGGAACGCTGGTCTCGTGCGTGCTTCCTGTCCAGTCTTCCATGAGAGTGTCCTTATTCTCCTCAGTGGGAAATCGCATATGTCGATGACCCACAGGGTGATGTATACACCATTAGGAACATCGGGATGGATGTGTATATGGGGGTCACGCGGTCCAAGGTGAATTTATAGGGAGTTCGCTATAAAGCACTCTGGACTGACATGCGCCTCGCAGAATATTGCTCCCACTGATGGAGCTCCCGGGAAGTTCACCTTTGAACCACGATTCGAGGGTCGCTTGGACCAGGTGGTTATTCACATGGCGGACCGCAGCGGGGTTTGGGGACCCGATGTCTCGCGGGGCATAATGGACACTCCGGTAAGTCGTGTATCCAGATCAGCGCAACTTTCCTCTGCTGATGGCCTTGTAGATCCAGGTTCAGCCGGATCGTGGCATGTACGACCAATTCCAGACTTTCATTCTCAAGCCCTTCAACGGAGGTGCAGACTTTTAGCGAGTGCTCTTACCCGAAATTCGTCTGAGAAGCTTCCTGTTACTGTTAATCGAAATATGTGATTTGTGATCGGCCATCAAGTCTCAAAATCTTTCGCCAAGAACTGCATCGCAACTTGCTCGCACAGTACAATCACTTTACGGCGGTAGATACTGCCGGCGTGTGCCCATATCCAGTGCCCGTCTAGCTCAATCGGTAGAGCGTGAGACTCTTAAGTTCCTATAGACGCTGGTATCTCAAGACTGCGGGTTCGACCCCCGCGTTGGGCTAGGTTGTCGTTTTGCTACATCATCCTGGTGACCTGTCATTCTCCTTTTCTCTGCTTCCCGATGCAAACCCTCTTCCTATATTCTATTTGAATCTTTGTGCGCATCCTCCAGTGTTCGAAGCGGTCACAAAGTCATTTCCAGATATCAATGTCCAGCACACGTCACTCAAGCAAACTTCTTATAATTAAAACACTAATTATTCTCAGCAAGTGTAGATGATCGATCGAATCAGTAAGCATGCATAATTTAGGTAAAGAGAGTAAGGATGTTCGGCCGTTCAAGATCCAGTGTTGCAGTCGTCGGTACCGTCCGGGCAGTGCGGGATGATGGTCTCTGTCGCACCGGCTATTGCAGTCCCAATTAGCTCAACTGAGATCAGATGCAAATGGAGATGGAGACGCACGATCAGTCGTCAGCGACGGGAACGGCAGCGGGCACGAAAGCTGGAGGTCTTTCGCGGATTTAGTAGCCGGGAAACTAGGGGGGGGGGAGAAAAATTGTCAGTTCCGGAACGAGGAGTGCCCAGAGAAAGCCGGCGAATCACCTGGCACGCTTGACGGGGGTGTTGACCACATTGGGGACGACGGCGGAGCAGTCTACCAGGTCCCCGCGCTCATGGCCGAGGATGGCCATCTTGGACATGGCCGCACGGAAGCTGGAGGCCATGAAATCCTGCTTGTCTGCAGACGTGACGTCAGGAAACTTGGCTCGGGGATGGCGGGCCGTGATATTGCGCACCAACGAATGACTGCCAGATGCAGGCTGTGCGGTGGTCCCGGGCCAGGGCAAAGTCGGACTGCAGCCGCAGTTCACCGACGTTGTCGCCCTGTCCGACGGGCAGGGGAGATGCGACCTCGCCGGTGTTATTGCTGAGGCCAGGGAAGCCCACTCCCTTCAAGAGCACCTCAAGGAAGATTTGCGTGTCGAATGTGAACGGGGTCGAGTCGAAGGGGACGGCCTTGATTTTGGGGTCGACGTGGTCTGTGCGGGCCACCGAATGCGACGACAGAAGACTGATCACTTCGAAGGGGCTGAAGTTTCCGGCGTCTTTGAAACGAGCGAGGATCTTGTCGACGCTGTCTTCCGGGAGCTAAAGGGGCGAAATCAATCGATTGACATTTGCGGCCATGTCGCGGCTCACAGGAATCAGCCCGTCAATAGCAGCATGAGTGTGGTTGGGGCGGCCCGCCAAGAACTCAAGCCGAGGTGCGCCCTGATGTACGTCAGCTCGGCATGTAATTTTAAGGAGTCAGTCAGGGATTCTCACAGGGCAGTTTGTCAACGCGACAGCACCTACATGGAAAATGTACCTTGTTAATTCCAGGCCGAATAATATGCCAGATGACGAACCTGCGAACTGAATCAAGTCACCCGCGCTAATCTTGTTGTGTTTCGCGAGGAACGGGAGGAGCGCATTGACACTGTCGTCAATCCCGTTGTTCGCCGCAAAGTCCGGTTCAACCTGCAATTCTTGGTTCATTCCAACATATCCAGGTCTCGAGAGCCGGATCGTACGTTCGGGAACAGGAGCATGCTGCCATCGGCACCGCCGCCACTACAGGGCAACAATCAGTAGCAATCCTCCTGAGTGGTCGGAGGAAACTTACGCCTTCGGATTGGCCTGGCTGATAGCTATCGCATCGTCTGCAGCGCATCAAAAATCGTCAGTCGGATAGATCGTAGCACCGGGAATCGGCACGCACGGAAGGTGAGGCGAATCACTTCATGTGCGTTCTCTCCGCACTCGTTGTCGAAGAGATTGGCTTGCAGATCTTGCGCCAACTCGGAGTGCGTAAGAAAAATTGTCTCAGAAGACCAGGAACTCGAATTGACGTACCGGGACAAATGGGCAGCAGACAGCATTAGGGACGCGTGTGCCGTCGGGGCAGGTGGTTGTACCGTGGCCGGGATAGGTCGCTGGTACAGCCCGTACGACGAAGGGCACAGAGAGAAACAGCGAAATTGCGAGACTTGAGAAGGCCATGTCACAGCAACGAAACAAGAAAATATAAAGATAGATGGAACAGGTAAATAGCCTGTAAAATCAAGTCGCGAAGTGGGAGAGAAAGACTTAAAGTAAGGAACACCGTCCTGCACACACCTTTTATATGTTATGGGATGGTATTTATCGTTCTTTACAGCGCAGCCCATCTTGCCCTGCCCCGCCAGTCCAACTGAAACCATCCGGCCAAACCAAGCCGAAACAGGCCCTGGCCCGGTTCCAATAATACGAGTCCCCAGTTACAGTCGTGATTCTGAGTGACAGAAACTCATGCTTGGCTTGTCTTTTGCCATTGCGACGCCCGCGGAATTCAACAAGTGCAGTTGCGCCGCCGGGGAGACCTGCAATTTGAATAAGGCGTTCCGGTTTGTGTCGTTCATAACGCGATTAAAGAGGTGATAAGGATGGATATCGCCGGCGAGCTGGATATCCGACTGGTATCCGATGCTTGGAATCAGTCCTTGGGCAGTGCTGTCTCCAACCGTGGGCAGGGTTGATCTGAATGAGGAAGGAAGGAGAAAGGTAGCCGGCTTGTCCCGGGAGGATCAATGATCTGATGATCACGATTACTGTGCTGCATGCATGACTGGAGGGGTTGCATCGAGAATTCAGGTTGACATTTACAAGGAGATGGACGTTCGTTCAGGCCTCATTGTTTCATTCCGGGTGTTTTCGGGGCATTATTGAGATGTTTACATGCAAAGGGTGGACAATTCAGCGTCAAATTTTTGTGACAGCAACATGACAAGTGGCTTTTCGCTCGCAAATGAAATCCGCCTGGAGTCATGTCAATTTTTACCCGGTGGGGACTGCTCGGGGAATGTTTCATCGTGAAATTTCCAGAGCCGGTCCTGTTGAGGTCCATTTCCTTTCGGATGATGGCCCCCGCGCGCTTCCAATCTGTGCTGCCCATTGCCCAACCACTTTCGTGACTGTGATGAGTCACAGTGATCGTGATCGGCAAACCGCGATTGACAGCAGACCCTCTTCCTGCGAGCCCCGTTCAGCATCCCCTGGTTTGTAATCAGTTCCGCCTGCTTTCATCGCTCTTTTTCCTTTTTCTATACGCCCTTGGATGACGTCGGCCGATAACATCAACCTCGATGTCCTCGAGCTGATCTTCGCGTACCTCTCTGGCAACGACCTCGTATCCGTTGCGCTCGTCAGCCACTCGTTCTTCTCCGGCGTCATCCCGCAGCTGTACTCGACACTCCTCTTCCGGCTAGCGCATGCGAAGCGGTACCCGCGTGTGATGTCCCCATTTGCAGCGATTGTCGAGCATCCTGAGTTTGCGGTCCATGTGCGGCATGTTGGTGTGTTCCTGCGCTCCCATCCCGGCATCCACCCCTCACCGTGATTGCGGTCCTCAGACATCCGAACGGTTCCTGTGGTGAAGTCGCAGTACAACGCGCGCTTCCTATCGGAATGCACGCACGCGCTCGACCTCTGCCCCAACATCACCTCGTTTCGGTGCAGCATCCAGGCAGTGACCGCACCCTTCCTGACGCCGCTCATCGAAAAGGAGCGCCTGCACGACTTGCGCATCAACGCGAATCTCACGACCGAGCAGAGCGCCAAGATCGTGCAGCTGCGCCGCGTGCGGCATCTCACGCTCGACTTCGCGTCCTGGAATCTTGTGAACATGCTGCCGCTGTGGGTGGGGAGGCTGCAGGGATGGCTTCTGCATCTGACGCTGTTCATGGTGGCCGAACTGGACGAGGTCATGCTCAAGACGGTGCTCGAGAACCTACCGGATCTCTTGGGACTCCATGTCATTGGGTGCGGGAAGACGGACCATGCTGGGGTTCTAGCGGGAGTTGCGCACACACCGCATCTGGAGGCGCTGTCCTTCACGACTGGGGTGCGTGGCTGCCTTGTGTGTCTCCTTCAGCTCGCTGACCCTCGACTTTCCAGGATAGCAATAAGGTCTTGCCAAATCCCCCTTCTTCCCTAACGCGTCTCCGCCATCTCGCCATCGACACTCGTCTCAGTGCAGTCCACCCGCCCAGTACGGCACTTATCGGCTCCATCCTCTCGCACATCACGCAATCAAATCCTCCACTCGAGTCCTTCCTGCTGAAATACCCGGACCGCCAGATGGCAATCCCTGCAGCCTTCGTGAATATCCTCATCGCGAGTCACGGTCGGACGCTCAAGACAGTCGGGTTCATCGACTGCAACCTCGCGACGCCCGATGTGCTCGCCTCACTTTGTCGAGCATGTCTGGTTCTCGAGCGCTTGGAGATCAGCATCCCCGTGCGAGATCTGGTGCGTGCATCCGCCGTTTCTCCTGACCTCGTGCTCATCGAACCCCCATGATCTAGGGCATCTTCTCTCAAGCGCTCAGCCAGTCGCAAACCCTCCGCACGCTTATCGATATCGAGCAGCACAGTCACAGTCCGCGGCCGACGCTCAGTCAGGATGGGGTGCGGGGCATGATGCAGCAGACTCCGACCCTGCAGCGGGTTGTCACTGAAGGAAGGACGAGGATATGGACGGTGCGTACTTCCGATCGGCCTCCTGGGACCACTTGCTTATCCGGGCTCCAGAAGAAACAGGACACACAAGGTACGATGCTCCCGGTGCTGGAGAGAAGATCCGCTCCCGGTGTTGCGGTACATTGGTTTATGCCTCGCGAATAGAATAGAATGATATACCCCACGGCTCGATCTGTGCCGATTCTTCGCATCTACCAGGACCACTTCCCTAATGACTTGTCGTGTGGGTGCGACGATGTATACCCCAATGCAAGCGGCCCGTAGTGCTGTATCTCCCGCTGCCCTGTATACTGCCTGGTGACGATCAACGAATGGGTTATGATTATCTTATCTTATCCTGGGAGCATGAGTTAGGCATTGCGTAGAACGCTCACGTGTTCGCTTGTTGACTAATTGATGCGTGTCGATAGCTACACGCTCTCATGCCACCAGCGCCGACAGTCGCCCTCTCGCCTGATCTCAGACACCTCAGTGATGATAGCTGCAGTCGAGGACCCAGCGTAACACGCTGCTGCGCCAACTGCGCCACTATTGGACCTTGCAAGGCATGGCGCAAGTCGGTTCTGCATATCGGGAAGATTGTGGGTGTCCTCGAAACACGGATGTCTTTACCAGAGATTGACCACGATCAACCTGCTTGAAGCTGTGCAACAAGTGCGGGCTGTACGAGCGCAAGCACAAATCCCCACGGCCGGTGGATCTGGAGCATCACAAAGGGCATCGATCCCGCGCCAACGAGCTGGGCGCCATGACCGCCGATGAAGTCCCCATACAACACAATCTTGAAGAGTCTCGTGGCCCCGAGTTCTCATTGCCGTCGCAACCTCCCCCAGATATCCTCGCGCGGGAGTATTACATCCATGCACCCCAGTACGAGCCGTACTACTCGCAACTGAACGCTCCGCCCGCATGTACGTGGGCTCCGCCCCAGCCGTGCTATGCGTCTCCTCAACCAGCGGGTACCGCTCCTGACGGACCGGTGGATGTCCCTCCTGAAAGCGATTCTAGGAATCGTCCGGGAGTGCAGGACGAGCCGAGATGAGTTGGACGGCATGTTCTCCTGCGGCTTTCTGTACCAGTCTGAGGCAATGTATACGTTCTAAGATTATGATCTTCTGTAAGTGTAAATAGATGTTCAACTGTTCAAATTTTAAGCCTTCAGTGCGCGAAGCCTCGTGATGACTTCCTCCATACTATCGCAATTCCACTCTCCGTACCAAGTGACCTCCGTCCTAGTCACGGTCTTCCCTGGTATCTTCCTGGGATGTAAGAGAAATGTGTGTGCGTCTGGAACAACGGGCGGAGTGGGCGCACGAAGTGGCTGGGCAGCTGAAACATCAAACGGGCCGCTATAGTGGTTCTGTCCCGGTGGGCTATCGACGGACAGCGGAACAATGGCAGAGAGATTTTCTTCCCCCTCGGATACCGCTTCACCATCATCTTCAAGTTGGCCCGCTTCGAAGGATTCGTCGTCGTCCAGTATCTACGACCCGTAAATGTCATGATCCCACCAGCGTGAGACCAATTCGCACACACATCGTTGATGTCTTCCTCCTCCGACGGCATCTGATACTCCCCACCCCGCGAATAGCGTCCCCACGGAACCTCGCCCATGCTCGTCGTCCTCCTGATCCGCTTCACCGCCTCCTTGGCGGATACGATGATAATCGGGCGCGGCTGTTGCGGCGTCGGCTCAGTCATGTACGAAAACATCTCCGCGGTCGATCGCTTTCGTTCACGTTCTGCACCATTCGTGTTGGATCGGAGGCGGCGATATAGTGGGGGTGAGGATCCTCTAGAACCGGGGGGATCTGATTGATCGGAGCATGAGGTATCGGATGCCGGGGCCAGCAGCATAGGCGTCGGTTGTTGAGAGAGAAACATGGGAACAGAAGAAGATAAGTGCACTGTGATGCCCAACGAGGTGTCTACGCCAGTCTAAATGGGATGGCAAAGCGGCGAACACGTTCTCAGCCCCTGCAGAATCAACTTTATTCCCACGCATCTCATCAGACGGTGTCGAGGTTGGGAGTTCCAGCTGTTTGAAACTGAGTGCGAGCACCGGTATTGCGTGGAGGTTTGCCTATGAAATGCGCTTCTCCGTCAGACGGGGGAGATCGACAATGAATTTGACGATGGATCCGGGGCATGAAAAAGCTGATCACGATGCTTAATGCTGTGGATAGCGACTCAGCAATCGCAACTGTTTCATGTTCACGGGGATCCGCAAACTCATCAAGACGGGAGTCATGACTCGCGGATCATCAGCTGAGATGAGCCAGAGTCTACTGGACATCGGATTTGTTGGGACACTGCCCTCGATGGGAAGGAGCACGGAAGGAGGGAAGAAAGCAGCGAAGGCTGTGATGAGATCAGTGACGAGCTACTATGTGATGATTCCGAAAGGTGTCGAATCTGTTCAAAGTGTGATCCGTGACACAGAAATCACGTTTCACTGGGTTGTGAGAATTCAAGACTGGACAGGCAATTTTATAAATAGGGCTTGGCGGAATCAACCCTCTCTCTCTCGGCAGTTCGAGGGTTCGGATTATGAGGAACCTGTGAAACTTTTCTGAAATTTCTCCACCCCCGCCCTTCCATATTCCAGTTGTGATTCTTCTGAAATTGTGCAGCAAACTCCCAACGTGGATTCACGTGATGAGCATGCCAGATATCTGTTGCTGATTCAGCTGCCATGCTTGGCACCCCGATGATCATCGACTCACTCCATTCCGACTGTACGATGAGCGCGGTGGAGAGCATTCCGGCGCTGCCCGAGGACCTCGAACGAATCATTTTTCTCGAATTGGCAACACAATCTCCTCGCTATATCCCAGCCCTTATACTGGTAGCCCGTCGCGTGAAACAGTGGTGCGTCTTACATCCATAACCACCGCACATTCGAGTTCACGGCTTAGGGTCGAGCCTATTCTGTATCGCATGATCACATTGGAACTGCCCACTCTCCCTGACGTCAGCACCCTCGATCTCCCTTCATTTTTTCGTGTACATGCGACCAAAGGACCGGACTTTCTCGCCCGAGCCGTGCGGCATCTCGCGCTCAAGGACGTGAATGTCGCGTTCATGGACTTCATCTTCGAATCCTGCCCCAACACCGAGGACCTGCTCCTCAACTACACTCTGCCCAAACACACGCTATACGCGTCGGTCCCGGCCCTGGTAAGACTCCCCCTGAGACGACTGTACACCTACGTCCTCGATTTCTTCGACGGAACAGAGCTCGTGCCAAAGTTCCGGCCCCTGTTTAACAACCTCACCCACCTCGTCGTGTTCGGCAACCTCACCGGCCATGGCGAGCTCGCAGAAGCGCAGGAGCGATGGCGCCTCGCCGCGTCCTTGCCGCAGCTCACGCACCTCGCGGCGGTCGAGTACAACCCCGTCATGTGGCGCGTGATCCTCGGGAACGAGAGGCTGGTCGTCCTGGCGTTCCTATGGCGCTTTGATTTCCCCCCAATGCCGCAGGACGAGCATGAGATCCCCGTGGATCTGCGGTTTGTTGCGCTCGCAGAGTTCTCGAGCGTGCTGGATTGGCAGAAGGGCGCACTGGGGAGGGGCGATTTTTGGGATGCGGCTGAAGAGCATGTGCGGAAGCGAAGGTCGGGGAAAGTGTATCGTGAGTGTTGGACTCCAGTTTCTTTGCAGAATTTCGGTCTGAACTTGAATAGCGCGGGCGTGGTTTCTCCGGACCGGCCAAGTCCCTCTGCTTCCAACGCTCGTCAGTAATCCCACTGAGTCGACTGATTGCCTTTGACCAATTTTGCCTGCTCAGAATGTGGCGCTGGGATAAGAACCATGCGGGAGGTCAAACATCTTAGCACTTTTTCAGTCGCAGAGACTTAGTAGCCCCAATGATTAGACTTTCTGTTGGCATTCAAAGACCTCGCGTATATAGAACTTGAACGTATATTAGCTAATTGGGGTGGGCTACATCTGTTGTGGCTTCTTGCAATCAAGTCGGCGACCCGAAGGATCCTCGGAAAGATAAAGTGCAGGAATGGATAGACTGCGAACGTGTTGGAAAAAGCGAGCACCACAGGACTCGAACCTGTAACCTTTTGGTAGTCTTACGAAGGCATCGAAGCCAAACACGCTAGCCATTGCGCCAGGCACCCATGATGGAGTGCAAAGTAAAGATATTATATTCGTCGACCCAGCCACTGCATTCTTCTGGCATCTAATTCATCCTTTTTTGTGAACACTCCAGACGCAGTTCTGAGAAGGACAATTCCCCTGAGGCTGATCATGATATACCCTGACAACCTTTTTGCATTGAGCACAGAAATTTCCAGGATATGCGATCGGTCTCGCACTTGCGATTTGAGACCATCAACATCTTCTCCACCGCAGAGGAACAGCTCCGAAGGCGATCTAAAGCGATACAAGAAATGCGCACTCCGCGGCATCTGAAGCGAGGACCAACTGCGCGGCTGATGGCCGACAGGTATAGCCGACGCTTCTCGCCATGTTTTCTGATTTGCATCCGTTCGCTTACAGTGGGAACCTCGGCCTACGTGTTGGTAACTCACCACAACCTCTCCGCTCTCCTATTCCTTGCGCCTTAAAAGCTGCAGGTGCCCACCCGCCATGCTCCCTATGCCGCTCCCGCTTCTCAGCAGCCCGCGACTGCCCCGTCGTCACTCCGTTTCGAGCGTTAGCAGCTTGCCTGGCAGCGAGTCCTCCAATGCCTCCGGAAGCCATTCCAAGTCATGGTTCAGTCGCAAGAAGAAGGAGAAGACAAAAGCGCAGGATTCGTCCTCCGTGGCCAGCGGGGACTCGAGCAGTAACGCGCAAGACGGAGGAGGAGGGGATGCCGCCCACGTGGTGGATGGGATCCTGGATACATTGGGCCCTAGGGGACGGTCGCTAGACCAGCAGCTTCATCGGCCCCATCCTCTGGCGCAATCCTCACACCCACCCCGCTTCCGGCCGAGCGCCAGCACAGACGCTGTCCCCTCCCTGCCCCGCGGCTCCGCTTCGACGACATCCCTGACGTCCGCACCCGCCACCGCGCCATCGACGCCGACGCGCGCCCCCCACTACCGCAAAGCCCGCTCGTCGACCTGGACGCAGCCTCCGCCGCCGCCGCCCCACCGCGGAGCGAATCTGCACGTGCTGATTCCCGACACCCCATCGGCCCAGTCGGCGCCGCGTCCCACGCACGATCAGTCACGCCGGGCCGCCGACCCGTCGCCTGCGAGCCCGCGGCACCGCACGCCCGCGAGCGCCGTTGCCGATTGGGCGCGAGGCGTGAGCATGGAGGGCCGCTCTGGGGACAAGCGCTCGCGCAGCCCGCTGCCCCCTCGCTCTCCGCCGCCGGCGCTGCCGCTGCGCCTCGAGCTCGACGCGGACTCTCCCGTGTCGCCGACACCGCGGTCGTTCGGCGGGGCGATGAGGAGGAAGGAGGGCAGCAGTGACACGGAGTACGAGCGGGGGGGTATGACGTCACCGCAGGCGAGGTCTCGGCCTGGGTCACGCCCGAAAACCCCTGATGGTCCCGGCTTTTATTCTGGTCGACAGGAGGTGAATTGGACTGGGGAATGGCGCATCGAAGGCTCAGGGAAGAAGGGGATGCAAGATGTGATGAAGGGGCTCAGGCATTTGAAGAAGAAATGAGACCAACTGAGTGGTAATACTTTTGCGATAACCCCCGGATATAGAGTATAATGTACATTGATCAGATTTCATTCGTAGTCGACATTATACATACTTACAGGCACCTACTTACACTCGTTATGGATCATTAGAGACGTTTAATCAATCGACTTGCAAAAGCCGACAATAAGTGTGGTTATTGAATCGTGCTGCCATAGTCCACCACCACGCGCCGGATGCTTCGTATTGAAGGCGCAGGCGAAGGCCTGTATCTCGGTGTGGTTGCCCCAGAGCCGATGAATACTTCGAGTGATGAATCCTCAGTTGGGCGAATGGTCTCAGCAGAGCTGAACGACTCGAATCGCGTTCGATTTGACGTGCGTTCGACGATGCTGATCCACGGTCAGGACTGGCAATATCACAAAATGAATAGAAAACACAAACCCGCGCATCACGGCAGCAGTGGTCAATCGATCAGCGTATTTTTTCGACACGTTGTCTTGGTACAGATCCGTTTCGTCGACTATCTCTTCGGATAGGATCTCTTCAATGATGTCTGGAGCGCGATCGGTATGAGATGCCCACTGCATTGAATAGGAAATGACTTACCCTCGAGCGTCAGGACACCGATGGCACCTCCAGGTTTCCCGGGAGTGAGGCTGATGAGGAGCAGATGCGCGCGGCCCGTTTGGCTGCCGGCGATGATTAGGAAACGCTTTTACCACTCAAACTGTGCTCACAAGTAATCCAGGGCTTGGAAGCAGCTGATGGTCGGGTGGGCTTCGGGAAGCACGGAGAGCGGAATTCTAGACACCGGCCAGCCAAGATTTGTGTCGTACTGCAAGAGCTGCTGTGGATCAGTTCGAGTCTTCCATGATCAGTGCTGTCTGCGCACCCTCTTAATCAAGAGGAATCCCACGAACGCCGTCCGATCGTGGGGCTCGTGGACGGGGATGCGGGAATATCCGCTCATCAGGCTACTCGGGATTAGTCCCCGACGACAGGACGCTGAGAATCGGCACGCACATCTTCTCGACCATCTGGTGATCCAGCACGGCGTCAGCAGATAGCGAGACGACGTCTTGGATGGGCGTCATAAGCTGCTCGACGCGTTTCGTGCCCAACTCCAACACTCCATTGAGGATGCTGATCTCGTCATCCATAAGTGGCTCCTCGCCAGTTCGATGGAACTGAGCTTGAGTCAGTTGCTGATCACTGGACACGAGAGCCGCCGACAAACCTGCAGGAAACTGCGCAGTTCAGTTTTGTTGTACGTGTGGGTGCCCTCCACCCCGAGCAGCGCATCGAGCAGTCGGGCGATCGGCCAAGCGATCGGAGCAAAGAGGTACATCATCCCAAGAACAAGTGGCGCGCAGGCCGCACCGATGGAGAGGCCATAGCGGACAGACAAGGCTTGGGGAATGATTCTAAGTGTTGTGTCAGTATTCGCCAAGGAAAGCTGTATTAGAGCGGTGGCTCGGCATTGGAGCCAATGTCCAAGGGATCCGCTCCGTGACGTCATGGAAGGAAGGAACACTCACTCTCTAAATGAAGGTCAACCATGGTTGAATGCTCTAGATTCGCAACTTACCCAAATATGACTAAGTAGCGGAAGTCTTAGCAGAGGCGGAAGACGTGTGATCTTAACTCACCAATCAGTGTTGTCGAAATCACCACCGCGGCCAATCCGCCACCGATCTACGAAGGTTGAGTTTAAGCTGCAGAGCCAGAAAAAGAGCTGACCGCGCTATCCAAGAAGATTGGCAGCGACTCGTTTATAATCTGCAATCCCAGTCAGCTCCCGCCAAGAAGAGCGATGTCTTAGTAGTGCTCACGACATTCGCCAAGAGGAGGACGACTAAAACCCAATGTCGCCCTCGCTTGAGCAGAGCCAAGACTGCCAGCTCATATAAATCGTTTGAACGTCAGCAGATACATAACACGCACCATCCGCAGCGTTCTTACGCTCTCTCGCATCGCGACTGGACGCGGCCAGAACGTGAAGGTGTAGCTCGTCGAGACCCATCAGTGCGATCGTCAAACTGCACCACGTCGTCGTCAGCCAGTCTGCCAGTCTCTGTCAGAGCGTACGAATGCTTACCCAGCAAAGACCCCACCGAGGAGGACCAGCGCGCCGCTGATGGACATCTTCTGCCAGAACACCGCCGACCAGAGCTCGGGGTGCGCGACGTGCGATGTGGTAGCGGCCGAAAATAGGATGGGTGACGCGCGCGCAGTTGCATAGCGCAGCAGGACGAAGACGAGTGCGGGGTGGCGCATGGTCGGTGGGCAGGGGACGGGGGCGGAACACACATCCACCTGGTTTATATAAACAGAGGAATGTCTTGGCTCCTGTAAATAGCGCAGCTGTAAGACCGTCAGCCGAATCACAAGAAACATCTAGCCCAAGGGTGAAGCACCCAGTAAACTCCACCCAGCCAACTGTCCAGGCCCGAGGAGTCTTGGCGCTTACATGCATGTGCTGTGATACGAGCCGAGAAAGACGAAGCTAGCTAGGACGTACAAGAGTCGGTTTCCGACGTCGAGGAACGGCAGGCTGAGCGGATGCCTCTCACGATAAGCGGCGAAATCAGCGCAGGTCATCGACGGCGAGTTTCATTTAATGAGAACAAGGTAACACACCCACAAACCAATGGCGAAACTCTCCGTCCGTATGTTGTCGATCAAGAACCGGAAGATGGGCGGGCGAATCGACGTTTCGTGGAGACCCGAGTAGCAAAAACACCGCGAATCCGGAAGGGGTTGCAGGCGAGAGATAAGGAATTAGATGACCGGCTGACACCGGCTACTGCTGGGAGCATGGTAGAAGTGCTAAAATATACGCCTTTGAGCAGAAACTAATATAAACTTCTCGAAGACCACATGGATGGGGTGGCAGTGGGAGAGAATCAAGCATCAAATGATCAGCCGATGATGCCATTGATCGATTGCCTGATCCGTGATTGGCATGTGTGACGAGTGATCGACCACAGTGCAGAGGCGATCTCATCGGAGTTCGGACCGAGGACAATTACACTTTGAAAGCCATCGATGACCCTCGAGTCCCACCGGAGCTCCTCAAACTCGACCGCTCATGCCATTTCTCAGCGTCAGGCATTGTTCGCTTTAGGCCCAAGCGACACAAAAACTGGCTTGAGGCTTTCAAGGGCTCTAACGTAACAACAATGAGAGGGTCTTGGGCAGAGTCAAAGCGCGCAACTGGTGGAACATATAAGATGGGAGGCAGAGAAAGAGTTCCGCACTCGTAACCTCTCTCATATTATGTCCTGGACCTCGCTCACAGCTCCCATGCAAGCAAACACCTCATTGAGCCACCGCGGCATCGAAACTGAACAATATGCTCGGCTCCCATTTGACTCCAAGGTGCATTTGCCGTTTGGTAACTGTAGTCGCGATCAAACCCACTCATTGAGCCATTTCTTCAGGAGCGGATGCAGCTGATGGATGCTTGTGGCTGGGGCCACGCGCTGTTTGTTGACCGGTTCTCTCTGTGGGCCGTGCGCTTTGTTTTTTTTCAACTTTAGCCATCCCGCTCATTTTAGAGGCAAAGGCACCTGCATCAGACGCCCTGGAACCAAAACTTGGCCATGACGCGCTGCGTTATTCATCGGCAGCTCGGCGCAGTGCGACTTCGTACGCCTCGGTCGTCAATCACGGCTCCCAGTCTCTTCAGCATCAATCTATCGAAACTAGACAAAGCTTTTTGGCGTGTCGGTCCGAACGTTTGTTGTCTCACTCGCTTCCGAGTGGCCCTCAAATCCGCACATCGACCGCGTCATCGGACTCGGACTCGGACGCGCACACAGCCATTGGCTAGAATATCGATTTCGACTCGGATGCGAGCTCGCGTCAGGATCAGGGAGAGGCGGATTTAGACCTTGATGTGTGAATGAAGCCCGTGAATGGCCACGTGGTTGACAGCTTATTGTACTTGATCAAATGTATATCCTGGATCTCAATCTGAGGCGCATCCATCAAACCAATCATCAGTTGATGCGCCCGATACGCATCATTGATTCCACTGGCTAAAAAGCGCGGGACTGACCGGGACTGAGAAATCCCTATGTAGCCAAGATAAGCACGAGGTTCGAACTTTTCTTTGAAAATCGTAGTTCCTCGTGAACGAAAAACCACCTGGCACGTTTGGCGCAGAAACAGGGCCCCAGACTCTATGACACGCCGCGCTCGGCGGAACAGACCACAGGGACCGATACCCCCCAAATTTTCCGCTTCCTTCTTGCCAAGAAGAAACTGGCGGCACTCCCTAGGTATAGCACAGTGATTCACATATCGGGATAATACTCTATCGTTGACAGCGAGCGGGCAGCTCAATTCCGTGGCGCAGGTCATTCGAACGCTGATGGAGGACTAGGGGAAGTCAAGATGGCAGCTCGAGCCTCGAAGCTCTCATCAACACCGAGTGTCTCCGCCATAGATTCTGGCGCACAGAGATTGTACACTGGAATATCAGTGGCTAAGTGCGTACTCCGTCAGTATCGGTGCGCAGAGGACAGGCTGGGTGGTGGGGATGAATTTCGCGCCCGGATTCCTGTTGATCCACAAGCCCACATGGTCCTTCCGGCCTGAGTAGAAATCTCTTAGCATCCCTATAAGAGGCTATGGGTTGTTATTGGGGATAAACCTCAGTGGCTACCACAAGATGCGCTTTGCAACCTCCTTCCAGCTCATTGCTCTTCTCGGCGCCTTTGTGTCCGCCTCCCCCGTGGAGAAAGACTGGAAGTACGCTGTTGGCTGGAACGGAAGCGTCCTCGACTCTTCAGCCATCGGAACTCCCCTCGAAAACGTCGAGCGCTCGTCGCTCCAGGTAAATCGGATTGTAACTTGGTTTTGGGGGGTCAAACACTCATCACCGGGCATCTGCAGGCTCGCACTCCGGGAGGCGTCTACATCTGCACCGATATCAACTGGGGTGGGCAGTGCGGCTACGCCGTGCAGCAACTCGGCGCGTGCATCGCGCTCACGGCGCCGTGGTACGACAGCATCTCTAGCTTTGGACCCGATGCCGGCGCCACTTGCTTCGGTATGCATCTCAGTTTCTTCTTGTCTGCTAGGGCGAGATAGTAATCAAGAGGCTTTAGCGTATAGCCAGAACAGCTGCAGCGAGGCCCAGTGGACCTTCAGAAGTCCTGGAGACGCAACTGGCGGACTGGGAACTAGCAGCCCTTGGAATGATCGGGTGAGCTTGAATCGCAGCTGACGGTCCTGATCAAAGTGCTGACATAACTTGAGATCACCAACTTCAAGTGTGTGTAGATATATACAATGTACAAGCTTTAAAGTAACAAGCTCTCGGGAAAGAAATGTAATCAGATTTCACTGTCTCATCTAGGCGATCACCATCGATCGGCAATCGCGGTCATGTCAAAATGTGCAGGTACATGCGGCGCGAACGCTCTTGGCAAGTCATATATGGGACCGTTCTGAAAGAGCGTAGTCTGAGAAGAACTCATACTTCTACTTTGGCTTCACAGTCCAATGACAGAACCAATCGATCGATCCCACCGAGTATTGAACAGCCATCACAAATTGTAAGCATATCACATGAGCAGTTCAGAGCCACTACCGCGCGTGATCAGTTGAACCATGGATCAGGTGACCTTGGTTTTAAAATTTCGACCCGATACAAACTGTTTGCTACGAACAAGAAACTCGTGGGTCGGAGAAAAGAAACTTTTGGTCTAGGTAGCCGAGAGAGGTTGCTGGGACATGGTCTGGTCAAACAGTTGGAAGGCTGCTTGACCCACGGCCAGAGATCCGTTCTGAAGATCGCATCAGAAATGATCAAATCGACATGTGATGAGATCGATGACTACCTTGTACGCCGGAACCTCGTGCCCGGCACCGTAGATCCGCACATAGGAGCTGCCGCGGGCATATGTGAGTGCAGTCCTTTAAGTGATTAGAGATAATGGCATTCACAATGTTCCAGCGGTTTTGAATTGGCCGGCTAGCAACCCTTTGACTGTGAATGGCTTAAATGCTTGAGCATTGATCTGTGCGCTGAACTGGTTGTTCATTGACGCGATCTGGAAAACTTTGAGCACCAAAATCGAGTACTGGCGTTGCGGCAATGAATCACGCACCATATTCTCAATGCCATTAAAGTTGAGGATATAGTCCTGGGAGATTCATTAGCCTGATAATAAGGTGCTTGGAAAACCCCATGAAGCTCACGGCATCTCCTCCGTATATCGTGACCCTGACCCCAGCGTTGATCACTGTCTCCAAGTTGGGCAGTGAGCTGCGCATCCAGTCCCCGGTGGCAGCGAAATTGTTGTACACGTTGTTGTTGGTCTCCGCCCAGGTCACCTCAGCGCCGACTTTGGTGCGGACTGAGGCTAGGAAGGAAGAGATGTCGGGTGGGTACGGGTCGTTGGAGCCGGATAGGATGTAATACACCTACGGATCATATCATTAGCATCGAGAGAGACAGACGTGTAACCAGCAACACGCACGTCGAAGTTTCCGACGAGCGGGGACAGGATGTTGTTATTGCACGTGCTCTGAGCCGCAGAACACACCGCATTTGAGCCACCAGCGTTGCAAGCCGTGATCTGACTGTTCATGAGAGTGGAGAGGAAGTCTCAATGGAAAGACTGACTCGGGCTTTACACCCTGTGGTCGCCGTGTTATACTCCTTCGTTGCTGCTGAGATCGTGGTGGCAGAGACAAGTGGGTGATACGGGTTGGACGCCGCGTAGGTCAGGTACCCCGGATATTGAGTGATCGGATCCTAGTGGGACAGCGTTAGAGTCGGCAAGCCAGTCTGCAAGAAGTCAAAGACCGTCAAGCCGTCGCCGATACCCAATGTCTTGAGGTTCAGGGTCAGTCCCTTAACGGTTCCGGCGGCGATCGCCTTATTCTGCTGCAAGAAGTAGGCGGCAAACGTCGGACCGTAGTGCCCGCCGTAGCTGCCCATTCGCATGAGACATCATCGACAACGCTCGAAACAGAAACGGCTCACGACTCGGTCCAGATGGCCAAATCGTGCGTGGCAAGCGACGCAAATCGCGGGTCCTTGAAGAAGATCTGCAGGAAGGACCACACGTCTTGAGCTGCTGCCTGACTGGTGCCGACGCTGGTCGTTCCGTGCGAGAAGCCGACGCCAACAGGTTGGTCGATGAAGAGCAGATTCGATTTCGTGTTCCACGAGAACGGATTCAGCGTGACGGAGGCTGAATTGTTGGTGATTCGACACGGGCCGTTTTCCTGGAGCAATCCGATCATCGAAGAGCTTCCGGGCTGAGAGGTATACTATTAGGGCAGAGACTCGTCAAAAACGACAGAGTGGTGTACGTACCCCACCGTTGAACCACAGCGTGAGAGGTGCAGACGCATTGGGGCTGCGCGACGAAAAGTACCAGAAGCTGCGTCCGCGGTCAGAATGGTGTCACACTGCGAAAGAAAAGGCTGGCGCACAAAATACTCTCGGTAGCTGACAGATCGCCATATCCGGAGGCCTGGTAAACGCCAGGAGTCGTCTCTATCGTAAATCGATGAGCTTCTCTGTCGTGGCGCCCATTTATAACCCACCGCACACCCCAGAGTTTTCCACGACACGGAGCGCACCGGGGGTCACCAGCGGGGAAAGATTCTCATTGAGCTCGAGGGGTCGGTCGGCCTCTAGCGCAGGAGTTTTGCTGACCCCGCCAATCACCCCGTCCCTGATTGGTATCTGGCCTGAGAACTTCGCGGCGAGTGCATAGCTGAACAGCAAAATGCTGGGCAGGAGTTGGGCTAAGCTGACGAGACGCATGTTCAAAGAGCCACACAGCGCACTCACCCATTTGAAGCCCGCTCTTTAAAGGACTTATCGCTCGGATCCCGATTTGTCTCGGGTCCGCAAGAGGGCCTTATCTGTGCGCACCGTGTGCAAACACCTCCAGAAATACCATCAGTTGTCGTGTTTGGGATTTTTTTCTCTCTCCGCATGCTTCTATCATTGACGGGAAAGGTTGAGTAGCGGGGAAACCGTGGAGGAGGGAAGATAAAGAGGTATCCCACACTGAGAGTAGGGCATGTGAGACGCGACACACAAGACTGAGATCGAGGCAGAGACTGGAAGCACGCGTACAGTTTCCGTATAGCTCTGTAGGAAGTGCTATTTTCTCAGCCATGCGCGTGATCGACATCTATACTTGTTTCTTGATTTGATTGTTTTTTTGTTACCTTGAATTACCCAGCAAGCTTGCGAGTGAAAATCGAAAGAAAGAGCATAGCCACCAACCCTCTGATGGAATCTTCGTGACTGTGACTTGGGTACATCTTCATACGACTCGAAGTCTCTGAATTTGTCGCACTGCAGTGTACATTCCATTCTCGCCTACTTCAATACGACTCTTTCCGAACACGACGGCGGAGAGCGAGGGAAGCACGCCAAGATGAAGGCATCGACGGCCATTGAAATCCCTGTAACACTTGCATACGTACTAACTTAGAAGTACTGCTTCTCGCTCCGCGCATAAAGGCTTCCGCGTTCCAATGGAACCCCTTACAACTCCCTCTTTGATACCACCGCTCGCTTTTCCTCCATGTCTTCCGCCTCATTCCTTTCGTTACTCGTCTCGCTCTTTTGCAGTGCTCTCCTCGTGTCCGCCGCGCCCGGTCCAGGCGTTCGTGTCACGGAATCTTTTCCACCGCCGCCGTCATCCTACGATGTCATGCGTCATCACCCCGCTCCTGGTGCTGAGCGTAATCTTCCACCGGCAGTCTTACCCCAAGCTGTCTTCTCCGCCCCGCTCCACGCCAGTGCCCCGCGTCGCCAGGCCAAAACGCATGCGCTCAGCCATCTCGTTGCGACGCAATCCGGGGCAAAAGCGACGATCCCACAGGTCTCTCTCACGGGCGCGGCGCTGGATATGGAGTACCTGGCTCAGATCGTCGTGGGTGGGCAGAAGTTCGACGCGATCGTTGATACCGGGAGGTACGTCGCATAGTCCGTGTCGCGGGAGGCCACGCTCAAATGCAATTGGGGCGCAGCTCCGACACGTGGCTCATCGAGGACAACTTTGTCTGTCTGAACCAATCCGGACAAGCCCAGCCGCCCGCCGGGTGCAACTTTGGCGCAGCGACATACAACAAAACAGAGTCCAAGACTTTCAAGGCGTTTCCAAACAGCTCGTTCGCCATCGTGTATGGGGATGGGGAGTATATGGTGGGTCACAACTCGCTTTTTACCTTTTGGCTCTCATGTCGAAGTAGTCTGGCGCGGCGATGTACGAAACCGTGAATATCGGAGGGCTCTCAGGTGAGTCATCGGCCTTGCACAGAGTTATGAAGCTGACTATACTGGAAGTTTCCAGCCAAGAGATGGGTGTCGTCAGTAAAGCTTCCTGGAGCGGTGACGGACTGAGCTCCGGGCTGCTAGGACTCGCGTACCCAGCCTTGACGAGCGTACGGAATGGCACCAAAGGTCCGGTCATGTCCTACGATCCGTTTTTCATCAGCGCTGTCAAGCAGCATAAGACGATGCATTCATGTACGTCCCTGTTCCTATCACCTAACATTATGTTCATTTTCGCCGCCAGACTTTTCTCTGGCCATTAACCGCGGCACCACGCGTGGGGAGCACTCCAATGCCGAGCCCCACCTTGGCTACCTCTCGTTCGGTGGGATCGCACCTGTGCCCGTCACCAGCACTAATGTCACTGTACCCGTGCAAGGCTACGCCGTTTCTCCATCAGGGTCGAACTCCTCTCCGTTCTCTTACTTCGCCGTTGACATTCAGGAGTACGTCTTTCCTCAGAGCGCCAACGTGAGCTCCTCGAACAACAATACGATCATCGACTCGGGAACCACACTGAACATCCTGCCTGCCCCGGTGGCACAGGCGTACAATGCGGATATCGGCACGTGGCGAAACGGGTCTTACTATGTCCCGTGCAACGCCACCATGCCCCCGTTCTCGGTTGTGCTAGCTGGCAAATCGTTTTCCATCGATCCGAGAGATCAGGTGGTCAGAGCAGGCACCGATAACGTTACCGGAGAAGATGTGTGTCTGTCTGGGACCCAGTCTGGCGGCGAGGATCTTGGGAACGATATCTTCATCCTGTGCGTCGCATTGCCTCACCGGATCCCATTGATGTTTCTTACCTTTGGAACCAGGGGCGATGTGTTTTTGCACAACGTCGTTGCGACGTTTGATGTCGTGAAAAACAGTATCACTTTTTCGCAGCGGAAAAAGTACTGATAGGTGTGATCTGTTTGTCCTAAATACGTGGTACATTTTCCGTAGTATCTGTATTGTAAAGTAGGCGTTGATCGTCAACATTACTTGAGAGTTCCGTGTAGAGAGCTTGCCATGTCACAGTCCGTCACAGGCGCGATGGCCGAGTGGTTAAGGCGACAGATTCGAATGCACGCTATCTGTTTCGGTTTCCGAGCGCAGGTTCAAGTCCTGCTCGCGTCGATCCCTTCGTTTTGAACCCGACAAGATTCACTCTCGCACTTGGATTTTGTTAAGCCTTCCTCAGTTCCGGCATGGCGAGCGACTGGGTCATGTCGCTCGGAAGAATTTGTACAGGTTTACAAATCGCCTTCACACCCCAAGAGGATCGGGCGAGTAAAAGACATGGGTGGTTGAGCCTCCTCAAATTTGCAACGGCTACCCGCAATCACTTCATTACCCACTAAATTACTACTAAAATATCTTGCCAGCAGCTGGGAATGAGCTCTAGGACGTGTTTTATCACGAGATCCTGAGGGAGAAACTCGAATTCATCCCAATCGACACGCAGGGTGACTGCCTGCACTTTGTGCAGCACCGCCAATGTTGAAAACGCGTGAAACGGGTCAGAATATTTCGTCAGCGCCAGGGTGCTTCCAACGCCGAGCGATAGAGACTGTATCCGCAGACCGCTATCCCCGAGTCGAATCAGCATGCTGATGAAATCCGCATCCACGGAAAGCTCCCCCAGTCTATCATTTTGCCCTATGCTCATGGAAATGGAAAGCATTTCGCATATGGTGAGCGCAATAATGCCTGTATTTGTGCCCGTGCGTAAAGCATGCGGCGGGAAGCCTGGACGTCAACCAGGAATGGACACCAAATTTTTAGGCGAACTCACTTGGACCCAGTTCTAGAACGCTCAACCCGGAATCGAGGAAGTCTAGGTAGTGCTGCAACAAAGAGATCTGTAGCTCTGATGCCTGTTTCGCACGGTCCAAAACCAGCTCGCTTGTGCGGATCTCGACCGCACCATTAGCCACAAAATCGACTGCATGGTGCACATAGAACTCGAAACGATCCAATGATATCGAGAGCGGCGTCTGAATGGCGTCCACATCGAAAATCACGACTCTGGCCAAGCGCAGGTATTTCAGTCGTGGGAACCGGACGACGAATTGCACGACGTCTTCACCAGTCTTGAAGGAAAAGTCCACCAACACAAGCTTCTCCACGCTCCTCACACAGGGAAAGCCGAACGGTCCCATCCCACCCGTCCCATCCTCGAATTCTATCCTCGAGTCGTGCCAGATCCAGAACTCGCGCAGCGCGGGCAGCATCGCGAGCCGGTCGAAAAGCAGCGCGATGTTGCCGTTCACGTAGAACACTTTGAGCTTGACGATGCCCGTGAACGTGTGCAGCGGGTGCGCGACCAGGTCGACGAAGCGCATGGCCGATTTGTGCGACAGATTCACACCCCGGTCGTACAGCACGCGCCGGCTCATTGGCACCCAGGCGCGGCACACGGCAGAGCATGCGTGTAGCGTCGCTGGGTAGGACGAGTTGATGAATGAGAGAACGCAGTCCCAAATTTCGGGTGGAAGGACGAGTCGACGGGGAGAACGGTTCTCGCGGTGGCTTTCATCCATACCGTCTTTTGCGCCGGGGGATGGCAGTATGTAGGCAAATTGCTGACGGGTTACTACACGTGTCCGGGATGAGTCATCACGTGTACAGCATAAGGTAATTGAGATCTGAAGGTTAAGCCGACGTTCTGCCACAACGTGTACATATGCTTTCATGAGCTATTAGTATCACTATTTCGTGTTCAGAGTCACTTTCTGTCACAAAAAACACATGTCACGAGGTCTGTCTAATTCAGCCCGTCCCCTACTCATTCTAAAACATCAATCGTCTGAAAGCCATTTCGCAACTTGGAGACTTTCTCTGGCAGTAAGTATGAGTCAATGACCGGATTGAAGTCGATTTTCTCTCGCGTGCAAGTTACGTGTTTATCGAGCGAATTCGTTGGACTCACGCGCTCACATCGGATCTTCATTTTGTGTGCTGTCATTCGGGGAATACTTACTAGAACCTCATTCCGGACACTCGAACGAGAAACTACCAGGGGATTCTGGCGAGCTCGCGTGATACCGCTGCCAGTTCATCATCTACCCGAAACTCTGCCTGAGCGCCACCGTGAGCTGCAGATGGTTTCGAGAATGGTTGCTCGATGACTTTGCACACTGTCCCTGGCTCTGGGAGTGTGCCGTTCTGGAAATATGCTCGGACGTGCTGCTGGGTACAGGGCGAGGGGCCTGAGATGGAACAGTGCTGACGGGCTATATCTGAGTGCAGCTCTGAAGACGAATGTCAAAACGCACCCCGACGGAATCCTGAGTCAGTACAACAGATCCTGTAAATCCAGTGGACATGTTGTTGGCACTGTGGAAAGCTGATCAGTATTTACAGAATCGCCTGTAGAAGTCAAAACGCACGCCCAGAGTGGTGTCACGGGATCTGTGGCATGATGAACTTGGATTTTAAAACAGTCAGGCAACGCTCACCTGCGGTGTTCCCGATGAGCAGTATCGGATGACTCGTGTTGGCTATGAATGGCCCGTTGAAGTATTTTTTGGGATAATTGGGCCATGCGCTTGATACGTGAGGCCGCGGAACTAGGCGAGTCAACGACAGCGACTCACAGACACTGCATGCGAAGTGGCTCCCAAACATCAGCCCATTCAGAAACCTTGAGCATCTCATGGTAGTGTCTCTCCATCGAGTCAAAATCACCGGACATCCTCGCTCCATCGTTGCACAGAACTGCGGCCCCACCGTCACCGACGGAGTCAAAGATGTGCTCGGTGGGGTCGCAGCCACACTCGAAAGCATCCCCTTCGGACATCTCCCAGAGCGCCGTTGCGTTGCCCCGCTCCAAGTCGGCCAGAGCAGCGGCAAGGGGCGGGAATTTCGCATATGGAGAGTACAGGGCGCTGAAGATCGTGCGACGCAACTTGGAGAAGTCGACCAGGCCGTAAGATTTGGCAGTGCGGACGGGAATGGGGCGTTGTAGGAGGCGATTGTATAGCGCCTGGAGACGGTCGGTGATCTGTACAGCGGACGTGCTGTAAAACGGGCAGCCCTCAGGCCCTGCTGCGACACATCCGGAGGCGAACGAGGCCCAATTGGTATCAGCATCGATGAGGTTGTTCGACCATTCGAGCGCAAAGTAGTTGTAGGAATCGGCGACACCATCGATGATCAGCCGCTCGACCTTGTCTGGAAACATCGCGGCGAACGACGCGCCGAGCACACTTCCGTACCTGCTCAGGCGGTCACGGTCTGGCACGAGCACTGAGGAAGCACACAGAACACCCACGAGAAGCCCCAGTAGTTCAGCTTTTCAAACCCATGCGCGTGGACGACAGACAACATGTCTCTTGCGGTGTGGTCCGTGTTGATGAATTGCAGGGTGTTCTCGACGTCCCGCTCTCCCGCAAGCTGGCCGTGGAGAATCCCCCGCGCCCAGCCGTCCGCCAAGGAGGAGGCCGACTCGTTCACGGACCGAGCAAACATGTCTCCTGACGTCTCCCACAATGCGCGCTCTGCGCGAGAAAGGAAGAACGACGCCCGGGGTGTGGAGCGGGATATGCCTGGGGAGATCAGTCGTCAGTCAGGGCAAGCGACGAAAGCGCGACTGCGCACCGCGTGGATCAAAGCCGACCATGTCATACTGATCTCCGACAATCTTTTGCAGAGCCGCGCCTCTGCTCAGCAGGAAATCGACGCCAGAACCTCCTGGGCCACCGGGATTGAGCAAAACGGGTCCCCGATATTCAGGCGAGTGGTGTGAGACGACGGACTGCAGCCGGACAAGGGCGATCGCGGCGGTGCGTCCCTGAGCGCCACCGTAGTCGAGCGGGACAAGCAGACGCGCGCACTGCTTGTCGCCGTAACAATCCGTCCACAGCAGCTTTGACGACGGTACGATCTTGACGGAGGGAGTGGCGTCAGATGAGTCCGCAGCTGCAGCGCGCCGCTCACCTCGTTCCAGACCGACTCATTCGAGACCACGGGTCGTAGGGCTACGACTTCGTAGTCATCTCCATCTCTCCGGAACTTGGCGAAGGGCAGTCCCTCTCGGCGGCTCAGGAGAAGGAGCCACCCGGCGAGGAGCAGTGCACACTGAGCTGAGAAACGGGCGACGTTGTGCATTGTCGTCCTGGCGCAGACCAAGGAGTTCTTTGGCCGGCCGCAGACCGCAGTCGCTTATCTTTGCATACTTCTGGGCGCGGCGACCAGGTCGAAGATCAGGCACGTGAAGATTTGGCGTCTAACTCTGATCATTGTCAGCCAGATTTGTCATGCGATTGCTGCCGTGTTCCCCACCGGGGTCGATGAGTGGGAATGTCCGCACTGCGCAGCCCGAGGCATCAAGTATGGCGTCAAATGTTGGTTATACTGAGAAGATCAAATGTAAAACATGGTGTTTTCTATAGTTGGAGAGCGGAGTAGAACTGCTTTCACGCCCACTGGGCGCAGTATGATATCCCTGTAAACCAGAAGGTATCTGCGATCAAGTCTGCAAGCTGATGAGATGCAAACTGGGTTCTCCGCTTCCTGAAGTACAAGATCCTCCTCCGGAAACTATCCTGGACGAAATCTGCCACAGCCACTTGCTTGGCATATTTAGTTCTGTCTACTCTTCTAGTGAACTGCCTTTCAATATGTCTATTCGTCAAGAACTGCAGAGAAAATGGATCCAGAACGATGTCAAATTCTACACTCAGGAGCTGGGCCAAGGCTTCCACTACCTCAGGTTGACTAATGAATCGCTTCACCAAGATTCAGTGCGGCTGACATGACAGAATGAGACTAGAGACAACAAGTACAGCTAATATACAGCATGATATCGTGACCGGTGAAAGAAATGGCATCACCAAGCATACACAAGGGAGCTCAATCGATCCGCTCGTCGCTGACCTTCTCGACACTCGGCTTAGCCTCGTAGTCCTGCGGCACGGCGCGCTCAGTGAGGTCCCCGGGCCGGAACGTCCCGTCGCGCAGCTCGCGTTCCGCAGCGTGTCGGTCGCCGCGCTTGACGTATGGCGTGCCTGGCACGAACAGGGGCGCGTCAGCGAAGAGGGTGTCCATTTCTGGTTGAGGTGTGTGAGCGAGAGAGAGTATGGGGAAGGCTGAGATGAGAGCGTACCTTCTAGACGACGGCCGGTCGTCTCTGGGTAGAAGGCCCAAACGAACAGAGCGCTGCAGAACGTGTCGGGGAACCGAATGACCTCGTTGCGAGTCGGACTTACTTGGTGTGTCCGCAGATCGCAAAGACGAGATCTTGAGGAATCAGTCAGTTGTGACTTTTACTTTGTTCAAGAACAAACGTACAATATCTGCAGAGGCACAGTCAGGATCAGAACATGGTGTTGGGGCTGAACAAGCCACTCACTTCCATCCAATACTCTGGAACGCCGGTGAAGTCACCTGGGCGATCATACTGCCCAAATTGATCAGTCTCACAGAAGAAGTCCGCAAAAGCCACTCACAAGTTGGAAATCCACGACGCAGAGCTGGTGATGGCAGTGGCCTTGGCGCGTGTTCGAGTCGAGCTGAAAGACAATTAGTTGTGTGGTCACCAAGAACGCAGACAACACACTAGATCTCGGCTGGGTACGCCCAGGAAAGCGGGCCGATACAGGCGCTGAAGAAGAAGTTGAATACCCAGGTCCTGCGGGAGAGTCAGTCTCACGAAGTGAGAATTCAAGGACGAAACTGACGTCAAAATGAAGATCTACCAAGCCGATCAGTACTAGAAGTTGAATCTGATCACGGCCGGCTTACATAGTGAGCGGCATTGTTGTTCACAGTGCCGGGCCATCGGGCCATGAGGATGGACCCGACGACGAAAGACAAGCCCGATGCGACGTTGCCGACGATCAAGGGCCCTCGTCGGCCGACGTGGTCAATCCAAAGCACGCAGGCAGCCTCGCCGATCAGCGCGATAATAGAGTTGATCGACTGGAACAGCAGGATCCGTGTCGAAGAAAAGCCCATGGTCTTGAAGATCTAGACACACACGACTGTGAGTACATCAGCGGAATTCGAGAAAAAAGGCACGTACCGTCGTGGAGTAGTACTGGATCGCGCTGACACCCGTCATCTGCACGGAGAACTGCAGGATATAGCCCAGCGCCAGACGCCGGAAATTGCTCCCGTTGGTGAACAGTTCGCTCCAGGACGCCTCCCCCATCTCGCGATTGCGATGGATGTCGGCCTCGATGTCCTTCATCTGGGCAAGCACGAATGCATCGTCGAGGTCGCCGCGTGCGTGCAGACGTGCGAGCGTTGCTCGCGCTTCGTCCATGCGGCCCTTTTCGGCGAGCCAGCGAGGAGATTCGGGGAGGAGCAGGATGAAACTGAACAGAGGGATGGCAGGGATGATCTGCGGGAGAACGATAAGCCGGGAGCAGGTTTGCTGAGCTCAGCAAACGCACCTGAAGACCCAAAGGAAGCCGCCATTCAGCGGCATGGCCCTTCAACCCAGCCGAACAGCCGTAGGTCACCCACGACGCGGTGAACGCACCGATGCCGAGCATGAACTTCGGCACGTCAGTCGGAGGAACCCGGAGAGCACGAACCGTTCTCACCTGCTGCAGCGTGGTCAACCGGCCCCGGATACTCGGGTGCGCAATCTCCGCCTGGTACAGCGGCGCCAGATCCGACATGATGCCGATCCCGACACCCGCGAAGAACCGCCCCGCGAGCATCATCCCGAGGTTGCGCGCGCCGGTCTGCAGCGCGCCGCCGAGCATGTAGATCAGCGCGCCGAGCTGGATGGTGTGGCGGCGACCGAATTTGTCGGCGACCCAGGCGACGGGGACCATCCCGAGGAGACAGCCGAGGACGAGGATGGACACGACGAGGCCTTGGATGTTGCTGTTGGTCAGCCATAGGGGCCCCATGTGGGCCTGTGCGCGCTCGCATCAGTCGATTCAGTGGGGGGAATGAACGTTGCGCGTACTATGAAGTCGGAGGCTGGTGTCACACCGGCGATGACACCCAAGTCATAGCTAACGCGAGCTCGGTTAGTGCGACGCAAGGAGAGACGATCTGGAGCACGCACCCAAAGATGATACTCCCCAGTGACGCGAACAGCCCGCATAGCCAGGTATATACTTTCGGCGCAAGCGGCATTTTCGTGAGTTCGTGTCTGCCCGTCAAGCTTCGTTCGTCGTCGTTAGATCGGCTCCTCCGAGAGGTACCCCAGGTAAAAAAGACGTGAGAGTCCTAAATGTCGGCCCCGTGGGGCACCCACCTTTAAAGAAGCGCGTTCGCATATCAAAACATTACGCAACGCGAGAGGATCACATGAACTTGGTGGCGCGATAAACGGCGGTCCGCCGAGCCGTGGCCTGGGCCCAGCCCTACAATGAGGGATATATCAGAAAATGACGAAATGAATTGAATATGTTCAGGGTGGCCGCCAGGAAACTCTCATGTGCCGGGCTAGCAGCGACGTCATTCGAGGATTTCATTGAATTTCTTGGTTCATCGGGGTCTTGGACTCGCGCTTTTTTGAACTGAAGCTGAAGCATGCCGCATATACTGGCTCGGCGGGAATCGGCTCAGCCTCAATCCGAAGCGTGGGTGAGAACGTGGCTGCAGACAACTATTCTCTCCCACCTGATGTCTCACGGCCTGGATGCGAGGACCTTCATGGCAATTTTTGATTCGTTCTGTCACTCTAGGTGCTCGGGCCGTGGGTCCCTAGCAGCAGAACGCAGCATTCTTCCAGCTTGGCGCATCCCTGGTCAGTCAGACTTGGCGGTTGTGGAGCAGACCTATTTGTGCACATGACCTCGTTTCTGATGTGAGGAGAGCATAGCCACCCGTCAAATCTCCTCCATTCACTCTTGCTCTACCCTCGGACGAAATCCTATGATTCCAGAGTCAGGGCGGCATTGTGAATATATTTCATCGGGCCCCGGGTCAGATGAGTCGCACCCGTAGCTCGCTGCGTTGTCTAGACCAATCGGCACCCAAAGCCTCGAGGCAAAACATCTCGTTCCGATCGGTCAGATGCTCCACAGTGCGGTCCGGTACCGGACCCCCACTCTCATCAAGAACTCTGGAGATATATCTGAGCCCTCGTCGCCGAGCGCAGACGCCCGCCAACGACGACATCGCCTTCACGAGCCATGGCCCCCACCATCCGCATCGACACGACGCACACCGTCGCCCCCATCGACCCGCGCATCTACTCCGGATTCACGGAGCACATGGGGCGCTGCATCTACGGCGGGATCTACGACCCGGAGAACCCGAACAAGGACCTGATCGATGAGAAGGGCTTCAGGAAGGACACGCTCGCGGCGCTCAAGGCGCTCAACGTGCCCGTTGTACGATATCCGGGAGGGAACTTCGTCAGCTCGTACCGCTGGCAAGGTGCGTCGCTTGGCAGGTTTGCGCGAGGCCGCTCCTGATCATCCATGGATAGATGGGATCGGACCGAAGGAGCTGCGCCCCCGCCGACCTGAGCTCGCGTGGCTGACAGAGGAGAGCAACCAATTCGGCACTGGTGCGTGTGGCCGAGTCAATCAAGTCTGCGGGCCCCGCCTGACATCCCGCAGACGAATTCATGGGATACTGCCGCGCGCTGTCCGCCGAGCCGTACATGTGCCTCAACATGGGCACCGGCACGCTCGAGGACGCGCTGGCGTGGCTCGAGTACTGCAACTCGTCCGCGAACACCCACTATGCGAATCTGCGCCGCAAGAACGGCCACGCGGAGCCGTACGGCGTCAAGTACTGGAGTCTGGGGAACGAGGTCTGGGGGCCGTGGCAGGTCGGCCAGATGACGGCGGAAGATTACGCGAAGAAGGCCTATCAGTGGGCCAAGGCGATGCGGTTGTTGGATCCGAGTATCAAGCTTATCTCGTGCGGAGGTGCGTTGTTCTCCATGCCTGTGGCATTTCATTGAGTTATTTTCTTTTGCAGAGACTGGATTCGCGGATTGGGATCGGGTGACGCTGAAAGTCCTCGCACCTGTTGTAGATTTCCACTCGATTCACTGTGCGCAGTTTCACCTTTCGCGAGTCTTTCTGACCCGATCGCAGTGTATACCGTCAGCGAAGGCAACCACGATGTGAATGTGTTTGGTCGTGGGTTCCCCATTCGTTCGCTCGAGTAACGCCATATGACGGTATATGCAGCGGCTGCGGCCGAAAAGGGCATCGAGATCAGCAAGTCTCTCATCGAACTTGCCAAGATCGAGGGCAAGTTGGACAAGGACTTGTCGGTCTGCTTTGATGAGTGGAACGTTTGGTGTGTGCTCTTTCTGTTTTTTCTTTTACGAAAAAGAACACTCATTTCGAGTCCAGGGATCCCGTCCGTGGTAGGATTAGTGTACTAGAAGCCTGCTGCTGCGCACTGAAATTATCGCAGCCCCAGGTGAAAAGGGTGCAGAGGAGCATTACGATTTATCAGACGCTCTGGGTGAGTCGTCCAGCGCTGATGACCCACTCTCTGACGCCCCAACAGCGGTCGCTTCATGGTTGAACGTTTTCGTCCGAAAGGCAGACGTCGTGAAAATCGCATGCATTGCCCAGAGCGTGAACGTTATCTCACCGGTTTGTTGATCTGTGCCTCTCTTCCCTGTTCTGACAGTCCCAGATCGTCACGTCTCCTGAAGGCCTATTCAAGCAGGTTCGAGTTTCTGATATCTGCTGGTCCAGCTCTCATCTCCGCCTAGACAACCTACTACCCTCTCCAACTTTTCGCAACACTCATGCAGGGCACGGCGCTGAATATCAATGTCACCACCTCCGCTGCGTCGGACGTCTACTCGGGACCGACCGTCCCGCCCTGGATCGCGAGCCTCGCGAAAAACGTCCCGTCCCCGCCCGCGCACGCCTCCGGCCACCCGCTGAACTGGATCGACGCGTCGGCCGTGCTGTCGCCCGACGGCAAGGAGGTCCGCGTGGCGATCGTGAACCGCCACCCGACCGACGCGTTCGAGGTGCCGGTCGAGTTCGGGTACGGCGTGGCGGTGAAGGGGGTGCAGGTGCATGAGGTGTGGGGCGAGCAGCTGGGCGTGCGGAACGATTTCCAGAGCAAGGGTGGGGAGAAGATACAGACGGTCAAGAGCGAGGTCGACTGGAAGGGCACTTGGGAGTGTAAGAGACATTCCTTCCAAGGCAGGTCTGCAGTTCTAGTCCCGGTATCTCTTCTTATGCTTTGGAGCAGTTCTCGTATTTCCACTGGAACCATGAACTGTGCAACCTTCAGGGGCGCCAGTAGATCCCCAAGCTATACCTAGCTTGTTAATTGCGCGAAATTACAATGTGGTTGTATGTTACGTTGAACAAGGACTCAGTTCCGCTCGTCTATATGTCTGAAAAAAGCCATTTTCTGTGTGTTAAGGATCCTGAGAGATGGTTCGATCTATTTTACAAATCCTTGACCACTGCTTGCATATCTAACAGCAAGCTTGTGTTGACAACGGAGTTCTGTAATTGCTCTCACAGAGAGTGCATTTGTTTGGCCATAAGCCAACAGGCATTTTGGCATGGCATGCCAACAAATCACGTATGTACATGCCTGCCTGATTGCAATCAATTTACCGCTGAGCATATGCCCAAGTCGGATCAAGCCGATTTCTGTGAGGGGGCCATGCCGCTTGGCCAATCCGAACATGTCGGTGTCGGGATCAACAATGATGTATCAGCGCTTCACAGGTTCATCAAAACAAGGTGTGCATGTCCACGCGATTTGCCCTGTAGACACATTCTGCGCGCTCCTAGGCTTATCTTTCATCGGGGAAGGTTGACCTCCACGGTGCTAGGCCCCTGCTAGGCTGAGATGCGAGGTTTTGGCATGCCCGTGTCTGGACTGTGGAGCTATCCCGAAGATGATCTAAACTGTCATGGGTGTTTGTCAATAACGACATGTGTGCCAGCAAATCAGGTATGTACCCACCAATTGCTTGACAATGATCACTAACCGGGCGGAACTCACGCCGAACAAGCAACGGACCACATGGGAAAGCACATATGGGTCTCGACATGGGGCGCATGGAAGGACTCTTCATAAATGGGATGGTCTATCATCCAGCCACATTTCAATGACAAACTAGAGCGGGAATCTGGCACTTCCACTCATACGCGCCAGTTCCGTCACCTCTGCTTCGCTCAAACCCAACCCCAGGGGCGGGGCCGCAAGAAGCAGGGCATATTCACCCATCAAGGAGTTGCAGAACGGGAGCGTGTCATCGGTCTCCACCGTATAAGAATCAACGATAGGCAAACCCGGGAAGCCTGAGTACTCACGCAGATGGCAATCGGGTGCTTGTGCTGCAAGTAGTATCGGATGTGATGAGCCTCGAGAGTCGAGACTGTTTTGCATCTGGAATTGGAGGGATGGTCTGTGGGCCATGGCGACGAATGACGGCAGCACATACAGCAGATTCGAAGAGAGGCAGATCTCGATGCACATGTCGTTCTTTCGCACGAACTCACGGGCTTCGGCATTGAGGAATGTCGCGTGACCGAGTCGATTCGGCAGATATGAGAGCAGCCGCATAGTCTCAGCGTCACTGTTCGCTTCCGTCTTACCCACTCGTCAACTGAGCTCGATGCAGAAGAACAGAAAACGTACCTCTGCGATGTGGAGAGTGATTCCGAGCCCGGCAGCTTTAGCGCGCGCGAAATACTCGCCGAGGATATCCATGTCACCGGCCTACACGATCCGCATTAGCTTTCCTGGCGCGCGAGTGGATGAGCCCCCAGCACACCTGCGGATCCCCGCATAGATCGACACCGACAACCCTGCGACCAGCTTTCCTCAGCGCGCACGCCACATCGATGCACTCCCCAAGCACCTCGGCACTCATGCGGCGATCGAGACTGACTATGAGCGCAGCCCGATCAGCCGGGTAACGCTCCACCTCGTCTAATACCGCACACACGTATTGCATGCGCGACATCTCTGCCGTCTCACGCGGTGTGCTCCGAAGCTCGAGGTATGCGCACTGGGCCCCGGGGGCGGCGCCCGACACATCGTCACCGAGGAAGTCGACCAAGACGGCCCTCGCCGCGCGACGCAGGCTCGACGGACTCGACGTCAGGGCGTATATGCCCGGGAAAAGACCGAAAAAGTCACCCAGCTGATCCAGCACCACGCCGTCTGCGAGAACTTTGATGCCCTCTGGAATCGATTCTCGTTCCCTTCCTGCGTTGGCCTCCCGCGCCATGTCTTGAAGGGTGGATATGGGAATGCATCCATTGAGATGGGCGTGTAGTTCTGCTTTTGGAAGAGATTGGAGGAATGTGATCTGGAATGGTGTTAAAGAGGAGAGAGCCAGCGCGCAGGGCCCCAAAATGCGATTGGTGGAATGTGACATCCCGGTGTCAGTGGTAATGAAAACCTTACGCAACGAGGTTTTTGAAGGCTGGATTATACGATGTGCGAGTTGTAGTCAACGAGCGCAGGATGAGGGAGAGGATTTACTCTAAGATTTATCATCGATTTATCATACATTTATCATCCGATTAGTCTGCGTTGGCCTCACGTAAAATTTGATGGTCTCACGCGGGCATATTGCCGTAAGCAGGATGCATCGTGGCCATCAAATCTTATCGCTTCTATCCCGTCACTCCCTCTCAAGTCCGGACTGCCACTGAATGACCGTCGAGCCGAAACCAGACCCCACAACTCTCAGGATGTCAGGCACCGATGTCAGAATTGGCCCGTCGACCATGTGGTCCGTCTGCCATTCGTGAGCATTCGTGACAATGGCGCCAACCGGAAGGTGCGATCCCGGGCGGCGGGTGAATACTTGGCCCAGTATATAACCGCTTTTTCTTCACAACTTTTCACCCCTCCTCTTCCCCTTTCCTTCTCGAAAGACCTTGACGTTCCATGGCCGGCCTTCAAACCGACATCGACGCCCTCGCGGCCCAGTCCGAGGTCATCAAGCACAAGAAGGAGTACGAGAACGAGAAGACCTCGGTCGTGTCAGCGAGCGATGACGCGGAGGAGTGGAAGGGCGATCCCTCGGATGACCCCCACGCCGGACTCGAGTTCCCGACCGACGAGGAAATCGCTACTATGCGAAGGGTGTCGGACAAGCTGCCCTGGAGTGCTTATCGTGCGTCGTGCTTCGTTTTCCCACACCCGGACACCAGCTGACGCCGCTGCCAGTTATCGCCTCTGTGGAGGCTGCCGAGCGCTTTTCCTTCTACGGCTCGAGCGTGGTGTTCACCAACTATGTGCAGCACAAGATGCCTGCTGGGTCCCGCACCGGCGCCGGTGGACCGCTCGGGCAATCCGGCGCACTGGGCAAGGGGCAGCAGACTAGCACGGGTATCGGCACGTTCTACCAGTTCTGGTATGTTTCCATTTTTCGCTTGTCTATCGTCCAGCTGAACGTTGTTCAGGTGCTACTTGACACCCCTTCTCGGCGCATACATCGCCGACGCACACTGGGGCCGGTACAACACCATCCTGGTCGCCGTCTTCATTGCGCTCCTCGGTCACATCATCATGATCATATCTGCTCTCCCTCCTGTCCTTGAGCACCCGAACTCAGCGTTCGGCGTCTTCATCCTGTCGCTTATCGTCACAGGCTTCGGCACTGGGCTGTTCAAGTCCAACATCTCGCCTCTCGTTGCGGAGCAGTACCGTCGTACGAAGCTCTTCGTGGAGACGACCAAGAGCGGGGAGCGGGTGATCGTCGACCCTACCATGACCGTGTCGCGATTGTACATGTACTTCTACCTGTTTATCAACATCGGTGCGCTGGTTGGTCAGATCACTATGGCCTACTCCGAGAAGGTGCGTTTCCGCAAATCTTTCAGCGTGCAGATGCTTACTTGGTCCCGCAGTACGTCGGGTTTTACCTGTCCTTCACGCTGCCTACCGTCGTCTTCCTCTTCTGCCCAATGGTCCTGCTCGCCGCACGCAATCAGTACCGCCGCAGCCCACCGACGGGATCCATTCTTGCCACCTTCCTGAAGATGTTCGCCTTCGCTTGCCGGGGCAAAGTCTCGCTTAACCCTGTGTCGACGTTCAAGAAGTTGACGGGGCCCGACTTCTGGGAAGGCGTCAAGCCGAGCCGGGTCGCACCCGAGGCTCGCCCGCGGTGGATGACTTTCGACGACAAGTGGGTCGATGAGGTTGCGCGTGGCATCAAAGCGTGCTGGGTCTTCTTGTGGTACCCGATCTACTGTAAGGCGTTGCGTGTGATACTCGGGCAAGATTCTGACGGCTTTCAGGGCTGACCTACAACCAACTGAACAACAACCTCACATCGCAGGCTGGATCAATGGAGACGCATGGACTGCCGAACGACGTGTTGTCCAACTTGGACCCGTTGGCGCTGATCATCTTCATCCCCATCTGCGATCAGGTGGTGCGTTGTCTACTAGTTGCTCGCGGTGGACGATCACTCACGCACTGACAGATCTACCCTGCGCTGCACCGATGGGGCATCAACTTTACCGCTCTCAAGAAAATCACGGCTGGCTTCTTCACTGGGGCTGCAGCCATGGCATGGGCTGCCGCTGTGCAACACTACATCTACAAGGTCCGTACAGTGCTCCTTACTTGGCCTCACTCCTGCTCACTGGCATCTTCCTCAGCGCTCGCCATGTGGCTACAATGCGACCTCATGTGCTGATGCAGCTGGCAACGTCATCCCCGCACCGCTTAACGTGTGGATCCAAACCGGATCCTACGTGCTCGTCGCGTTCTCTGAGATTCTGGCGTCTATCACCGGGCTCGAGTACGCTTTCACCAAAGCACCCAAGAACATGCGCTCGCTTGTGATGTCCATCTTCTTGTTCACCTCAGCCATCTCGGCTGCGATCGGCGAAGCATTTGTCTCGCTCTCAACCGACCCGCTGCTCGTATGGAACTACGGCTCCATGGGTGTTATCGCCGCTGTGGCGGGCATTCTCTTCTGGCTGCACGTCCGGGGCCTCGACAAGCGCGAGGACGAGCTCAACCAGTTGGCGACGGGAACTCTTCAAGCCCCTACAGGATTTGTGTCGCAGCAGGGCCAAGTGGGCAAGGATGAGGCCCTGACGAAGCAAGCATAAAAAGATTTGTAATGAATTGTATGTAACGTACGACGCGTAATGACAGGAGACCGAAGCTCCCCACGAGACGAGAGGTTGCACACGGTTTCATGGAGTGAGGAGTCTCACTAAGGTCGACGACAAAGGACATGGTCTGTTTCGACCGATAGATCGATCGGATGTGCTGGGGTCCTGGCACTCCGTGACTCGAGGACGTGAATATGCTTACTCGAAGCCTCCGATGACCGTTCCCGACGTCATAAGTGTGCTCCTCGTTGATGGCGGCGCGCTCGAGCCCTCCAACTTGCGCCGCTTTGAAGGGAATATCCTGCCCTTGTGGCTTGTTTATGAGATACGCACTCAGTACGTAGCTCCTGGCAGCGGAGGAGGCGCAAGCGGAGGTACGACCGGGCCAAACTGCTGTCGATGTCGCAAAATTATTTGATTTATGATCAGTTCTGATGGACCGATATGCGAAAAACGGCTGAAAGCAGAGAGTCGGCAGGGTATAATTTGGTGCTTCTGATCCGCGAGGTAGCTTTAAACTCCGCTAAATAACAGAAGCCACTTACGATGAGCCTCCCACCGTACGGGAAATCATGTAATTTTTCTAGGGACATTCTAAGGAGTTATTAAAACAAATTGAACAAGTGCTAGTGGCCTTTAAGCTCGAGGAACAGATCACAACACTTTGTTGCTACATAACACACAGCAAACACGTGGTTGCTGTGCTGACGGCATCCGAATACGGACGTTTCCGATATCGACTGTGATCCGGGAGAACTGTTCCGGTTTCCCCCCTCTTCTTCTCCTTCCTCTTTCGATTTATTCTTTTATTCTTATATTTTCAGGCACCTCCACCAGTCTCGAGCCAATATTACCAGTTAGAACGCGTCCGTGCGCATCCCGAATGAGGGAACGCGTCGTGTCCACTGGAGCACGTGAGGGTACGTCATGGTTATGCAGACCCTGATGACATGACTATGACACCGTAGCAATGTGACACTGAGACCCCGACTTTGCATCATGATCATCCTTTCCTAAAACAGACCATGTCCTTTGTCGTCGACCTTAGTCTCACCACATGCAAAGCTTGTCTGGGCACTGCCTGGCGCTTCCTTTTGGCAGAGGGGTTCCTATTTCTCCTAAAACATGTGTTCGGGTAGAGAATCTGTTGGCCTGCCGCCGCTCCAAAGTTTGATGGAGACGCTGGGATCCAAAATACTTAACACCCTTGATCTGAGGAAGGGCTCTTCTGACCAATGGCGCATGTGAGACACTCCGCACACATGCTTTGTTCACAAGGCCATGCTTGGCCATGTCCCTGTGATATTCCTTCCAATATTTATTTCGGGACCTGGGTAAACTTCCAGCCATGTCCGCCGTCAGTCAGCGGCAAGTTCGCCGAACGCGGTGAATGGTGTACATTACATTCTATCACGAAATGCAGGGTAGATCTTGTGGGTCCTCGATGACATGCGTTATTCAACGTCACTTGCAGGCACGCGTCGAACTATTCCCTCGCTCGGTCTTCATTGGCATTCCTCCTCCCCATCTGATTACAGACTTAAAAGCTGTATGATAATGCAAGGTTATGTTGGCTTCACTCTCTGGTTGAACACTGCAACAAAAAAACACTCAGAATGGCCCATACCAACCCTGGTCGTCTCGAGTTTCAAAGCTGATGTTCTCATTCTCAAATCGTGCTCTTGCGACATATAAAATGCTCCCACGGTGGCTCGGGTATGTGAGGACCGATGCTGTTCATCTACAGGTAAACCGGGCTTCCTGTACTCCGACTCCCACCACGCAATTATTTCTCGCGAAGATTCGCCATCTGCGTGCTCGTGGAATGATCGATTTTCGAAAGGGTCTGGATCGAAGGAAAGTGCTTGGGTAGTTTTCATCAGCGCTTGGGTGGGTTTCATCCGCTACTTTTCGTCTTTGGATCAGTTTTCTTCAAAGATGCATCCAATGGAGGCACTTGTTAACTCGTAGGAATATGCGCAATCACCGAAGCGCTCTACGTGCGGGTCGTTGAGATTCAGTGCGGCGCAGCATACCGTCAGATATCAGACGATGGCCCACTCTGGCTGTGTTCTCTACCATTCCCCCTACATCATGGGCAGTAGAAACCCAGTGCACATGGGAAGGATAAATCAAGGATGCACAGGAGAAGAAACGCAAGACTCTGCAGTCATAATATTGACTGCTTTTTGTTAGAAGATACGTTTGCCACATCTGATCATCCCTGGTACCGCAAGGAGTCAGGACCAAGGCCCGGTCTCCCGTTTCCCCTCATCGATCGCCCGCAAGTGTTCTACATTCGATCTACGGTGTGTTTGAAAGATTTTGACTCATTCACTGGTATAAATTCTTGAAGATTGGTAGCGTAGCGTAGGGACCAGTCTGAATGATGACCGTGCAGATATTTGGTTTTCTCGAGTGTAGATCTAATCTCGATCTGATGATCAGTCTCAAGCTCCGGATCTCCCATCATCCTCTTCCCGAAAAGCCACCTTGACTCCTTGTCCTCCCCACCATGCCAGCTCCACCCGAATTCATCAAGTTCGTCGACAACAACTCGTCCGCTTTCATCGAGCGCCTGCGCGCGGCGGTCGCGATCCCCTCCGTATCTGGCGACCCGAGCTTCCGGCCGCGTGTTATCGAGATGTCCAACTGGCTGAACGGGCAGCTGCAGCAGTACGGTGTCACGACGAAGCAGGTCGATCTCGGGACCCACGTCATGGACGGCCAGACGCTTCCGCTTCCGCCTGCGATCCTCGGTCGGATCGGCGACGATAAGAGCAAGAAGACGGTGTTGCTGTATGGCCACTTTGACGTGCAGCCGGCAGCGAAGAGCGACGGATGGGACACGGATCCGTTCGTTTTGGTCGAGGAGAAGGATGGGAGACTCGTCGGGCGCGGCAGCACGGACGACAAGGGCCCGATCTTGGGATGGCTGAATGTCCTGCAGTGGCATCACGAGACCAAGACGCCGCTGCCCGTGAATCTGCTCTTTTGCTTTGAGGGCATGGAGGAGAACGGTAGTGAGGGTCTGGATGAGCTCGTCATTAAGGAGAAGGATGGCTGGTTTAAGGACGCTGACTGTGTTTGCATCGTAAGTGTGCGTTCTTGTAACGCTGGAACTTCTGTCGACCGCACTAGAGCGACAACTACTGGCTTAACACTCGGACCCCGGCACTCACGTACGGTCTGCGTGGGCTTGTTTACTTCAAGCTCAACGTCACTGGTCCTGGACGCGATCTGCACTCTGGTGCGTTCCCGCGCTTTATGCCCGACGTCCCTCCTGACAATGACTGCAGGTGTCTTCGGACGTACGGTTCACGAGCCGATGACCGACCTCATCTCGATCATGTCTAAGCTCGTCAGCCCCACCGGTGAAATCCTCATCCCTGGCGTCGACGACATGGTCAAGGCTGCCGATATGGAAGAGCGGTGCGTGGTGTTCAATAGTAAATGACTTGTTACTCACTTTGCCCAGGGCCATCTACGAGCAGCTCAACTACAGCATTGAGGATGTCGAGTCCGGTGCCGGGGGCAAGATCGCATTGTCCGACGACAAAGCCACCGTGCTTATGGGCCGAATGCGGCTCCCTTCGCTCTCGCTGCACGGTATCGAGGGCGCCTTCTACGGCCCAGGTGCCAAGACTGTCATCCCCGCCAAGGTCTCGGGCAAGTTCTCGATCCGGTGAGTTGTAGTTAGCAGTGGTGGGACCGCCGCTCAAGCGAACACAGACTCGTCCCTCCTCAGACGCCCGATTCCGTGGAGCCCCTCGTCAAGTCGTACATCCAGAGCGAATTCGACAAGCTCGGCAGCAAGAACACTCTGTCTGTCCTGCCCTCCTCATCTTCTTCCCATGCTGAACTCTTGTCAGGGAGATCGAGCTTCTGCACAGCGGCAAGCCCTGGGTGACGGACTACAAGCACTGGAACTTCGCCGCCGCTATCACCGCTACTGAGGTACCTCTCTGCTCTGAATACGATCGCACTTGATGACGCCGCGCACAGGAAATCTACAAAACAAAGCCAGATCTGACCCGAGAGGGAGGATCGATCCCTGTGACGCTGACGTTCGCCGAAGCGTTGGGCGCGAACGTGCTTCTGCTGCCGATGGGTCGCGGAGACGACGGAGCGCACTCCACTAATGAGAAACTTGACAAGAGCAACTTCATTGAGGGTGTACGTGCCTTTCCAGCTGGGTGCCTGATTCAGACGCTGATTTGGTCCGCAGACGAAACTGCTCGGAACGTATCTGTACGAAGTTGGTGCGATCAAGGCGGAGGGCAAGTGAATCGAATAGTCGCAAATGTACCTAGTATCACAATGTATCAAAGCAGCCGAGATTCTCGACTCGTGTAACTGCCTAACCAGTCCCCGTTGAAGTTCGTTGAGACTTCGGATTCTACGCTCAAGCCCATACTGTTGAATCCGGCCGCTGTGTCATGTGTGTCTCTGGCTGAGTGTCTGAGAGCTTCACATTGTAAGCGGCATCTTTTACACGAATACACCTTCATGGGGGTTCCTATTCCTGCCGCACATTCTTTGGAGATTATCCTCTATCCTTCTGAGTCTGTGATATTGGCGGGCAGCGTTCAGGACTTGTGTGGGATGCGTCGTTGATACGACTCCTTGCTCTGGCTAGACCGCTTGAGTTCCAGGATTTTTTGGCCTCTGCCAATCTGACCTCTCGATACGAGCTAAGCAAGATCAAGTTGAGTAGATGATAGTAGGACGAGTAATGAATGCATCTATCTGCCACTCGAGGATAGCTGAGCACTGCCACATGTCATCATCCATATGACGCAGCCACGTTTTCTCTCTGTCCGTCGCTCACCCGGAGCCGGATGCCCCAGTCTCCTCGTTATACATCCCAGACGAGTGCATATCCCCCCAAAACTACCTACGCAAGTACTGCCATCTCCCAATTCCTGCCCCTTCTCGTGCTCTTTCTCGTGCCACTGGTCACCCTCCGCCTCGTCGTCCCTGCTGTCAAACGTATATCGGGCCTGGTTACTGTGAATGGGATGGGTCTGTTTGGCTTTGGGTTCTGGAGTGGAGGATCGAGTGCGGATGTGAGTGCGGATGAGGACAATCAAACCGGATCCAGTCGAAGGCGAGAGAGGGTACGCACCAGGGCTGCACAACAGGAGCAGCAACGGGCAGGACACGAGAAACCGGATTCGGTATCGTTTCCGGGACTCTTCAATGTGTCCGGGACGCATTGCTTCATGAACTCCACATTGCAGGTATGACGGGCACACTTGTCGGGCAGACCACGCTCACAACGCGTATAGGCTCTGGCTTCCTTATCCGCTCTCACGCCACACCTCTCCGCGCTTCACGATCGTGCTGAAGAGTGGGACGTCCCTACACCCGTACTCGACGCGCTACTGGATCTCCTTCACTCACTGAATACACCATCGAGATCCGCCCTGCGCGCCACGGCACTCGTTGAGGCACTCTGCGCGTCACCCGATTCCTCCTCCGCCTTCTGGGGCATCTCCACCTCGAGCTCAAAGACAGATAAAAGCGCGAAAGCGGCCGCATTGCTGGCCACACACCAGCATCAGGACGCGCAGGAGTTCTTCCAGCTGCTGTCCGAGGCGATCAGAGAAGAAACGGCGTTGGTTGCTGCTGACAGTGCTCGAGATCGCGGCTTCGCTGGGCTTTCGGAATCTGAGGCTGGCATGGCAGCTGCCGTCAGCCCGTTCGATGGATTGACGGCAACCCGTCGCGCCTGTGTGCGCTGTGGGTACGTATCGGCGATCCGGCATTTCTCGTTCGACAGCCTGCAGCTGGCACTGGAGGGATGGAACGGGGTGGGTTTCTCGTATATCGTTTGAGTTATATCCCTTCTAACGCCACGGCAGACAACTATTCACCATCTGCTTACGACTTACACGGAGCTTGAGGTGCTGGAAGACTGTCCTTGCCGCCGGTGTTCTTTGCGCGCCACATCATACCGGCTGACGGCTGAGGTAGCGCAGTTGGCGGATGGTTTCGATGAGGAGAAAGCCGTCGATGGCGCAGGCGACGGCGAGAAAGAAAGGAAAACCAAGAGCAAGAAACGAAGGGAGAAGGAGAAAGCCAAGGCTACGAGGGCTGCTACACCTTTTTCTGAGCTGGCCGCGGTCACGGCCCCTCTCTTATCTGATAGTGCCCGTCTCCGTCGTCTAAAAGCGACTCGCAGGCAATTATCTTTGGTGGGTCGGGCACTCGAGTCTCGGCGGATTGAAGAGGAAGACCTTGAAGGCGACTGGGATGCTGATGGCTTGTTCCGACCGGATCCAGGTTCCGACGCGTTGAAGGGCGTCCGGCTAGAAAGAGTTCCTGGGGGCGTTTGTACAAGGCAGAGTATGATTGGCCGTGTGCGTGCATTCGAGATAGTCTGTTCAGCCACTTACTTGCTTTGTGTAGCTTCCAGCGGTCCTGGCACTGCACATCAATCGGTCTGTGCACACCGGATACCGAGCAGCGAAGAATGGGGCCTTTGTCGCTTTCCCCGAGGTCCTCGATTTGACGGCATATACGACATCTGGAGTGCTCAACGTCGAGCCGACGACGGGCATGAGCGACCGAGGGATCCTCGGCGCTCTCCGGCAGCACAATCCTGCGGTCTACCATCTTGCGGCTGCCGTCTGTCATTACGGGCAACACTCCTTTGGCCATTACATTTGTTTCCGCCGAGCTCCTGTGCCATCGCAGTCAGGCTCTTCGCCGTCATATTCACCTGCCCTGCCCACAGTCGAAACTACATCCGGTTCCGGACGGGGCTGGCTCAGAATCTCCGATGCTCGCGTTCATCGGTGCGGCATCGAGTCAGTCTTGGCGGAGGGAAGCTCGGTCTTCATGCTTTATTACGAGCGGGTGCATGATCATACGGTGGACAACATCCCGAAAGGCCGGATCTTGAGGAGTGCTAGTCTCGGTCTGGGGGAAAGTTCTCTCCAGGTCAAGTCCGAGGAACTCCCAGTCAAGTCGGAGGCGGAATCGTCTTCCCCAGACCAGCCATCATCAACCAGCCCTGGGGAACCCGAGGATGCGGCAACCGTCGGCGACGTCGAGCCGGAACAGGTCACAGCTCTACCCGTTGATGATTTTCAGTCGGACTGCTTCGTGCCTGTTCCCAGCCCTGCCGCCGAGGAATTTCAAGTCGCATCGCTTAGCCCGCCTGTGGTGGACACCTCACCTCCGCCGGACGATAACATGCTGCTCTCAGCTGGTGCATTGCCGACACCCCCGCTCACTCCGCGATCCATCGCTGATTCGCCACTACCGCCAACCGAGGATGCTCCTATAGTCAAACTCAAGCCCAAGAAGAAGAAGAAGAAAGGGAAGGCGTAGACGGTCGGGTGTTCCGTGTCCAAAAGTATTATCGGTCCCCTGTTATTGTATGCCATGACGGAACATCGTCCTCGCCCTATTCGTTACATATCTATCTACTACTACTGTATCATTATTGTCTTCTCTTCTATGGCTCAGGCGGGAATCATCAGGTTTTTTTGCATTGCGTGACGTATTGTACAAGAGTGTGAGTGAAATGAAATGAGAAAATGAGACGATGTGTAGGAAGGGAGCGGGTGGAGAGGGTCCAGAAGAAACTAGAAGAGAGTAGCAAGTGTCCCAGCCCGCAGGAGAAAATGTGAAAGCAACAACAACAGTGTCTCCCTCCCAATCCACTCCCGATCCAACAGAGTTGTTCACACCTCGAGAGGCGGCCCGACTTTTTCGTCCGCCGCAGTTGGACGGACGGACGGGATGCGGCCTAGTAGTATATGCGGCGCTCGACCGTGCGCTGCTTCGGCACGAGATAAGACGGGCGGTGGTACGAGACCACGCGGCGGACGCGCGTGACGTGGGGGTACCTGACGTAGGTGGGGCGGCAGGTCAGCAGCAGCAGCAGCAGCGGCAGCCATCGCGCGGTGCGCGTGGGGAGGACGGACCATGCGTTGTACACATCCCCGCCGTCCATCTGGACTTCCACGATCTCGCGGCCCTAATCAAGATTCAAGAGCGTGTGAGTGAGATAGCCGGGGCGGAGGGCGGAGGGCTGGGGGCTGGGGGCTGGGGGCTGGGGGCACGCACGAGGTAGTCGACATGCGACCCGACCACGAGGCCTTCACGTCTGTTGGCCCCGTGTGTAATGGCCACGACGTCGCCGGGCTGCGGGCGCAGTCAGCAACGCATGATGGATCGGTGGGGCGCGGGGGACCCACGATGATTTCCTCCCTCGCTTCCTCGAGGTGGGCGGGGCTGTAGGTCGTCACGGACTGCGAGGACATGGCTGGGGGAGGTGCTGTGGAGGAGGGTAGGGTTGGGGGGGTGAGAGCAAGGCGGACGATGACGTTTATCACGGTCGCCTATTGTCCCAGCTTTTATACTTCTTCCTTCCCGACCCGGATGTCATCGCTTCGACATTCCAGAAATCAGGCCTGCTGCATCGTGCGTGCCTCGAGGCGGCGGGCCTTGTCCCGAAAAGGCAGCTCCACATGGTTGTGGAATGGCTGCGGTGAGGTTGAGGGGCGGTGAGCGGGCGAATAGGGCGAGGCCGGCACGTTTTCCTCCCTGCGATACGCCGTGCTTGCGACACTCAGATAATCAATTTCTTGCGCAAGGGGGCACATCGATTGCTGATGTCTGCTTCCGGGCATGATCGAACCCGCGTCCGCCCGGAATCTGATGGCTGGACAGCGATGACATGCCCCATCACAAATACTCTGATACAGTCCCCCTACCATGCATCCATTCTAGCCGTCTTAGCCCTGGAGGCGTGGTGCAGACTCGGTTGAAAGTATTATGCAGGGTGAATGCGAGCCTCGGATCCATTGTCTACAGGCGTCTCTCTTTTGAACTCCGCTTTGAACAGCGCAGAAACAGCCGTCCACAACCGCAAAGTCATCTAAACATCGAGTCGAACAATGTGGAGTCTAAACTTTTAGCAGTGAGAGCGACAAATCGTCGATGCCGCAAAAGAGATGGTACTCCTCGCTGTGATGGATTCGAGCTTGGGTTTGCCCTCAGATTGGTTAGTGTAATCATGCTGAGGATGCGGCCGCAGATAGCAATGGTTTGTGACAGTGAAAGTCCCAACTTCAGCTAGATGCTCACTCATGAGGATTGGTATATCGAGGAAAATTGGAGATTACTTTCGTACTCTCATCTTGAAATTCAAACTATGCCAGTTGAACTGACGTTTGCGGGTTTGTTTCAACCTGAAGTGATTTCATCAAGGGATCAGTTGATGCACCATCCCGCCATCACCGTGCATACAAACATCCTTTTCTGCCTCAACTCCGACTATTGAGGCCAAGACTTTCGATGGCGCGTTCAAAATAACCAGCTTTGATATTACTCGGTGACTGGGATTGGTATTGCCGCTGGTGTCGATGCGATCATCTGTTGTGAGTCTGGAGCGCAGCTGGGGGGGCCAGCCAGCGAGCCATTCGATACTGCCAGTCACCACCATCTGTTTCGATGCCGTGAGCAGTGGCATTCCCTGAGCGCCAGCCCTGACTCTTAGGGCCAATTTATCAGCTCTCATCGTGCAATGACGGCATAGCCTCATGGCCACTTCTCCCGCGGGCTGGCAGTGGTGATCATACACCTGGCACACTATAAAGCAGCGCCTCGCCCCCACCGGTTCGCACCACCAAACGACATGTCGCACTACGCGCTGCAAGATGTGCTCCCCGCGACAAACTACCTCGTGCACGGCCTCGCGCTGGACGGGCTGAACGCGTCGGTCGACGGCCGGCTGCACTCTGCGCGCCCGTTCGCGTGGCCGTGCTTCAACGGCGGCGCAGACTGCCCCGTCGTCCAGGTACGCACGGGGGCAGCCCATCCGTCTGCCATTCTGGCCAATGACTGTTGCTTTCATCAGGCGCAGTACACGAACGAGACGTTCCGCGCCGCGGCGTTCGCCGGGTACATCAACACCCAGTGGGAGACGTGCCAGGCGACCGGCGCGCAGTGTCTGCTCGACTTCGCCAACGCGACGAGCCTCGAGCCCGCGCTGGGCGGCGCGCAGAGCTGTGGCCAGGGCAGTGTGTCGGAGTTCTACGTGCGTGCGCGGCGTTCTGGTGTCTCGCTGGGGAGTACATATCAGACATGCGACGCAGATTGACGTCGCGACGTGGATGGATGTGGCCCATGCGTTTGGCTTCTCGCGACAGATGGGGATGCCGCTGGCCGTGAAGAACACCGGGGTTCGTTTGATTTGGTGCTAGCATTGCTGTAGTGTGGCGAGCTGAGTGTCCGGCACACAGCACGACTACAACGGACGCAGCAGCGCACCCGGCTCGCTCGCTGTCTGGGTAAAGTCTACTGTCCTCGCGACGCCATCTTTTTCTGATCCTCGCCGCAGATGCATCACCTCAAGAACGTACGCCGTTGACCTGAACTGCCCCCTTCCGTCTCAATCTGATCCCGCGGCACCAGATCACGTATGAGCCTAATTTCGTCCCCCAAGGCTGTCCGTCGACGCAGGCGCCCCAGATGGGCGTAACACTCGGGGTGCGTTGGGCGCTGATTGCGGACGGGTGTTTCTGAACTGCTGATCACAGGCCGGTGTGCAATGGGCCGAGGCGTACGCCTTTGCCGATGCCCATAACATCACGCTCGTGGGGGGATCCGACCGCTCCGTTGGGGTGGTCGGGGGCTGGACGCAGGGCGGAGGACACAGCGTGCTGAGCAACACGATGGGTCTCGGCGCTGACCGTGTAGTGAGTGGGAACGAATCCGTTGCGCTCTCCACTCAGTGCCACTGCAGCTCGAATACCAAGTCGTCACGCCCGATGGCCGCCTTAGGACCGTGAATCAATGCCAACATGAGGACCTGTTCTTTGCGCTCCGCGGCGGTAAGCCAAATCAGTCAACCCTCTCACCTTATCAAGCTGAATCCCGAAGGCGGCGGGGGGACGTTCGCTGTCGTGATGTCTGCCACCATCCTCGCATCCCCGCCCGTGACGCTTCAGGCCCTGATACTGACCTGGCCGGAAAGCGATCGGACCCTGACGCGCGAAATCTGGGCTCTCATGGTCGACAATGCGCTGCACTTGGCATCCGATGGATGGGGCGGCTTCGCGACTGCAAACACCGTGATCCTAGTCAACCCCGCGCTCGATGCAGCCGCGGCGAATCGCTCCCTGGCGCCGCTGATCCACTTCGAGCGCACGGGTGCGCAGCGCACGGTCACGGCGTTCCCGACGTTCTACTCGTTCTTCGAGTCGTTCACCACCGCCCACGTCGCGGTGAGTCGTGTTCCATAACACCCTGCTGTTGGTGACCCAAGCCAAGGCTGACGCGCCACCGCCACACCAGATCGTCGGGCAGCAGCTCGCCCTCGCATCCCGCCTCGTCCCCACATCCGCCTTCGCGAGCGCCGCGTCCCGCTCCGCGCTGCTCGCCGCGCTCGTCGCGACGGACGACGCGGCCCCCGGCACGATCGTCCTCCTCGCGCCGCCGTTCAACGTCCCCGGATCCGGCACGAGCGCCACGCCGCTCTGGCGCGACAGCGTCTACCACGTGACCGCCGTCGCGGGCTGGGCGTGGAATGCGACGCGCGAGGAGAAGCGCGCGGCGTATGACCGCGTCGGCCGCGCGATGGACCGTATCCGTGCTGTCACGCCCGGTGGCGGGGCGTATCTGAACGAGGCGGATGTCTACGAGCCCGACCACGAAGGTGCGTTCGCGATAGCTTGGATGTGCGCTGGTGAGTGAATTGACCGGTTGATGGATTGGTTCGTAGTCTCGTTCTGGGGCGGGCATTATCCCGAGCTCCTGAGGATCAAGGAGAAATAGTGCGTCGCCGTTTGTGGTAAATGTATTGCGTTCGGGTTGCTGACACGCTGACAGTGATCCTGACCGCCTTCTGGACTGCTGGCACTGCGTGGGCTCGGATCCCGAGTCCGACAGGTTTTCGTGTTATCTTTAGATTTTTGAACGTTGTCAGAGTGGAAATTAGCGGTTTTTTGAGTTCAGTGCCCTAGATTGAACACCGTCTTTCCACATAAACCAGCAGACGGATTGATCTTCGACAAGGGACCCCCTTGGCTCCGTTCAGTTCACTAATAAGACATCACAGTTACTTTCTTGACGAAATTCGCTTTTTTTGCGAAAAATTCACCACAATACTATGTTGAGCAAACAGCTTTGGTTTTCGTCATGCAACAGCTTCTGGTCGCGATGGAGCCTCATCAGAGATTAGATAGCCCATATCGATTCCACACATCACCGGCACGTCGACCGGGACTTCAGCCCGCTACTTTCCCCGCGCTGGTATATACTTTGCCCTTCCCGGACAGTTCAGGCAGAGCACTGCGCAGCACCGCGTCGACCTCCACCTGCTCCATCTCACTCTGTATAAACAAAATGTCTACCACGATCTTCTCGATCGCAGTCAGCCGCTCCACCACGGCGCTCTCGAAATCTGCTCCGAATTTCTGGAGGGAGCCGTCGCTGACGTCGAGATCCGATATGAGGATGAAGACGGTGCGTATCCCGTTCGGGGGTTTGAGCCCGCGGATGAATCCGGTGATGTTGGTGGACAGGTTCGTGAAGTGGATCGCGCACAGAGAGGGGAGGAGCGACACGTCGATGTGATGCAGCGCATCTACGTCGGGCGTCAGAGTGGGGCTGGGTAGGTGCGTGGGTGTGAGGCAGCCATCAAGTGCTCACCGTGGGCGTCCAAGTAGATTTTCTCGATCCCGTGCCCCGTCTCGCGCAGGAAAACATTCCACACGGGTGCATCAACCCGGTCGAGGTGGAGCTCCCGCAGCTCAGCCAGGTCCAGCGGCGAGAGGGGATCGAGGAGTATCGACGCCGCGGCCGAGCTCCGAATCAAATTCAGCGTCCGGATAAGCGGTCTGCGCGACGCAGGAGCGATGGTATGCGCCGAATTCGCAAAATCGTCGCCTATCGCGTCGGACGACTCCGACTGCTCGCAATGCCAGATCGTCACGTTGTCGAGGTCCGCGCTGCACGCCCCGAGGAAGCGCCGCAGGGACGCCGCCGACGGCGGGGTGAACGAGATGGTCAGCTCCCGCACGGTGCGCATCCCCAGGAACCCGCACAGCGCGTGGAACGGCGCGTCCGCGATGACGAGCGGGACCTGGTGCAGCTCGAGCTCGCGCAGCTTCGGCCACGCGCAGCCGCGCACGAGCGCGGGGATCTCGCCGTGCACGCGGCCGACGACGAGCGCGAGGCGGCGCACGTGCGTGCTGAGGTGCGGCGAGGCGCGGGCGACGGCGATGAAGCGCCCCGTTTCGACGCGCGTGTTGAGCATCAGGTCCGCGAAGAGCAGCGCCTGCGTGGCGAAGCGGAAGGTCGGGCTGACGGAGGAGCAGGCGCGCAGATCGGTGTGCGATGCGTTCAGATGGGAGATGATTTGCTCCCATAGCTCGGCGGGGAGACGCGACATGGAGGGCAAGGGCAGATTGCGATTAGATCATGGCCTGTCGATTGACATGCATTGATCTCGTTTCGACAGATTAAACCGTATTGACCCACCACCGTCGCGCAACACGTGATGTTGGCAGATCCGTGATGGATGGCCTGTCAGTGCGATATCTGCCACTTTTCATCAAGTCCCACGTAGATTGGATAAAACTGTGTGAAATAGAGAGTACACATAGGAAAGTACGATCTAGCCCTCACTTGAGCCCATAGTATTACTGCTGTATCTTCGAGCTTTCGAGCCTCCATTGAGACCCCAGGTAGTCCTCCGCACCCGGCCCGTTTCACTCGAGTGACGAAAGTCAGCCACAAAGTTTGCGATGTCTTGACCAACTTTTCGACGCTTCAGAGATCGAAGGAGAAGCTTTGATTCGCCAATGTTCCGCATTTGATTTTCGAGAATGTCTACACCCTTCTTCAAGTCGGAGATCAGGTTTTGTGCGTATTCCTCAAGATCATCGGACTGAGGTAAGAAATAAGGGACACAATGGTAATAACAAGATGAACTAGACGTACATCATCAAATTCTTCATCTGGTCGAACTGAAGCTTCTGAGGGCTGCGGCGATGAAGAACGGGCAATGAGATCATCAAAATCATCCCCCATGCTGTCGATTGTTTGTCCAACTGAAACTGTTCCTGCATCGGCAGGCTGCGACGGTGATCGAAGGCGCTTTACACCTCGTTTCGATTTCCGGGTAACTGTGCCACTGTTGCTGCGAAGCTCGGGATCGTCTACAACATCTCCCGCCAATTTCGATGGGCTAAACTTTGCATCATCAATTGGAGACCCATCCATGGCCCTGAGAGATGGGTGCCAATAAAACGGTATGACGCGCCGTCGATACACCTCCCGGAAGAACTTCCCATCGGGAGGTTGCACAGCTTGCACCAAATGTTTGCACAACAAGAATGCGTTGTACTTCTGCTGCCCACATGAACATGTCCAGCTGGATAGATCTGTTACATGTGTCTGCGCAGCATTATTGCCCAGCGATCGAGTCGAAAGTTTCTTCCAATCCGCTTTGAACGCCGATTGCCATGGTGTGAGTTCTTTCGATCGGCCGAGACGCCACATGGGGTCAAATTTGAGCATGCTGGCTTCGAACCTAGGCACGACATCTGTAACGATGAGGTAAATGAGTTGATCAAGTCGTGGATGGAGAAAATTGTGCAGAGTGCGATGCTTCAAATTCCTCCAAAAGTTTTCCACGGCCATTGTTGTACGCCATCGGCCGATGAAATTAGGCTGAGAAGAGCGCGCCCAGAGCTTCCACTTTGTAGGGCAATACCACGCCTCCCATAAATAGGCCCAGACCTCCCGAAGTCCACGCTGCTTGCAAAATTGATACGCTTCAAATACACAGTCGTGCCGGATGTCATCCTTATCGCGCAGATTGCCATTGCGATCCGGAAGTAGGGGGTGAAGACATCCGTGACGGATGAACATGTGTAGAATTTGGCGCCTATGTGCAGCGGGGCAAAACACATATGTTGATGTGGTGGCAAACACAGATGCATTTGCGTCTTCGCCGGGTTCAAGCCACGATTCTGCCGCTTCGAGTCGGTCCACAGCACTCAGATCTTCTCCCAAATCGTCTATAAATTCGTCTTCATCATCCATAACATCTAGAATGTCCTCGGGACTTTCCAGACTCTGGAGAACATCGCGAACATGTCCATCAGCTTGAATCACAACTTTGGGCCGCGCAGGTGCGCGGGAAAGCAGTTGTTTATCGAGACGGATTTGTAGAGTGGGGATTACAGCCTGTGCAACCATGAGATTATCCTAAGTCTAGAATCAGTAAAAATACGTCGATTTTTTTGAAGTAACCGGCCTTTGTACATTCTGAAGGGTCCATCTGTGCAATCGGCAAGAACCGTGAATCAATGAAAGGAAATTCTTCGGAAGCTTCATCTGCATGATAGACTGCAGGACGACGGGCCAGGACAGAAAGACGTCCGCGAACAACCCGAATACCATGCCAGAAACAAAGTTGATGTTTTGTGTCTGCAGGCAACTCGGCTAGGAACGCGTTGATTTCGGTAATGTCCTTGTCACTCAGAGATTGAATTGGCTTTATTTTCCACGTCTCTGTGATGTTCCGGATGAGTGACCGCAGATACTTTTCTTTTGCCCCGGGTTCCGGATTTTTTGATTTGATGAGAAGAATTGCGAGCGGCAAGCCCGAACCAAATACTTCCCCAAGTAGAGCAAAACACTCATAACCGGCTTTGTTTGTCTTCCCTGCACAAGTGTATGTATTCAGTCGAGATCAAAGTGAGATTATGTTGATGCTTACATGTTGAATCGAGCGCAATCTCGGAGATTCCTCCTCCCCACTTACGGATCAGAGTCGGAAGGGCGAACGCGATCGCAGTGCATGTGTCTTCATTCTTGGGCAAAGGAATTGATTCGATATGAGCACCAAATCTGGGATTATTGCGCCGGAATTCCTCAATGAGCAGCCTGGCTGATTTCTCTTCATCGTCGTCTCGATGCCAGCTGATCCGGTGATATTTCAGCCATAAATTGTACACCTGCTCTTGACTGAAAAGCGGCTGGGGATGCTTCGTGAGGATCTCCTTCCAGATCTAGAACAGTGATCAGACTATGAAACTATTGTTCCATAGCACGCACCTCGGGAACACGGACTGTCCTTGCCCGATCTCTCACAAGACTTTTGATGTCTTCGGGAAGATCGATGCATTTGTATGTGACGTGGAGATCTTGATGGGCATACCGCACAAAATACTGGGTCTCACCATTTCCGGCCCAGATTGTGAGGTACCCTTCACACTCAAAGGTGTCCATCTGACCCTTGTCCCGGCGCTTAGCTGGATCCGCAGACTTCTTTGGCTTGTGCTGCCGGGACACAATCTGCGCACAACTGTACAAAAACCGAGTTGTATTTGTGTGTTTGATTGAACGAGAATTGAGATAACTATTATTCCGACCGTCAGTCAAAATAAAATAGTTAGAAACTCAATTTCACCTACAGGAACCGGTATTCTGTCCGTTCCCAGATAAGAGAGGCGATACGATCAACCACTGGCTTGCAATCAAGTTCATCTGATTCGGATTGCGGAAGTTCGGGATCGTTGAGCAACGAACTGATATCCACAAGGCCAATTAAATGATGTGTGTCTTTGTTCTTTGACAGGACATCCAAGAATACAGCTAGCGGCATTGCTTCTGCATCTGATATGCATTCGAGGCGTGCATCAAAGTCGATCAGCAGGGCACATACCAATAAAATCAGAAGCGTCCTCATCATGTCCTTCGTCACGTGCATGATCAGGTTCGCTGCCGTTAGGCCGCTGCTTAGTACGTTTCTCCCGTGCTGCTTTGGCATCCTTCTCGCAGCAGCTACGACAACGCGAATTGATGACTGGTCCACCGGCACGGAATTGAGCTCCCCAGTGCTGAGAGGTCACACTCAGAGTTCTGCGACACCTATTGCAGTACTTGTCCAACATGGGATGTAGAATGACACGCTTCAAGACACTTTTGACGCGTCGAGAAGAAGCAGATAAGACGCGTCGGTAAGAGCACGTGCTGATATTCTTTCCCACAACTCTCCGTCAACAGAGATTGTGTCTCATCTATGTACATATATATCTCTTTCACACAGTTTTATCTAATCTACGTGGGACTCAATGAAAAGTGGCAGATATCGCACTGACAGGCCATCCATCACGGATCTGCCAACATCACGTGTTGCGCGACGGTGGTGGGTCAATACGGTTTAATTTTCGACAGCACTCTCCTACACTTATGACTTCTGGTCCGATAAGATGTTTGCTCCCCTACAAGCTCGTTTGTGGAATGTTTTGACTGGCCTTACCACCTCTACGGGCTCTCTCGACGAATGGGCGCCGCAGTCCATTTCCTTCCTTACACCCGTCCAATAAACCCTATTGACCCTACACCGTCGCGCAACACGTGAGTTCGACAGATCCGTGATGGGCGGCTTTCCCGCGTGATTTATACTCGACTGCGTCATCGTTGTGCGGACTTGAGCGCTTTTGCAAAATGGGCAACAGATAAGACAAGATTGGATGTAGATAAGTAATCGATTGTGCTACGATTGGCTTGCGCCCATCGTGTTACTGCTGTAGCGCCTTGTCGCAGCATTCCCGTTGATTCCCCAGACTGACCTCCTCAGCTGACCTGTTTCATTTGCATGTCGGAAGTCAGCTACAAAACTGGTGACATCATTCCCAATTTTTCGCCTTTTCACACTGCGCAGCAGTATCTGCGATTCTTGAATGTTGCCAAGTTGGCCGTTAACAATTTCCGCGGCTCGATGCAGATCTTCAACGAGCTTCCGGCCATATTCTTCCAGCTCATCGAGCTGTATATAGGTCAGTTATGGAAGAGTATATCCCTGGTAGTAAGAGCAAACTCACATCGTTATATTCTTCATCAGGCCGCACCGCCGGCTGAGCTCGCGGAGGCGATGAGGAAACAGGAATTGGATCCTCAGTAGCATCTCCCGATCCAGCCGGAGCATTGACGGCGGCGCCAGATCGGCTCCTTTTAGCGCCGCGTGCCGGGTTTGGACTCGCTCTGCCGTTTGAGCCAGCAATGGCCTCTGCGTCGAAGTCCCCGGCCATCTCGGAGGGAACGAGCTTTGTCTGATCAATTCTTGAACTGTCCTTTGGCTTTAGAAGCTCGTGCTGATAGAATGGCGAAACCCTGCGGCAGTAGACCTGTCGGAAAAATTTAGGATCTGGAGGTTGAACCCCTTGTACAAGGTGCTTGCAGAGCAAGAACGCGTTGTATTTTTGTTGGTCACACGAGCATGTCCACATCGAGAGATCTGTGGTATAAGCCCCGGCATCTGATCCTAGAGTGCGAAGCAAAAGTTTGTGCCATCCGGCTTTGAAGGCTGACTGCCAAGGTGTAAGTTCTTTCGACCGACCGGAGCGCCATGTTGGATCAAATTTGAGCATCTTCGCTTCGAATGTCGGAACAACAAGCTCGTTGAAGATCTGCATCGAGCCGCGGAAATTGTTAACGGCCAACTTGGCAACATTCAAGAATCGCAGATACTGCTGCGCAGTGTGAAAAGGCGAAAAATTGGGAATGATGTCACCAGTTTTGTAGCTGACTTCCGACATGCAAATGAAACAGGTCAGCTGAGGAGGTCAGTCTGGGGAATCAACGGGAATGCTGCGACAAGGCGCTACAGCAGTAACACGATGGGCGCAAGCCAATCGTAGCACAATCGATTACTTATCTACATCCAATCTTGTCTTATCTGTTGCCCATTTTGCAAAAGCGCTCAAGTCCGCACAACGATGACGCAGTCGAGTATAAATCACGCGGGAAAGCCGCCCATCACGGATCTGTCGAACTCACGTGTTGCGCGACGGTGTAGGGTCAATAGGGTTTATTCACCCGTCCGCGGACAGACGTACCAAGATCGACCTCGTCTCCGTGTGCAAGACCTGGCACGACGTCGGTGTTTAGTTTCTGTACGAACGAATCATATTGCGCCGCCCTATACAGCTTTTCGCCCTCATCCGGGCCCTGCTCGCATCTCCCTCGCTACCAAACCTCGTCCGTCGGATGGAGATTACGTGCGGGATCAGCCAGAGTCAAGCGCTGAGGCAAACGGAGCGAAGGCTCTTAGATCTGTGTACGAGACCGAACTATCTCGCGCTTGAGCTAGGAAAACTTCCCCCGTATGAGCCTCCCCGGTTTCGGTCGCATCGACAAGCCTCCATCTCGGATCCCCAAGTCGAGACTGCTTTCGAGATCCTCTGCGGGGTCTGTGCGTCCCTCGAGTCCCTGTTCATGTATCTACCGCCCTCGACCCATCCCGAGCTGGTTTTCCTCCAACTAGCACCTCCGAGCCGCTCTCTCCATGGTGTCTCAGCCCGTCCTAAAGATGCCTGTGCTGCGGGATATGGTTCTCATAAGCGATCATGCGTTCCGCGGTCCTTTCCTATCGATTCAAGCCGTGCGCCTGAAGCGGCTCGTTTTGCACGGACCGATCCTCCAGTCCAGCCTCGAGCACTGCCGATCGCTCGCATACCTCTTCCTTGCCACGTCCGCGCAAGCAGTCTTCCTGCCGCACCACCGCGGTCTCGCCAGCCTCGACCTGTCCTCCGAATCCCAGATCATAAGGCACATGGAGACAGTGGTAGATTCCCGATACCACGATGGACTTCCCGCCCTGCGCGTGATGCGATTCGTCCACGGCTCAGACGCAGATACAGTCGCGATTATGCCTCCTCCAGAGGTGGATCTCGCAGCAACGCAGGCGATCGACTGCTTCGCGAAGAACGGACCCACTCTGCCGAGACGAATCGAAGGAACTGAGGAGTTTTGAAGCTGGATGGTAGCTCGTGGGCCTTCTTCTGGAGGATTCAGCATGGCAGTGTCTATACTATCCTGCTCCTTCCAACATGATTCCCAGCTTCCACGGCCACCGATAAACACGTGGGGCACCCTCCCTCACGATGAATGCTTCGAGGCTCTATGCGTCGCCTACGACTGCGGGTTGCAAAACCCATCGCGGGTGAGTGATGGATTGACCCGCCGATGGTGCTGGTGCAGAAACCTCCCGAATATCATGGCACCACAGCCCCCGGCGGCTTGTCTCTCCCCGGCTATCCGTTGCACTAGAAGACTGTGACGAAACCCGGCGAGGCAGATGTGAGGGATAGAGCTTTCGTGGTGTGAGGTGGATAGTGATTCGTATCGACGGCCGCGAGTCTCATTCTTTGCTAAGCTCCGTTTCCCCTGGCAAGTCGTCGTCCGAGCGAGATGGAGGAAGCACCGCACCCGCCGGAGGATATATGCATCTCGTTGGTCCCATCGAAATGTTTGGCGTCATGAATTCTCGGTCCTCTCAATACGACTATCATCTCCTTCGTCGCGCGGATATGTCCCATGCTTGCTCCGAAAAGTTTTGGCGGCTCCAGATACGTGGGTGTCGTGGTGCAGTGCTCGGAATCTGAGGGAAGAAGGGAGATCGTCTCGAAATGCGACATCCATCGGATTTTTCGGAGCAGGCAAACCGTGGCCGTGGCTGTGCCCTGATCGCAGTGCAGCCGGTCATTGCGGCCCGGCATGAAATCATTCCACAAGTTGCCGATGCTTCGAACACACCGGAAAGCTAATGGATCAGAACATGGGAAATCTTCTCATGATTCGGCTGCTCCGAAATCGAGCTGGGTGAGAGAACGGAGTCACCCCAGTGAACAGACACTTCGGTCGTCATTGTGGCCACTGGCGGTGGTTGGTGGGCAACAAGCCTGTCAGTATCGTCGTCTCTGTCTACCACAGCAGCCCGCTCGCTCGAATCAGTCCTCCTGAGACAATCCTGTTAGACCCCCACCCGGGCTTCAGGGTTGCTTCTCGGCTTCTGAACGGGCCCCAGTGGAGATAATAGTCGTGCAAACGTCATCCTCAGAAGATGTCTCGCGTTCTCAAGCAAGACACTGGCATGTTCCGGCATTGAGGCTGACGAGCTCGTCAGCCTTCGCCCGAATGCTTACCGAGCGTGAATATAAAGACCCAGGCCGCTGATCGCCCGAAACTTCTTCTCCTCCCCCCCCTCCAATTGCGCGCATGGTATATCCTCCGTGAATGTGCTTGATGCACCCGCTGACGATGAGTGCGACAGGAGTGCCATCAGTTGATAAAACATCAGGAGGACCGCAAGGTGGGTCACCGTCGCACACTTCATATACTCCTCTCGCCTGATCGCGTGACCATTCTGGAAGGGCAAGAAACGTGGCCCATCGTCCGACCTATCTGCCCTCATCCACATCCCCGGACCTACACGGCAACTCACACGGCGAAAGATGGTGAACCGAGAAGTCGCGTGTCTGTCAGCGCGCTGACGGTCGAGTCATGATGGTTAGGTCAAGCTTCCGCCGAGGACGTCCGATAGCAGTGACGACGCGCGCTTGCAGCTCCTGCGCAGATCATCGATCTCGCACTCGCTCTCCTTCTCGAACGCTCGATTACGAGGGTTATTGGGGTCTTTGAGACACGGTTCTGAGTAGTCAGACTGGTTTCTGGTTTGGGTTCTCGGAGAGATGTTCGTTTGATTGGGCGGAAGGGTTACTATATGCGACTGTGATGCTGGCCACCTAAGAGGTTTAGGCACTGTGGAACAAGCACAATTCGACGTACTGCCTTGTAGCGTATTCACAACATGACCTAGGGTGTTGGGAGCAAGGTCCAACTTACCGCTTGGTTTTATCATCACGCGTTCTGTCTCACGGAATATTTTCCCGCAACCACTGTCAAATCGGGTCAACCGGGCCAGTTGGCCAGGCGTGGGAACATCAGGCGTGCCTCGTTCCTGTGCCCGTGCAACGGCTTTTCTCGCGTCTTCTCGCTCATGCGGTGTGCCCTGCATGTATTCACCGATGGCCAGGCGCCTTTTGCTCAATATACAACTGTTTTTTCATTCATTCGTGGCCTTGAGGGCCTTGTCTATCACATTCTTTCGCGCGGGAAGCTGGAGAGGGTCCTCAAGATCGTAGCGGACGAGGTATTGGTCCATGGCAACGGTGTCGTCGACCGTTTCCAGTGATTCCCACGTCGCCTCCCCGTCCTCCCAGAGCACCATGAACTGAAGATGCTTGCGTTCAAACCATCGATGCCCGTTGATGCCTTCGACTTTCAACTCCCCCTCATCATCTTCGTCATCTTCCTCGTTATTGGCGGTCTGCGCATCAGTGTCCTGCTCTCCATTCCCATTCACCGAGGTGTCTTGCTCGTTCCCATCACCGTCCCTCTCGCTGTCCGAAGAGCCAGCGACGTCGTTGTCGTTGTCCGGAGAGTTAATGACCTCGATGCCGTCTTCGTCTTCGTTCTCTGATACCTCCTCGGTTTCCGCCTCGCTCTCAACGTCTGCCTGTGTTCTGCCACCACCGCCACGGCCGCCTCTCCCTCTCCCTCTCCCTCCTCTCCCTCTTCCCCGGCCACGTCCGCGCCCGCGCTCAGCAGTGGCTTCGCTTCGCTTCGCGGCCTTTGCAGCCTTCTCCGCCGCTTTCTCAGCAGCTTTCGTTGCCTTGTCCGCTTTTGCAAGGGCTTTCTTTATCTCTGCAAGTCGTGTCTTCAGTCCCGCGTGCAAGATCGCCATATCCTTCTTCTGTGCATCGAGCAATAACGCGTCAGTCATCTCATCACCTGTCATGAGTCGCGGTGCCCCGGTGTTGTAGGCGCGACGAGGCTTCGCCTTCTTGTTGTGCAACTGCTGGCGAAGGCGCTTGTTTTCAGACTTCATCAAGACCAGTTGAGCATGGTTTTTCTCCAACTCCGTCCCGGCCTCCTCGGCGATCTGGCGAAGCGCTGCAATCTGGTTCTTCATTCTATCGCGCGACGCATTGGAGGGTAGAATGGGAGGAAGATCGATTCGATACCGTTGGGACTGAACGGAGGATGATTGCGGGTCAGTCTGCATGCTCCCTTCAGATCCTGTCGAAGCTGCAGACAGCACAGAGGCAGCTCGTGTTCGGGAGGCGGAAGATGCAATCACGGGATCCTCTGGCACGGACAACAGCGTCGTCTGATCGGTGGAGGTCACGGAGGAAGGTGGCTCGGAGGTGCCAGGATCATCTGAAGTTCGGGACAGATCGTCGGAAGGGGTGGATGATACCGACAAGGGCTCAACGGGCACGAGCAACCGAGGAAGACTCACTTGAACCGGCTGGGCCTCCTGTGTTGTGTAGTTCTGAGCAGGTGTAAACATTGCTTTCGGGATGGCCTCCTTGTTCAATGGATGAATTCCGCACTTCCGAAAAGCGTTGATGATTGTCTCTTTCCTGAAAGCAAGTTGTCTCGCTTGAGAATAGTTCCAAATGAAGTTGTGCTTGTTGATAACATTTGCGGCCGTTGTTTGCTTTTGTACGCGTCAATTGTTGCAAATGCTGTGGAGAAATGGGCTTTCTTACCGTGAGAACTTGCGCCTTCCATCTTGCTGCCAGCGGTCCGAAAATGCCAACATCACACGGCTGAAGCGCATGAGTTGTGTGAGATGGGAGACAGATGACAATGATCTTGTGCTGCTTCGCAAAAGTCACAAAGTCCCAATGACAGTGGCTGTTGTGCCCATCGAGAATCAGCAGTCGATAGTCTTCGGGGTCGTCCAAGCGAAGCAAGGATTGCGGATGGAAATCCTTCTTCAACCAAAGATATCCGAGTTCCTGATCCGTCCACCCATTGGGAGAGAGGGAGATACTGAAGCACGTGAGCAATTCAGCTGATATCATCGACTTGGTCCTCACCTCGCATTGCAGGGATTGACTTGCCCCCAAGCATTATCCCGACGCAGCCCTTGGAATACGATAGAAGGATTCAGTGCCTCTCCAGTGGCGCAGATACATTCGAGGATCGTCACAAGCTCGCGATTTCCACTGGCAATTGTCTGGACGGCCTTCTGGTCTCGATCGACAACAACCTGAACTCGGCCCGCGACTCCCAGTTGGATGCCCTTTTCGTCCATGTTGTATATATTCTTTGGCTTGATCTTGTATTCTGATATGACCTCGTCCAGCATCTTGAAATACGCGTGAACAACGCTGGGTGTCAGAGATTTCGCGCGGCACTCTTCCAAGCTACTAGCAACCTTGACCTACAAGCCCTTAGAGGTCTGCGCAAACGACAGCTTCACCGTCACATACCTTGAGCTCCGGATGGCGCTCCTTGAAACGCTTGCACCATGTTTCACCGAGATCCTTCCCCGCAATGCGTGACGCATATGCTGTGATCATATTCATGGTCAGCGGAACTCCGCGATATCCCAGTGTCTGAATCAAGCCGTCAACTTTGAGCTCTGCACGAAAGCCCTCAGTCTGACTGGCCTTGATAAACTCAACGAGAACCGCCTCCTCTGCTGCCGTCACAGCGCGCTCCTTCGCATGGGCCTCTGTTCGAGTCTTCATTCCTGACATGCGATTGGCGACAGTCGCCCGATTGACGTGGTAAAATGAACAAGCTTTCCGTTGGGAGACGCCGCGTTGAATGGCAGCGATAGCAAGCTGTTGTCGTTCAGGAAGAGGGATTTCTCGAAGCTCCGCATCCGAAAACGCTCTGTTCATGCTCAAGTCACCTGTGCCTCCATCGCTGTCTCGAATCGCGTTTGCCATGTTGCCCAATGCCGATGAGAGAAGATGAGCAAAGAGAAATGCTGCACAAATGTCACCCTGACGGCATTCTCATCCGCAATACATGTGCGAGAGGGTCAGGCTCCGGAAATGGAGCTTGAACACCGACATCATTCAAACAAACTTTACACGGGCGCGTTGCAGGCGCGAAGATAACGTAAGATCATCGCTAACAACTAGGAGTACCTACTTCTCGACCTGGAACAGAATCACTCAACACGCACAACACAATCAGGCTGATGTGCTTACCTGGTTGTCTCGAACCGGATCCATTTCCCGCGCGACAAGCTCGGTGTGCTCGGAGGGATTCAAGAACAAAAGAAAGTCGGTCATGAGCTCCGAGTCAACAGGGGTCCATCCGTAGGTCGAATGCACGGGATAATGAACAGGCTGAGCTGCCGTGACCACATTGCCATTGCGGTCTCTGGAGGACGAAGCGGGGCCGTACATGATCAAGCCCGATTGCCGCCATCCGTCAGCCACTATAATGACAGGGCGGAAAGGACAGCCGCCTTCGTTGGGGGCGAGTTGCGCGGTGGTGATGGTGGAGACGGTGATGTGACCAGCAACAATCAAAGAAGGGCTGTCGATAACACGCCGCCAGTCATTAGAAGGCACGGAGCTGGAAGGATGGTCGGAACGGTGCGTGCGATGCATGGAGTCCGTGGGCTGAGTGTGATTGGTGTGGCTTGAGCTCATAGCGGGCAGTGAGAAAGGGAAGCTGTTATTGAGTCATCCTTAAAGCCGTCTTGAGCTTTGCAGACGCACCTCGAAGCCCAAGGAGCCGACCCTGCCAACCCGAAGCCAAATTCCACGAGGCTGACAACCACCACAACGTGTGTAGATTGATGGAAGGTCTCCAGCATCCGTCAGGGCCATCTGCATAGACTGTAGGACATACATTATCATTGGAATGTCAAAAGAAAAGTGTGCACACACCGTTCGCGTCGCTCTGTCCAAGATCACACAGTGCTGATCCTTGCCATTGTCAGCGCTGGGGAGGGACGAAAAAAAATCGCTAAAATATAAGAAGGGCAGGAAGAGGGAGCACCAATAGTGTTAAAACTCCGTTGCCATTCGCTAAGGGCGGTCTGCGCTCGTTCCTCCAGTAGGTCATCTGCTTGTGGCCATGTTTTCCGCACTTTTCGGGCACGTGTCGGGGTGGTTCGAGGGCCACGGGGCTTCGTACAATCGAAAACAGCATTTCAGATGGGTCCCTGGATGATGGTATGGTATAGTGGTGTTGAATAAGTGCGCACTCAACGCTGACAACGCGGTAGGTGGAGAGATATGACGGCGTTCCCAATAAGGAATCGGTCCGCATGCTCCCGAAATCAATGATGGATCACGTCCCGAAAGTGATTGATACATGCTACCAAGTTGTGCTCTCGTTCATAGGAGTATCTTGAGGTGCTCTTTCATCCTAGTAGAAAGGCACCCCTCAAAAGTTCTTATTTGGGCTTGGAAACACGGAATAGCCAACTGCGTAGGGTGGCCAATTGCCCAGTCGCATATAGTACATCGCTGGAGCGGAGAAATACGACAAGGCGATCGTGGAAGGCTGGCGCAGGGACATGGAGGGACTGTTGATATTCGTGAGTTTCCGGTCGGAGGATTTGTGATCTACACGAAGCACATCTGGTCTCACGTTCTATCAAGGCCGGCCTGTTCTCAAGTGTCCTGACGGCATTCATCATCGAAAGCTACCAGAAGCTGTCTCCGGATCCAGCCCAGGCTACTTTACAAGCCTTGGCACTGATCTCAGCCCAGCTGTCGGCCATTGCCAATGGGACACAGCTGGCTGTAGACGTTCCCGGAACCGACCCATTCACACCATCGGCCGCGTCTGTTGCATGCAACATCTTCCTGTTCATCAGCTTGGGACTCAGCCTTGCTTGCGCTCTTCTCGCGACGCTCGTTGAACAATGGGCCCGACATTTCCTGCAGAAGGTCGATGCTCGGTCCTCTCCCCTCGTGCGCGCGCGCGTTCTGTCGTATCTCTATTTTGGCGCCAAACGTTTCAAAATGCATGACATCGTCGAGATAGTTCCGATGCTGCTGCATCTTTCGCTGACGTTCTTTCTCGCTGGCCTGATCGCTTTGCTACGGCCGATCAACAGCACGGTCATGATCGTCTCCGTGCTCATGTTTGTCTTTGTGCTTGTGATTTACTGCGGGGCCACGGTCCTACCCCTGAAGTTTTCGGACTGCCCTTACCGGACGCCTCTCACCCATATCTGCTGGCGCTTGTACAACTTTTATCGATCGCTTCAGCTTTCTCAAGTAGTTGATTGCGAAAAGGGGCTCACAAGGTCGGTCAAATCCCCTCCCAACTCACAAACGACGCTAGTGGCTAGAACCATGACCGAAGTGATGGTGATGGATGCGACCCAGCCATCCGTTTACCGAACCGATCGCGATCTGTCAGCCCTGCGATGGACGGTTAAATCGCTCAGCGACAATGACGAGCTTGCCCCGTTTGTTGAACGTCTTCCTTTAGCCCTCTGGGGTCCTCGTGGACCCCGTCCTGTCCAAGCCAGACTACTCCTCTCGCTCGTCGCCGACCCCGAGACCGATTTGATCCGTCGGATGCAAAATCTGCTGGACAGCGGGGAGCAGGGCTTGCTGGAGTCCGGCACACGGCTCCGCCGCAAATTGTCGGTCGGCCGGGCTGTGTCCGCTCTCGCCAGATTGTGCTCTACGGACGATGGATACCTGCCGATGATCTCCAATGTGCTGCGCTTCGACACGGCGTCCTTCTTTCCCGCGCGGTTCTCCTCTGGAGAGGTGGCTTCCACGTTCTCCCTCTCACTGTGTGCTCTGCTGGAATGCTGCCACTATCGGAACGTCGAGTCGGTTCTCAGGCGAGCGGAGACAGAAATTCTGACGGAGTCCGGAAACGACGCCGTGTCTGCTGAGCTGCTTCTTGAACTGCAGCAGGCCATTTCGGGCTATCAGCTCTTCATCCGAACATCACATCTGCACACAGTTCACCGCCGAGATCATCTTGATGCTCTGTCGGATCTCACCGAGGAAAGCCTGTCCCCGGAGAAAATCCGGAACATCCGCTCTGAGCTCATCAGAGCCTTGTTCATTCTTCTCTCTACATATATTCTGCGCACCACTGAATCTGAAGAGACCCCGGACGAATTCGACACTACATGCTCGACTCTGAGATCCTTGCTTGGCACCTCCTCTGCCGACATTGAAACATGTGTCTTGTTTTACTACGATTTCAAGGTCCTCATCGACAGACGGGCCAAATACGGATGCGACGCCGAGAAGGTCAACCCATGTGTCGATGCCGGGATGTCTGTCCTGCTTGCGTACTGCATGGGAGCGGTCGAGGTCCTCGCTCACAATCAGTCTCCGCCGTGGCCATTCGATGTTCTGGGCGACAAGATACTGTCGTTCTGTGCACTTTTCAGCACACCGCTAAGATGCAGCAACGCACTGGATCTTCTCCTCGCGCACGTGCCAAAATCGGTCTTCTACCGTTTCATGTCCCTCTACATCCGGGGCGCACGGTCCGGGCCACTTCATCCGAGACACAACAGAACGATACGCGAGCAGTTGCTGCACGGGCTGTTCAACCTGATTTGCGGGGCGGACGGTGCGCCGCGCCGGGACGCGGGCGTCGTCGGCGAGAGTCAGTTCATGCACGCTCTGATCAAGGTCTCGAACAGCGCTGTCGCCCCGGCGCTCGCGGCCATCATGACGAGAAACTCCCTCGTGTCCCTCAACCTGCTTTGGACCCACCAAGTCGACCGCGCCCTCGCGGAAAGAATGCCGGAGAGCACCGCGCTGCTGCTCAAAATAAGCCGCTCGCCGATTTTTCCGGCTCTGACAGCGGCGGTCCCCCCTGCCCGGAACTGCAGTCTCCATCCACTGTCACTCGAGGCGCTGAGATCGCTGAGTTGTGGGTTTCAGGTCCGCATTCGAGAAGCGACACTAGTGTGCATCGGGCGTTTCCTGCGAGCGTGCGCGAGCTCGCCGAAGATTCACGCGGCCAAGGAGGTCCTGGAGGGACTCTATCTCAGCCTCGAAAGCAGCATCTCCGTGCCGCTTAGCCTTGCGGACGTGCCGATCCCTCACAGACAGCACCAGCTCGACTTTGTTCGCGCGCTCCTCGAGCTGAATCTGCGCGCGACCGGCGACAATGCCGTGCTGCGAGCGGTCTTGTTGGACTCCGAGGACCGGTCGCGCGGCGCTGGAGAGCGAATATGGCTGGATGGACTGCGCTTTCATATCGACTGCATTGAGGCATATCAGCTTCTGAGGGACGGATTGAGGCGCAGTCCACGGGCGTCTCGGATGAAGGATATCATCGCCTATGCCGATTCAGAAGTGGCCCGGTTGAACGACTTTGCATGAACATACCATCGATCTGTTTGAAAATGCGGTCACGGGAGAGGTTTCGTTGAGGCGACGGCCTTTCACGAGGCACAATCTCCTATGCATTATTGCTCACGTAGTAATCGTTGAAAATGCCGGCCATACATATTGTTACCGTCAACCTCCGGTTGATTTTTGGTCTCATGGCGGTAGAACCTTAGTCAGTGATTTGAACACACAATAATTGGCGAGTTCCTGAATTAAATCGCAGAGATTCCACTGGCGCACTTGTCTCCCATTGCTCGCAGCAAGTCTTGCAATGAGTAAGGGATAATCAATTAATCAGCGGTAGCAGTACGTCGCCATAAAAATAAGATAATATGCAGCCATCGGTTTCACAAGCGAATCTGTATCGTGAAAAGCAAGAAAAAGGCGCACAAGTTTTCGACGTCTGGTAATGCGCCATCTGGCGCATTTCAATGTACGTACTTCGAATCAACCCAATCGGCCCAGCTCGGTATGATGCTCTGCAGTGTGTACCCCGCGGCCTCCTTCTTGGTGATGATCGTCGAGAAATTCGGGCGGTTTGCGTTTTCTACACCCGGACCGAAAGAGTTGTACTCGGCGTAGTCCACGAAGTCGGTGTTTGCGTTGCCGACGTTCCAGATCGACCAGATCGTGTTGTTCATCTGTGAGAACCGCGTAAGCTAGAGTGATCAGTGACCGAAATCATTTGACAGACCGGAGCTTGAATGTCGGTGTTCTTGAAGATCACGCTATTCGGCGTCAGTCAGGGAACGCCGTGAGTTGAAGAAACCTCACCGAGCCCAATCTGACGCAGACGAGTCAGCGATCAGAACATTGCGAATAATGGCTGCCAAACTCACTTCCCCATGGGCGACCCAGAAAGACGTGATCCGTCACATTTGAGAACGCATCCGCTGCAGCGATGACTTTGTTGTCTTCGAAGAGGTCTGTTGCGGCCGCATCAGTATGTCCGCTACAGAGACGGGGGATGACCTACAGATTCCGCTGTCGTTCAGTTGACGCCCGCTAGCGGTAATGCATCCCGAGCCGCGACTCGCCAGGGTGTTGCCCTGGAAGTATGCGATGGAATGCCGGCCAAAAATGTAGTCCACGGCGCCCTGCGTATTGTTGAGCGCGAGAAGACAGGGGACTCACTGACGCACCTCGATGTAAGATTTGAGGAAGATGTGGTTCCCGACATTGGTGTAAAGCGTGTCCTGAACTTCGTCAGGGACCGGCCTTCATTCGAGCAGCAGTTTGTAATACCTGGTAAGAGAACAGACCGCATGCATAGACCCCCATCCGGTCCGCTTGGGCGCTAAGTGCAATGGCCTGCCCATTCGTCAGCGCGACGCCGAAGTTGTTGACGATGTTGAGGTTGTAAAGCGACACGTTGGCGGACAGGACACGCAGAGTGCCCGTGCGGTCGTCGCTTCCCGCGCCCGTCGCGAGCGAGGCGTTGTGCAAGAGCGTGACGGTGTTGTGTGCGTAGTTGAGCGCGTGCTCGGTGTATCCTCGGATCTAGCACAATCGACCCTGAGCGTCAGTGAGGAGGGCGAGAGAGGCGGAAGGGACGCACCGTGACCGGCCCTGGACGCGAAACGTTCACCTGTCCCACATACAGCCCCGGGAAGACGAACACAGTCTGCGAGCTGTTGTCGGCAGGCAGCGCGTTGATGGCGCTTCCCAGATCCGGAAACTCCCCTGGCACCGTTGTATTCGGCCGGACGATGACAGCGCCGGCGGGCGGCGTAGTCGCTTTGTGCGCATGCACGGAAAGGACGGCGAGGAGAGGGAGGAGGAGAAAGCGCATTGCGTCGTAAGCTGCGTCCAACAAGGGTCAGGAACAGGCCCCCTTATATATGTTGAATGCCCCTCGCGTGGGCCCAACGGCGCCATCGCGAGAAGTCAAGTGAGCGGTACGACATGGGAAGATGAGCTCGTGATTAATCTTCGGTGTCAATTCGAAGAGCCGTGGCGGTCCGGGGCCAAGACTGGTCGGCTAAGATCATTATGGGATGTGAATTTTCACATGAGCACGTGTTGGTGACAGCAGTGAGAAATCTCAGGGCCCAAGAAACGTTCATAGAGAAATAAGCATTGGGAGTGAAGCAAGGACGAAACTGCGAACGTTGAACCAAGGACGGAACACTGTGTCACAATGGGATTGCGTGACAATGACCACGTGGAACGTTCGACGGGCAACCGTAATCGGTGAATTCCCCGAAGGCTGCGTTTCAAGATTAAACGAGCTCATTACTTCACATTTGGTAAGGAGCGACAACCCGGGAGTGTCTAGCGAAATTCCGATTTTCAATTACAAAAAAAAATAGAACAGGGAATTTATTTTCTTGATAAATTTGAAAAAAAAAAACTCGAGCCTAGCCTTAAGAAAAGAAAAAACGCGGTCGAACTGGTTTTTTTTCTTGCTGGACGCAGTTTACCTATTACATTTCACCACCGTTCTTAGCACATCTCTGGTGAATATTGTGTCATGCACAATCTCTATCAGGGTCCTTCGGCCTTCCATTGCAAACCACATGTTTACAACACAACCTACCATTGTTTGCCCAATTGGAGGTGCGCAGATGTTTGAAAACTCTGTGTATAGCACATGTGCACAGTCAGGGAGAAATTTCTAGACAATAAGAAAACTTAAGCCCTCAGTTGGCACACCCTAAAATCCGGATAACATCCCATTCTCAATTGGTGAGTCATTCCTCGTAGACTAGAGCCCATAAACATCCTGGACAGTCTTCCACTGGTGTCCCGCCCACAGCGCGATCCCGCTCTTCGAGGCCTCTTCGTCAGACACACCTTTGGCCCCGTGGCCAGAGGTAGCCTGACCTTGGTCAGCAAGGCTCATCAAGAACGCTTTGAAGCCCGGCATCTCCCCTTCCATGGTCTCGACCGTCTCAACTTCCGCACCGAAAAGCGACCCAAGGGACCGATAGCCCGCAATGCGCTGGCCTTCAATACGCAGAATCTGGTTCTTGAGGGTAGAGCGAGGTTGGTGGGTGAGGACATGTGCGAGATATCCTGGGAGACTCGTTAGCGCCCAGTGGACCAATCGTCGGACCTTGAATAACACACCAGCAGCATCGCTGATGGACGTGACCGACACAGGGCCCTCCGATTTACCGATCACGTACAGCTTCTTGGCCTCGGGATTGTAGTTCACGACCCAGGGCGCAAATTCGATGAACAATCCGGTCTGGTTTACGTCAGGATCTGAAAGGAGGCAGAGTACAGAAGCACTAACAAACATGCGCAGATACGGTACGCCGACGCTCTGGAGCTTTTCTGTTTGATTGAAGCATCAGTGAGCAGCCGAAGGACGAGGATCCGAGCGCACCTATGATCCTGTTCTTCTCGGCAAGCGGACCCTCCGTATGTCCTTCCGTCGAGGAGCCAAACTCGGACGGCACGAACAGCTTGATGTGCGCTTGCTTCGCCGCATCAACGAGGCGATTGAGTAGAAATGGCCCCCGCGGTCAGTGTGGACACGATCACTTCGACGTTGTGTGACTTGAGTGCGGCGGTGACGGCTGGCACGTCGTCGTACGACGGGACTTGGACGACCTGAACATTCTCCGGGACCTTCTTGGACGCGGTGCGGGACAGCAAGATCACTTTGACCGATGGCTGGGCGGCGAGGGCGGCTAGGATATGGCCACCGAGAGTGCCGGCTCCGATCACGGCGAACGAGGAGTAAGAAGGCATGGTTCGGTCGATGTGTTGAGTGTGGGAGGTAGATGCGGTGAGTTAGTTGGCTAATTTGTTATTTTCTATCTCATTTTGACCTGGCTTTTAATAACCTCGCAAGGTGGCTATGTCGACGTGGTTGGAAGTGGATAACTAATCGCAGAATCGATTGCGTGTGGATGCTCACATAAAAAAGATTAGATTCCTTTGACGCTTTAGCCTTTCATGTCAACAAGGTGCTTTCCACTCTGCCTTATCTCTTGACTGAGAGCTTCATCACGGGAATTCCTTTGCATTTCATCCCTTTCGGACTTCCTCTACAATTTACTTGGAGTTGTATCCCATTCTCACACTGGCTGTGGAGTGACGGTCCCCACATATTCATGTGAAGCGTTGCCAAATCGGGCGAGCTCTTAATCGCGGACCGAGATGTCCCCGAACCAGTCGCCATCCCATCCCGAAGTTCGGACGGTCAACTTGATCAGTCTGACCAAGCGGATCTCATTTCCGCAGTATCTATGGCTCAGTGCAGGCTAAGAATGCGGCGTCGCTCGGTTTGTCATTGCATCGCACGCCTCGTTGCTGCGCACATAACGGATATCAAGAAGCTACTGCCAATCCATCACAGATACGAATCCCTGGTAGTTCCGCGGAAAATGACCAAGTGCGCAGCTGAGGTACTGAATTCGAGCGCACGCCGATCCCTCGTGGAGCTCAGGTCTCGCTGGATAGGCGTGGTCTTCTCCCAGCGCGAACACATTAATTTATTCATTTATACGAAACAGAATGTGAACAAAGCAGCACAAAGGCTACTATCGAGCGCACTATCCGGGAAGAGGGGACATGACCGCAGAGCGTGCCCCTGCTCAAGATATCTGTGCATCGTGACCGGAGCACTCAGGAACGGGCGCTCATATCGTGGCCTCAGTCCCCCTATGTTTCTTCCTCGCAGTCCGTCCGAATCACTTCCAGTGGCCACCCCATTCAGTCGCAGAATATTGCCGAATTTCAGTCTGACGGACGTGCATATACAGTACTCGCTTCGTCCGAGGCCCACCATCCATCCGGTTCCAGCTCCATCCCCTTATGTTGGATACATCAAAATCAGGCCTCACATACCAGCTTGTCTGGGCTTGTGTAGCCCATGTGCGTCGGCTTGGTTTGAGCAGTCGAGACTCGAGTTCAAAACGATTTCTGAACCGAACCTTGAGGGCACTACTATATGCGACTGGGCAATTGGCCACCCTACGCAGTTGGCTATTCCGTGTTTCCAAGCCCAAATAAGAACTTTTGAGGGGTGCCTTTCTACTAGGATGAAAGAGCACCTCAAGATACTCCTATGAACGAGAGCACAACTTGGTAGCATGTATCAATCACTTTCGGGACGTGATCCATCATTGATTTCGGGAGCATGCGGACCGATTCCTTATTGGGAACGCCGTCATATCTCTCCACCTACCGCGTTGTCAGCGTTGAGTGCGCACTTATTCAACACCACTATACCATACCATCATCCAGGGACCCATCTGAAATGCTGTTTTCGATTGTACGAAGCCCCGTGGCCCTCGAACCACCCCGACACGTGCCCGAAAAGTGCGGAAAACATGGCCACAAGCAGATGACCTACTGGAGGAACGAGCGCAGACCGCCCTTAGCGAATGGCAACGGAGTTTTAACACTATTGGTGCTCCCTCTTCCTGCCCTTCTTATATTTTAGCGATTTTTTTTCGTCCCTCCCCAGCGCTGACAATGGCAAGGATCAGCACTGTGTGATCTTGGACAGAGCGACGCGAACGGTGTGTGCACACTTTTCTTTTGACATTCCAATGATAATGTATGTCCTACAGTCTATGCAGATGGCCCTGACGGATGCTGGAGACCTTCCATCAATCTACACACGTTGTGGTGGTTGTCAGCCTCGTGGAATTTGGCTTCGGGTTGGCAGGGTCGGCTCCTTGGGCTTCGAGGTGCGTCTGCAAAGCTCAAGACGGCTTTAAGGATGACTCAATAACAGCTTCCCTTTCTCACTGCCCGCTATGAGCTCAAGCCACACCAATCACACTCAGCCCACGGACTCCATGCATCGCACGCACCGTTCCGACCATCCTTCCAGCTCCGTGCCTTCTAATGACTGGCGGCGTGTTATCGACAGCCCTTCTTTGATTGTTGCTGGTCACATCACCGTCTCCACCATCACCACCGCGCAACTCGCCCCCAACGAAGGCGGCTGTCCTTTCCGCCCTGTCATTATAGTGGCTGACGGATGGCGGCAATCGGGCTTGATCATGTACGGCCCCGCTTCGTCCTCCAGAGACCGCAATGGCAATGTGGTCACGGCAGCTCAGCCTGTTCATTATCCCGTGCATTCGACCTACGGATGGACCCCTGTTGACTCGGAGCTCATGACCGACTTTCTTTCGTTCTTGAATCCCTCCGAGCACACCGAGCTTGTCGCGCGGGAAATGGATCCGGTTCGAGACAACCAGGTAAGCACATCAGCCTGATTGTGTTGTGCGTGTTGAGTGATTCTGTTCCAGGTCGAGAAGTAGGTACTCCTAGTTGTTAGCGATGATCTTACGTTATCTTCGCGCCTGCAACGCGCCCGTGTAAAGTTTGTTTGAATGATGTCGGTGTTCAAGCTCCATTTCCGGAGCCTGACCCTCTCGCACATGTATTGCGGATGAGAATGCCGTCAGGGTGACATTTGTGCAGCATTTCTCGTTGCTCATCTTCTCTCATCGGCATTGGGCAACATGGCAAACGCGATTCGAGACAGCGATGGAGGCACAGGTGACTTGAGCATGAACAGAGCGTTTTCGGATGCGGAGCTTCGAGAAATCCCTCTTCCTGAACGACAACAGCTTGCTATCGCTGCCATTCAACGCGGCGTCTCCCAACGGAAAGCTTGTTCATTTTACCACGTCAATCGGGCGACTGTCGCCAATCGCATGTCAGGAATGAAGACTCGAACAGAGGCCCATGCGAAGGAGCGCGCTGTGACGGCAGCAGAGGAGGCGGTTCTCGTTGAGTTTATCAAGGCCAGTCAGACTGAGGGCTTTCGTGCAGAGCTCAAAGTTGACGGCTTGATTCAGACACTGGGATATCGCGGAGTTCCGCTGACCATGAATATGATCACAGCATATGCGTCACGCATTGCGGGGAAGGATCTCGGTGAAACATGGTGCAAGCGTTTCAAGGAGCGCCATCCGGAGCTCAAGGTATGTGACGGTGAAGCTGTCGTTTGCGCAGACCTCTAAGGGCTTGTAGGTCAAGGTTGCTAGTAGCTTGGAAGAGTGCCGCGCGAAATCTCTGACACCCAGCGTTGTTCACGCGTATTTCAAGATGCTGGACGAGGTCATATCAGAATACAAGATCAAGCCAAAGAATATATACAACATGGACGAAAAGGGCATCCAACTGGGAGTCGCGGGCCGAGTTCAGGTTGTTGTCGATCGAGACCAGAAGGCCGTCCAGACAATTGCCAGTGGAAATCGCGAGCTTGTGACGATCCTCGAATGTATCTGCGCCACTGGAGAGGCACTGAATCCTTCTATCGTATTCCAAGGGCTGCGTCGGGATAATGCTTGGGGGCAAGTCAATCCCTGCAATGCGAGGTGAGGACCAAGTCGATGATATCAGCTGAATTGCTCACGTGCTTCAGTATCTCCCTCTCTCCCAATGGGTGGACGGATCAGGAACTCGGATATCTTTGGTTGAAGAAGGATTTCCATCCGCAATCCTTGCTTCGCTTGGACGACCCCGAAGACTATCGACTGCTGATTCTCGATGGGCACAACAGCCACTGTCATTGGGACTTTGTGACTTTTGCGAAGCAGCACAAGATCATTGTCATCTGTCTCCCATCTCACACAACTCATGCGCTTCAGCCGTGTGATGTTGGCATTTTCGGACCGCTGGCAGCAAGATGGAAGGCGCAAGTTCTCACGGTAAGAAAGCCCATTTCTCCACAGCATTTGCAACAATTGACGCGTACAAAAGCAAACAACGGCCGCAAATGTTATCAACAAGCACAACTTCATTTGGAACTATTCTCAAGCGAGACAACTTGCTTTCAGGAAAGAGACAATCATCAACGCTTTTCGGAAGTGCGGAATTCATCCATTGAACAAGGAGGCCATCCCGAAAGCAATGTTTACACCTGCTCAGAACTACACAACACAGGAGGCCCAGCCGGTTCAAGTGAGTCTTCCTCGGTTGCTCGTGCCCGTTGAGCCCTTGTCGGTATCATCCACCCCTTCCGACGATCTGTCCCGAACTTCAGATGATCCTGGCACCTCCGAGCCACCTTCCTCCGTGACCTCCACCGATCAGACGACGCTGTTGTCCGTGCCAGAGGATCCCGTGATTGCATCTTCCGCCTCCCGAACACGAGCTGCCTCTGTGCTGTCTGCAGCTTCGACAGGATCTGAAGGGAGCATGCAGACTGACCCGCAATCATCCTCCGTTCAGTCCCAACGGTATCGAATCGATCTTCCTCCCATTCTACCCTCCAATGCGTCGCGCGATAGAATGAAGAACCAGATTGCAGCGCTTCGCCAGATCGCCGAGGAGGCCGGGACGGAGTTGGAGAAAAACCATGCTCAACTGGTCTTGATGAAGTCTGAAAACAAGCGCCTTCGCCAGCAGTTGCACAACAAGAAGGCGAAGCCTCGTCGCGCCTACAACACCGGGGCACCGCGACTCATGACAGGTGATGAGATGACTGACGCGTTATTGCTCGATGCACAGAAGAAGGATATGGCGATCTTGCACGCGGGACTGAAGACACGACTTGCAGAGATAAAGAAAGCCCTTGCGAAAGCGGACAAGGCAACGAAAGCTGCTGAGAAAGCGGCGGAGAAGGCTGCAAAGGCCGCGAAGCGAAGCGAAGCCACTGCTGAGCGCGGGCGCGGACGTGGCCGGGGAAGAGGGAGAGGAGGGAGAGGGAGAGGGAGAGGCGGCCGTGGCGGTGGTGGCAGAACACAGGCAGACGTTGAGAGCGAGGCGGAAACCGAGGAGGTATCAGAGAACGAAGACGAAGACGGCATCGAGGTCATTAACTCTCCGGACAACGACAACGACGTCGCTGGCTCTTCGGACAGCGAGAGGGACGGTGATGGGAACGAGCAAGACACCTCGGTGAATGGGAATGGAGAGCAGGACACTGATGCGCAGACCGCCAATAACGAGGAAGATGACGAAGATGATGAGGGGGAGTTGAAAGTCGAAGGCATCAACGGGCATCGATGGTTTGAACGCAAGCATCTTCAGTTCATGGTGCTCTGGGAGGACGGGGAGGCGACGTGGGAATCACTGGAAACGGTCGACGACACCGTTGCCATGGACCAATACCTCGTCCGCTACGATCTTGAGGACCCTCTCCAGCTTCCCGCGCGAAAGAATGTGATAGACAAGGCCCTCAAGGCCACGAATGAATGAAAAAACAGTTGTATATTGAGCAAAAGGCGCCTGGCCATCGGTGAATACATGCAGGGCACACCGCATGAGCGAGAAGACGCGAGAAAAGCCGTTGCACGGGCACAGGAACGAGGCACGCCTGATGTTCCCACGCCTGGCCAACTGGCCCGGTTGACCCGATTTGACAGTGGTTGTGGGAAAATATTCCGTGAGACAGAACGCGTGATGATAAAACCAAGCGGTAAGTTGGACCTTGCTCCCAACACCCTAGGTCATGTTGTGAATACGCTACAAGGCAGTACGTCGAATTGTGCTTGTTCCACAGTGCCTAAACCTCTTAGGTGGCCAGCATCACAGTCGCATATAGTATGCGTCTTCGCTGCTCGGGTTCCCGTCGATGTCTGTGTCCGCCTGCCCGGTCATTCGATACGCGAAAGCAGGTCCTCGAAATTTCACTTCGCGGGTACATCGTTTCCCTCCTCTAGTGAAGCCCGAACAAGTTTCAATCCCTGACGCGGAACTCGACCGCCATCGAAGGGGCTACCCCTGGGTGCGCGTGCTTGAGCTGGAGCTAGCAGAAGAGGTTGAGGTGTCGAGAGCTGAAGATGTTTGGGGAGAAATAAATGGGACTCTAGATTCGACGAGGGAGGAAGAGAATGCGGTCTAGGCACCGTTTGTACTGGCGCGTCCAGGAAACTAGAGGCTGAAACTTGAGGTTCGAGGCTGATTGAGCGAATACTGGATCGTGAGTGAGGCAGCTGGCATGGGCATGGACATCGCTGAAGGCCGTGGCAACGGACCGGGAGCAAGATTCTGAGGGTCGTATCCGCCGACGAATGGTGGTGGACGCGGTGGTGAGTATGAGTATGTAGCGCGTGTTGTTTGGACAGCCTGAGCCGGTCAGAGCTCTGAATGAAATCATGAGATAACAGTGTGCTCGGCTCATTGTGATTGGACGGGCGAGCGGGCGTTGCACTCGAGCCATATCCCGTGGGCTCGGGAGGTGTGCTGTCCTTTCTGCAAGTCCAGGTTGAGATCGAAACAGTCTGTCAAGAGCAAGCAGAGCATACCTCCTCCTAAGACTCCAGCAATTGAAAAAAAGAGCTGCTTTGCCTTGCTCTTCGCATATTATTTCGCCATCTTGGGAGCAAAGTGGATGAGAACCTTGATTATCGCCATTCAACCGGAGAGTAAGGTCGAGATCAAAAAGCACAAACCATGTTATCGATTCACAAGGAAGATTGTACTGATACATTAACGAGAGCAAAGGATAGATGGAGTGAACGGTGGTCAGAACTGGTCAAAAGCGCGAAATGACCAGTGAAAGGACAGTCATCCTATGACTGTACTGTGACGTCATTTTGTTTACTTCACGGGCCGACGCCGTCACGCGCTTTTTGAAGCCTGCTCTGTTGCTCACTCAGCCTATTGCCGGCTAGAGCACTCGTGCAGTTGTGAACTTCTCTCGGAGTGCGCTGTAGCGGCCAGACTCCAGATTTCCGCACAATCTCCGCACATGTTCTAACTGCTAATGCTCTGGTTCATAAGAAATCCCGATATCTATGGCATTTCATGCGATAATACTTATCGCATAATATCATAGCATGGAATGCTATAAAGGTCCAATGAATTCATGTATGTTGTCTCATTACTCTCCCATCCATATCTAGCACGCCATGGCTCTCTTCACACCTACCAAGCTAGGATCTGTTACCATCCCCAACAGGATCGGTGGGCCTTGTCTATTTTGCGCCGTTTGAAACTGCTTTGACTGACTGGAGGTTGCGGCAGGAATGAGCGCTCTGACGCGTAATCGCTCAGATCACACCTGTCATAATTCGACTCTTTTTCATCTTATCCTCGACGATCTCATCTTATCTCGACACGGATCATCTTATCACGGATCACGGCATCCGACGGTCCGGACTAGGGGTTCCAGGGATTATCTTCATCGATTCGAGGCTGCGCGACATATGCTCCAGAAGGTTCTACTACAACCCATGACCAGTGCTCCATGCGGTACATAGCCTTATGACTCATTAGTTGTAGATATGACTCAGACTGGATTTGGGTATAAATACTGTAGCTACTTGGTTGTGTTCTCCAGTCTTCGAATTCAGTTCTCTTTTCGACATTATTTCTTGTTGATTATCACATAATTCGAAGACTCCCCTCATACCCTCGTACCTCTTACCTCCTACCCTGCATCACCGCACTGCTACGCCCGCTATATCCTCTTCATCCTTATCACCCCACTTACCCTTTTACCGAATCATCTAGTCGTCCTCTGCGATCGCAGTGAAGGGTTCATATCGAGCAAACAGCACCAGGCCACGGGTAACGTTGAGCCCGACCCAAGCCTTACGGTAGCTACAAGGAGTGCTGCGGAGACCTTCGGGAAAACGCACCTCGGGATCATCGGGCACGTGAAGAGCTAGGCCCGGGATCTTTTTGCTAGCAAAAGAACCCTCCCTCGAGTGCTTGTACAGCACACGAATCCACCATTTCGTTCCGATTCCCATTGTCGTCTGGGAGTCCGTCTCCTCCTCCCATCCTACCATCGTCGCCCGATCTGGCGCATCAAAACCAACCCGGGCCCTCCAACCCTACCTCGCCCTCCCGCCTCCTGAAGACGAGATACCCGACCTTGACGAGTTACCCTCCGAACAACCACCCTCGCCCCCACCTACCACACCTGCTCCTACCATGTCAGGACATCACCGCATCACCCTCGCCGCCAATCCTCCCTACTTCGATGGCGACAAGTCCAAGTACCTGGGCTTTGTGGACGCGTGCACCACTTACATCGGTGCCTATCGGTCGGAGTTCTCGCTGGACGAGACAAAAATCCTCTTCGTCCTGTCCTACCTCCGAAATGAGAGCGGCACAAGCTGCGCCGCCTCAAGATGGGCAATGAACTGGAAGCAGCACAATTTCGAGGGCTTCCAAGGACTAAAGGCAGGAGTCACCGCAACAAGCTTCTTGGAGGAGCTTCAGAGGGCCTTTGGGGATTCTAACGCAGAGCAAGTCGCTGCCGCCCGACTCATGGCCCTTCGCCAGGGCAGACGGTCCTTTGCGGACTACATCTCCGACTTCGAAATGCTGGCTGCAGACGCGGGGTACAACGTGGTCACCTCCACCGACAGCAAGGGCGAGTACAAGAAGGGGAACAGGACAACATCCTCATCGAGTTCCTGGAGCGCGGACTCAGCAGCGAAATTGCAAGCCGCCTCTACAACACCGGCGTTCCCCTGCCCAAGGCATATGGTGCCTTCAAGAACTGGTGTGTCAACATCGAGGCCAATGCCTTGCGCGATCAGCTGCGTAAGGCCTCCTATGCGCACTCGACTCCACGGCCTCCTCCCCAATTCCCCCCTCAGGCAGCACCAGCGGCACCCACGCCTGCTCCGACCCGACCGGCTGCCAACGAACCGGTCCCGATGGAAATCGATCGGACCCATGCCCGCGGCCGCAATATCATCTGCTACAACTGTCAGCAGCCTGGGCACATCGCGCGGAATTGTCCGGAGCCCAAGAAGAAGCGCATGTTCTTCAATCGGGCCACAATGCTGGAAGAGATCGAGAACGGGGATAAGGACAACAAGTTCCTCAAGGAGATTGCCGAGAAGCTGCGCGAGAAGGGTTTTTGAAGCGCTCCACTCCTCTAGCCAAGGAGGTGGAGCGTCCGGACTATGGACGATTTTCTGTACTTGTTTCAATTAAAGACATGAACGATTCTGCACATACATATACAATCTCGGACTCACTACGTACCAACATTCACGATTTTCTCATTGCTGATATGGAAAAAGAACGCCAAAGAAAAATAGCTTTAAATAGGGAATATTTACAGAGTAAAAAGGATCAGAGAGCTGCAGATAAATTAATTTTGGATTTATACGTATTTATGGCTCGTGGAGAAGGAACCACGTCAACAAAGACCGAAAAGGGGAGCATCGCTCCGAAGGCTCAATCCTTGGGAAAGGAGGAAGCGCCTAAGGAATCTGCCGAAATCGAGGTTCCAGAAGCACCCAAACGCACCAGGGTGCCAGATGCCGTCCAGAGGAAATTGGCGGCCGAGAAACAGAAGGGTCCCCAGCCCAGCAGGTTGGCGCAGGAATTGCGCAGTTACCAGGCCGAAAGGAAGAGGCATTCGATGGACGTATATGTCCAGATCACGGGTCTAGACTCAGGAAAAACGCGCGGAGTCAAGGCGCTGCTTGATAGCGGCTGCAGTACCTGCTGTATCGACACTGACTACGCACGGGCGGAGAAGTTGGATATCCAAGAGCTTCCACAACCCATTGTGGCTCGTAATGCCGACAACACCGAGAACATCAGCGGTCGGATCACGCACTACGTCGATCTGAGGATGAGAATTGGTCCTCATATGGAGACACGCACGTTCCTTCTGACGTGCTTAGGGAAAGCCCGGATCTTCATCGGTCTTGATTGGCTGATGGAACACAACCCTGAGGTGGATTGGCAGGAGCAGACCATGAAATTCAGCCGATGCCCAGAGCGGTGTCACATGAGGGGTCACGAGGAACATCAGGCGATGATTGACATGGATGCAATCGACTTGGACACGGACGCACCAGATCTGGAAGAGGGAGAATCGATCCTGTTGGTCGATTTTGGGAAGGAAGTGGATTTACGGCTGAAGGAAACGCCGGCACAGAAATTCGCAGAAGAAGCAGAAAAGGAGAAGGAGAGGATGACCGAGGGGAGAATTCCGGATCAATATCGGGAATTCGTCAAGGTATTCGCCAAGGAATCGTTCGACTTGCTGCCGGACCGACGAGCATGGGATCATGCAATCGAGCTCAAACCTGGTTCCAAAGCAGTGGACTGCAAGGTGTACCCGTTATCACGCAATGAACAAGTCAAACTCGATGAATTCTTGCAAGAGAACCTGGCCAGTGGACGGATCAGGCCATCCAAATCACCCATGGCATCAGCATTCTTCTTTGTCAAGAAGAAGGATGGCGCGCTACGCCCCGTCCAAGATTATCGGAAGCTGAATGAGATGACAATCCGGAATCGATACCCGCTACCGCTGATCTCCGAACTGGTCCATAATCTATGCGGCGCAAAGTTCTTCACCAAGCTCGACATCCGGTGGGGATATAACAATGTACGGATCAAAGAGGGCGACGAGTGGAAGGCTGCATTCCGCACGAACCGAGGGCTGTACGAGCCCTTAGTTATGTTCTTTGGTCTCACGAATTCTCCAGCAACGTTCCAAAACATGATGAACGACATACTCCGAGAATTGATCAACGAGGGTCACGTGGTAGTCTATCTGGATGATATACTGATCTTCACAGAGAACTTGGACGAACATCGGCAGATCACGAAACAAGTACTCGAATTGCTCCAGAAACATAAGCTATACCTGAAGCCCGAAAAGTGCGAGTTCGAACGCACGGAAATCGAATATTTGGGTGTAATTATTGGACACAATTCGATGCGGATGGACCCAGTCAAGATCAAGGGCGTGATGGAATGGCCGGAACCAAAGAGCGTCAAACAAGTCCAAGCGTTTCTAGGTTTCACAAACTTCTATCGACGCTTTGTCCGGGGATACGCGGAGGTTGCCAAGCCGTTGACTCGGCTGACAGGGAAGGCAGGATGGTCATGGGGTACGGATGAGCGTGCAGCATTTGATGGGTTGAAGAAGAGAATCGCGGAGGATGCGGTCTTGGCACTGCCAAACGACACCGGCCAATATCGTCTGGAAGCCGATGCTTCGGAAGGGGCAACAGGATCCGTTTTGAGCCAAAATCAAGACGGCATTTGGCGCCCAATCGCATTTATTTCGCATGCATTGACCGAAACCGAGCGAAATTATGAGATCTACGACAAGGAAATGCTTGCCATCATGTTATCGCTTGACGAATGGAGGCAGTTGCTCCTGGGAGCCACGGAAACGTTTGAGATCTTCACCGATCATCAGAATCTCGAGTACTTTCGGAAGCCACAGAAGCTCAATCGACGGCAAGCACGATGGATCACGGAGTTGGCGGAGTTTGATTTCACCTTACGACACCGGCCCGGCGCACTCAACCGCAAGGCGGATCTCCTGTCTCGACGAGCGGATCACGATCAGGGCAAGAATGACAACAAGGACGTCACCCTACTGAAGCCTGAGTTCTTCCGATCACAAGAAGTCACATTCGAGGGACAGGATCAGCAGCTAATCGATGAAATCAAGGCCATTCGATCGATTGATGGAAGCGTCAAGGCGGCCTTAGAGAAGTCACTTGTCGGATGAAAGAAAGAAGAGGGGCTTATCACGTATCATGGGAAGCTCTATGTACCAAGGGACGAGGAGTTGCGGGACAAGATCATCGGACTACACCACGACACACCCTTGGTCAGACACGCGGGGATCAATCGAACGCAAGAAATGGTGGAAAGGAACTACTGGTGGCCAAGGATGGGGAACCAAATCCGGAAATACATCCAGACGTGCGAGGCGTGTCAGCGGACCAAGACCAGGAGAGCAAGGACAGGGACTCTGCACCCGCATGCAGTCCCAAATGCGCCGTGGGAAATCATCTCCATGGATCAAATCGGACCCCTACCGGTCAGTAACGGGTATGACGCAATTCATGTGTGGTGTGACACCTTCACCAAAATGATCCATGTCAAACCAATCAGTACTGACATCAGCAGTGAAGGAGTCGCACGATTAACCAGGGACCGAGTCTTCCGCTACCACGGGATCCCCCGCAAGATCATCACCGACAGGGATTCGCGTTACATCAAGGGCTTCATGAGGGAGACAAATCGGATGTTGGGCGTGGAAATGAATCCGGGGACCGCATATCACCCGATCACAGATGGACAAACGGAACGCATGAATCAGGAGATCGAGCACTATCTCCGCATCTACGTCAATTACCATCAGACGGACTGGTCGGAATGGCTGGGAATGGCAGAGTTCGCATACAACGACAAGATGAACACGTCTACCAAAATATCACCGTTTTACGCCAATCACGGATATCACCCATGGAAGGGAGTGGAGCAGCGGATGGAGTCAAGAAACGAGTCAGCGGAGGAGTTTGTAAAAAGAATCAAAGAAATACAAGACGAAGCAAAAGCAGCATTGGAAAAAGCAAAAGAAAAAATGAAAAAATACTACGATAAACAAAGAAAAGAAGTTCCGGAGTTGAAGGTTGGGATGAAGGTGTACATAGAAGGGGAAAACATCGAGACGGATAGACCATCAAAGAAGATGAGCGACAAGAGACTAGGGCCATACGAGATACTGGAGAAGGTTGGAGCGGCCGCATGGAAGCTGGATTTGCCGGACACGGACCAAAGACACCCGGTGTTCAACGAGTCACTATTGACACCATATCACGAACCCCCCCCCCCATCGCCGAGAGAAGAGACCCGTAGCCAAGATGATCGGAGGAGCAGAGGAGTGGGAAGTCGAAGAAATCGTGAAAGAACGAAAAGTCGGCCGAGGAAAACAGTACTTGGTCAAATGGAAGGGATGGCCGCACAGCGAGAACACCTGGGAACCATCACGTCACCTTACCCACGCAAAGGACGTCCTGAGAGACTGGCAGAGGAAACAATCAAATCCAGACACACGCATTCGCCTCTTGCCAACGCTCAAAGCTGGACACTGGGACTATCTCATTCATCGTTACAAGCCCAGGGACGAGCGCCTTCCATATCCCGAACAACAACTCTTTGACCCCTACGAGAACGTCTTCACGCCCATTGGCCTAGTCGATGAGGACATCGACCCTAGAGAGGGGGTAATGTCATAGTTCGACCACTTTTTCATCTTATAATCGACGATCTTATCTTATCTTGGCACGACTTATCTTATCACGGATCACGGCATCAGACGGTCCGGGCTAGGGGTTCCAGGGATTATCTCTATCGATTCGAGGCTGCGCGACATATGCTCCGGAAGGTTCTACTACAACCCATGACCAGCGTTCCATGCGGTACATAGTCTTATGACTCATTAGTTGTAGATATGACTCAGACTGGATTTGGGTATAAATACTGTAGCTACTTGGTTGTATTCTCCAGTCTTCGAATTCACTTCTCTTTTCAACTTTGTTTTTGGGTTGATTGTCACACCATACCAAGAAAACCCTGCCAAATTGAAGGATAATTATGTGACATTCTATGGCCATGGCCAGAATAGATACATCGAAATTTGATATAATGCACCCCTGCCCCTGCAGTAGACCTTGCAGTGGGCCCCGCATCTGACCCCTGCATCAATTTCAATGTCTTCCTATAAATTCCCAGTTGGCCTGTTGCTCTGCTCACCTCTACAAGATCTTCAATGAACAAAAATGGATCATGACAGACCAATCCTGGGGCAGCCCCTGCAGCACCCCCCGCAGCACCCCCTGGGGCAGCCCCCGCGGCACCCGCAGCACCCCCTGCGGCACCCCCCGCGGCAGCCCCTGCGGCAGGCCCTGCCAAATGATGGGATCAAGTGTGTCACCAATCCCATTATGCAGGGTGCATTTTGGTTTTTCTAAGCTCAAGTTCATGTTTAACTAGCCTATTTACCTATGGAAATTATACTGGGATGATTTGGGGAGTCTTCCATTTTTTTGGCGGAAAATCATCACAGCATGCAATGTCTCAAGCAGCATCTCCAAAATCATGCCAAATGCTGCAAAAAAGGTGCCCAAAAAGTCACGTGATAATGCGCCCACTGCCCGCCATGGTGTGCGGGGGGGTGGTAGTGACCCCGCCAATGACCCCGCCAACCCCTGCCAGCATTTTGGTAATTTTGTGCAGCGCATCACGTGATTTTTTATCCCGCCATCCCGCCCATGCAGCATGTCATGTGATTGTATTTTTTTTTCCCGCTCATATGCCCGCTCCTCATGATAAGTCACATGGTACATATAGGTACCCCCTCTCCTGACCCCCGCATATGCCCCCGCCGCCAAATCGTCAAAATGGCCCCCCCACCCCCCGCCAGGGGGTACCTACTGGGTACCCTCAGCAAGACGTCTGAGGGTACCCAGTAGGTACCCCGCGGGGGGAGAACCGCGTGATGGCGGTGGTAACTGAGGTGCTTGGTTGAAGATACCAGGTGCGTTAGGCCATTCGGTCCTGGGTTGGATCAGCAACATGCGAGATGGACGCATATGAAAACAAGGCCGCCGCACCCTTGACGCGATGGGAGCGTTCCCTCGGTGACGATGAAACCAGTTCCGCCCTTGGCGCGCTGGACATAATATTCGAGCATGATAGCATTGGGAATGGTGTTGTGATAATCAACAAGAAATAATGTCGAAAAGAGAACTGAATTCGAAGACTGGAGAACACAACCAAGTAGCTACAGTATTTATACCCAAATCCAGTCTGAGTCATATCTACAACTAATGAGTCATAAGGCTATGTACCGCATGGAGCACTGGTCATGGGTTGTAGTAGAACCTTCTGGAGCATATGTCGCGCAGCCTCGAATCGATGAAGATAATCCCTGGAACCCCTAGTCCGGACCGTCGGATGCCGTGATCCGTGATAAGATGATCCGTGTCGAGATAAGATGAGATCGTCGAGGATAAGATGAAAAAGAGTCGAATTATGACATTACCCCCTCTCTAGGGTCGATGTCCTCATCGACTAGGTCAATGGGCGTGAAGACATCCTTGTAGGGATCGAAGAGTTGTCGCTGGGGATATGGAAGGCGCTCGTCTTTGGGTTTGTAGCGATGGATGAGATAATCCCAGTGTCCAGCTTCGAGCGTTGGCAGGAGGCGAATGCGTGTGTCTGGATTTGATTGTTTCCTCTGCCAGTCTCTCAGGACGTCCTTCGCGTGGGTAAGGTGACGTGATGGTTCCCAGGTGTTCTCGCTGTGCGGCCATCCCTTCCATTTGACCAAGTACTGTTTTCCTCGGCCGACTTTTCGCTCTTTCACGATTTCTTCGACTTCCCACTCCTCTGCTCCTCCGATCATCTTGGCTACGGGTCTCTTCTCTCGGCGATGGGGGGGGGGGGGGTTCGTGATATGATGTCAATAGTGACTCGTTGAACACCGGGTGTCTTTGGTCCGTGTCCGGCAAATCCAGCTTCCATGCGGCCGCTCCAACCTTCTCCAGTATCTCGTATGGTCCTAATCTCTTGTCGCTCATCTTCTTTGATGGTCTATCCGTCTCGATGTTTTCCCCTTCTATGTACACCTTCATCCCAACCTTCAACTCCGGAACTTCTTTTCTTTGTTTATCGTAGTATTTTTTCATTTTTTCTTTTGCTTTTTCCAATGCTGCTTTTGCTTCGTCTTGTATTTCTTTGATTCTTTTTACAAACTCCTCCGCTGACTCGTTTCTTGACTCCATCCGCTGCTCCACTCCCTTCCATGGGTGATATCCGTGATTGGCGTAAAACGGTGATATTTTGGTAGACGTGTTCATCTTGTCGTTGTATGCGAACTCTGCCATTCCCAGCCATTCCGACCAGTCCGTCTGATGGTAATTGACGTAGATGCGGAGATAGTGCTCGATCTCCTGATTCATGCGTTCCGTTTGTCCATCTGTGATCGGGTGATATGCGGTCCCCGGATTCATTTCCACGCCCAACATCCGATTTGTCTCCCTCATGAAGCCCTTGATGTAACGCGAATCCCTGTCGGTGATGATCTTGCGGGGGATCCCGTGGTAGCGGAAGACTCGGTCCCTGGTTAATCGTGCGACTCCTTCACTGCTGATGTCAGTACTGATTGGTTTGACATGGATCATTTTGGTGAAGGTGTCACACCACACATGAATTGCGTCATACCCGTTACTGACCGGTAGGGGTCCGATTTGATCCATGGAGATGATTTCCCACGGCGCATTTGGGACTGCATGCGGGTGCAGAGTCCCTGTCCTTGCTCTCCTGGTCTTGGTCCGCTGACACGCCTCGCACGTCTGGATGTATTTCCGGATTTGGTTCCCCATCCTTGGCCACCAGTAGTTCCTTTCCACCATTTCTTGCGTTCGATTGATCCCCGCGTGTCTGACCAAGGGTGTGTCGTGGTGTAGTCCGATGATCTTGTCCCGCAACTCCTCGTCCCTTGGTACATAGAGCTTCCCATGATACGTGATAAGCCCCTCTTCTTTCTTTCATCCGACAAGTGACTTCTCTAAGGCCGCCTTGACGCTTCCATCAATCGATCGAATGGCCTTGATTTCATCGATTAGCTGCTGATCCTGTCCCTCGAATGTGACTTCTTGTGATCGGAAGAACTCAGGCTTCAGTAGGGTGACGTCCTTGTTGTCATTCTTGCCCTGATCGTGATCCGCTCGTCGAGACAGGAGATCCGCCTTGCGGTTGAGTGCGCCGGGCCGGTGTCGTAAGGTGAAATCAAACTCCGCCAACTCCGTGATCCATCGTGCTTGCCGTCGATTGAGCTTCTGTGGCTTCCGAAAGTACTTGAGATTCTGATGATCGGTGAAGATCTCAAACGTTTCCGTGGCTCCCAGGAGCAACTGCCTCCATTCGTCAAGCGATAACATGATGGCAAGCATTTCCTTGTCGTAGATCTCATAATTTCGCTCGGTTTCGGTCAATGCATGCGAAATAAATGCGATTGGGCGCCAAATGCCGTCTTGATTTTGGCTCAAAACGGATCCTGTTGCCCCTTCCGAAGCATCGGCTTCCAGACGATATTGGCCGGTGTCGTTTGGCAGTGCCAAGACCGCATCCTCCGCGATTCTCTTCTTCAACCCATCAAATGCTGCACGCTCATCCGTACCCCATGACCATCCTGCCTTCCCTGTCAGCCGAGTCAACGGCTTGGCAACCTCCGCGTATCCCCGGACAAAGCGTCGATAGAAGTTTGTGAAACCTAGAAACGCTTGGACTTGTTTGACGCTCTTTGGTTCTGGCCATTCCATCACGCCCTTGATCTTGACTGGGTCCATCCGCATCGAATTGTGTCCAATAATTACACCCAAATATTCGATTTCCGTGCGTTCGAACTCGCACTTTTCGGGCTTCAGGTATAGCTTATGTTTCTGGAGCAATTCGAGTACTTGTTTCGTGATCTGCCGATGTTCGTCCAAGTTCTCTGTGAAGATCAGTATATCATCCAGATAGACTACCACGTGACCCTCGTTGATCAATTCTCGGAGTATGTCGTTCATCATGTTTTGGAACGTTGCCGGAGAATTCGTGAGACCAAAGAACATAACTAAGGGCTCGTACAGCCCTCGGTTCGTGCGGAATGCAGCCTTCCACTCGTCGCCCTCTTTGATCCGTACATTGTTATATCCCCACCGGATGTCGAGCTTGGTGAAGAACTTTGCGCCGCATAGATTATGGACCAGTTCGGAGATCAGCGGTAGCGGGTATCGATTCCGGATTGTCATCTCATTCAGCTTCCGATAATCTTGGACGGGGCGTAGCGCGCCATCCTTCTTCTTGACAAAGAAGAATGCTGATGCCATGGGTGATTTGGATGGCCTGATCCGTCCACTGGCCAGGTTCTCTTGCAAGAATTCATCGAGTTTGACTTGTTCATTGCGTGATAACGGGTACACCTTGCAGTCCACTGCTTTGGAACCAGGTTTGAGCTCGATTGCATGATCCCATGCTCGTCGGTCCGGCAGCAAGTCGAACGATTCCTTGGCGAATACCTTGACGAATTCCCGATATTGATCCGGAATTCTCCCCTCGGTCATCCTCTCCTTCTCCTTTTCTGCTTCTTCTGCGAATTTCTGTGCCGGCGTTTCCTTCAGCCGTAAATCCACTTCCTTCCCAAAATCGACCAACAGGATCGATTCTCCCTCTTCCAGATCTGGTGCGTCCGTGTCCAAGTCGATTGCATCCATGTCAATCATCGCCTGATGTTCCTCGTGACCCCTCATGTGACACCGCTCTGGGCATCGGCTGAATTTCATGGTCTGCTCCTGCCAATCCACCTCAGGGTTGTGTTCCATCAGCCAATCAAGACCGATGAAGATCCGGGCTTTCCCTAAGCACGTCAGAAGGAACGTGCGTGTCTCCATATGAGGACCAATTCTCATCCTCAGATCGACGTAGTGCGTGATCCGACCGCTGATGTTCTCGGTGTTGTCGGCATTACGAGCCACAATGGGTTGTGGAAGCTCTTGGATATCCAACTTCTCCGCCCGTGCGTAGTCAGTGTCGATACAGCAGGTACTGCAGCCGCTATCAAGCAGCGCCTTGACTCCGCGCGTTTTTCCTGAGTCTAGACCCGTGATCTGGACATATACGTCCATCGAATGCCTCTTCCTTTCGGCCTGGTAACTGCGCAATTCCTGCGCCAACCTGCTGGGCTGGGGACCCTTCTGTTTCTCGGCCGCCAATTTCCTCTGGACGGCATCTGGCACCCTGGTGCGTTTGGGTGCTTCTGGAACCTCGATTTCGGCAGATTCCTTAGGCGCTTCCTCCTTTCCCAAGGATTGAGCCTTCGGAGCGATGCTCCCCTTTTCGGTCTTTGTTGACGTGGTTCCTTCTCCACGAGCCATAAATACGTATAAATCCAAAATTAATTTATCTGCAGCTCTCTGATCCTTTTTACTCTGTAAATATTCCCTATTTAAAGCTATTTTTCTTTGGCGTTCTTTTTCCATATCAGCAATGAGAAAATCGTGAATGTTGGTACGTAGTGAGTCCGAGATTGTATATGTATGTGCAGAATCGTTCATGTCTTTAATTGAAACAAGTACAGAAAATCGTCCATAGTCCGGACGCTCCACCTCCTTGGCTAGAGGAGTGGAGCGCTTCAAAAACCCTTCTCGCGCAGCTTCTCGGCAATCTCCTTGAGGAACTTGTTGTCCTTATCCCCGTTCTCGATCTCTTCCAGCATTGTGGCCCGATTGAAGAACATGCGCTTCTTCTTGGGCTCCGGACAATTCCGCGCGATGTGCCCAGGCTGCTGACAGTTGTAGCAGATGATATTGCGGCCGCGGGCATGGGTCCGATCGATTTCCATCGGGACCGGTTCGTTGGCAGCCGGTCGGGTCGGAGCAGGCGTGGGTGCCGCTGGTGCTGCCTGAGGGCGGAATTGGGGAGGAGGCCGTGGAGTCGAGTGCGCATAGGAGGCCTTACGCAGCTGATCGCGCAAGGCATTGGCCTCGATGTTGACACACCAGTTCTTGAAGGCACCATATGCCTTGGGCAGGGGAACGCCGGTGTTGTAGAGGCGGCTTGCAATTTCGCTGCTGAGTCCGCGCTCCAGGAACTCGATGAGGATGTTGTCCTGTTCCCCCTTCTTGTACTCGCCCTTGCTGTCGGTGGAGGTGACCACGTTGTACCCCGCGTCTGCAGCCAGCATTTCGAAGTCGGAGATGTAGTCCGCAAAGGACCGTCTGCCCTGGCGAAGGGCCATGAGTCGGGCGGCAGCGACTTGCTCTGCGTTAGAATCCCCAAAGGCCCTCTGAAGCTCCTCCAAGAAGCTTGTTGCGGTGACTCCTGCCTTTAGTCCTTGGAAGCCCTCGAAATTGTGCTGCTTCCAGTTCATTGCCCATCTTGAGGCGGCGCAGCTTGTGCCGCTCTCATTTCGGAGGTAGGACAGGACGAAGAGGATTTTTGTCTCGTCCAGCGAGAACTCCGACCGATAGGCACCGATGTAAGTGGTGCACGCGTCCACAAAGCCCAGGTACTTGGACTTGTCGCCATCGAAGTAGGGAGGATTGGCGGCGAGGGTGATGCGGTGATGTCCTGACATGGTAGGAGCAGGTGTGGTAGGTGGGGGCGAGGGTGGTTGTTCGGAGGGTAACTCGTCAAGGTCGGGTATCTCGTCTTCAGGAGGCGGGAGGGCGAGGTAGGGGTTGGAGGGCCCGGGTTGGTTTTGATGCGCCAGATCGGGCGACGATGGTAGGATGGGAGGAGGAGACGGACTCCCAGACGACAATGGGAATCGGAACGAAATGGTGGATTCGTGTGCTGTACAAGCACTCGAGGGAGGGTTCTTTTGCTAGCAAAAAGATCCCGGGCCTAGCTCTTCACGTGCCCGATGATCCCGAGGTGCGTTTTCCCGAAGGTCTCCGCAGCACTCCTTGTAGCTACCGTAAGGCTTGGGTCGGGCTCAACGTTACCCGTGGCCTGGTGCTGTTTGCTCGATATGAACCCTTCACTGCGATCGCAGAGGACGACTAGATGATTCGGTAAAAGGGTAAGTGGGGTGATAAGGATGAAGAGGATATAGCGGGCGTAGCGGTGCGGTGATGCAGGGTAGGAGGTAAGAGGTACGAGGGTATGAGGGGAGTCTTCCAATTATGTGACAATCAACCCAAAAACAAAGTCGAAAAGAGAAGTGAATTCGAAGACTGGAGAATACAACCAAGTAGCTACAGTATTTATACCCAAATCCAGTCTGAGTCATAAGACTATGTACCGCATGGAACGCTGGTCATGGGTTGTAGTAGAACCTTCCGGAGCATATGTCGCGCAGCCTCGAATCGATAGAGATAATCCCTGGAACCCCTAGCCCGGACCGTCTGATGCCGTGATCCGTGATAAGATAAGTCGTGCCAAGATAAGATAAGATCGTCGATGATAAGATGAAAAAGTGGTCGAACTATGACATATGGTCTGCGGCTAAAGGCATCTGATTCCCTTGTGTGTTAGCAGAGGCTGGGATATTGAAAACATGCAATAGCACCTGTATAATCTGTCTATGTAGGGTCAAATACAAGTTATGGTTCGTTCATGTATTGCCGGGCAGGGTGGGTAGGTTGGCTGCACTGGGTCCACTGTCATCTCATTGATTTTTGGTGCGCTCATTCTACATACATGGCTATCAGGAAATTGTTCACACTGTTAGCACAGTGTAATCTTACCCTGCAGCACATTGTACCAAATGTCAAGTACACATTGAATGTCTCACTTCCTGACTGGGACTCATTGAAAATCAGAAGTTCTGTGATGTTTTGCAAATGATTTTCTCAAGCTGCAACATGAACAGATGGAATATAGCGGATTTGACATGCCCTCGATTCATTCCTGGGTTGTATATAAGAGGATGAAATAACTCACTCATAAGTTGTCTCACAATAGCCAGAGATCGAGAATGAATTCAGATTTCATATACAAAATTCTTTCCACTTAGAGCTTGGATACTTGCAAGACAAACTGCAGAAACATACATGATTGCTTTTGCTACTGGGACTGCATACATTCTTGCCATAACTCACTGCCTGCAACTCTACCTGCACCCCCCACTGGCACCCCCACTGGCACCCCTGCGGGCACCCCCCGCCAAACTGGCACCCCCCACCGCACCCCCGCATGCACCCCCGCCAGGCTGACACCCCCTGCCACACCCCCCGCTGCACCGGTGCCTTGCCCCTGCCATCTTCTCATATGTAAGATTACATAATCTGACAGCTCGGGACACGTCAAGTCACCAGCCAATCAGAACCTGTATAAATGTCGTACCTAAGTGTTTCCTGCTCTTCTGACACTGTTTCTACAGTTATGCAACTGAAAACCATCGGAATAAGGTCTCCCTATGCTGTTCTTGTTGAATATGTAGGTATTTCATATTGTTTGTCCATCCAAAATTCGAAACATGAAAACAGTTCACAGTTGCTCAAGGTTCCTACATAGATAATGGTTCAACATAGTTCACTTTGGGTATTGCAAAAATATATTTTCTACAAATGAACAACTCAATACAGCTGAATGATATACCCCTTGGCAGTGTCTGAAACAAATTCTGAGAGCCCTGGACCCTGGAACCATTCAAAAACTTGAAATGGGTCCGAAAAATAGGGTCTTGATAAACATGAGATAGGGGCCAGTTTGAAGAGATGTAAGCCACTGGCCATGTTCAATATGGTATTTGACAATGTTTCGGTGCCCTACCTCTTGCCAAATGGCCTCCTTTCCCACCAAAAAGTGCACATACACACTCAAGCTTATAAAATCAATTGTCGGCCAGAAACAAGAGCAGGCAAGTTGTGTCACTGGAATTGGGTAAAGGTAACCTGGAAGTCACTTGGGTTGCAGTACAGAAGCTTTGGAAAGTGATCCTGTAGTTGATCCACATTGGGTAGGCTGGCAGAGGCTTGGGCACCCCCCGCGGCACCCCCCGCGGCACCCCCCGCGGCAGCCCCCACCATCAACCCTGCCCCAGCCCCTGCAAGGATTGGATGGACAAAAGTGCTGCTTAATCCATTTTTAGTGTTCACAGTATTATCACATCCATTAAAGTGTCTAAATGGTGTGTAGACAAGGAATATGAAATCCATCAATCAACAATCCTAACACCTGTATCAGATATCCTGAAAATGGAGAGGAAGATTTGGGAGCAGACAGACTATCTGAAGCAAACAGACAGGGACAAGGATCAGTAGCTATTCCTGGTGATCAATTTGGCTGCACATGGAAAACTCCCTTGGGGAATTTGCCAAACAAATCAAGTTGCGCATTTTTCAAACATTAAATTTGACCTAATAGCTTTAGCAGACCATGCCCAAATGTACCAAGTCATAACTTGTATTTGACCCTACATAGACAGATTATACAGGTGCTATTGCATGTTTTCAATATCCCAGCCTCTGCTAACACACAAGGGAATCAGATGCCTTTAGCCACAGACCATACCAAGAAAACCCTGCCAAATTGAAGGATAATTATGTGACATTCTATGGCCATGGCCAGAATAGATACATCGAAATTTGATATAATGCACCCCTGCCCCTGCAGTAGACCTTGCAGTGGGCCCCGCATCTGACCCCTGCATCAATTTCAATGTCTTCCTATAAATTCCCAGTTGGCCTGTTGCTCTGCTCACCTCTACAAGATCTTCAATGAACAAAAATGGATCATGACAGACCAATCCTGGGGCAGCCCCTGCAGCACCCCCTGCAGCACCCCCTGGGGCAGCCCCCGCGGCACCCGCAGCACCCCCTGCGGCACCCCCCGCGGCAGCCCCTGCGGCAGGCCCTGCCAAATGATGGGATCAAGTGTGTCACCAATCCCATTATGCAGGGTGCATTTTGGTTTTTCTAAGCTCAAGTTCATGTTTAACTAGCCTATTTACCTATGGAAATTATACTGGGATGATTTGGGGAGTCTTCCATTTTTTTGGCGGAGAATCACGTGATTTTGCGCCCATTGTCTGCCACAGCATGCAATGTCTCAAGCAGCATCTCCAAAATCATGCCAAATGCTGCAAAAAAGGTGCCCAAAAAGTCACGTGATAATGCGCCCACTGCCCGCCATGGTGTGCGGGGGGGTGGTAGTGACCCCGCCAATGACCCCGCCAACCCCTGCCAGCATTTTGGTAATTTTGTGCAGCGCATCACGTGATTTTTTATCCCGCCATCCCGCCCATGCAGCATGTCATGTGATTGTTGCGAGCGAAGCGAGCAATCATCGACTAAGGGCTGCCAGCGCGCACAAAACAAGAACAAATTCTAAGGACTTTTGATGGGAGCTGGGGCAAGATTGTTGTGCCTCATACTCGTTCAATTGTCCATAGTTCTCTCTGAAACTTGGCACACGAGTTATAGTACTATGGGTCCTACAGAATGTCAAGTCCCATCCATAACAATGTAGAATTGAGCCCAGTCGAACTGCGCACCAAGCACCGGCCTATGCTCAGCGAATTCTCCTCCGTTTTCTTTGGGAGTTGCACAGTAAGATGCCGGGCGTCGTATACCTACAATCCTAGACTTTGAGAGGTGCTACGCCGAGTGCTCTCTCTGCCGCTGGAACTCGAGGCTTTGCCTGCTGCCTTGCCACCAACCGGTCACGCGGGATATTGCGATCAGTACCAGTTGGAGCGTACAAGTGGTTTTGCACGTAGATATCCCCAATAGATCTGAGTTTAGTGTAAAAATGCGACTATGTAGTCTTCGAAGCGAGCATCCAGCGCCTCTTGCGCGATTCCATTTTATTTTTTTTTCCCGCTCATATGCCCGCTCCTCATGATAAGTCACATGGTACATATAGGTACCCCCTCTCCTGACCCCCGCATAAGCCCCCGCCGCCAAATCGACAAAATGGCCCCCCCACCCCCCGCCAGGGGGTACCTACTGGGTACCCTCAGCAAGACGTCTGAGGGTACCCTCAGCAAGACGTCTGAGGGTACCCAGTAGGTACCCCGCGGGGGAGAACCGCGTGATGGCGGTGGTAACTGAGGTGCAACCAAGAGCAGATCGACGGTTGGAAGAAAATCGTGGATGCTGTTCATGCAGAAGGTTCTAAAATCTACTGCCAGTTGCTGCACTGTGAGTCGCAAGGTCTCTCTCCCTCGGGATCTCAGCTTAGCGGCAATGACAGTGGGTCGGATCAGTCACCCCGATGCACCCGAGCAATTGGCACCCCAGGGACCTCCAATTATTACGTAAAATGGCTTCGAGGCCCCCTCCGGAGGCCATCAAACCACCCCCTACCCCCCCTGATCGGAGGCCATCCTGGAGGCGCCTTCCTAATTGGGATGCTGCCTGGCCATTTGTCCACTGCCTGTATGGTAGGCTAGGGATTGGCCTGAGTGCTGATATATGCTGTAGTAGTCAGTATAAAGCCTCAGACAATGTCTTACCTCTCAAAAGCATGTATTTCTTGCTTGCAAATGGCAGACCACTGGGTGCACAAAATTCGGGATCTGAGTACGTGAGCACTCCTCAGGTGCATAGAGCAACAGTATATGTATTAATTCAAGATTGAGCATGAGGTAGCTGTGCCCACATGCAAAAAATGAGATGTTGCTGAAGGGATGGTTTATGGCCTCCACGACCTCCCAGGGGCAGAAAAAAAGGTGTTGGGTAGCTCACAGGCCCTTGAATTCCGCTTCAATAGATCAATTTGATGCTTATGCTTTGTCAAAACAACAGCCCAGGATATAAATTAGATGCTGGTGCAGTGGCAGAACTAGCCTCCACCGCCTCCAGAGCTGGGGACCAAAAGCGGTTATTGTAGATTCAGCCACATAAACCATATTTCTGATGTTGTTTGTCCTAGTCAGAATTTCTGGGTATTCCAGAGAGACAGGTGGCTACATAGATCAGATGCTAGCAGCAATAGCAGAACTGGCCTCCATGGCCTCCACAGCCAGTGACCAAAAGCGGTTTTTTGGGTTCAGCCACATAAGCCATGTCTATGAAGTTGAAGGTCTTTATTATAATTACAAGGGTCCTTTAGTTAGATGTCTCACCACGTGAATCAGATGCTGGAGCAAATGGCAGAACTGGCCTCTACCGCCTCCACAGGTTATTACTTGAAGAGTCTGGATGAGATGACAATGTAACAGATAGATGTTCTCATAGATAACTATGTTCTGCTATTTATACCTCTGCATGCTAGTTTGATTGCAATAAAATGTTGAATTCAGAGAATGGGGGACCCTGGAGGCACTGGAGGCGCATGCAAGATCCAATCAATATCATCAATGCTATCAATGCCATCAATAGCATCACCGATCATTGGTAGATTGATCAGCCAATCAAATCATGAATAAAGATCGAACATCTAGTATATTCATTCCTGAGAGACACAGACTAGATGTATGCTCATACTGAAAGTGGACTAGTGGTCCCAGGACATGCCCCAATGACATATTGCATGCTTGTCTCAGGGACATATGATTAAAAATCGGAGTTGGCAAATGAGCTGAAAGTACTCCACTGTACCACTCATCTTCAGTTGACTTTCAGTTCATTTGCAAACTCCGAATTTCAATCATATGTTCTTGAGACAAGGATGCAATATGTCACTGGGGCATGTCCTGGGACCACTAGTCCACTTTCAGTATGAGCATACATCTAGTCTGTGTCTCTCAGGAATGAATATACTAGATGTTCGATCTTTATTCATGATTTGATTGGCTGATCAATCTACCAATGATCGGTGATGCTATTGATGGCATTGATAGCATTGATGATATTGATTGGATCTTGCATGCGCCTCCAGTGCCTCCAGGGTCCCCCATTCTCTGAATTCAACATTTTATTGCAATCAAACTAGCATGCAGAGGTATAAATAGCAGAACATAGTTATCTATGAGAACATCTATCTGTTACATTGTCATCTCATCCAGACTCTTCAAGTAATAACCTGTGGAGGCGGTAGAGGCCAGTTCTGCCATTTGCTCCAGCATCTGATTCACGTGGTGAGACATCTAACTAAAGGACCCTTGTAATTATAATAAAGACCTTCAACTTCATAGACATGGCTTATGTGGCTGAACCCAAAAAACCGCTTTTGGTCACTGGCTGTGGAGGCCATGGAGGCCAGTTCTGCTATTGCTGCTAGCATCTGATCTATGTAGCCACCTGTCTCTCTGGAATACCCAGAAATTCTGACTAGGACAAACAACATCAGAAATATGGTTTATGTGGCTGAATCTACAATAACCGCTTTTGGTCCCCAGCTCTGGAGGCGGTGGAGGCTAGTTCTGCCACTGCACCAGCATCTAATTTATATCCTGGGCTGTTGTTTTGACAAAGCATAAGCATCAAATTGATCTATTGAAGCGGAATTCAAGGGCCTGTGAGCTACCCAACACCTTTTTTTCTGCCCCTGGGAGGTCGTGGAGGCCATAAACCATCCCTTCAGCAACATCTCATTTTTTGCATGTGGGCACAGCTACCTCATGCTCAATCTTGAATTAATACATATACTGTTGCTCTATGCACCTGAGGAGTGCTCACGTACTCAGATCCCGAATTTTGTGCACCCAGTGGTCTGCCATTTGCAAGCAAGAAATACATGCTTTTGAGAGGTAAGACATTGTCTGAGGCTTTATACTGACTACTACAGCATATATCAGCACTCAGGCCAATCCCTAGCCTACCATACAGGCAGTGGACAAATGGCCAGGCAGCATCCCAATTAGGAAGGCGCCTCCAGGATGGCCTCCGATCAGGGGGGGTAGGGGGTGGTTTGATGGCCTCCGGAGGGGGCCTCGAAGCCATTTTACGTAATAATTGGAGGTCCCTGGGGTGGCAATTGGCTGCTGGAGAGGTTCGTCCTGACAACATCATCTTCAGCGAGCTGAACGCATATATCGTAGCCTGTCTGGGCGCCTTCGGCCATCTCTGCACGCGGAGGAAAGTTCAGACTTTTGCCTGGTGTCCCGGGCTACGTGACGGTGCGTCGCCCGCTAGCATGATATGATCTTTGTCGTTGATTCGTTTCCGAAAGCCCACCGAGGTACCTGACCCCACGGTCCTCATCGCCCAAATCAAGCAAGCCGCGGTCAATGCTAAAGAGGCGGGTTTCGACGGAGTCGAACGTGAGCGCCTGGTCCTTAGATGCCGAGTGCAGATTTTGCTCACGAGGAACCGGGCAGTGCACGGGGCAAACGGCTACCTTGTGGCTCAGTTCCTCGAGACTCACTCGAATCAGCGCACCGACAAATGGGGTGGCAGCGTCGAGAACCGTACCCGGTTTGCGTTGGAGACATTGAAGGCGCTTATTGAGGTGTATGGCGAGAATGTCTCGATCAAGATCAACCCTGGTGATTCAATCATCCATAATCCGTGTTTTTTTTTCGAAGCTGACTTTGTTTATCCAGCTGGAGGCTACAATGGCGAGTATTTATTTCAGGACCATCATTCAAAAACTGATAGCGAATCGGTTTCAGACATGGGTATGCCTCTCCAGGATGCTATCGACACGTACAGCTATCTTCTGAAGGCCGTCGACACCATGGGGCTGTCATACGTCGCCCTCGTCCGATACAGCGAGGCCTTCGACCCCGAATATGATGGTCAGTGCAAACCGACCACTTTCTTAGCTCTTCTCTCACTTCTTCATGGAAGGCAAGAAACGGGGCACCCCGCACGACATTGTCGCCACGTACAGCCCTTTCTTGCAGAAAACCCCGATCTGGGTCAATTCCGGTGTGACTCCGGAAGAGGCTGAGAAGCTTGTGAGTGGTGGTGAGATCGCTGGGGTGTTCTTTGGGTTTGCGCAGATCACGTGCCCGGATGTCGGCTACCGTATCAAGGCTGGGATCCCGCTCGATAACGCGCCTGACTTGAAGCATACGTACGGAATCGAGGGTGTGGACTATGCGATCGGGTACACCGACTACCCCGCTGCGAAGTAGAATCGATTCTACAGTCCCTAGAACCTATCACATGAAACAATTTGGCTCAAGCGAATGAATTGTCTCAGCGTCAGGACCATTTTCAACGCGAATGAAAATGAGGCTCGAGCCCATGATCAGGTTCCCGGCTAAACCTCTCTGAGTGACAGTGTCCCAAAAGCTCTATTTTCGTGATGCACGCGGCCTGTGTCGAACGGTATGGGCCGACCAATCGATAGAAGGTAAAAAAAAAACGCGGCTCCAAAACCGTAGAACACAAGCGTGTCATTCCCATACTGCCACCAGATCTCCAGCAATCCCGGGGCAGCGCCTATGTCCTTCGCGAGGGTTCTTATGTACGAGCTATATTCTACTCCGTACTTGATTCTGGCAGCTCTTTCCCAAGAAGATGGTATTGAGCAGACCGCAGTGGCAGATCAAGCGGCCCCTTGATCAGAGATATCCAGAACAATCCCTGCGTCTTGGCAATATGGTGCCATTCCTTAATCACAGCTACTCGGGAACTAGTCCGAAATGGGCCCGAGCGCACAGCAGAACCTGTTGGATCAGAACAGATTCTCAATAATTGATTTCCTCCCTATATATGCCCCATCTATCTTAGTTGTGGGGTTAGAGTTATCATCAGCTACATCTAGGTATAGGGTACTCCGGTGCTGCAAGAATACCATCCGAAATGAATCCCGGGCCATGGGGGGGCAATTCAGGGACTCATGGTAAGTAACTTGTAATTAGGTCCAGGGATTCGGAACTCGGCGACAACATTAGCGTTAGCTTACACATGGGTTGCCGAAGGAGATCAAAAGCATATTCTCCCGCGCCCGGAAAACGCTTGTGCGTGTTAGCCGTCCCGCGTAAGTAACTGGGATTATAGCCATGAGGCTGAGCAGCTTACACCCCGCGAACTTCTCACATAACAGCGTTGTATCATTGAATGAGCTATGGCCGTTCGTACTCTGTGTAGTTGACGCCCCCCACTCACTGCCATACACAGCACGAACAGCAAGGGCGTCTACGGACGACTGGAGTGATCGAGAGGCTGTACAGACCCCAGACACCGTGCTCGATAAGGCACTTGTGTAGCCGCATTAGGGACGATTGATCAGTCGATAGATCAATATCACCGCCACAGGTCTGGTCATGCCTGCCATCCGGGGCCGGGGAAGCGCAGGGTAGACAGTGAGCGACTCACACGCAGCTTGACTTGTGTTGACTAGGTCCAGGGACGTGGACGGGAACGGGCACGGGAAGAACGAGCAAAGCACACCCACCAGGCCTGTTTGCGTGGGCCTCCTTCTGTTCGCTTCTTTGTTCGTGTGCTCGTAGGCACAGCACCGCTCTGGCCTGATAGAGTACTTACATTACACAGACACGCACCTACGGATACACCTTGCTCCTTACCTTTCCACACCCACCATACTACTTTCTTCGCTCCCCTCCCCACCACCTACTCTGAACCCAAGACTCATTTCCCTGGCCAACAGCACGGCATGGACACCCTCCGCACCCTTGTGGGCGGCTCGTCCGTCGTGGACGGGATGAAGCTCGTCGTCCTCGGTGGCACGGTCGAGACAGCGAGGCGGATGAGCAGTTCTGCATGGAGCCATTTCGTGAACTGTGCGTCGCCTTCCCTTCCACGCTCTTCACTCGAGGTGCTCGGTGCCTTCGCGTCCCGTCTGCCTTCGTTTTGTGTTCCTCTTACCCATTCTTCGATATTGAGTGCCCATGCTGTGTGCTGACTCTGGCATTCTACAGCTTTCTTCCTCACTGCGCACTTCTCGGAGGAGGATCACCCGTACGACTGGCTGATGCTATGGCTCTCGCGACGGTCCGTGTTTGCTGCTGTGTGATGCAATAGCGAGAGGCTGACGCGTACTTCATTCTTCCGCTCCCTGCTACTTTTCTTCTCTACTGACGACTATGCTACACCCACCACGCGTCGTCCGCACATTCCCACCCCCCTCACGCCGGACACCTCGGCCTCACGACGCACATGCACACGTATACCGGGATCCGCCGCGCCACATCCATCACCACCACCACCACCTCGCTCATTCCACGCCCTCCAATCCGCACGCCACAGCCCCGAATGGCAACGTTCGCGGGAATTCGAGACGACTACTCGGGCAGCACACGCGGGCCAGGCCGGATGGGAGGAAGAGGACATCACTTCTTCGTCGTACTTCGACCCTTCTCCCTCCTCATCATCGGTATCCACTCCCTCACCGCCCTCCAAAACGCGCGTGATCTTCCAACCGACATTCGACTCTACACACACAATATTTTGGCGCGGGCACTGGCTGCGGGTCAAACGTGGAAGAGGCACCGACGGGGGCGAGGTCCTCAGCGTCAGCGTCGTCGCTAGATCGAACGATGTGCTCAAGGCACTTGTGATGGTTGCGAAGCGGGAGTATGAAGCGGAGGCGGTGCATCGTATCCAGATTTTCTTTGCTGACCCGCATGGGAGCTGGAGGTGGGCCGATGCCCGGCATAAGCGCCCCATGGGAAGCATCGTTCTCGACCCTGGCGTAAAGGAAATGTTATTAGGTGATGCACGTGATTTTCTTGCGAGCGAGAAGGTGGGCACGTTTCGCCTTAGTTGGTCATAATCCGATGCTGACTGGGAGCTGACTAGTGGTATGCGGATCGGGGGATCCCGTTTCGAAGAGGATATCTTCTGCACGGTGTGCCAGGGTCGGGCAAGAGCTCTTTGATCCATGCGATCGCAGGAGAGCTTATGCTCGATGTGTACGTCGTATCGCTGTCGAGTGCTTGGATAAGCGACAGCGTATTGATGAGTCTCATGGGTCGGGTTCCAAAGGTATTCCAACAGCGACTGTGCGCGGGTAGTTGACTAATGAACCGATCGTTCAGGGTGCCATTCTGCTCTTAGAAGACCTCGACGCTGCGTTCACCAGATCCGTCTCCCGCACTGATTCTGGCGATGGACAAGGAGAAGGCCCCGAGCTGCCCGCTGGTTCGAAGCGGCGTGCCAGGGCCGAGGCTGCTAATGCCGCCAACGCCTCTAATACAATGAGCGACCTGAACACCCTTAGCTTGAGCGGGCTGCTCAACGCGCTGGATGGTGTGGCCGCTGCAGAGGGCCGGATTCTTTTTGCCACGACCAACCATCTCGAGAAGCTTGATCCGGCATTGTCTCGACCGGGGCGGATGGATGTGTGGGTCGAATTCCGGAATGCGAGTCGCTGGCAAGCGGAGGCTCTGTTTAGAAACTTTTTCCCAGAGGAAGAACCGGCTGCTTCTGATTCTGAGGATGATATCGTGCTGGATGGGAGTGCCCTTGGGACCAATATGCGCTCGGCGTCATCCACCTCTTTGTGGTCTGACACCTCCTTCTTCTCGTCTTCGTCCTCGTCGACTCCATCCATCCCTTCGACCCCGTCAACAGACCCGTCGGTCCCCGGACTGCCCCAATTCGGAAGCTCTAATAAGACATTCCTCCCACCGCCCGTGGCTCCGGAGATTCTTGCGGCCCAGCATTCCGCTCGTCCGCTAGACTCGCGGACCCTGGCTGTCCTTGCGCGGACCTTTGCTGAGGCTGTGCCGGAAGGCGAGTTTAGCGTCGCTGCTCTACAAGGATGTCAGTACTTCCGATCGATTGATTAATTTCTGACTAACCCGCACGTACAGACTTGCTGAAGAACAAATCGCGCCCGGCGGCTGCGGCGAACGAGGCTGCGGCATGGGTTGCTGGTGAGCGAGAGATGCGTGAGAGAATGGCAAGGGAAAAGGAGGCGAGAGAAGGCAGAGAGCGGGAGGAGGTTCGTCGTTTGCTTTCCTTGAACGCCGTCCCCGTGTGCTGATAATACGTGATAGCGTGAGAAGAGACGGGCCAAGAAAGCTGCGAGAAAGCTGAAGAAGAAAGCTGACGCGACGGCGGCAGCGGCGACCGCAACAACTGCCGGTGCACCTGCAGCCGCAAGTCCGACGGTGACTGCACCTGTGCCGGCGGTCCCGACGGCATTGCCAGCACCAACACCAGCAACTGTGGCAACTACTGCGCCCGGACCGCCAGCTCCTGAGACCACTGCGCCAATATTCGTTCTGGAACCGACAGCTGCAGCCCCAGTCGCAGGTCCGCCGCAAGTTGCACCTCCTGTGCTAGCGCAAGCTCCAGCGGTTCTACCATCCGCAGCCGCACTCCCAATCCCCGATCCAACACCTCCAGCTGCCGTCCCATTTGTACCTGAAGCTTTATCATCACCCGAAGCATCCATGGCACAGGCACCCCCACCGGTAGCGCCTGCACCTGCCCCTGCCGACGAATCCTCCTCTTCCGACTCCGATTCGGACTCTGATTCAGATTCGGACACCTCTTCTTCGGACGACGACACCGACGACAAGGACAAAGCAAAACGGAAGGCCAAGCGTAAGGCAAAGGCGAAGGCGAAATCTGCAGCCAACGCGGCGCAAGCCCAGGCACAAGGGGTTCTATACCCTGCCCGGCGCTGGGTCGTCTCTCGTGGGGTACCGACGCAGTGGCCTGGTCAGCAGGGCGGAGGTGTATGGGGCACGCCAGGGTGGATGTAGTAGAGTCGGAGGGCGTTGATGGGTCGCGGGGCTGGTTTCTCTGTATAAATGCTATTTCTGTATCCATTTCGTGCCGGCTCTCTCTCCGTGCCCATCTCAACTTATCGTCTTGCAGATTCTTCCAGGGCTAGTTCTTGCTGATCTACGGACTCGTACATATCATCCATCTTCGTGCTTTCAATCATCCAATACATATCCAATACATACATATCTGATATCACAGGCAACTTCAATATACTCGTGCTCCAGACTCCCTCTTCTGCGGTCAGCGTGCCAGTTCCTAACGCATCGGACTTGTGAGACTGCCGAGAAACATTGAGAGGTCACATCACTGAGCCCTTTTCTCCTGACCACCATCACTGCCCAACTCTGCCTCGTCGACTCACACATCAATCATACCCGCCACCGAATGAGAGTCGATAGATTGGGGGAATACAGCGCACTGTTGCGGATGATAATCTCCTTTCACATCACCTTTGACTAGGACTTCGAACTCCTGTCCTACTCATAGCTGTCTACTTTCGTGCTGCGCCCTGGAGAATCGTCTCCTTCTGCTCTCGAGCGCACCGGGCGTGGAACCTCGTGTCCTATATTGCTCTATCTTCGAAAGCTCCCGGCTCTTGAAAGGGGACTCAGAGTCGTGACGGTCGTGCTGCTACCCCCGCGTTGCTGTCCCAGTGACCCCAGCATGATGCGTTGCCGCAAGTCTCTACATCCTTCTCGGCCTCTCCTCCCATGACAATTAAAGAAGATCAGAATCGAGTGTGAGTGGGGGTCAGGGAACTTCGTACGCATTCCATTCATGCCATGTCGCCGCGGCTAGTCACAGTGTGCTCAACGCCGACATTCTTCTCGCGATCTTTCGTGAGGTGTTGGCAGAGAAGGATGCAGGCGGCTCATTTGTGCTGCTACCACTCCTGCTCGTCTGCAGAAGTTGGTACACACTGCTGGCTTCGCAGACTATTTCGAATATCTGGTATCGGACTTGCCCAGCACGGAACCCCAAACGACTACAGAATATGCTGAGGTTGTCCAACACCGCCCTACTGTTGTTCCAGATCGCTGTGTATTGTGACGACGCCGAGGGTCGGTCGGAAGGTCGATGGGACGACCGCATGATGAATATGATTGTCCCAGCCTCCATTCGTGTTCAAGAACTGGTGATTACTGGATCGACTGAACTGGGCACTGGCTTCCTGTCCATGTTGGCTCCTCGACCGTTTCTGTCGCTGAAGGTCTTCTGTGAAGCGCGGCCATGGGCAAAGGCCGATTCGCATCGGGCACAAGTTTATTATTCTCCCAGGCGCGTTCTTTGCTGGTCGAGCGCCGGCTTTGCAGAACTTGACAGTAGAATGCGCGCGCATCTTGGACTCTCGGCATGAAATGCGTAGTCTCACACGCCTCGTTCTCTCAGGTAGTGCGCCGCAGAGAATCTTTCGTATGCTATCCGCCTTGGAGGCCTGCCCAGCACTCGTCAAATTGCGTCTCAACTTGAATGTGGTGGATGCTATCGGTCAACCACGGTCTGCTCCGGTGCAATCGCGCGTGCATCTCCTACATCTCAAGCACTGCTCCATTACGGGCCTTGCGCATATCTGTGCCATGTTCCTCTCCAGGGTCGTTGTTCCTCCGACCGCTCGGCTGCACGTCCTCGCTCCCAGAATCCCGGGCGAGGACGGAAATGACGTCCTCGATATCATGGACGCTTTCGGGCGACTTGTCGGAGATGTCCTCGCACCACCCCTGGAATCCCTGCGGATCTGCGCGCTCACTCAAAGGGGTCCTGACCTGCAACCCTGGATGCCCGATCCGACCGACAAGTTCGGCCTTGTTCTTGCGATGCGTGAAACCGCCGAACGCTTATCGCCTCCCAATTTTTCCTCGACCCGATTCCGATTCCGCGTCCAGTTCCAGACGATCGAGAAAACAGATGCCGGGCGTGTGGTGCGGCAATTCGTGGATGCTGTGACAGGGATGCATATCACCATGCTTGACGCACGATGCACTTATCCCGCGATCCCCGCTTCCACTTGGGAGACGGTGTTCAGCTCCCTCGACAATCTAAATTGGCTTCTCTTCGTATGCAATTATACGGCCATCGAAATCTGCGCGGCCATCCGCGATAGTCTAGTGCGTGGACTCCGAGTCCTACCCAGCTTGGGTCGTATCCTATTAGAACCTTGGAAGGACAGAAGAAATTTCGCGCCACAGAGCGTGCTCGCGGCGGTCGGTGGTATGCTCGCAGGTTTGGATCGTCAGGGGAGACGCCCGAACGTGCTCGAGCCTGTCGATTGCCCGCAGCGCCCCCGTGCAGGATGGTCTACCCCGCCTCCATGGGGTGTGGACTTTGACGAAATTTCTGACCTCGTCGGGGTGCTTCTACGTCTGGGAAAGCCGTGGAATCCGCGGAAGATTCGCGAAGAGTGGCTCGAGACTGAGCGGGAGGCCGAGGAAGATTCTATTTCCGGATTTTCGGCACTGTCCGTGTCTTTCAGAGAATCGCGCCTGAGCCCCTGATTCGTTTTCCGTGTCTAACTATGATTTTTATTTACTTGGCCCAATACAAGCTAGTTTCACGCCAAGTATATATGCATCTCCAGTCTTTCAAGGAATGTCAAGCGTGGCGCGTAAGACAACATATGGCAAGCTTCTTCTACCAAATATGCGAGTAAGGACTCCCAAAGATAATTCTAATCAGATTGTTGCTCAGCACCGCAAAGCAGCAGAGGGAATTGACCGCGACGCGTATGTCTAACCTTGTTTGCCCGTGATCGCCCCGAATGGGAAGCAATTATCTACCTCCTGAATCGACACCTGCGATTTCTGACTCCGACGGCCAGATATATAAATACAGAACCCGCATACATGCAGACCCGTATCGCTCTTTCTCTCATCCACCTTCTCTCTCCCTCTTCAGTCACTCATTCGCCCCTGCTGTAAGATGGTCAAGACCAAGCTCTCGCGTACGTTCATACCGCGCACCATAATATCCATTCTATGCTGACAGATTGTGCAGCCAAAGCCACCCCCGCAGCTGCATCCAAGGCGTCGACGAAGGGCGCCGCGAAGAAGGAGAACAAGGCTTCCGCTGCCGCAGGTTGGTGTTTTCGCGTCGCTAAGCGCTCAGAGGCCCTTGTCATCGACGCGTCTCTTCTCCTCTTCACGTGTCTCTGGGACTCCCTTCGCTTTTCTGGCCACGGAAGATGTGCACCCTACGCGCCTCTTCTATTTCGACGCGTCTTTCGTCTCGCATCGTTGGGCCGCGAATTGACATCTTCGCAGACAAGAAAGTCAAGAAAGACTCTGTCGCCGCTGCCGCGTCTTCATCTTCTGTGAAGACCGATACATCATCCTCCAAGCCTGCACTCAAAGAGCAGAAGGGCAAGGCAGCGCCGCAGGAAAAGCAGAAGAAAGAGAAGAAGCCGCTAAGCGCATACAACCTCTTCGTTCAACGCGAGTCGGCGCGCATGAAGGAAGAAGACCCGAGTATGACGACGAGGCAGAGGTTCGCTGCGGTATGTCTCACACTTCGCAATCGACCTGCGATCTTCTTTTCTACGCGCATACATTCATCTTACTTACGACGCCATGTCCTCCCTCTAGGCCGCCACTCTCTGGGCTGACTCGCCGGAGAATCCGAAACGCGGCCAGCCGAAGAAAGCCCGCAAGCCCAAAGCCAATGCCAAAGCTATTCCCGATTCGGATGACGCCAGTGCCCTGGCCAGCAGCGAGGCTTGAGGTGAGTCGTGTTCTGCTGCTCTGTTCCTTGAGGTCGGCTCATGTCTGCCTAGTGGACGTTCTTCTGCTTCATTGCTCTCACTACTTCGCACCGTCCTGCTTGTGTCTCTTCGCATCATATCATGGACTCTGGACGGATTTCGTATTGCTATCGCTCGTCCTCGTCGTGCACTTTACTCTGCAATCACCCGCATACTGTCTGTTACTTAGTTTACTGTACCGCTCTTCATTGTATCCTTATGCTCAGGCTCGAGAGGGCCTTTCAAATTGTCGTCATGTCAGGTCTCGGACTGAGCCGTCTGGTCAGGCTCCATCGCTCGCGAAGATGGTTATGCCGAACAGCATGAGTGAATGTCCTGATGAAAAATCTATCAGATTATCCGACACAATCTGTAGAATTTTAGCTCTTTCCGATGCATCGCTGTCCGGGGGTGAGGGATATACATAGGTTCGTAAGAGGTATATCTGTTTCTATTGTGAGAAATACGAGTGGGGAGAGGAGAGTATCGAAATAAAACACGATCAGGGTGCAAATTGGGACAAAAGGTTCGTAACCACCTCGATCGTTCACTCACGAACATGGAGCGAGGCAGCGAGCTTTTGAGCCCTCGTGTGGGCCACTACCGCCAAAAGAGAGATGGAATGCAGTTGGCGGAAATGTCCGTATATGTTTATTTGTGTGCTGTAGCACTAGGGATCGCATTGCCGACGAAATATAGATTCATCCGGTAGTTCAAGACGATGGAATCGAAGCGATATATCCACGCTCCAGACCAAGCACAAGCTGTGCACGACTGGGAGCTGCAAAGGTTGTGCATTGTTCACACGTGCCGTTGACCCGAGTGGGTATCAATGCGACAAACGTAGCTTCACAGACTCTCATTCTTCCGACCATGCATCCTCAGATCGCAGCCAGCCAGACATTGCTGCAGATGATGTGGGCTGCGACGTTCCTCGCGCAAGCGTTCCTGCGCGCGAATCCGGGAGTGGGGGCGATGGTCGACTTCGTCGCGGACGTTATTGCACATCTGCCAACAATGGCGGACGGAACGGCTGATGAGGTAGTGCAGACCGTCCTACACGAGAGCATGTAAGTGTTGTTGTCGTTGGGTCCCAGTCTGTCGAGGTGGTCTGATGCGTCGTTCCCAGGCTGAAGATGCACACGGCAATGCACGATCGGCGCAAGGCCCTGAGCCAACCGCGCAACGTAGAACGCAAGGGAAATGGATGGGACTGGAGGTGCGTAACGCCTTGCTCATTGTTGATTGGAATGCGCTTGACACTGCCCTACAGCTGCCTCGCTCCTCCCAAGACCTCCATGAGCCCGATCGCGCGGGCTTTGTCCTTCGACTTGGTCGACGGTTTGGCCCTCATTCACGCAGCGGCCCAAGCGCACCTCCATACCGCAGGATGGAGCGATTTGACGAGCGTAAGTCACTTCGTCGTCAAGGTCCTGAAGTGGATGCCCGTACTAGATGAGTTGGATGGGTCCGAGGGAGCTTTCAGTGATGCTTGGTGCGCTCCCCTTGTTTGTGCGTTCTCGAAGACGAGCTGACGTGCTTCCCCAACTCCAGGAGCCGCATCTACCTTTCTCTGGAACCCGACTTTGGCGTTCAGGAATGCCGCCAGCGCCAGGCATCGGACAAGCGAATCGCCCAGCTGGCGATCGCAGAGAAAACTTGGAACCAGAAGATGATGGCGTCGACCACAATGGTGACTGAAACACAGGCGTTGCGTACCATCACGAACGAGGTCGCCCATGCCGACAAGGTCCAGCGGGAGAACCAGATGATAGTCGAGGAGATGATGATGCCAGCGGGCAGCAAAGAAAACGGGAGCAAGCATCAGAGCAGCAGCAGGGCTATGCGTCCAATCAGACCAATGCCACGGCGGTCGGAGAAACGGGGAGTCTCTTAGACGATCAAAAAAGCGGAGGACGACGACGCAGTGAAACACGACTTTTTCTTCCATTCTGTAATAGGACGATTTGGCGCGAAGTTTGTAAGAGTAGAACGAGGTCACAATAAATGCATGGACCTGTGAAAGCGTAGTCAACATTTGAGCGATACGGAAGAGCTCTATGCCTGGCATACTTGGCGTGTCTGTGCGGAAGATGACACAGGTTGAGACTGCGGTCTACACTAATCACAGCCGGGAAATAGAACGAGAGACTCGGGAGAGAGACGAGGTGCGAGCTGGGTAGGGATAAGCTCTGAAGAGGAACTGTTCGCAAGACACATTGGTCGTGGATCTTCCTGGGATGTTCGACCCGCCACTTTTTTGCGGACACCTCACGCACAGGGCAACGGAGATCATCGCCAGCTGCAGGCATAATGAGAATTGATCCCTGTAAGCTGATGAGCACGGATGATGCACCGTCCAGATCCCAGTGCTTGCTTCCGATGAGTATGGTCCAGACTTGAAGCTGCTCAGCAGCAACTTCGCGAGCTCCACCTCCATTCTCTGCTCCATCTCATTGAGGGCCCTAGTTTTAACCACCGGAGGTAAATAGTTCCATGCTCACAAAAAGTCGAGGGTGAGCATGTCGGGACTCGGAGGAAGTTGGCCTTGACAGAAAGGGACATGGCATCGTCGACGGCAGTTCTAGTGACCGCAGATGTCTGATAATACATGAATAGGCAAAGATAGGCAACCTTGATAAGCAGAAATAGGAAGATCTGAGATTCACCAGATCGCAGTGGGCCCTGCCTTCACTTCATAACCTTGGGCTAGCAAACATCCCAGTCACTTCCACGAGTACCGCATCGTAGACTCTCGCTGAAGAGAACTGCGGGTGGGAAATGAAGCAGAGAGGGAAGCGAGGGGTTCGAAACGATTTCCGGACGGTGGACGAATCCTCATACAGTGTTGTCGACTTGTCGATGATTGGCGGAGAGGCCCAAGCAGCGGAAGATGTTACGTGTAATCAAGGTCACGTGCAAACTCTCCGCTCCTTTGCATGGCCATTCGCGATTTCCGATCCCCATCAGCGGACTCCCCTCCGTCTATGATTCTCCTGCCCTCGTTCTGACTCCCCGATCATATTTTTGCATTTACGTTTTCTGATGGTGTCGTCTCCGTACCTTAGTGTGGTTTGTGTGACTGGTCAGTAAATCTGAGGAATTGACGCAGACCAAGCATGAATATCCTCTTTGCATTCTCGATATATGCACGATGAGCGATATTCCCATCTTCATTTCCGAGAGACAGACAGACAAAGCACAGGGGGAGAATCCCTGAAGAACATGCTGTCAACACAGGAGTTGGTGTCGGGTTCTAAAGGGACAAGTGACGATTCTGGCTTCACCGGTCCTATCAATGATGCAATTCGCCAAATGGTATAGTACAATATACATCTGGGTATTCAAACGAATTAAGCGTATCATAGATAAGGATGCAGTTCGATGATCGGGATGCAATGTAATGCGAGCGAGTGTGTAAATGGGACGACGGCCGGTATATATGCTGCGTGCGATGCGATGCGATGCGATGCCAACAATGAAGCGAAAACAAGAGTACGAAATCCAAACAGAAGCGCAAGTCAATCCCAATCTGCCAGAGAAACGTTGACAGGGCGCCCTCAAACCAAACCGAGGCTCCACCATCCCGACCGTTTCTTGCGGTCCCCCGCGCCACTCTCCGACGACCCACTGGCACTCGTCGTGCGAGATAGAATTACGCGCAACTGCTGGCCCAGTCACAAACTGCCGTAGGGGTCGGCAGAGTCTGGGGCCCTGCTGCCCACCGAATCGTACTTCACATGCGAGGAGCCTAGTTCTCGGTCCCCATGGTACATCGTCGGCATGTTCTGCAGGTTGATCTCCGTCGCAGAAGCGTTGGCGGAGGCCGAAGGTGATGCGAACGGGTCTTTCCTGTTCCGGGATTCAGTACGGTGGGAATGCGTCGATGTAGGGATGCTCACCCAATACCCATCGATGCATTTGCCATGAGCTGTGCGGCGCCCTCGGCTCCGTACTGGTCCGCCAGTTGTCTGCAGACGCAAATGAATACCGGGAAGCCAATGATGTACACCAGTACTTACGAAGCGTACTTGTCGACGATGATGGCGATGTCTTCCTGCTTAAGCTGATATGCTTTGGGCATCATCCCCTTGCCAAAGCGGTATGTGACGTGGTTGCTGCACAACAGTGCGGAAAGAATGATACCTGTGCATGGTCAGCACCAAGTGGCGAGCGATCGCTACGGGACGACGCACCAATCTGCACGGGGACAAATGCAAACGAAAAGGCGTAGAAACGCTCCAGTGCACTGCGCTGGAAATCCAAAAACGGCTTCTTGCAGCCAGGCAGGGTGGACCGTGAATAGCATGTAGCAGACACTGTCGCCTCGACGAAAGGGCTGAAATATCCACAGCACTGGAGTGCGCCCTGGATGATCAATCGCCCTTCCGAGCTCAGGCCCCGACTCCACTGCTGATTGACTTTTCCCTCGAGATTCAGATTCCGGTGTTTGTAGGTGATGTATCCAGGCACGACCATCAGCCCAAACCCGACCCAGAGCAGAAACGTGTACACTGCCAAAAACGGCCGGTTATTGAGCAAAATGCCCGGTAGCCCGAGTAATGAAACACAGAACAAGAACGCCGCAGCCAAGGTGCTCAAAGCGAGCTCGGTCTTGTTTGCGATGAGGAGCACCGCCGACTCGCGGAACACGTGGAAGTACACCAGTAACAGTGTGACCAGCGACCCAAGCGAGTACACGATAAGGATCAGGTTGGCGATGAACAGGATCACTTTGAAGCGCGTCCAACGGACTTTTTTCCCGCCTCGGCCAGCACCGGAGAACATCGACTTGGAAGCAGACGACGTGTAGTCGTCTTCATCGCCCGCCCCCGGAATACGCGATGCGCCGGCACGGAACGCGTCGACACCCCCACCGCGTGCAAGACCTGGGATCCGCTGCGAGCCTTTGGGTCGCCGCCGTGTAAGCAGATGCGAGGAGAACTTGGTCGGGAGATAGTTGTGCGCAAGAGAGACCATGCTACCGGCAGGTGAGGACGGTCGGGAATTGCCCGGAGAGGAAGGAGAGGACGAGGATAGGAACGGCGCAGAGGGTGGCTGGAGGGAGGATGTGAAACCGCTCGTCTTATTGGGGATGAGGTGCCGAGTGGAGCCGGCCATGGAGGGCGTCTGAGATCCAGAGGAGTCGCGCCGGCCGACAGCTCGCGGGCTATACAGCAGTAGGGCGTCGGTGGACATTTCCGAAACGATATGGTATGGGTGGGCACAAGTGTGGATGATCAAATCCAAAGCAGGGGCAAGGTATAGCGGAGTTTTGAGTTCACAGATTGTAAGAGGCAGCAAGAGTATTCCGGCGCAACGTTCCGAAATGCAAGGAAAGAACAGAGAAGCGCAGTCAAAATCAGCGACGCGAGCGAATAAGGACAGTTAGACAACGCACGAATCAGACCGAAACATCCTAGGTATCCAACAATATAAAGATTCAAGACTCGAGACGCGAGACGGCGGGGCAACGGTAGGGAGGTAGAAAGAGCGGAAGTGGAGTGGATTGAGGGCGGCAACAGAAAATGTGTTTGACTCTGCTTGGCAACGTAACGTCATTCCGTAGTCAATTTGTCTGGCCTTATCTTGGCGTTTGGGTCCTTATTTCTGATGTACCTTACGCCCTGTGAGGCTGGGACTGCTTACACCAGATAAATCAGCTCAAGTGCCAGCACAGCTTGGGATGGAAACTCTGGCCCTCCACAAGAGCACCAGCTTGCTCTTCACGCTATGCTTTGCTCATTGCATATATATCATATGCGCCTGCAGTAGCTCCACAGCTTGCTCGCGACCAACATCAGCTTTGCACAAACGGAACCGGATCCTGTTGCCACGAAACACAGCTCAACCTCGCGCGTTAGAGAACGTCCGGACCCTCTGCGGCTCGAAGATCATCGCCTCTACTAACAGCCTATACGGACAGTGACTTGCACCGGGCATGTCTTCAGGCCTTGCACAAGAGGTGAGGTGCCTCACGATGATATTGATTTATTCAGATTCGGCAACCTCGGGGACGGGCTTTGCGAATCTGGGCACAGAAGTGACAGAACCCAAGAGACCGCACATCTCCAACCTACACTCCAGATCCTCGGCTTGTGAAAACTCCATTCCGGCCGCGTTTAATCCTTATGCCTTGGGCACCCAGCCGAACTTGAGATGGCGCGGCATCAGGGACGAATCTCGGTTCTCGATGCATGCCCACGGCTGGGAGAGGCGGGTACGGCTCCGAGCAGAGTCACGGAGACCACGCATCGTACCAAAACCAAGTCTTTCGCGGGAGCGTGATTGTGATCCCCATAGTCGGCTCGCTTTTTCTTGGAATACGAAACCGCCGAGCTCCTGGACCAGCTCAGACTATTCGACTCGACCGACCCGACGTCCATTGCCATCGAACTTGATCGTGCTTGGATGCAGGTTTAGCACCACGCCAAGGAGTCACTTAGTGGTGGAGGATGATGGGGACACGACAACAGGAATACGAGCCCCTTCGGCGACGCTGACTGCTTCTTCGACCTTTGGAATCAGGATCAGAGCTCATCGAGCAGATCTCGTAGTTCATACACATTGCTCGCACTCCCGATGAAACAGTCCATTACATCAAAAAAGACCACATTTTTAATGCCCGCCGTGAGCTTAAGATAAAGCATATCATCCTCAACTAGGCGGCTTGTCATAGCAGTCCAGAGACGGGGACAACTCGCGACTGATTGTCACCATGTGCTAGTGTCAGATAGTTTGGACGGTCGGGGACCTCGAGCTCCGTTGAGCTCTCGCGATGAGCTGACCAATTACGTTACGCGTCTTGATGACCTGATACCCTGTCTACACGAGCGTTCTATAGGGAAGATATGCCCTCCCAGACAGTATTGATTATAGAATAGCAAATATTCACCTCCAAGTGGGTACACTAAACTTTTCTTGCAAAACCACGAAGCTCAAAACATGGAGACAGATCTTGGCCCTTGTGTCCAGCCCGCCTGCGCTCTCGACGTATCCATCCAGTTGCTCGCGCACAAAGTCCCAGTCGAAGAACCCAACGCGTCGAACGGCCGCTTCCGTCAGACGTGCCCTCAGATGAGCTTGAAGAGGAAGAAGCCTCGTCCGCGGACTATCCGATGCCGCGAGCGGGGGGTTAAACGCAATCTTCTGTCTGTGATAAACTGCGTCCGAGATGAAAGGCCGCACGGCCTGTCGCAGGATCCACTTCTCAGATAACGACCATTTCCTTTGTTCTGAATCATAGATTGGACGGAGCTTGAGTGACGGCGGGATGTTTTGGGAGACGTAGTCGACGAGGTGATGATCCAGGAATGGCACACGGCTCTCGACAGCATAGGCCATGTCAGCGCGGTCGCCTGACGTATTGAGAATCATTCGACTGAGGAGCGTCTTGGAGATCGTGTACTATATGCAAGGTCAGATGCTAGCAAGGAGAAGAACGAGTGCGAGTACCATAGAGGTGTGAAAGCTGTGCTGACGACTAGGGTTCCTAGCCGTAGGCTGTAACCCCTCCTCCATGCACCTGAGCGGATCCGATCCCCCAGCACGCTGCAGAGATTGTGCGGTGTAAATCTCCCGATCGGTCGCTAGGAATTTGAGAGTAGCAAGATGGGACGTGGTTCTCAGCAGCGATCCTTGGGTCGTCGTAGATCCCGATAGCAAAAGACGGTCAGCAGCCCCTGGAAGCGCGATTCCCAAAGCAGCAGCGGCTCGGTCCTCTTCGAGCAGATAATCGTTCACCAAGAACGGATATCCGCCAAAGATCTCGTCGGAGCCCTCGCCCGACAGAACGACCTTGAATCCAGCGTCGCGTACAGCACGGGCGAGGAGATGCCGACCAGCGCCATGCAAAGTCGTGTTAGGCTGTTCTGAATGCCAAATGGTATCTTCCAAGACGGAAACGAGCGCGGTCTCGGTTGCCTGGACCGTATGCAGATCTGCATTTAGGTACTGGGCGGTGTGCGTCGCCAACGGGGACTCGTCTCGCGATGGATCCTCTGCATGTCTTTGTCAGTGCGGGTCTCCCAAGGCTTTTAGGCGCTGACCGGTGTATGCCAGAGTGAATGCAGTCACGCGCGCACGGCAATCTTGTTGGCGGAGCAGATGAGTGGCGATCCCAGCGACGGCTGAACTATCTATTCCGCCACTCAAGTATACTGCAAGCGGGACATCGGAGCGCAAGCGCAAGCGCACAGACTCAACGATCGTATTCCGGACCGTATCCACCATGTGCTCAAGGCTGTCCGAGCAACTGTTTGAAGAAGGCGGGAACTTGAGGTCCCAATAGGATTGGAGCTCGAGTGCTCCCGAAGCGCGACATATAGCTTGTTGACCGGGAGCCAGCTAATGGATGTGAGTTGGTGGCAATCAACGGTGACAGCACACACACCTTGTAAACACCTTTGAACACAGTCCGCTCGTCGCCGAATTCGGCAGCGTTGACGATCGCGTCAATGTCCCACTCGGCTTTCCATCCTAAGCCCAAGAACGCTTTGATCTCGCTTGCAAACATTGTTCTCCCGTTGACAGTCGTATAGTAGAGAGGCTTCACACCGAAACGATCACGCGCGACGATTTGGAGGCGACGGATCGAGTCGTAGAGCACAAAGGCGAACTCGCCGCGGAGATGGGATAGGAGATCCATTCCGTAGCGTTTATACCTGAGGACTGATGTGAGAGAAAAACCCATGCGGAGGGGAGCTACTTGCAACTGCACCACAAGCTCCGAGTCGCTCTTCGTCTTGAAACGATATCCCTCGCTCACCAGCTCTTTGCGAATCCGCTCATAGTCATAGATTTCGCCGGTGACGACGCAGTGGATGGTATTGTCTTCATCCGCAAGAGGCTGCTGGCCCGTGGCAAGGTCGATGATAGAGAGTCGGACGTGCCCCAGGCCTGAATGAATGCGTGAGAAAAGGGAGACTCGACCGACAAATCGTCATCCATTACCTACTCGCGCATCCGGCGAGACCCAAATCCCACTCGAGTCTGGTCCCCGGTGCTTGAGGATGTCCAGAGCATCTCTCATTTCAGCCTCGACAGCCGTTCGGGCAAGCCCGCAGTCGATTTCGTTCGTAGGATCAGAGCAAAAGACAGAGACTAATCCGCACATTACACAGGACACGCCGTACTCTGTGAGCCGCCTCGCCTTTTTATCGTCATGTCGATGCTGTTGCTAATCTCGCATTCGGGAGCAAAACACCCGATGACCTCGCTCCTACATTGAAAGACGGACGGGTTCGGGCCAGCGCATACCGTTTGTCAGGAGGGCGTTTCGGCACAAGCGTACGGCAATTCGGCCTCCGTTTCAGCTTAAATCGGATCGATGCGGAAATGATACGAGGAGAGTAAGACCTCCTGTTCCTGAAAACTTTCGAGTCACAACGGAGCATCTGGTCGATTCAACGTGGGGAATAAAAGTGAGCGTTCGTCGAAGTTTTCGGTCGAGCAAAGCAGGCACTAGCGGTCACTGTCTCGGTCAGGTGATGTGACTCTGCATCGAATGAGCGTGCACGTGAAGAGAGAGCTTGGACTGCGAGCCATCGTACCCGCATGCTACCACATGCCAATGGTAATGAGGTGAGGTTGTTTCACGGAGACGGTCGCGCCGGATGATTGGTAGACCACGGGAAACTCTTGGGGATCCGTTTATAGCGGTGATCCTTGGGCAGGGAACTTGCCGACTGTCCGACTCCCATGCACTATAGACGGGACCGCACGGGTCTCGGGTGATGAATCCCGTCGTGCCACAGCTTTACCAAGATTGGCCCTTACCAATTTTGAACAGTCAAATGAATGGCTTCAGATAAGATTCTCCAGTGACAGTGATCATAGAATGAAGTGCTATCTCCACAACGGTCCAAGCGCGCCAATTTGGGCAAAGGGTTGCGCTCGAAGTGAGTAGCATGAGAAAAAAAGTGATTCCTCGATGGGAGTATTATCGAATGTGCTCAGAAGAAAATACGGCTCGAAACATGTTACAGTCTCTTTCTCATCCAGTTTTCTCGCAACGAATAAGAATGCATCGTCTGTCCGAATTTCCTTTTGTGTGCATAGCCAAAGACCTCACACCGACGATGTACAAATTTTTTTTGGGCCTCGCCCTCAAGGCGAAATGATACATTTCTACTGACGATCTTGACCTCGGAAACTGTCTCCGACTTCTCACTCATTCACCTTGGTAGCCGCCAACTTTCATCAAATTGATGTGTCTGTGAAAGCCATTATCCTCAGCCAATCTTCTTTCTGATCAAATCTGGCCAGCCTACAGTTGCCGTTCTCATCTCGACGTTACACTATGGTCTCAGCCTCCCATCCGGACGTCTCTGAGTCCATTCTGAAGCCTTTCTCTTCTGTCACATCCGCGACGACTGTGCGATCGTTCTGTAGCGTGCGATTTGATTCCATCCTGCGTAGAAGATCCGAGTCGGGCCCCGATTGGGGGTGCAAATCAGGGTTCGGGCCCATAGGATTGGACGCAGAAGACATCATGGACCCATTTTGACTTCCGCCTTGTTGCACACGGACGATGATAAGAGTCGGCACAATTCCCTACAAAGCTGTGTATTTGAGATCATATGGAATGAACGATCAGAGGCTTACCACAATCTGACCCAGAGCAGCATATATCACCTCGCAATCCTTAGTCTATCGAAACACGGAATTGTACAGCGAAACTCACGGAGTCGATCGGGTTATCGTAATGGAAATAGGCCATGTGAATGGAAACGAGTACCGAATAGATAAGGCCAGATTCAAGCCTAACGTTGAGCAGTCAGTTGACATCAGATCGAAAAAGATGCACAGACATTATGATGATGGCTTTGACACCCCTGCGCTTCGTTGCCTCTCCGGCTTCTGATCGGATTCGACGGATAATCCACCACAGCCTGGTCGCTATGCAGGGCAAAGAACATTCAGCGTCCAACAAAGAACGGCACTGGATTGTCACCTATAAGTGTCGGTACAAGCAAGTTAGTGCTGAGCGAAACAATGAAGAACAAGCGAAGTTGGATGGAATATCCGAGAACTAGTGATCTTCAACATTTGGCTCTTGGCGTCGGGGAAGTTGAACAGACTCATCGTGGCCAGCAGCAGGATGATAGGCACGACAGTGACCCAGATTGTGCCCCAGATCACATAGCAGCGATAGACTAATAACGCATCCGCCACCAAGCTACAGTGTTCAAGTCCCTGTGAGAAAGATCACAATTTAAGTCTATGTGAGAAGAGACGCAACTTGTTTGTAACATATACCACCGCCCCAGCAATTTGCAAGTCATCCAGGGAAATACCGGCATGACCGTAGGCTGACGCGCCTTGCAGCAGAAAGATCAAAACGGACGCAGTCGATAACATGAACATGATGACAGCTGTCGTTGGGAGAACAGCAAACATTGAGAGGCGTCCGTTCGGGCGATTGACCAGCACGCGCATGCAACCGACGAAAAGAATGAGGTAGACGCCTGATCGGAACTTGAGTCTTCGGAAGGTACAGCACTGTACTGTGTGAAAAGCACGCCACCATAAAGGAATGTTGACACCTTGAAATCATGTCAGGGACAAGAATAAGAACCAAAGCGATCCGAGGCATACCCAAAGAGTTGATACCCCGATCCAAAGTGATTCTGAAGCCTATCCAACCACATTAATGCATACATTCGAATTCTTGAACCAGCCACCATTCGAGGACGTGTTTACAGACCATGGAGAGAAGTCAACCAGTGATCGAAGAGGAGAAAGGGCGAGAAAGTAATGGTCGACCAGCGAGGATGAAAGCAAGGACGCTATGATGTGCTGTGCGAACGCGCGCTGGACGTCAGCTTTAGATTGTTAGCCATCTGGTGATGCATGTGCGGCATCAGAATGGGCATGTGGATTTGAAGTTACTAAAAGAGGTAAGATTATGGCCAGCTAGTTCCCATAATTCGTCTCATCTGCATTGTTTTTACAGAGTTCAGTAGATTGGGGCTGAGCTGATCCTATCAATCGCACATCATTGATGCGCTTGTCATGTGTGTCGCATCGCCCTGCGCCGCGACTAGCCCTCGACCGCCAACTTATGACAACATCGCAGCAACAGCACCGCGCGGATGAGCTGACTGCACTTCTATCCCGACCGAAAGTTATTTTCGTCACATCTGCTTATCTCTATCCCTTCAAAGTAAGCAAGCTTTCACATGTTACCAGCAAAGTGCAGAGGAGATGGACGAGAGTCGAACGATAGGCGTATACATACGACGCTCGTCTCGCTGCCGTATCTCAAAAGCCTTTTTATCAAGTCGAGGCAGAGTGCCTAGTGTACCGATTGCCGTCGTTTCTCCCGAAAACGTTGCAGGCGACATCATGGTGCTCAGGCTGATTGTCCTTTTAGGGCTTCTATTTCTGCCTCCGGCACCCATACCTCTGGCCCCTCTTCCGTGCCAGATTCGTTCCTGCATGCATCATCTCGCTCATCATCCTTCCCATTCTCTTCGTCTTCACGTACCTGCCTCAAGTTGCATTCCTCGCTATCTTTCAAGGTCGCCTCGCATGGTTCAACGCCGTATTCCTTGTTCTTGGTGAAGGGGCTGTCATAGTCGCGTTGTTATTCGAGGCTTTTTTCGTCGATGAAGCTTTGGTGACGATATTCGATGCAGTACGTCTCAATTCCAGGCCGATGCCAGTTCAGCATCTCTGATCTCATGCAGGTGCTAATACATAAAGGCTACACAACTCTCGTATCTCAGCGACGAGCGATTATCCACAATGCACCCAATCCCGTGAAACAGCTCGGTCGTCCTATCAAATCAGCTGTATACTCCCCCTTTTCCTTTCGACTCACGATCGAATTCATCCTTTTCCTCCCCCTTACCTTCATCCCCATCATCGGTGGACCGCTCTACTGCCTTGCTCTGGGTCGCCGTGCCGGGCCCTACCAACACTGGCGTTACTTCAAGTTGCGCGGCTTCACCCGAATGCAGAGAGATGAATGGATCCGGGAGAAACGATGGAAGTACACGTGGTTTGGGATGGTTGCGCTGCTGCTCCAGCTGGTGCCGGTCCTGTCGATGGTGTTCTTGATGACGACCGCCGCTGGTGCCGCTCTCTGGGCTGCGGATTTAGAGAGAAAGAGAGAAGCGACGTCCTCAACCCGATCTGCCCCCGAGCCGGCTGGTGTATGAAGCAAGTCAAAACCACTTCACGAACCACCAACCATTTTGGGGATCGCTTTCTCCTCACGAGTCATGTCCCATTTCCGCAAACCCAGGATCTTTAGCTATGTAAACCATGTACATGTATGTAACTAGCGTTCCTCGCGCTGAGATTCCTTCTGTGTAGTTTTACATATAGTATATCGGCACTGCCGGTATTGTACGTGTCAGACTGCTTCTGATAATCAGCAAAGAGCGGACACAAGCAAGTCATGAGCAAGTCAGGAGCAGCGGAGATGTTGCACGTGATATTCACGTGAGTTAAGCGTCCCCTGATCGCAATGCACAGCCGCTCCTTTCCCTGACTCCGTCAATGCAGTTCTCAGGGAGCAGAGCTTCAATGATACTTTGGCTGCCATTCTTCTCAATCTCATAATCATGCCTCCTGGAGCGCCCTTTAACTCCTTCATCCCGCCGTACCGGATCCGTGTCGATGAATTCACCGATCTGTCCGCTTCGTCAACACCAAGCCCCTCAGCCCTTCTTCATCTCCTCACCCACACGCACGCCGACCACATCACAGGGCTACAGGCCCAGTCGTTCGGACACACCGTCATATGTTCCGCTGATGCGAAGGAGATGCTTCTACGGCACGAGGTGTACGCCGAGCGATCGTTGAAGGAGCATCAGTTCCGCGCAGAGACGCAGAGGACATACAAACATCTGAAGGTGGACCCCGTCCTGGGAGTCGACGGCAGGATGTGGTACACATGCTCGCGTGATCTTCTGGTGGGTTCGCTGCCTGCTTTCACGTGCAGCAACTGAAATGGATACACAGAAACCATTGCCTCTACACACTCCGACTAAGATAGAGCTTTCCAATTCTGACATTGTCACAATCACGCTTTTCGACGCGAATCATTGCCCAGGTGCAGTGATGTATGTCTTCTCTTCCCCATCCTGTCATAGTCTCAAGCTTTCGGGAGGTTCTTGATTGAAGGCGACCGCGGTGCAGTCTTACACACGGGAGACTTCCGTGCCGAGCCCTGGTTCTGCGACGCCATTACTCACAATCCCCTCCTCCAACCCTACCTCGTCGGCGGCGGGAAGACACTCGAGGCGATCTACCTCGACACCGCGAGCGTGTTCTGCGAGAGCAAGGTGCCGACCAAGCTCGATGCGACGAATGGTTTGGTAGAGTTGATGAAGATGTACGACTCAGCGACGCACTTCTTCATCAACTCTTGGACGTGGGGCTACGAAGACATTCTGAAGGCCGTGGCGCGCGCTTTCCGGCAGCCGATCCACCTGGACAGATATAAGCACAGCGTGTACCGGCACATCTCCGCTGATCCATCTCTTCGTGCGATGGGGACCGACAAGCCGTGGTCGACGAGATTTCATGCCTGCGAGAGGTTTGACCGATGCGAGGTTGTTGCGGAGCGTCAAGGAAGCAAACTGAGCGCCGCAGGAAAGAAGCTTGTGTATATCAATCCGGTTACGATGAGCAGAGAGAGGTGGACCGAGTACCTGCATGTCACGAGAGCGAAATTGGGACGCGGAGAAGAGGTGCTCTCGCTTGTAAGTGCTTGAATTCATTGCATACCCATCTCATGCCTATCGTCAGCTGGTTCCCCTTGCACGTCACTCGCCTCTTCCGGAACTGCAAGCTTTTGTATCACTCTTCCGGCCCAGGGCCATTGTTCCCAACACCTTGGTCCCCGGGCTGAAAGGCTGTGACTTGCCTGCGATCAAGAGAATGTTTTCCAAATGCGTGCTAGATCCGATCTCTCCGGAAGCAGCACCTGCCGACGCTCGCTCCCGTCTCACTATCAGCGTACAACAAGATCATAGCATAGACACTGCCATTACAAATTTGGTTGGCGGTGCTGATACCGGGCCTCTGGCAGAATCCTGGGCTCACAGTGGGCGGTTGGCGATGAAGGCCGGGATCGTGCGCCGATGGTTAGGACTGGATCTCCCCGCTAAGGCTGTCCCGGCCGCTGCCCCACACTGGAAGCGACGGGAACTTAGCCCGGCACATTCAGCATTGCGCGATGACGAGGATTCGGACTATGACTCCGGACAGGAAGACGAACGCGGAAGAACGATGCATCTGATTCTCGCACCAGCTGTGGGCATCGAGAATGAGCCGCTTTCAAAGTTCGGATTGATGTCTGCCTCACCCACCACACAAGGAAGCTCTCCAGAAACCAGGAAAGTCCGGAGACGACCCCAGTCGCCTTCGCCTTCTCCTGCGGTTCGTGACGAGATGACGGAACCAAGGCCGATGTCTCCAGCGCTTGCACTCCGCGCGACGACACCTGTTCGTCGTAGTCCCTACGACGAGAGCGTTTGGTTTGGAACACCAACATCATCCCATGGGACGCTCACTCCAGTCGGCAGTCCCTGCTCTTTGGAAGCCCTGACCCCGATCGGCAACATAATGCGTCCATCATCACCGCCGATCCCTGGCGAGACGATGGTGAGAATCCCCGGCGGGGGAATCTACAAAATGCGCTTGATTCTCCCGGCTTCGTCACCTAAATCCTCGATTTCGGGTGTCCCACCTACTCGAGAGCGGTCGAGCACACCTACACCTCCCAATTCTATAGTAAGTACACCCATCCGGAGCGGACCACTGTTTTCAAGAGCACTATCACCATCTCCTCTGGCGATAGCGTCGGTATCGGAGGCCGGAAGATCTCCATGTTCTTCTCGTCTTTCCGCTGCACCTCGTTCTTTTCACAGTCCGACAAGAATGGCACGAGGCTCTCCTGCTCTTCCGGAGCCCTCACTAGATCCCCCCGGATCGGCCGCTCGCCTGGAAGAGCTCAAGTACAGACTTCGACGGGTACGTGAGCGCTTGTGTGCCCACGACCGACTCCTTCGCTCAACAAAACGCCCCATTTCGGCCGAATTCCCTTTGCACCGTGCAAGAATGGAACGTCGGAAGCTCATTTTGGAGAGACGGATTACCGCTCTTCTTGTACGTGATATGGGATCGCCATTTGACATATGCCAGCGGTCTCCGATGCGAGATGGATGATTGCGCTGGACTCCCCATCTCCATGCCTGGGTGCTCTCAGAGCCTTGCACTATGTGTCTGCCCACACATGTCCTGTTAGTCACGTGCAAACTCTCCGCTTACAGAAGTCGAGAGTGCACTGCGTTATAATATAAACTGCTATTATGATCTCCCATACGCTGGGATACAGTACTACACAGAGATTCCCAGGATCGACAAGTCAATAATTATAGTGTAATTACCAATAAAAGTTAAAGCTCCCAGCGACGATTCATATTAACAGGTTTCGAGCTCGACAACTCCGGATTTTGGGGCTCGAAAGTCCGAACTTCCGGCTGTTTTTTTGAAAAAGAGCGTCGCATGCTCTCAAGGTAAGCCAATTTTGCTGCCTGCATGATCGTCGATGACCTTCTCGGCCTGAAGGAGGGATCCACCGCAGTGTTATCAGATGAGACTGAACGCCGGCGGATCTTTGAAATGTGTGAGGGTGGCTGCTTCGGAAATGGCTCGCGCAGTTTCTTGATTACGGCTGAAAATGCGGTCTGTCGCTTGTGCTTTTGCTTGGGTTGCAGGAACGCCCTCTCCTGCGGAAACACGGGAGGCGTCGTTTCGCTACGCTTCTGGTGAAGCGGAGGGTGCTGCAGCGCGGCAATCGAGGCATCCACCTGTGTTCGGAAGGCCCTGTCGTCCTCGCGGAACTTGTCCCAGCGCTGTTGTCGTTGGCGGGCCATCTTGTACATGGCTTCACTCATTGCGGAGACGACCTGAGCGATGGTGTAGTCTTGTTTCTCCCGGAGCAGGGCCACGAGGAACGACGACATACTCTCGTGGCCCTCGGATTCCCACGTCTCTTGTGAATCCTTGCATGCGGAGAGGCAGATGATGTCTGCCCGGACTCCCCGCTGCTCGAGTTCGGGAAGCTGATCCTGAGCGCCCTGCAGTCGGCACCAGCCGGTACACCACACAGGAAGCGGAGAAGGACTAGCGAAGAGCATCCCATCCCCGTCATCGAGGAACACCGCCAGGTTTGCTGTCGTAATTTCCAAGGTGGGGGGTTGCGCATTGCGCCGATTTCCGCGCGGTACAGCCCGGACTGGCGTCGGGGATGGGGAAGGTCCGTAATTGTCCAGTTTGCTCGGGCCAACCCCAGTCCAGGTAATGGGCACTCGATTGCATCGGTGATGCTTCAAGTCGAGAAGGGATCCGGAATGACAAGTGTCGAGGACGGCAACCAGGAAGGAGCCCTCAGGGAGGGGTACAACCAGCCTGTCGTAGAGTTCCTGAGCGCATCGGCCTAGTCAGTGATGGGCCTCAGCAGGAGCTATGCATGCGCACATTATCCACAATCTCCTCCGAGTCGCATGCGACCATGACCTCATCAAGACCGTCTTCTTCCGAATTGGATCGACTTGGGCGCTGAGTCGAGTGACCAGAGTCTGAATATGTTAGCATGGGCATCTTTCGGAGGGTCTGAGCAGGAACGACTGACAATGGAAGCATACATGGTCTCCGCTCCTCACATCGGTAACAAGCACATCGATCGCCTTGAGCTACGCTCATTAGCGCACGATAAACGGATGGTAGAAGGCAAGGACACGTACAATGTTCTTCCTCGTAGGCATTACATGCCTTCCATCATCAGCAAGCACGACTATATCTTCGGGAGCGTAGTGATATCTGCGCCGATGGATCAAGGGGAGAAATTGGACAAGAAGACACGTACGTACACATCAATCAGCAGCTTGCGCATTTTACGCACATCGTCATGCGCGGCTTCGAGCGGCGCGTACTCGCGCTTCTTCTCTTCCCTGACAGCGACCAATAACGCTCGCTTCCGCGGCGGCCTTTCGACTGCAGGAGCCTGGGTAGGAGACTCGGCTCGGCGCCGGCGTATGGCACGACGAAGAACTGTGCATGGACTTGCAGGCATAACGAGGGTGGAATAGGTGGCGGAGAAGCCCGCAATCAGGCGTCGGATTGGATGAGAGATTTTCGCAGATCGTCAGAGTATATATCTCTCCCCGGGCTGTGCTAAAACAAACGCCGGTCAGACCGCCAGGAACGAGGGATGATCATGCGATGGGCGACAGGAACGGGTAGATGGTATACATACCAACCACAGAGATGGTTGGAATGGTCGTATCTCGGGGGCGGTGGTGACAAGCGGTGAGTGGGCAGTGACTCAGAGCAGATCTCCACTCCCGGTGTAGTCCTATACGAGCAGGAAGACGTGATCAATGGAATGTGTCATATCACTCGGACCCAAGTTATCTCCGGTCTGTTGTACTTTTAGGTCCGAGTCTCATTTGCAGAAGGTCACTCGAGACGATAAGCACGTCGGCCCTGGGTTATGTCCTTTTCAAGCTGCTCAGGTGATCAGTCTTGCTCCCTAAACGGGAAAATCTCCCTTGAGGATAAGTGGCAGCAGGTCTGATATAGTCACACTCAAGAATGAAACTGTATTAGCGCTTGAACACTGTCTGGATGAGAATACATGCTGCAATGTGGTCTGCGGCTTTGCCGGCTCAAAATAGTCTCAAGATACATCCAAGTACTATGTTTTCCCCGAGTGATAAGTAGATCTTTGTCGCTGGGGCGGTGAGATCGCCTGTTTTGATAGGGACCTTGCCAGTCACCTCAGATCACCGAGGGCACCCCGAGTTTCGATGGCCCGTGACTTTGAAATCCCTCAAGCGCCGCCCACAGCAGATGTCAGAGACTTACATAAGATTATCGATTAAGATACGTCTAAGTGCGGTAAGTGGATTCTATCCAGATTCTATGTGAGTTTAGATCATGCGCTTCAACGCTTCGTCTACAGAGAACGGGGAAACTAGTTCCCCGCGAGTGTACCCTCGAAAAATGTGCGTTCCATATTCGACCCTCAAAGTCCCCTCCACTCTGCCATCGGCAGTCGGCAAGGACTGCGGGTCCCGAGCCCATTCGACGCAATACCAGACACGGTCGACGACCCACGTTCTCCAGGACGTTGGGTCGTAATTATCGGGGAACGCCTCGATAGTCTGGACCGCGCTGGTCATCAGCTCCTCCGGATCCTCTCCAGCCAGCTGTACACCAATCCGGACGAGCTGTAAACTCTCCATCCCGATAGGCAGTCTCAACTGCGCACGGACGACTACCCCGGGATCCAGAGCTTGAGTCTGCCGAATTCCTGGATGGAAAGCGCCAAGATGGGTGTTGATTCCCAACGTCCTCAGGCACGGAAAAGAGCCGTGAATGGTATCGAATAACGAGAATGGAAATGTCAAGACACCGAGCTCTAGGGTGTGAACCGAGTCGTTGGCCATCTGGAGGAGGATCGGAGGAAGCTCAGTTGGAGCGCGCACTCTCGCCACGGCGTGCGAAGACCACAATCGCACAGTCCGAAGCGAACGTCCGCGAGCGAGAGAAGCTCCCAGCGCCGGCGGACCGTGATACAGCTTCAGACGCGGGACCGCATCGGGGGGCACCGCGGGCGTCGATTCCATCGACAGGGGATTGGCACTGACGTCCACTGCCGACGTGCGAATCCGTAAGAGCGAGAGTGCCGGGCAGGCGAGCAGAACTTGGCCAAAGTGCGGGGATTGAAGGACACTCTGGGCCACGTCGAGGGCGGAGAGTTTAGGGAAGGGCGCGCCGTGGGCCGCAAGAGCCTCCACCACGACTGATGTCGCGGTCGGCCCAGCAACGACGGTTTCCAGCGTAGAGGCAAACAAGAAGTCGAGAGACGTTCCGTGCGGCGGAAACATGATGAGCAGACTGGTATTGCGGTTGAAGACAAAGCTCTTCGTCGCAGGGACCGGAATCATGCCATGCGATCCGGGAGGTATCTCTAGCTCTAGGGATTCAAGATGCAATAGTCGTAGGGCCTCCTTCAGTGCCTCGTCGCAGGCAGGGAATTGGAGCGTCAGAACATTCAAGTTGTGCAGAGCGGGCAGAAGACGCAGGATTCGGTCCAAAACATGCTCTATGGGCCGATGCGCTCCCCTGTGCCGTCGATTATATCCCGGTGGATAGGGAGACACGTAGATCTCCTTGACCGCGCCCTTGTTTCCTTCAGCTGAAAGAAACTCGAGTCTAGCAGTAGTCCTCTCCACGTAACCAGCCAGCTCGGTGCTCGCACACGACATGCGGAACGCAAAGGTATCGAGAAAAGGAAAGAACTGCTGTGTCCTAAAGTACGCGGTGAGGGAAACGGCGCGGAGGTGCTTCGACACGCGGGAGATAGCCCCCAGCTCGTAGCATTCGAAGTGCGCGAGGATCTCGAACCAGATTTCGCTAGGCACGTCGAGCGCTGGCGACTGCCGCATAGGTCCGGACTGACGAACGGGAGTCTGCGCTGTCTTCTATAATAAAAGGAGGGTAGAGCCAGGATAAACAGAAAGCTTGAGCACGAACCTTCCAAAATTTCAAAAAGCTGGAGGCTGGCCGGGCCTCTGAACGGGCCACAGAGACCGTCGCCATGACCCGGGGAAGAGAAGGGTTGGGTCAAGGTTCGGATTTCGATACCGAATGCCTTCTGTCATGATCAATCGCTATATGATCGTTGTCGGGCGGAAGGATTGGTAATTGTCATAGTCACAACGAGGGTCACGGTTACAGTTCTCGGCCGTCCCTCCAGCACACCGGGGGATCGCGAATAAAAGAGGCTCTGAAAATTGATTTATATGACTAATATTGCAGCACAAAAAATATATCTATATTCCTTACTTAATACTTAAAGAGTAAGATACTACGTTACCTTTCCTGATATACGAGATATTGTGGTCCAAAAGGGGGGCGATGATCAGCGAGATATCAAGGTCTAAAACAAAAGAACCTTTTTTGCGCATTTTTTCGTCGATATCACAGCGCTTTATCTCATACTCATTAGTAAAAAGATTAGCATGTACGTTATCAATCCTAATATTACCCAAAAAGAGCTGACTATAGGCTGCTAGGATATCAGAAATATTGCAGCCCAAAACAGCTGGACCTGATATGACCCATATCAGGGTCCAATTTATTTATCCGCCGATGATCGGCCGTTCATCCGTTGCTCATCGTCAGGCAAAAAGAATAGATTGTAATACGAAGTACATGACAGCAGAAACTAGCTAGTAGATAGATCAAGAACAACGCAACGATCACCGGAGTAATTGAATCGAGCATAGTGAGATACCACATCTTGTACCGGAACACTGTCTATGATATCAGTCATGGAAGAACGATATGTGCGAGCGGGGAAGAATGGCCGATAGCGGGAGAATGGATCCCGCATCCCCGGCTTTAACGGTGCTTGTCGCCGAATCTTGAATATGATGTCTTCCCCAATTGCAAGAATCCTCTCGATGCTCCCCGCAATCACCTCACGAGAGTCGCACCGGTAATAAAGGACAAGGCTGTTACCAAGGTGCGTACTTGCGCGTGAGAAGTTGACCCCACTTCGTTTGTAATGCGCGCGTTCCCCATCTTTGACAAGCGGAGAGGAATCAAATGGTGCATTGTAAGACGGGAATGTTTTCTCAAAGAGCGCTCTTAACTCCAGGAAGACCGGGGGGCAATCAGTGCGGCGCAACCATCGTCTTATGCTTGCACCCCTCATAAAGGATCTGGACAGTGTGGCTTCAAGTTCTCCTCCAATATGGTCATTGGTTTTGATTTTCTGGAGGAATCCAATGACACGTTCAAAGGGAAAGGTCCACCAAGAGATTACGGGACCAAAGAGTATCAGAAAGTCATATATATGAAACGCCATATGAACATTTGGCCGCATAGGATGAGACAGGGTATGAGGATGGTTTGCCGCAAGGCCGTCGACCCATTGCTTGAGAAATGAGCGATATTTGGCAGCGCGGGAAGGCGTCATTGTATATTGGCATACAAGAATCACCGCTGAAAAGAGCGCCATCGTATGGTCTAGAATCTGGAGTGACCGTGTCGGTTGTTCCGTGGGTTCATGATCGCCCCAAAGGAGAACAAGAGCAATAGGAAGATAGATTGTCGATAGGATGCGCCATTCAGCCGCCTTTATAGTTCCTGCGTTGCTATCACCGTAATTCATAGGAACAGAATCAATATATGCCGGGGTCGTAGTCTGCGCAATGACTCGCTGGATGAAGTAAATGTTGGCAAGGTTTATAGATCGGGGGATGTATGTGCCACTTGTGAGCGGCTGCGTACGGCGCTAAGCAGTTGTTAGTGACTATTCTGGAAGGAGGCGAGACAAGTGCTCACCCAAGCTAGGAGTTGATCACAGCAGACTTTCTTGGACGCTATGCGGCTCGCATCCGTATCAAGACCAAGTGAAGAAACAACCCAGCGGAGCGGCTGAAGATTGACCTTCATGAGCTGCTGGTGCATCTCTTCTTCGGTGACTGCTGGGACAAATCGAGGGTCAGGAGCGTCGATCATCTCAACATCTTGATCGTCATCCTGTTGCTCATTGTCGGCGTCAGCTTCGTCTGTGAGTAAGGGCTGGATGAGTTTTTGTTGAATGGTGCAAATCATAGGTAGTTCTCGCGTCTCGGTTTTCAGTAAACAAGAGGGATGGCAGTTTGCAGAGTTGTATTCCGGCCACTCATACTCAAATGCAGCTCCCATTGTCTCCTTGCGTTTGGCCAACTTAGTGTCTATTCGTAGTACCCGACGACAGTGGTAATGGACAAGACCCTCCAGGATGCAGTGCATGGAATCAACGACAGCCATGCGAGTGGGATCCCAATAAGGAAGACGCCAGAACTCCGACCAACGGACACCATACTCTGCGAAGATAGCATCTCGAGTGACTTGCGTTGTTGCATCTCGCCACGCATACACTTGAGCACGAAGAGTTGTGATATCCTGTCGCGTCCATTTGTGGAACTCCGTATTATGCATGGTCTTGACGCCAAAACACTCACAGATCGAGCAATACTGGTGTGAGTTATGGGCCGCCATGCCTTGAGCCTTTCGTGTCGCAGGTAAGTCGTTGACATTCATGACGAGAGCGAGATCTACGCTACGACCTGCGGCATGGAGCGCAGTACGGGAAAACCGATAACCTCGCTCCCATCCTATGACAAACTTGTCAATCAGAGGATGGAAGTAATTGTCGATTTGGTCGTGGCCAGGCTCGCTGGGACCGAGGATGATACTCAGCCACATATTTTCGGGACGATAGCGAATGTCCTCGCTCAGATTGAGGTTGACGACGGCGAGAAGCCCAATAGAGTTATGATTGCCTTGTTTTCTGGTCCCATTGGGATTGAAGAAGTCAAGCATGACCTGAAACGCGAGCCGCAGGCGACCGTCCCGCTGTATGAACAGCTTGCCAGGGACAGGGCCTGCGAAGCTGCGCAGAAACGCCGCCTCGAACACATTATTGACGTGCTCCTCCGCCAAAGACGCATCAGCGTTCTGTGACATAGCTTCGCGCACAGCTGCAAACACGTCATCACAGGCTTTCTCGCACATTCGTTCAACTTCGGGATCGGTTAGCATGGCAGCGATGTAGTCGATAAACGAAGTGAATACGAATGGCTTGATGGGACGCAGCTTTCCCTGGCGTGCCCCCAAAATCCGCGTCCCGCAAACCTGGCGAGCTCCTCACTGCGGATAGATATAGTTGTGACAGGTCTCCGGGTAGGAGGCGTCACCAGTGAGCGGGTTCTTGGTGGGTGTGTGCGTGTGATGGCAGGCCGGACAAGTTGCGTAGATGGTGGTGGCAGGATCAAGTTTGAACCTGCGAAGAGCAGATTCTAAGGAGGTGGGCAGCTGTTTGAGTGTATGTTCTTGGATTGCATTGGCACGTCCTCTGCGCGCACATAGAGACATTGTGGCCTGTATCATTGCGTTGACAAAAGCGATGATAAGATTGACAGGTTCGCTGCTAATTCCGACAACGACATGGCAGATGAGGGCCAGCAGGATTGAAAGCTGAGCGATGACATTGTATTTGGCAATCGGATTGACGAAGTGATGCTCTGGAGATGGCGTAAATCGTCAAATAGAGCATATTGAAACCAAGAAAACATACCGGTATCGTGCTTGACTTCATCTGTTTCTGGGGGAAGGAGGCGTCCCACAACATCAATAAGCGAGTCGAGCGTGGTGGCCTCTTCTCGGACCATCTGTGCCAACGCCTCATTGCTGTCACCCTCCACGCGAGACTTGTTCCTGGGGGACTTACGAGGCCGTTCATTGCCGGTAAGCTTGATGCTGGAGAGAAGACGACCCGCCTCAAGAACGACCGAGCTTGCAGTATCGACAGCGCTTGCCAGCGCACCAATAGTATTGGGGCTTGCATCGAGTGCGTGCTGGAGATCCAGTTGAGCATGAGCAGCCCGGAGTCGTTGTAGCATCTCTTGTAGTAGAGTCACATTGGTTTCTTGAGCTTGGATTGCGGATGGACGGAGCAGCAACGCTTGCGTTGGCATCTGCAGGACAGCTTCAACACCGGAGAAAGCTTCTGTGGATGAAACGGGCAGGAAGTCCGTGGGGACGTCAGGTACAGCAGCCTGGAAATCGTCCCGAGAGCTGAACAATTTCGAGTGTGTTTGGTGAGAGGGATGTACACCATCATCCATGACGACCAACCCAGTGAGAAGGCTGGCCAGTCTTTCGACCTCGATATCTGCAGGACATGCGGGCGCGTCTGTAGTGACTTGAATGCCATCCAAACGTGAGACCAGCTCGTCCACTTCGTTGACAGGCATGAGGAACGGAACATGATGCGCGGGATCAATCTTCTCTGAGTCGCGCGTGGGCTCAAGCACAGCGTCAGGGGTGTTCTGTCGCTCCTTGAAAGTCGCTATTTCCGCTTGGTGTGCTACTCGCTGACGCTTCAGGACTCGGTGATTGCGATGATTGGTTAACGGGCATCGCTGGCAAGTATAGTAGTAGTAACCCGACGACGACATTCGTCGACGGCAAACGTCTGACGAAAACGCAAGGTGGGGAGCACAGAATCGTAAGAGTGTGAATTAAAGTATGTAATCGAGCTTGTTATATGCACAGGCGGGAAGGTTCTTGTGCTCGATTGGGACAAGACAACAAAAGTGGCGTTCAGAGATACTCTGCCGACGGCATACGTCTGGCATGAGTATATGTACACAGGGATATGGGAGCACAGGAGTGGTGTCGACGGCAAACGTCTGACACCACCGACATGGTGGGAGAGAGAGAGAGAGGGATCGGTGATAACCGATCATTGATTGGAGGCAGTGACCGCTCGATCGATCACATGGTCCAATGACCGCTCAATCCATCACGTGGTCCATTGATCGCTCAATCCATCACATGGTCTACTTACCAATCTTTGATGTGATTCCATCACTTGACTCTTGTCCTCTACTCTCGCTCACAGACGTGTGCCGTCGTGAGCGCAGGTCCTTCAACATAACTTGTCACACCGAATATGGACTCCGGAGTCTGAGACTCCATTTCTGTCTCAGACGTTTGCCGTCGGGACGATCCAAGCGTTTTATACGACTTCTGCCAAGGCTCAGAATACATCGATCGCATGTAACTACTCGATGTAGTCGAAATAGTTGCCATATGGGATCTTTACACTGCTCTGTCTTGCGAAGCTCCAGTCCCCAAGCACCTTCTCGAACCCATATGCTAACGCAGCGAGGAGGACAACAAGCCAGACCAAAGACTTCAGCCCTCTCATTAGTCTCACACGGAAGTCAGGTGTAATTAACGTCTTGCGGTAGACGAAGATCTCATTCTTCCCGCTAATTGCACTTGATTTCGCCGCGAAGATGGTCGGGACACCCACAACATCCGCAGCCTGTTACGAGTCAGTACATGGCCGTCCAAACACACTATACTCACTGTCACGGTCTGGACCCACTCATTAGGATCGACTTGGAGCTTATTCAGTCCCTTGTCCCGGCGTGCGTACACATAGACGGTCCCATGGTCGCTGCCGCTGACGATGGCACGGTTCGAGTCAAACAGCGCTATTTGGTGGATGCGCTGGGTCTTTTTCACCGGCACTCCAAAGCTCTTCACCAGCTCGCCTCCAGCGAGGCGATAGAGATGGACACCAGCCTGGGGATCACTGACACAGAGAGTGCCGCTGGGCAGGTCCACTGCGGCATCAGAACTGCCACGCATTTCAGCAGCTGAACCCAAGAACAAGTATGATGTACATGCGGCACCCCAAGCTCCGTGCAGCATCCGCACTGCAGATACTGGTTCCGCGCATGTTGTACCTTGAGGGATGGTAAGTCTCTCGTAGCCCCTCGATGGAAAGTACTTACACAAGCCCACAGTATAGTCCGAAAACAAGCAGCTCACGCTCGTTGCTGTGCATCGCCCCGAACAGAACAACTCCGGGGACGCAATCGCTGATGGTGAGGGAGATCATTTCAGTCTCGATCATCCTCGCGCTCAGCGTGAACATCTGGAGGACCCCTCCACGATGGCAAGCTGCCAGACGATTTGTAGCTGGATCAAATGCAAGGCCAGTCACCTCAGCAGGGGCGCTCATCTGGCGATTCCAGATCTCGTGGAATCGCACTCTCGAGCTTCCCTACGAATGCTCAGGGCAGCGCCGCAACAGATGACTTCACTGACGCACCGTATTCTCCAGAAGGCAGCACACGATGAAGCCGTTCTGCGTGCCATAGATGAGAGCCTCGCTCATGTCATCCTCGCGTTTGATCCACTGGAGCTTTGTCGTTGCGCCGCGGAGATCGGAATTCACAGTCACGACGTCGAGCTCACGGGAGTGGTGATCGAGTAGGGGAGATCACCACGTCTTCTTGTGACAGTGTGAGAGGAGTGATGGTGGCTGTCCACCGTCACTCCTTCTCTCGCTTCGAGCATCTCGAACGTCTGAGTTTTGCAAATAGCCTCAACATTCCATCTTCACTCGAATTCACTGAATCTCGCCCGAATCCGTTTGGATAGCACCCTGACCTCACTTGATCTCGCTCATACACGCAACCCCCATGACGCCGTTCACTCAGCTGCTAAGTCAGACTCCCCGTCCACGCATCAACGAGCTCTGTGCGCTTTGGGGCCTATCCGCGTCCGGCAATCTGAACGACTGTCGGTCTCGCCTGAAGGCGTATATGGACGACAACATGGATCTCACCGAAGACGACACCTTTGCGGGCCTCTTCACACAACAACAGCGGAACGAATATGCAGCGAACCCCTATCCACCTGCATGGGAAGGCATTCAGCAGACCGATCGCGCTGACTCGCCCCCTACCGCCGATCAGGACGTTCGAGGCTCGTCCGCGATGCCCGGTAATGATCACGCCATCCGAGGCTCGCCCCCCCTGTCTGGCGACTACGATCGCGCTGGCGGACTGGGCCCCGTTGATTCGGCGGCAGGCCGCGAAGCTGGTACAGCACAGCGTCAACTTCTTCAGTCCCTGCCCGTGGAAGCGCTGGACAGATTGCTGGATTCCTTTTTCAACGGTCGGATGAATGGTACGTCTAGCCTTTTTTCATAGTCCCATGTTCCCCCTTTGTTTCGCCTCTTGCACATGCCTGCTAGCAATCGGCACTTCTATTCTTACGCACGCTGCTGTGCTTTCACATGGATATGTATGCGCCCTCCCAGCGAAGTCCCGCATCTACCTACCACGCGTTCGAGCGTTCTGATCGACGCACTTCGTCCTCTCATGCCGCGCATCCGAGCGTTACGTCTTGCACTTCACTTTCATGCATCCGAGCATTCCGCGTTACACGCAATCATATCTGCCGCGCATTCGAGCGTTACGTGTTACACACAATGTGGTCTGCCGCGCATCCGAGCGTTGAATAGACTCGTCGATGATGCTGTCCGTGCCACGCAGCGGGCTGTTATGTTTAGGGCTGCTTTTATGCGCCCGGTTGTTATCCGGACCTGGTCACCTACTCGCGGGTGTACACACCCGCATGTGCGCGGCCAAGCGTTCTGCGCACTGCGTACGGATCTTAACCCATGATTTGCACACCTCGCATTTGCATACGCCGGCCCATGTGGCCGATGCATACCATTTGATTGTTATGTTACATGGGCACACGATTCTAATCCTCTTTTAAGACACTGCAGTTCCGCCGACCACCGTAGTGCCACGCCACAATCCAGTTGCTGTTTCCGGAGTGCGACGTCGGCCTGATCGCATCCAGGGATCGGTTTCCACCGACGCAGGCATTCAGATCATCGAGCCCATCCTCAACCGGTTCTTGGGGACTGGGAACATCTGGGCGCATCATATCCCGTTGCACCTACTCACCGATGCCTTCTGCCGCCGATACGGCGTTGGGGCAACCACAAAGGATTTCGACGACAATCGCACGCTTGATAAAGCATCAAACACGGTGCTGACAATCCCGAAAGACATCCCCTTCGAGCCCGAACTACGCTTATCCCTCGCCGAATGGACTCAGGCATGGAAACGCTTGATGTACCTCATCGAGCGTTACGTTCCCCAGGAGCTCAACCTATGGCAGCAGCACTACTTCAAGATTATGCACTATCACAACCGCGAGCGGGTGTGGCCAATGCTCCTTGCATATGACTCCCGCGTGAGACGCGCATCCATCGTCGAGGCTCTGGACCCCTCTGTATGGCAGACGAACATCTGGGAAGACGTGAAGATTGAATTCGACGCCGAGAGGTTGGATTTGGACGGAGTCAAGTCTTTCAGCGATTCGCTTGCCCAAGGACCATCCTCGTCTCGCTTTCGGGAAGGAAAGTCCTTTCGAGAGGGCAGCGAACACTCCTTTCGCGACCAGGTCACCCGGCGCTTCGGAGTATATGAGAAGCGCGACAGCATGCATCAACCCGCATCCCGCTCAAAGGCCAGATGCTTCGCTTGTGGTAGCCAGGACCACTCCTCACGAAGCTGTTCTGCCGGATCTCTTATCAACGGCAAGCCCCTGGTCATCTGGTCGGACAAGCCCGGAGAGCCGCGGAAGGACCGACGCGGCAACCAATTCTGCTATGGCTTCAACGGCAAGATTGGGTGCACAATGGGCCGTAGCTGCAACCGACTCCACTACTGCAGCCTTTGCGGCGAAAAATCCGGTTCACACGGCGCTCAGGAATGCGCATCTGTGTGATTTCCTTCCAGTTGTGACCCCCCTCCTGCCGGACAGGTGGGACCGTGCGCTGATGGATGCCGGCGTACACGATACATTCCGTGATGTACCTATAGGTCTTCGGGATGGTTTTAATATGGGCATCACTTCCTCTATCTCCAGAACGTACACACCCAAAAATCACTATTCTGCTGTCGCACAAGCCAACACCGTTACAAAATACATTCAGAACGAGCTTTCTAACCGACATTACACTGGGCCATTCTCAGCGACTCGACTGGAAGCCCTCATTGGTCCTTTCAGATCATCGCCTCTGGGCACCGTGCCCAAGTCTGGCGCACCAGGGGAGTTTCGAATCGTGCAGGATTTCTCGTTTCCACGCAACGATCCCTCACGCATGTCCGTCAATTCGGAGATTAATATCGATGACTTCCCATGCGAATGGGGCTCGTTCTCGGATATTGTCATCCTCGTGATCGAAGCTCCCCCTGGAACCGAGGCGGCAACTCTGGATGTTGACGCCGCCTATCGGCGTTGTCCCATTCACCCGACGCAGCAACCACACTTTGTTGTCGAGTGGAATGGGGTCTTCTACATTGACCACGTGTGTCCATTTGGATTCACGAGCTCCGGGGGCATTTTTGGCCGAGTCGCAGATGCGATGGCAGCAATTTACCGCGCAAAAGGGATTGGCCCACTCAAGAAGTGGGTTGATGATTTTGTTTTCTTTCGTTTTCCTTTGCATGGCAGCCCGTCACCAAACCCATATAGCCTCTCGGATATTTATGACGTGGCAAAGGACCTGGGTTGGCCGTGGAAGCAATCCAAGACACGCGACTTCGCCTCGGAGTTCATATATTTGGGCTTCCATTGGAACATCACCGACAAATCGGTATCTATTCCAGACGGGAAGAAGTCAAAATACATCGCTAGACTGTTGTTATGGACACCCGATGCATCGTTCACTGTCAAGGAAGCCGAATCACTGCTCGGAACACTGGTCCATTGCTCTTTGGCACTGCCTGAAGGAAAGTCACGACTACCTGCAATATCGAAATTTGCGGCATCCTTCGCTCACACTCGATCACCCTTCTCACGCCGAAAGCCAAACGCGACGGTCTTGGATGACGTATCCTGGTGGTTGTCTCAGCTGCATAAACCGTTCTGCGGATCTCGGCTTATGAAACCGCCCTCATTGTCTGGTATACAATTCTTCGTGGATGCATCGACCTCTTGGGGCATTGGCGTAGTTTTCGACAGCGTCTGGCAGCGCTGGAGGCTGACACACTCCGCCTTACGCGATGGTCGCGATATTGGATGGGCCGAAATGATAGCGATCGAGCTGGGCCTCCGTCTCGCAATACATCAGAATCACTCCGACGTGCACTTCAACGTTCATTCGGATAACGCAGGGGTTCTTGGCGCCTTGTCAAGCGGAAAATCTCGGAGTATGGAACAGAACCGGGTGCTGCGCAGAATCGTTGCTTTATTACGGACGTCCTCGATTTGGATCTCGTGCACGTATGTCCCCTCCGCGCTGAACTTGGCGGATCGCCCTTCACGAGGACTAGACGTCCCCGGTTACCGGCGATGTGGATCGAATTTTAAATTACCTTACTGTCTGTTGGGACTTGTATCAGCCCCTGTGTGACTTAGCAGTATTCACTCTTGCTTCTTTCTGCACTGGGAGGACGATGCCAATGCACGAGACTGGAAACAATGACAACAATGGCAGCGACACAAGGCCAAGGATCTTCCAGCAGTTTTACAGTCACAGCCCCTTGCCAGCAAACGCAGCTTCCCTGGGCCTATCTCAGCGCACAATGGAGATGATATCGACCACATTGCAGTCTGGATGGGCCGGAAATACTCTCAGCAATATGGGTGGGATAGTGGACTCCTTCCTGCGCTACTGTGACACCGAAGGCATACCGACTCAATTCAGGCTGCCAGCAGACGAGATGATACTCTGCGCTTATGTTGCGTCAAACGCCGGAAAATTGGCCGGAACAACAATCAGAAATCACATCTCTGCGCTGAAAGCGTGGCACGTTGCGCAGGGAGCCGATTGGAACGGAAAGGCACGGCTGCATTACGTTCTGGCTGGCGCAGAGCGGATGGAACCCGATTCGGCCAAGAAACCCCCGAGACCTCCGATCAATCGTGATATGTTATCCCGCCTGCATGGGGGCCTGGACTTCTCGGACCCACGCGATGTTGCAGTGTACGCTACCGCGTGTACTGCGTTCTGGGGCCAATGCCGTCTCGGCGAAATTTTACCGCTTTCGACGAGCTCAAAGGCGTCAGCATTCACCCCTAAACGATTGCATTTCGTCCCAAGGTCCGGTGCCTCACGTACGAGCCATTTCAGAATACCCCGAACGAAAACGAGTATCCAAGGCGATACAATTCACCTGCCACGTCAGTCTGCGCCACTGGACCCTGTCACCGCAATAGAAATGCATTTTATTGCAAGCCGACTGGACTCCAACGCCCTGCTCTTCAATTTCTCAAAAGGGGGAAAGGATGCGACACTGACAAAGTCTGCATTCCTCAAACGATGCAACGAAATATGGTCGGCAAACGGCTATCCGCGGACAACCGGTCACAGCTTCAGGATTGGCGGCACTACGGAATTGCTTTTAGCCGGAATCCACCCCGATGTTGTCCGCACAATGGGCTGATGGTCGTCTGACTCCTTCCTACGTTATTGGAGGTCCCTGGAAAATCTAATACCAAAACACGCCGAATTTTTATCTTAAATCTGCTTCCCTTCTTTGGGCGAGTCGATGGCGCACCATCAACTGGTCAGCCATGTTGGGTTCATTTGCTGCCCCACCATCGACTCGGCGACCTGGGTTTCTGTAGTCCACCCATCCCCACACGTGAATACTACTGTTCGTCTTAACTATAAATACGTAAAGATTGTTTCACGGAGCACGCCAGGAACAAGACGGGAGTGGTGATCGAGTAGGGGAGATCACCACGTCTTCTTGTGACAGTGTGAGAGGAGTGATGGTGGCTGTCCACCGTCACTCCTTCTCTCGCTTCGAGCATCTCGAACGTCTGAGTTTCGCAAATAGCCTCAACATTCCATCTTCACTCGACCCACCCACCCACTCCTTCCTTCCTTCTTTCATTCCCTTCTACTAATGCTGACAACTTTTCCTTTCCTAGACTCACAGTAGTACAGCAGTGTCGATGTTGGGGGTTCATTTGCTGCCCCACCATCGACTCGGCGACCTGGGTTTCCGTAGTCCACCCATCCCCACACGTGAATACTACTGTTCGTCTTAACTATAAATACGTAAAGATTGTTTCACGGAGCACGCCAGGAACAAGACATAGTCCTTGCAAGTCCCAGATCTTTGGCCCACCTCCATTGGATCCTAACGTTGTTCAATGCGCCCGACCACGCAGTAGAGTTGCGTATCTCACCTGCGCTGGCCAAAAATTTGCCGTCATCGCGAACTTTGAGGTCAAGAATGGCGCCAGTATGACCGTTCAACTTGCAGTGGAGGCGGTACTCAGCATTCTGCGCTGGAACGTCGCACATATTCGATTCAATGCAGCACCCCCAATGCGTCTAGTCTTTATGGCGTCGTCAACAATAACTACGAGATCCTTTTTGTCTCCCAGTAGAGCACTTGGGTACGTAATCGAGGTTAACTAGATTATAATTGGACAATCTTCCTTCATCCTAATGGAGGTATCCCACGGTCTATCATGATAGGACAATCGTCCTTTGTCCTAATGGAGCTATCTACCGATTTATTACTTCACAATAGAACACGCCTCGAAATTTGCATCTTGCTAACAACATCCCGCCTCAATGCTCTTCCGTGCTAAGCCACTTTCACCGCCGCCTCCCGTTGTTCAATTGCTCGCGCACACTGACATCCAGTCGCCAAACTTACCTGCGCTCCTGATGCACAATGACGTGAAAGACGGCCCTCCCCTCGCGTTCAGGGAGAATGCCATCAGTAAAACTTCGCACAAGCATGCGCCAAAGAAGATGGTCAGCTTCGAGCCTGCTAGCCTCAAGACGTGTCCTCCCATAGCTCAAGTGCACCAGCCATCAAAACCGTCGTCGAAGCCTCCCACCCAAGCTCGTACTCCCATCAGCGACTTGGAGGAGGAGGAATTCGAGGAGCAGACCTTGAAGCTCTTGCTCTGCGTCCCTCCTGGTGGTCCTTCTCACGTCAAGGACTCGGACTTTGCGATCTTGACTGGGTGGAGCAAAGATTTCATCGCCGAATTCCAGGTACGTCCATTCTGGTTGCCCTCTTACAATGATCCTTATCTATTTCGTTCAGAATGCGGTCGAGAGTCTCGCCAGCAAGAAGTTCGACCCCAATCAGTCCTTGAGCAAGCAAGATCCAGAAGTCAAGGCGCAAGTCGTTTCTGAAGTACGTTTCGAGTTCACTTCTTTCTTTGGTAGCTCACGCTGACTATATCTAGATCCAGGAAGCGTATCCTATTGTGAACAAGTACATAGACCTCTGGCCCCTTGAAAAGGCACTTATTCGTGCCTGCAAGAATTCGTCCGCCAAGGAGGCGAGAAACTCGGAGAAGGCCGTCGTCAAGACACTCAAAAAAAACTTGCGACCACGCAGTGTCAGTTCATTTCCACTGACATCTTTCTCTCCTTCTGACGGCTACTACGGAGCAGGATCGTATTCATCAGTAGTCCATTTACATGTACTTACGTTGTGATTAATGAATCGATGGCTCGTCGATATTCATCGCTAATCGTCAATGATCACTAATCAGTGATGATGATGTGACTACAGTCACATCACAAGCTCCGTTCAAGCAGCTTGCCAGATTAGTGGTAGATGTAAAATGTATGATTTTCAAGTAGTACTCCTGTACATACTGTTGTATCCATGTAGATATACATCACTGAATTAATACATGCGCTCAGCAATACTCATGCGATATCACCAATCGCTAGTGACCGGTGATCCATCGGTGATCGATGATCCATCGGTGATCGGTGATCGGTGATCCATCGGTGATCGATGATCCATCGGTGATCGGTGATCCATCGGTGATTGCTCATTGCTTATGATCCCCGTATAATCCTTGATTGCTCATTGCTCATCCAGCAGAGCATGAAAATGATATTATTGCACTACATACTATAAAGTATACATTGAGGATGTGTTAGATTGGGTAGTATCTACTTGATTTAATATAAAACCAGATTTCAAGTGCGGCGTGAGCAATCATCATCAGTGACCACTGATACCAATGATTACTGATGGATCACTCAATGCCGATGATCTTTGAGGCAGGGTGTAACCTAATGACGTGAATCAGGACTTTGTAAACATCCGAGCACGTCGGCGAACTAGCTACAATTTGGTAGCTATAGTTCTTGCACTGTCACCTCCCAAAAAGGGGAACATGTTCAAAAGACAATAAGGCAATTGTTCCCAGAAGAATACAATTAGTACCACAACAATATAATGTGTACTTACACTTGTTATAAAAGTAGCCTATCGACCACTCTGTCCACTCAACAAATCTTATCAACCCCCCACCTCATCTCCATCTTTGTTCCACGCGTTTGCCGCGGGAATTGCGATCATGAGCAACAACGGTGTGCCAGTCATGGACAATGACGCATCCATGAAGGAGGATTCACAGAAACCGACTCCGGTAGCAAGGCTTGCTCAAGTTTTTGCGACTGTTAACGAGCCTTGTAGCGTGTTCGACTTATCTTGGGTCCCAATGCGGATGTCTCTAGCAAAAGAAAAGCAGCCCCCACTCCTGAACATCATAAACTCGATGATGTACGTGTCATTTCACACCTTGCATTCACAAACTAAAATGCTCTGCAGGCTCGTTCAAGCGAGCAATACCACAAGCAGGCTGCGACGGAAGCTAGACAGCAGCGTCGTGCTGCTATTCAAGAGAACGACAATCTTCGAGCTCAGCTCAGCGCAGCTCAGAATGATGTCCTTGCTCATCAGGATGAAGTGCGTCGTTTGCACATTCTGATCGAGGAAGGCCGCAGCAAGCTTGAGGAGAAGAGTCGCGACGAAGGCAACTTGCATGCTCAGATAATGCACGACCAGGACAGATTGGCAGATCTGGTGAGTTCCTGGTTTGGTGGAAAGAGGTAATTCATTCATATTGGTACAGCTACAACGAGTTACAGCTGCTCAAAACCAAGCAGCTGAAGCATCTACGCAATCCTATCGCGCCCAGGAAACACTTGTAGGTGGCTTGACCGCATTACAGATAATGTTGACACTGACGGCAAGATAGAACGTGCGCGACGAGGAAGTTGATCGACTTCGTGCTGAAGTGTGCGCGCAAGAGGATGAAGTCGAGCGCCTTCGACAACAGATCAAAATGGCAGCACGTACTAAAGCACAACCCTTGGCGGTAAAGCGCCGAGGACGAGTCAGCACCAAACTGTTCAACCCAGGGCGGCCATCTGTGATGGAACTCCCACTTGATCCTGCACCTCTTCCAAACGAGCGCCCTACGTTGTCAGCTCCTACGTCCGATTCGGGCCCCGATTCGAGCCCCGATATGGAAATCGAGGCAATTGCAGCCAAATTGGACATGGACGTCGGAGAATTGGCCAAATTCTTGGCTGTGATGAAGCTTGTAAACGGCAACAACGTAAATGTTGCCATAGGGCCGTCAGAAGCGACAGGACGCAAAGCAAAGCCCAAGGCTGAAGCAGACGCAAAAGCAGCCGTGGCGCCACAGGACAAGGAGCTAGTGAACGTGGCCCATGTCAGTGAAACATAACGCTACTTGGGGGACAGATAGCTCACCAAATCTAGGCCATGATGCGCAACATAACTTACCGCAAGTTCGGATACAACCAAGCGTCGGATTTCATCTTTCACGTCTCCGCGACAGAGGATGAGGTCAGTGCTTTCGCCGAGAACGATGAAGCCACTGTCACCAAATGGCAATTTGATTTCAATGATGACTACACGAATTCAGCATGGAACGCGGCTCAGATGGAGAGACTGGTGGATGAGGCCGTGAAGGAGGACTACGCTGGAATGCGATACCTTCAGAAAGGTCTCATCAAGCGCGAGTATCTTGAGCTTATTGTGACCGAGCAGCTCGCGCGGTACTATGCGGAGTGGAAGCAGTTCCGCCCCAGGTGGGACATGGAGGAAGGTCGCATGGAAACAAAAGCCGAAGCAATTGCTCGCGGCAAAGTCGTATTGTACCACCGGCGCACGTTGTCCAAGACCATCAATGGACAGCACAACGTTTGTATTTCACTTGAACGATGGATTCTATATGTACTGATTCCCTCCAACAGAAATACGACCATCGTCGCACCACCGTGGAGGCGACAATCGCATTGAAGGAGGCAGACGGTGGGAACGATCTAACAACCTGGAAGAGAATGCTAGACCTGCTGGACCTGCTCGGCCCGAGCGGAATGTCCGAGGAGGAAGAGACGCATTCGATCGAGAAGGGTGCAAAGATCAAGGTTTACAAGATCAAGTTGTGCGTTTGGCGCGAGCCCGCGATTGTGGACTACATGCGCATGGTGGACGCGCAGACTATGCGTTTTCAAGCCCTTCATAACGGCACCAAGCCCGCTCCTTGTGTGCGCGCTCAGATGCACGGCGACAGACCTCCGCCCAAGGGACTTCCAAAATGCCTGTACAATCCGGAGTGGCTGGAATCCCTTTCTCCGAGAGAGGTTAGGGCTCTGAAGGTGTCGAAGAATGCATTTGCGCTATTTGTAGCGGCAACTGAGCGGATGGCAAAATAGACTACATGTACATGTAGTCGACTAACTGAATCGAATGACATCGAATGACTGAGTTATGAGCTGAAATGGTAGCTACAATGGCAGCAGACGCCTGATAGATGCATTTGTGGGCGACAACGGCGGCGACAGATGGTGTCCTATCGGCGGCAGACGCCTGATAGACACATTTGTGAGCGACAAAGGCGGCGACGATGGTGTCCTATCGGCGGCAGACGCCTGATAGATGCATGTGTGAGCAATCGTGACGGCTGAGGGACAGTGGATGCAGCATTGCATCCATCGTCCTGCATACGCGGCCTTTGAAACTTGAGGGAGCTGTCGGCGGCAAACGCCTGACAGCATGGTGAGAGAGAGAGGAGAGGGAGTTGGTCGAGCGTGCCACAGATCATCGATGGGATCAGGCACGTGTTGATTTCAGCACGTGCTGATTTTACACGTGTTGATTTCAGCACGTGCTGATTTCAGCACGTGCTGATTTTACACGTGCTGATTTCATTGATCCCACATCTCATCCTCCAACAACCACCACCATGAACCCAGGTCGGGATCGCGGACAGCAGGGACCCAGGCGTTTGCCGCCGGGTCCAAAAGCATCAGAATCGACGTGTTTGCCACGCGGTTCTGTGGCTTCAGGCTCCAATCTCGCGCCTAGCGACCACGGCCCACACCGACTTCTGCCTCTCGCGCTTCTTGAGGAATTCGAGAAGAAGACACTCACTGTGAGTAGCCAATCCACTCTTTTCTGTTCTTCATCCTTACTGACTCAAAAAAGTCCACAGCTCATTTCCACGGCGTCGTCCGCAACGAATGGGGTGTCTTCATGGTCTTCAACGCCGATCGCACATCGCTCCTTCGCATTCCCCGCCCCGACAACAGTTACCACTCCTATCCTGCACTTTACAAGACGTCCTGGGTGAGCGTCCGACGAGTTCATCTCGCCTGCTGCCCTCGCTATCCCATGTTCGACGGCGATCTGCTCGGTGTTCTCGACGTATCAATGCGCTCGTTGCCAACAAAAAGGCAGGAATCGGTGGATGGCCCGTCTTGGGTTCTTGCCCCGGCCATAGCGAATAAATGGATCAGTCTGGAAGGATTTCTGAGCAGGGTCGTCACTGTCCTGCGTTATCACGTCGGCCGACTTGTCCCAGCTGTAAGTTGCGGGACAATGCACCCGCGCCCTATCACATACGGCTATACGAACTCTTTCTCCTCGGAAGACGAACTCATTTCGGCGGTGTCTCATTCTCGAGACGCGTTCACACCTCTGCTGGCAGCCATTGCGCTGTGTTTCCTGGCTCTCGACGGATCTCCTCAATGTGCCAACTGGCGTTCTTCAGTCATGAGGAATCTCGATATCCAACACCGCCTCATGGACTCGCTGGAGGACGTTGTTGAACGTCTCCTTCGGCATCCAGCAGGAATGATCTTGGATTGTACAATAGAGAGCCCGCGCGAGCTAGATTGGCTTTTCCTACTCCTTGTCAATGACACCGTTCACATCCATGTCCCGTTATATTTCTTTTTGGGCGAAGGCGAACAGGCTGTGCAACGAGCCACCCATCTTGAGTCTTTCCAGTCGATGCGCAACATCCGTCTGGACGTTCAGAACTCAATCCGCACATTGATCTCGCTTCCTTCATTACCGGTCGCCACTGAAGAGTTTGTTTTTGTTCAGTCCACAATGCGTCAATTCGGGACATTCCCCAATCCTGAATACTACGCAGCTCTGGAGACCAAAAAGCGGCAGTTTCCACCCGTTGAGCCTCACAGCGGCCAGAAGGCAGGGCAGATTTATACGGATTTTTTTGCCTGCTGCAAAGCCCGGAATGAGCGTAAGCTTGCCGAGGAAACGATTGAGCAGAGGCAGACGCGTCTTCAACGAGAACAGAACGCCAAGTCGCAGAATTGTCCTGGCAAAAAGGGTGCCCGAGTATTCAAGTGGGAGAAGATCAACGACTTCTGGGTCCGTCGACTTGTACAACGAAACTTGGTTGAGGAGGAATGGTGCGATTTTGCACCTTCACAGCGTGTCTACAACTCGTTTGCCAACGAATGGGACCTCTGTGCACCCTTGGATCCCAAAGCTCAAGTCGAATACGATGACGACGACGACAGCAACGACGATCCCTTTGGTTACTACAGCTCACGTGCTAACTTTGCCGCTGATTTCGACGACCAGCTTCCCACCGGACTATCTGATGAAGTACAATCGACGCTGAACAACGCTTCTGCTGTCCTTCACCATCTTGACGCGTACTACGACGACGACGACGACGACGACGAGAAGCCTACGATCACAAACATGGACGACATCCCTGCTCAAAACGCTGTACGAGCCATTCTCGAATATCGTGTGGGGCTTGTCGACCACACGGAGCGCCACTTCGCTGATACAGAAATGATCAAGCCTCGTGTCAGTGCCCACTTCCTCGGCAATGGGACGTCCTCCACTCCCAAGCCACCAAGCGATGCGGCCCTCGCATTGCTGCAAGCATTGTCCAAGGCAAAGCGTGTCCGAGACCTCCCCAATGATCTCTTTGATCTCGGCAACGACAAGATAGCGGATGACATCTGGTCGAACAGTGGTGTTAGGGTGACATTGCTCCAGGGCGTTAGTGCTCAAGCACATCGCTCCACAGGATATGTCCTCAAACCGCGCAACCAAGCGGCACCTGGGAGACAGGTCCTCATCTTCAGTGCTGCTTCTGTCATGCATCTCGTTCGCTGCCGTTGCCAGACCTGGGGCGAGATCATCTCACATCTGTATCATCTCGGTTCTCCCTTCCACGTCGTTGTCGAGGACTCCATCTTTGGACCATCTTCCCATCAACCGGACCTCTATCAATGTCGTAGCCTTGGAGTTCGCCCTGAGAGCTACATTCCAGAGCAGCAGGATCTTCGCACGTACTGGGACTCAGTGAAGCGCTTCCTCCTTTCTCCTCGTGGCCGACTAGCCCTTCAAGCTGGAGGCGTTGTTGCTCGGCTGGCACGCAAAGTCATCGTGGACTCAGAATTGGAGCTGAGATCAGATGATGTCAACATCGAGACCGCCGAGGAGCTAGTCAGAAGTGGGGATACAGCGGTCTATTACCATGCATTGATGCAGGAGGAAATGGATCTTGTCCTCGGCGTGTACAGCGTCGAAATGAGTAAGTCTCAGTTTCCTCTTTCTTACAGAGAACGATGAATAATTCCTATAGACCAGCTGGATCCCACCGCACGCAATGGCCATCAAGAGAAACGTGTTTCGTGGTGGCCTCAATCCGCAGCGTTTTTTACTTCGGGAATGAGTGTTGGGTGGTGGACGCCAGATTGCGAAAGATGGTTCCAAGGCATTCTGCAGGAGATGGCGCAAGGCAGAGCTGTTGTTCTCAACAACACCCGTTGGAAGGAACGGATTCGTGGGTACAGCGCTGCCTGGCGCCTTTCTAAGAATCTCGACGCTGTCTGTGCCGACTTCCTTACCAATATCTGAGCTGTCGTGGACTGTAGATATATCATCATCCATCCTAATTGTATCTTATATCAGTATATCTAGATCTATCATGTGCTTCGAATTACAATATCTTCTTCCCGCCCGACGATGAGCAACGGATGAACGGCCGATCATCGGCGGATAAATAAATTGGACCCTGATATGGGTCATATCAGGTCCAGCTGTTTTGGGCTGCAATATTTCTGATATCCTAGCAGCCTATAGTCAGCTCTTTTTGGGTAATATTAGGATTGATAACGTACATGCTAATCTTTTTACTAATGAGTATGAGATAAAGCGCTGTGATATCGACGAAAAAATGCGCAAAAAAGGTTCTTTTGTTTTAGACCTTGATATCTCGCTGATCATCGCCCCCCTTTTGGACCACAATATCTCGTATATCAGGAAAGGTAACGTAGTATCTTACTCTTTAAGTATTAAGTAAGGAATATAGATATATTTTTTGTGCTGCAATATTAGTCATATAAATCAATTTTCAGAGCCTCTTTTATTCGCGATCCCCCGGTGTGCAGGAGCCTTCCAGAGACTACCTGAAGGCTGACTTTCCCCCTTCCGGGCTCATAGAAGAAGCCAAAGAAACTGCTTCAATGATGCTTGAGATTCGTCTTTCCTTCTCCCGCCTTGCTCGCTTTCAGCGTTATCGGCTCTCGGTCTCACCGTCGGACATGCCAAAAACGACTTTCACGCTCCGTGAAGACGGCGGCTCATCCTCACGGTGCTATACAGCCAGGAATATCTCACGAAATCTTTTTACTCCATCTGCTGTGGCTGCTTTTGCGGCATGCCGTGTGTCGCTAAGAATCTCGCTCTGTTGTGCCGTCCTGTCCGACGGCGAGCCTACAGATGCGCTCGTTCCATACCTCAAAGCTACTCTGCCTGCCTCCGATTCGGAAACACAAGCCAAGATCCGAGTTCGTCTTGCTAGCTGTACCCGATTCCAGATCGGCGCACGTCCCAGCGGTGTGTCAGCGTTTTCTGTCAGTAAGCATTATATCTGCGATCCTTCCTGGCAACTCTTGGTCCATCACTGGCACGAGCACCTGCGTCCCACGCTCATTGATATGCACTGGATTGTCCCTGCCACCAGCGTGCCGCCGTCCTTCGAAGTGACTTCGCACCGCACGATCGTGATTCTCAATGTCAGAGCTCAAGGCTAGCTGTCTCGGCGGAGGACACGTTTTCTAGGCATGTTTTCATGCTGTGCCATGTTATGGCTCCCTTCATAAGACGCGTCCCCGGACTTGTATCGAGTATCAAGGAAGGTCCCGAGCGACTGCACTCGCGTCAACTACTAAACTCATGCCCGGGGTTCATCTTGTCGACGCCGAGTTCTCGGAGGCATCCGATCCGAGAGGATGTGCTAATCGTGGTTGTTTATTCTCGAGTCCGGGCATACAACCCGTTGGGGCAGAAACGACCCGTCCTCGAGTAGGTATCTCGCCGCGTTGATTGCTTCGCTTGCCTCAGAGCTGCCAAATCCCACGTGTTTTCGCTGAGCGGAGAGTGCAGGTGGTTGATGAACGATTTATATACATTACATTTGTTGCAGATATACAGAGGCAGGATGTAGACAAGCTTGATGGACAGTGGTGAGAGGAAAGGAAGGCAGTTGCGCGTATATGACACGAGAGATCGGAGTGACTGATAGCGATTGGAAGCAATGCGAGATATCACCGGGTTCGGTCGACACTATCCCAGCTTGAGCCCGAAACCTCACTTCCCGCACTGCTCCATCGCTCCAGGTCGTCGTCCGCCGTCTCGTTGGGCGGCGACGTCATCGTCGCGCCGAAAGAGTGGAAGGAGTGGTACTGGGAGTCCTCTCCTGATACGGACAATTCAGAAAAGGGAGAGGCAGGACGCGATGACGCAGGGGCTGACAGCAGCTCCAGATCATGCTCCGAGTCGAGATCGAGTGGGTGCGAAAGGGAGAGACTGGGCACCTGGTACGGCGAGTGTGCGCTGGTGTGCGCAGAGTCGGATAGAGAGTGGGCGACGTGCTGCGGAGAGACAGGCTGCGGGGTCTGCACCGGTGATGGGAGCAGTGAGCTACCCCGGGGTAGTCCGCGGACAGACGGTTCCGGCGTTAAAGGCATCAAGGGAGGTGGTGGGGCCCGGAGCGGGGTCTGAAATAGCGTGCTGTGGGGTAAGGGGCTGGCAACGCGGCTGCTCAGAGTCGAGGTCGAAGCGGGGGAGGAGTCGTTCGTCAGTGCATCACTGTGGTCGAATAGAACGTGAGTGGCGGACGGCGACATGGGCGAGTACATCAGAGTAGGGTCTCTAGAGGGAAGACTGGATGCCTAGATAGAACATGAGGGACGAGCTACGGAATAAGAGGGGAGCGCACCTCGTTCGGCTTCCTATGTCTCAAGCCTGCGGAGGGCGCAGAGCCCACTTGACTCCTCCACTGCCGCACCCCATCGTCAGAGCGATTCTCGAGCTCGTACATGCTCTTTCCGTCGTTATCCCTCGCGTTGATGAGACTGTCCGTCTCAGTTTCGCTGCGCACGAAGACCGGGACTGCAACGCGGGCCGCAGCAGCCGCCTTCTTCGCACGCCGCTTCTCGAGAAACTCTTCAGCCCATCGCTCGACCTTGGGTGCGATGTGTGGCTCGTAGATAAACTGGGATCGGCGTCAGATAAGCTTGACGGGTGGCCGGACGAGGGCGGCGAAGGTCCGGAGCTTGGAGTGGAGACGACGCGTGCATACCTCTTTGAAGGCGATGGCAGCTGCCACAGTCCCAATCGCAGCGACAACGTAAACCGCTACGGGGGCAGGCATGGTAATAGGACAAGGAACTTGGGATGGGAAGCAACACCACTGGTGGTGGTGTTGTGTCGTGTATCTGGCTTCTGAAAAGGGGGTTTCTAATCACATTGACGCTCACGTGCACGCGAAATGCAGGTCCTAGTTTCATTACAAAGTTTTTCGTGACAACGAATATGGAATGCATTCAGCCCAGCCACTGGTCTGATCTCAAGGACAGCAGCCCGTTTTCGATAAATTTCTTCAAAGCAGCTAACGCGTCCCTTTCGAGCTCCCAGTTAACCGTCGCTCCAAGTGGAAAGTCGAATTTGATTGAGCGAAGGGACGCCTGCCTCGCGTCGATGAGATCCACAGACTGACTCACGGTCATAAAAACAGTCTGCATTTGAAACATGCTCAAGGTATGCAAGGCGGGAACGACATCAGCTTCATTAGTGAGAATGTCGATCAGCCGGCGCGTCACCACTGTGTCGCCTTTGCTAACGTCGAGTTCCTGCAGTTGTGGAAGCAGAGGTAGAATCCGGTTCCACTTCCACTCCTCATCATCCCTATCGTGCACGACACGCAGTGAGGTTATGGGTGCGTTTGAACGCCGGACGAAATCTCGCATATCATCAAGCGAACGGTCAAATTCAACAAGAGTCAGCTTCGTGAGGGCAGGGGCCTCGATATGATTCAGCAGAATGCTATTGGGCCACTGAGCCTGGGAACGGAGCTCCAGTTTGAAGAGGCAAGAGAAAACCAATGGTGATTTGATCGCAGGATGGTCGGTTTCTTCGCATTGACCGTCCACAAGACAAAGGGACCTCAGCCGTGATGCGCAAGATTGCAGAAGCTCAAAGACAGTCCCCATTTCCCGCTCGCTGTCCGCACAGAACAAAGTGAGAGAGTCGAGCGTTGCCCGCAGCGAGAGCACGATATCTCTCATCACACTTCCGGGAAGGCGTCCCCCAATACGAACAGTGTTGATGGACGACGACTGTGAAATAGGGTCTCGGAGGTGGTCGACGAGATTGGCCAGGACGTTCACGTCGTCGGTGCCGAGCAGTCCGTGCGAAACGACAAGCGTTAGAGATGCAGGACGGCCGCGCGCGTATCCAATCCATCGAGAGATTCCATGCCCCAATCCGTCCGTTATCCTTCGTACGACCAACTCAGTCCACAGAGAGCTCGTGGCGAGCGCGAACTTCGCCCAGCCGCGAGACACGCGTAAAAGCACTAGGCCTAAGGATCCTGGAGGTATTCCGAGTTCATCTGAGTCCTCGGGCAAACACATATCGAAGATAGTCGAAGTGATTTCTAGAGGAATGCGCGAAAGCGGGTCGCGAAGAGCGTTGATGCGCGTGAGGACTTCGATCTTCTCAATCTCCAGACGATCCATGAGAGACTTATGCCTCGAGACCTCGAGCTCTATTTCCGCTTCTACTTCCGCAAGGCGAGATAACAGTGCGCCGGTCGGGTGTGGGCTTTCCGCCATGTTCGAAGTGCTAACGAAGGAAATATGGAGTCGAGAAAGGATACGTGCGCCGATGGTCGAAGGGTGCAATCACTGCTAGGGTTAGGAATTCGTCGAAGTGACTGAGCATGTCCAACTTTATGGTCAAACAGGTCTTCCTACGTTTGGATGGATGCGCAAGGAGACATCGGTCACTCGAGGCTGCGAGCTAGCCGATCAGACACTCTTACTTGCGGGTATGTATTGAGGCTACACGGACAGGCATTGTAACGTTCTAGCTCTACCTTTTATACGGCGCTTGCATCGCTCAAGCCCACGCGACGTCCCATCCGAGACAACTGCGATCCCACTTGCCAGGTTCGCCTCCAAACGCCAACCAGCCGAGGGTCTCGCTCGTCATAATGGCCGCCCGGACGAATGCTGACCCGTCTAGCCTGCTCATGCCCTCGTGCGTTTCTTTTCCAGCCCTATCCACCGCACCAGGTACCGCACCGGCAGCCGTCTGGCCAAGGCGCTGCGCCACGTAGTACAGCGTGCGGATGGTCTTGATCACATGTGAGTCCGGGTGCTCGAACGCATTAAGCGTGACCGGCAGCCAAGGGTTGACCTCGCCCCCCGCGTGCCCCGGGACGACGTCGGGATACGACATCAGCAGCGCCGGGTTGATTCGGGGACGCCCGCGCGCGATGGTCCACAGTGCCGATGTGAGCGCGTGGCCCTGGAGCAGCTGAGCCTTGTGCATCTTGTTCGGGAGCGCGGCCAGCAGCTTGGGCAGTGCCACGGCGCTCGTAAGCGCGTGCATAAGGAAGAAGTCGATCCGGTTCTCGCGCCCGGGGCGCCCCGTGGCTGCAGTGAGCAGTGTGGCCTGCCAGAAGCATTCGTCCACCTTCTTGGCACATTCGGCATCGAAGGCGGAACCGGTCAGCGCTGTGTTGAGCGTCCACTTCGAGTAGAGTCGACGGAGCTCGGCGCCGCGCGCGGGCGATTCCGTCAGTTTGTTGAAAGCTGCGCCGACGAAGTCGCTTGGGTTGTATGGCACAAGGGGAGCAAGCGTAGGCGAATCATAGACTTCACTGAGGATCGACAAAAGCGACGCGTCGTTGTCAGGCTCCGCGGAAATGTCGGTCAGGCCCGATGGCTGGCCGGAGAAGATCGAGACAAAGTCCGAATCGACGACAGCGCAGAGAGCGAGACCTAGCTAGTGTGAGTGGAAGCACGGTTGTCACCGATTGGATAGACCTACCTTGGGCAACGACGCTATCTTGGCCAACCTCCACACCGAACTAAGTTCAGACATCAGGGGAGTTTCGAGCGTCAATCGCGCAGTTCACTCACCCCCACGTGGATAATCGGATGTATGCTAAGAAAGGCGTGAGTGAGGTGTGAAGCATCTGCGCGGGAACCACTTACGCGCCGCTGAAAAACCGGCTCAGCATGGCCGCGCCGTTCTCGTTCGCTGCCGGCGACAGAACATACTCCTCGATGGTCTTCTGCATTCCGAGAGCCTGGATCTTCCGCTCAAAGAAGAGCAGATAGCTCGCATACGCCCTAGCATTCACTTCTCGGCGCGACGTATTCCACTGGGATGAGTTAAGCGCACTTACTGTCGCTCGCCTAGCCTTGTCGTCCATGTCTGGTCCGTGAGAATGTCGTACTGCGGTCCCAGGGGCCGCAGCACCTCGCCCTCCTCCTTGTAGATTCTCTCTAGCAGAGAGGCAGATGCACCCAGATCGTAGGCTGCAATCAAACTGGCGCGATATACGAGTCAGCGACTACGCGATTTCGCAGAGGGCAGCGGAACGCACTGGTGCGCAGTATGGTTCTTGAACCCGCGGTCGTCGAAATAGCAGTGATGCTCTTGCGCGTCCCGCACCAGCAGCTCCTGTAGTTTGCGAGCCGCCTCGGGCGTGCTAGGCGTGTTGATGAGTCCCTGGAGAAGAGGTTGAGGCATCGTGTCGAGGGGCTGGGTGATTCTGTCGTACTATGCGTGAATGCAGTCCTCGTTATAAGATGTCCTGGGTGGTCATCGGATGCGTGGTTCAGAAGAACGTTGAAGGAAAGGTCCCATGATGACACAGCCAGCATGACACACAAACACGTTCTGGATATCCGCCGCTCGGGTCCCGTTTGTGTTCCGCCTGCTGCGCATTTAGCCAGGCTCGTGCTGGCTCGGATACCTGGCATCTTTACTCATGTTTTCGCTCACGCGGCGGTTGGTATCCTGGCACTCACCCTCGAGAAGCGTAATTCCAAACTCAAAGAAGGCCACTCCAAGAGTCCGTTCACCCTTTTCCCCGTTCTCCCGGCTTCCTGATCTTGAGAAATGGGGATCTTTCGCGGATGGCCTCCGGTGCCAGACCGAAGAGCTGATCTCGCAGCTCTGGAACGGGTGCTCCTCGCTCCTCCACCGGGTGGTGTCCCCGAGTGTTTTGCGGACTACAGTCCCTTCAGAGGCTGGAGTGTGTATCACGACGTATCACTACTCTACTCCCGCGGCTTCTCATTTTGCTGGCCATCAAGAGCAGGTCCATGCATGGGGTCATCGGCTTCAAATTACCGCCTTATCCATGTGATGCCAGGTAGCGAAGACAAGCCTCCTCAGCATTTTCACCCTAGTGTTTTTCTCATCAAGCGAACGACAACCGAGTCCAGATGGGGCTGGGCTTTCACATGCACACGCCATTTATATAATGCCACCATGCTTTTCGTGGGCAACGAGCAGAAAGAAACCCACGCACGCATAACCGGCAGCGCATTCATTCCATTCGACGCGTTGAAGCCTGGGCTAGATAGTGTTTGCCTGGCATTCAACGCGCGAAGCTTAGCTGTGCTATCTGCGAAGAGAAAGACGAGCTTTGGGTTCTCACACGTTTACCCTGCCCACAGCGCGAGAGACACGTTCAGTCGCCGCAAGATGGGGCTCTAAAACAGCCGCGCCAACCGACGTTGACTATACATAGCCGAGATTTCGTGCTGCCGAACGGCGGAAGTAAGTACGAGTGCCCAAGGCTAGAGGCTCGTGTTGCTTGCAGGGAGACGGACCAAGCTACTATCAGGAGTGACAACACTGACCACGAGACAAGATCAGACGGCGGATATCTTTACTTGTACAATTGTATTTTGCACAAGTAGAAAATGGGTCGCGTTTGAGGCCGAATGCTCAACCTGCAATACGTAGAGTGCTTTGCGGTCTGATGAGAGCTAGGTGTCTGTCGTGCACCGAGAGCATCGCGCGTGCTCTGTGGGAAGCCGAGTCAATGTCGTCCATTCTCACAATCGTTTCGGTGATTTTGTAGATCTCGACGGACTTGGAAAAGCAAGAATTTCAGCCACCTGGTATTCTGAGAAGTTTTGGTCCGCACTGACGTTCTGGGACTAATAGTCGTGTGAATGAGCACCGGCGGGTCAGCAGCTATACTTTTGAACTCACAGAATTGCTGGTAATGCGGGTCAGAGATGCCGCGCTGGGAATTGTCGCCGTCCTCAACGGTCCTGTTGCATTTCTCCCGGGTCCAGTCGCTATTGTGGCAGCGGTGACTCCTTTCTCAACATCATTGATCCGTTTCTGTGGGCGCGAGTTCAACCTGGCAGCGATCGTTGAATTTGCATAGCAGTTCAAGAATCCAATTTCTTGACCTACATCGTGAGTACCGAAAGCGTGTACAAGTTCGAGAGTGGAAAATCCAGGATGAAATTGATGGTCGTATTCTTGAATACCATCAGTTACGAAGGTGAAGTTCCGGCAGCGGACTTAGCGCGTACAGGGAAGATCAAGAACAAGGACATGTCAGCCAGCGCCGCGAATGCTGTGAGTGTACCCGTTTCAATGGCGACTGCAGCCTCTTTAATTCTATCTCCAGCTGAAATGAGATCGGGCAGGAAGTCCACATACGTCCAACGATCCGATTTATCTGGCCATCAACCAACTCGGATCCCGTTTTCCGGCTTAGCAGTGCCCAGGTCATTGCGACAGCGATGGACACGTCGCAGACCGCGCTACTGACCAACCACACACTGATTTCCGCGGTGAAGTGTGTAAAATCCGAGAATGCGGGTCTCATAGAAACGACCACGGTGACAAGCATGCCCGAACCGAAAGAGATGAGCGACAGAATTGAGATGAAGATCGAGAGTAGGTAGGATTGCGTGACCACGCTGAGCCGCCATGCGATGAAAATTTGGATCGGGGCCGAAACAACGGACTGGAGGCGTGCATTTGGATGTTGTCCCACTCACGTTCTGACAAGAAAACTCACAATCATCACAGCGTCTGGGAACATGAGACGTGCGTCAACTTCAACAAGTATCGTGACAGAGCTTACCTCCTGGAAGAACTGACAGGAAAGCACCATTAGCAAACATATTTCGGAAGTAGTGAATAGCAGCCCACATCGCGGAATGTCGTCGACGGCATGGGCAGTGCCTGAGAGAGCGTCAGGGCCGGAGTGCGACTAGTCGAACCAGAAACGCACCGTAGTTGATGATCAGGGGATCAAAAATAATGCCCGTCTCGACGAACACATTGGCAATTTGCACGGCGGTGAGATAGATCATCTGGCGGCCCAACTGTCATTTGACAGTCGAGGATACACGGAAGGGGGGACTTGCGAAGTATCTAATCCATGGCGAATCACTGTCAACAAGCAGTATAACCGGTCAGCAGGGATGCTAGTTGCAAGAAAATGTCGGCATACTTAGGATAACGGCGGAAGTATGTGGTCATTTGGGTGAGCACAATCTGAGAATATTGAGTAATGAACCTAGGTACCATCTCACAAATTCTGACGAACCCCGAACAGGATCATGTTCAGTAAAACCCCTGGTCAAGACAGTTTCAGCGTTTGATTTTTGAGAGAGCTGAGCCTGACCAGCTAACATCGGGCCAAAGCTGATCGTAGGTCGCGTCAGTTTTACATCAGGAGTTCAACAATTTGGAGGCCTACGCACAGGAGATCAACTCCGGACATTTTGATGGGAAGGAAAAAAGAAGGAAGCTCGAATCGAAGAAAGAAAAAGGAAGGAGAGATGGGGACTTGCCCAGCGGAAAGTGCCCGAGACGCGACCGCTTAATATGAAAATCGATTCCCTTCCAACGCAACATTTACAGCCTTGAGGTTTCTGAATGATGAATTCTGGAGTGTGTGATAGGGCTGCTGTTGCAAGGTCCTGCATCCAACGGCGAGAGCGGGTCGGATGTGGGATTGCCGTCCATGGGGACGTTGCTTGACGACCTGAAAGACATCGCAGATGGAATCCAAGATCTGTCGGTTCCCCCATCATCATCCATGAGAGAGTCGCGGAGGCCACGGATTTGGGGATTTGAGTGATACATACTCTAGACTTATGGCTCCGTCACGAAAGGGATCGAGGCTGTTGGCAGAAAAACGGCACACTCAATGCCGATCATCAGTCAACCACTTGAATTGATTCCCGAGGCTCGCTTCACAGCGTGGCGCTGCCGGTCTGCATACACACATTTTATCAGCACTTCGGTGATCAGATATCTTGCTATCCCGTGTCCATTTTGGCAGGCCATCTCATGGCATCTAGACTCTAGAGCTCGTCCATCGGGTCGGCCTTTCACTTACTAAGCGAGATGACAAGGATCGGAAACGGGCCGCCGATGCACGGACTTTGACGTCACAAGCCATTCTCACATTAAGTGGGCAGTACTCTACTGGTTTCTCTCACCGCGCCTGCCATGACCAAAGAAGGCGAATCCGCAGAGTCTTCGCAAAATGGCCCACACAACAGGGATCCAGAATCAAGATCCGCTCCGGAGGCGAACTCGCCTGCGGCCTCTACGCTCTCTTCCTCTTTAAAGCCCATGTTCTCTTGGTTCCCCACGGCGATCCGCACCCCAAGAACGCTGAAAACGCTCACTCGATGCCTGCTCGTCACCGCAGCGACCATTATCCTTCTCGTCGACTCGCGCACACTCCTGTCAATGGGCCAGGCGGGCTTCTTTGCGGCAATTCTGTCGATACTGCTCCCGCCCTCCCTCGCCTTGTCCCTATTTCTCCTGGCGGGGACAACCCTCGGGGTGGGGATGCTTCTCGGCTGGGCGTGGGGTGTTGCGACGATGGCCGCGGGATTGTCGGTGCAGGATAAGGGCCTGCTCGCCAGCCGTATCCGGGCGCTCCAGTCGGCGGGCGGCAATGCCGCTAGCGCGAATCCTGCTGCACAGGTGATTTTCCTCGGCTATTCTGTCCTATCAATCGTTCAACGATGACAGGCTGCGCAAATGCAAACTCTCGCATTTCACGGCTATTTCCTCGATCCACGCGTGTCTGCAGTGTACGGCGCGATGTTCTTCATCGGCACGTTTTTCCTCGGCGCACTGAGGGCTCGCGCGCCGAAACTCACGCTGTTGGCGATTTTCGGCACGATTGTGATGGATGTTATGAGCACTTTTGGCCCATGTTAGCCCATTCGCACTCGCTCGTCCCTGTCCAGATCCTAACGTCCATTTCCTAGTGCTTCCCACAGCACAATATACAATCGCGAAAATGTTTCTTATCCCTTCGGCGTACTACATGGCCATTGCCATCGCCTCTTTAATCTTAATTTTTCCAGAAAGTCTGAACCATGTGTGGCTGTAAGTACCATCACGCATCCCATACCAACTGTTTCGCTGAATTTCGGCATAGGACATCTTTGGATCGTGCCTTTTTTGGCGTGCGTTCAATCCCAGTCTCTGGATGTGTTAAATTAAAGGACTGCGCAGCCTGTTGAACAAATATTGATGCTTCAATCCGAAGCACTCGAGGCACACCCTTCCGATCACAAGAAATGGGCCCAGTTGTCCAATAAGGTACGATATTTTATCGATATTGTTGCAACCGCCCGCCTCTCAATCTAATGATTAAAGTCTGTTGGCACTCGAACGGGCCTGATCGCTGGAATCACAGGCATCATGAGCCAGGTTGGATTGCTTGATCTAGAGATCAGCCTCGGTAGGCTCGGGCCGGGGGATCTGAAGAAACTCGCACCAGAAATCCGAGGGTTGGGCATGCGTTCTTCGTGAGCATATTTTTGCGTCAAGTCTGCACTATTCTAGCTGACTAGTGTCAGAGGCTTGTTGGCGTTTCAGGTTACAGTGTTGAGGATCAACGAGGACGACAATAAAATGGAGGAAGAAAGCCGAGCTTCCCGTATTCATGGATGGGCTCAGCGGAAGCGGATGATTAGGGATCGCGAGGAAAGACACGGTCACACACTCGACACGCTCGTCCCCATCTTGGCAGAGGTTTCCTCATCCCTGCGGCTGGCCTCGTCCTCGGGAGTCGCGGCTGTCAAATCATGGTTCATTGGCTGCAACACACGTCGCTGGACCAGTCTCTTGTTCCGCCGAGATCAGAAGGACATTGAAGCGCAACATGCGGAATTGGTAAAGGCTCGGGACGAGCTGCGCGTCGCACTGGTCGATTGGAGAGCCCACGAGCGTGTCCGCCTAGTCAAGCCGTTCGAGAGGTTCTTTGATGAGAAAACGGGCAAGCTGCGGGATGACATAGGCCGTAATCTGGAGGATCCGGAGATGTTCACCGTCCGATCGCTTTTTGTCTGTTTCGTCTTCTGCGACGCAATGGACGCGTTCGCCACGCGTTTGCTGCGCTTACTGGAGAGAGTCACAGATCTGGACGGGAAGCGGACAAGGTCCAGGTTCTGGCTGCCATCTGGATTCGGAAAGTTGTGGCGGATGGCGTTCGACCAGAGCGATCCGGCCGGCGCACAGGCCACACAGACGCCGTTGGCCATGGGAACAGCCACTGATCCCACCGAATTTGCTTCAGGAAGTGGCTCCTCGGACGGAGGGGCAAGTGAGACTGTTGGGGAAGAGGACGAGGTCGAGCCGAGACCTGCAGGTGAGCTCCGAGTTTGGATCTGTTTATTGTGATATCTCATCACGTCATAGCACGTAATCCGGATGCGCTGCCTCCCACCACGCTCGCTGGTAAAGCCGGTCTGCGTATCGTCGGCGCTCTTCGTTTTCTACGCACTGCGGAGGGGATCTTTGCACTCCGGCATGCTTTTATTTCACTCGCTCTGTGGATTCCTGCCGTTGTTCCGTCCTCAGCATGGTTCTACTACAACCAAAAAGGGCTATGGGCGCTTATCATGGCGCAGATGAGCCTGGCGCCATTCGCTGGAGATCAGCTGTTCGGCGTTGCAACACGTCTTGTGGGAACTCTCGTTGGTCTGGTCATTGGTATGGTGGTCTGGTACATCGGCGCACCCGGGACGCAGAACGGGAGTCCGTATGCTATAGTCGTTGTCACCGCCGTATTCGTGTCACCGTTCCTGCTCGCCCGTATCGCTGCCCCGCCTCAGCACAGTCTCATGTGGACGATGGTGGGTGTGACCATCGTGTTCGTCGTCGGGTACTCGTGGATTGATGGTCATCTGGCCGTACTCTCGAATCTGGGGATCGGTGTCGGCATCGCTTGGAAGAGAGCGCTGCTGGTGATCATCGGCTTTACAGCTGGAGTGAGTGCCTGCGTGTCTCCCTCTGTTTCCTCCCACTCACATCCCGATAGGGCTTGGCCATGATGTTTCCCCGACCAACTTCGAGCCGAATTCTGGTGCGCCGCACGCTTGCTGCGACGTTGCGTGAGATGGGCTCTATACTGGGCCAAGAAGTCGAGGCTGCGCTTGCTGAAGAACTCCGTGCTCAGAACGGTGTGTACGACAAGGAGGTCTTCGATCTCGCCGAGCACTTGGATGAGGACGACGAGGACAAGGTGTCGCCGAAGGAGAGAAGAGTCAGGGCTGTGGCGCGGCGAGTATTGGCTGTCTTTGTGCGTTTCGGTCATGTCTCACAGTGTCCGGTGACTGAAGACTATGCCAGGAACGATTGCAGGGTTTGACGCCCTCTTTGAGCACCGCACAATGGGAACCTCAGATCCAGTATGCAGTCTGCCGATTCTGGTCGCCATCTAACGTGAATCTACAGAGGACTGTGGCCCCATAAGCAATACCAGCAGCTTCATTCTGACCAGTCCGTCATCTTTCCTCTATTGAGCGCTTCTGCTCATATTTGATAGGTTGAGGATAAGCACCTCGCTAGCATTGCTCGCGGGTGCGTTCTCGAAGCTGGATACAAAGTGGTGCCGTATCCTTGTCGAACGTGTACGTTTCGGTGCTTGCCTCTCCCTTCCCCGCCACTAACTAGCTGACCGAAGACACCTTTCCTCAATCCGAATCTAGTACGTTTAGTAATATTCGCTGTTGCCTTCGAATCCTGACGAGCTGTGCAGCTCGCCGACGTGTTTTCGACGATCGAGATCTTGTCCCACGCCTTGGATGCTGGACACCCGATCCCCGAATCTCTCCCTCTTCTTCGAGATCGGCTGCTCTACCACGAGGCGCTCGTTAGATATATGCATCCGGACCGAGGAAATCTACAAGCGGATGTTGAAGAGTCGGAGCTGGTCGCGGGCAAGGTGGATGGTGCCAGCATCGGGTTCACAGAACTCAGCCTGGGTGTGTTGATGGTGGGTCTGCTCTCGATTTCAAGAGATACTCGATACTGACTTCGATGCCAGGATGAGCAACTTCCAACGCATTCGACCGCTGTTGTTGCGCTGGGTGGGATTCTTTCGGTACGTTCCAGTCCTTCCTCCTATGGGTGTCGACTCTGATGTCTGCACAGCTCATCGATGACATTGCAAGCACTGTCCGTGAACTGTGTGGAGAGACTGGTGTTCGTGGTTTTGAAACCTTGGAGCAAAGGTTCCGGGCAATGAGCAGGGAAGAGCGTAACGTCGGAGTTCGTAGCTGAATGGAAAGTATCGCACATACTAGATCATCCCCGTAATCACACGCTTATGTAAGGCATCTCTCTCCCCATGACCACCTGGCCCTTCTGAATGATAATAAATAAGATGTACAAAAACTTATCACCTATACAAAGTAACGATTTATGTAAACCTTGTTCCGGACATCATCTCCAGTTTCAGCCAAGAAGTGGAGTTGAAAGACACCTAAGCTTTGACCAGTGCAGCAGTGGAATTCGTGGTGCTCGTGCTAGTTTCGGAGAGCGTTTGGTCGCTGGGCGACGGTCTCCAGAACATCCACACCGAGATGATATCCTACAGAATCCGCCCGGTCAGCTGCGATGCCCGATAAATAATGAAATTCTCACCCTCTGCGACGCGAAGATGACTGCGGAGACGAACGGCACTGGACACAATCAGGTCTGGAGTGCTCGTGTAATGAGTGACAAGAGAACATACTGGCTGCCAGGACGATGTTCATCGCTGGTCCATGATTGCTGCTGAAGACAAAAAGCGCCCCGATACTTTCAAAGTTCGCTCCCTAATGTGAAACATCGAGAATGATCACCACTCACGAAACTGCCAATAATCCGATAAGCGTGAATACCATGACCCGAATCATGATCGAAAACGAGTGGCGGACTCGGCGAAAAGTCTTCCAGTGTCGTCGGAGCGCTACACAAATCGAGACTGAATGAAGAATATTAGATTCGACGAGACCAGTCGAGCGAGCGGGACTAACTTTCGATCGCCACCGTCGGAAGTAATATCAATGCCACAAGAGCGCCAGAAATTTTGCCTCTGCAGTTGGATCAGCGGCTTGTTTCATGAGTTTATTAGTTGCTGACAGTTTCCCTGAGGCGGCGTCCTGTTCGGAGGAGAAATATGAACGAGTTTCTATTGAAGACTGGCACTGGAGCTTACAATGTGACAGTACATTCCGCTTCCGATGAGGCCAACGGAAGCTGGATCAGCAGATCCGGTCTGTGGGTTCATCAGTCAGTCTAGATTCTTCGAGAACACGAGGACATACAGCCCATGATGCAGTGGCCATCGCGACGAGAAAACAATAGGGAATAATGATGAGCTAGTCAAGAAAATTTAGTAAAGCAGCTGTCCCGAGCACTTTCAAACATACTGCGATGACCCAATATCTCTCGGACGCAATTCTCCTTTTCAGGAGACTTTGCATGGTAAACCAAATCTGTGGGTTGTTTCTCATCTGAAAGAACATCTTTGGAGGTGGAAAATTCATACTTGAGTGATCAAGCCGAAGGTGGTGGCCGCCGTGAACGAGGGCATAGCCTTCGAATATCAGCAGACCGATAGTTGGATTAGATCGCCTGGACGCACGTAGATCAATCCTGCTTGAGCCAAGCATACTCCAAACGGTGGAGTGTCATTGTATGCCTGGCTCGTAAAAAGAAGTAGCGAGTACGAGATTGCAGAGACGATCCACGATGTGAAGAAGTTCTGCCACGTTGCACTACGTGAGGCGCGTCGGGAGAGGGTGGTCGTAAGCACGAGCGCGATGCTGCCGATCAAGCCAATGATTTGGAAAGCAAGGAACAAGCCGATGAGCGACCGCCGCTGCTGCGGGGATCCGGCGTCGTCATCAGCTAGAAGTCGCAGTTCTCAGATTCGTATGACGGGGGCATGACATGTGAATTACTGACAAGCGGGAGCGGTCGTCGACATTCCGGATGTGAAGAAACGAAGGAGCGAAGGTGAAGAAGAGACGCGAGAGACTCCGGTGAGAAAGCCTCAGTACTCCAGGTACACTCGCGGGGATGAGAAAGGAGTGAACGTTGCGGGGAGAAAGGAAGGAGAATCGACGGCGTTTCGCGGACAACACTCCGCACTCTCGGCGTTCACGACCACTGGCAGGTGCAAATCATATCATGATCGTCTGCCCATCACGATTCTTCGCTGGCGTCAGGTCTCGTTGGAGCCTGGAGCCTCTCAGATCGGATACTGTAAGTAGTGATGAAATTGAATTTGGAGAGGAACAACGTCGAATTCAAGTTAATCCTCGCGGGAATGAACACAATACCAGTTCGTTCAGGTGGTCAGTATTCGGCGTGAGCAACTCCACGACACAGATCAAACTCTTGCGATAGGACCCTGATGAATTCAGCCAGTCCTACCTAGCAACAGTCTTGAGAGCGTGCAGACTCGCGTTCGAGTCGCAACTAGCCCAGCAACGAGAACGAGTCGGTCGCATTGATCATTGATTGCGAGCGAAGCGAGCAATCATCGACTAAGGGCTGCCAGCGCGCACAAAACAAGAACAAATTCTAAGGACTTTTGATGGGAGCTGGGGCAAGATTGTTGTGCCTCATACTCATTCAATTGTCCACAGTTCTCTCTGAAACTTGGCACACGAGTTATAGTACTATGCTTCCTACAGAATATCAAGTCCCATCCATAACAATGGAGAATTGAGCCCAGTCGAACTGCGCACCAAGCACCGGCCTATGCTCAGCAAATTCTCCTCCGTTTTCTTTGGGAGTTGCACAGTAAGATGCCGGGTGTCGTATACCTACAATCCTAGACTTTGAGAGGTGTTACGCTGAGTGCTCTCTCTGCCGCTGGAACTCCAGGCTTTGCCTGCCGCCTTGCCACCAACCGGTCACGTGGGATATTGTGATCAGTACCAGTTGGAGCGTACAAGTGATTTTGCACGTAGATATCCCCAATAGATCTGAGTTTAGTGTAAAAATGTGACTAGGTAGTCTTCGAAGCGAGCATCCAGCGCCTCTTGCGCGATTCCATTTTTGATGATGAGGTGTGCATGTGTCCCGGGCCGCATTGTCCGTCCTGCGACTGCTCACGAGACTTCTTTTCCACGCTCGACTTCTGGCTGATGTAATCCTTGCTTGATCCACCACCCTGTCACTGCCTTGACCCTTGGGATGGTTGTTATTACCGAAAGAGCACTGGGATCTCATGCCCCACGCAAATACCAGGTGAGTTTTATCGCGTTTCACTTTGAGCCATTAAGCCTGTGCAGGTTTCCAGGTGGCGACAAATGTCCCATTCTCTGGGCAATTTTTCCGCTCAGGTCTTCTTGCCGGCAGGATACCCTGAGAGCGTTACTTCAGGTGATTCCAGGAAGATAAGATAACCCTTGAATACTGAAAATCTCCAGATTACACGAGGTAGATCACAAGTTGATGTTGATTAATCGCGCTCACAAACCGTAAGATATCAAATTTTCAATGCACTACAGGCATTTTGCAGCTCTCTTTCAGGATTGATATCTTCTCGCGCGGTGCTCGAAGGTATGCCATCGAAATAATGATCATCTTAGCCTCTAGTTCAATGTTTCATTTGCAGGGTTTGGCGTTGGAAACGCATCCGCATCCGCCACCCATGCCCTTCTTCTCACTGTCCTTCAAGACTTTTTTGGCCGAATGACCAGTACGCTGCTATCTTTTCCTTTTTTTGTTATCCAGCGCTCAACAGAAGAATTCAGCAATCTGTGGAGCATACCTCATAGGCCCGTCATTGACATCGGAGGCGAAAACATTCCGGTTACTCGCCGATCTGTTGAATGATATCGCAATCGTTCTCGATACACTCTCTCCTCTCCTGAAGCTCAGTGTATTACGCGTATCAACGCTTTGTCTAAGCGGATCTCTCCGCGCGATGTGTGGATTGTGCGCCGGTGGCTCCAAAGCTGCTCTTACAAACCACTTTGCATCACCAACGTCGGGGTCTGGCGATGTTGGTGATCTGAATGCAAAAGACAGCAGCAAGGAGACAGTTTTGGCGCTGCTTGGAATGCTGGTGAGTGCCTTCCTCTCGATATTTCTGATTTAGAACGGAAGTTTTAGGTCGGAAGCGTGGTGGTACAGCATCTGAACAGCGCATTTCTCACGTATACCGTCCTGTTCACGCTGGTCGGACTGCATCTCGCGTTGAATTACGCTGGGGTGTCCGGCGTCGTTTTGAGGACGCTCAACCGTCAGCGAATGACAATCGCTTGGGAACTGTATCGTGCCAACGGTCGCACTCCCACGCCCGAGGAAGTATCCTCCCTCGAGCACATCTTTCAGCGCCCCGATCACATTCGAGGAACGAAGTGCACCTTTGGCTCGTCTCTCAATGCCGTTCTCGGCGGGACAAGCATCCCGCGCTCCTTGTTGGATGGAATGGGGGAGGAACGCTACATCTTATGGTCAGAACGGGGTGCAGGAGTGTCATTGCACATCTGTTTCAAAGAGGGCTATACTCCCTTTGACCAGCTTAGATCATGGGCGCATGCGGTCGAAGTGGTTGGAATGACTAGCAAGGACCCCGCGGACGACAAGCTCATTCTTAGTGCACATCAGACCATGGCGGCCGCGTTCCCGGCATTCCTGGATGGCATGCGGGAGAAGGGGTGGATCGTGGCGGACGTTGCTCTCCAAGCAGGCCAGCCACAGGCTCTGATTGTGGCGGTGGACTTTGAGGACAGGAAGCGAAGGTGACATGCAAACTATGACTGTTATCTTGATGGCTCTGTTTCTCCGGTTCCCCTTTGTCTGTCCACGTTACCATGTTGATCTCCGCATTTTCCCCGCTTACGTCTCTTGTAAGATGGATTATTTCGTTGGTCTGGATGGGTGGCGCACCCTGGGTGTCTATGGCCGGCGGCAAACAAGGAAGATCTCTTTTTTTTCAGTCATGGGACACTGTCAGTTTCGAGAATGGGACACGGCTCGGATCAGGGTAAAGAGATTTACCAAGGTTTAGGCTCTTGAACAATGTTGAGGTGTTACCTCGGGCTTTTTCGGCCGTCCAAAGCGCAGTCCAGGAAATAACGCGTCATAGACTCTGCATCCGGACAGAAGACGGGCGGGGCAGATTGCGATGCCATTCAGCGGCATTCTGTATGCGGTCTCACGTCCACATCACCTATATCCGCAAGTTCTTGAACATCGGGAGTTCCCGTGCATTCAGTGTCCTGGGTTCGACCGGCTGAAAAACAAAAGGGCGTGCGAAATGAGGTCCAGGCGAGCATCACTTGGAAAGCAGAGCACTCAGAGGTATTGCTGGTGTTTGAAGCTCCGAGAGATTTGCGGCAGACATCGTTCCTGAGTTGACTTCGCGCTCGGACTTCTAGCAGCACGGTTCTGAACCTTGTTACCCCACAGGAAGAAAATCAGGATCCGAGAAGCCTGTCGGCTCGGACCTCTTTCTCCATCGGGACAATCACACATTCTTTCTAGCATCCATGGACCAATTCTCTGCTTCGGCGGCAGACACAATGATGGACCTCGGTCACCTGCTTCTGCCACTCCTGGTCTTTGCCGGCGCGCCTAGCGTGCGCGTCTCCCAATTTGTCTGTCCAGCGCCTGCATCTCCGGTCCGATTCTCGTACTCCTGTCGACACAGACAGAATGGCAAGCGTAATTGAAGTCTCTCTGGTGGGTGAATTGATAGCGAGATCTTGTATTACCTGCCTGAGCGCAACACGCTTGATTCGGCATGAAGGACGGGACGCTCGAGTCGTCCGAGGAGACCATGCAGATTACCACACAGCACAACGCGGCCGACAGTAACAGAGTCCGCCGTGCCTCCACAGGCATCTTCCGAACGCCTCAAAAGCTTCCTTTCCCTTCTTTCAAGTTTTTCCGCATCGACATATCGGGCGCAGTGAGCCACCGGACCTATTAATCCATCTCTTGAGAAACTGTCTAGACATAGGGCTCTCGACTACGACGCTCTCGTCCTCGACTGCACTACGATTTATCGATGCATAATAGTGCATGCGCTGAGCTCCACTGGCTCGCTTCGTCGCCAAAAGGAGAAAGTCTTGGCACTAATGGGCTTTGAATTCTGTAAGTTCTCAGAAGCGTCCTTGCACGACGAAAAGTCTCTCGTTGGCTTGGATATGTTGTGTAACAATTCGAATCCGGATGTTGTAAACTTCACTCGATGTATTTCGCACGATGGGAGAGGAAATCTGCCGTTGTCAGCCGGCAATTTTTACAGTAGCAAATATTCATTACTTGATATACGGAAGCAAACCTTACCCAGCGCCGCCGTTGCCAAGTGCGACAACCGCACTCGAAAAAACAATGATTCTGCACCGGTTAATGCAATAGCAGGCAACGTCAAGTAACATTGATAAAGCAAGGATGATAATATCTGGTATCCTAAAGTATTCCTAACATACAGCACATAGCATACGACGAACAATACAAATGGGTAGCTACTTTTGAATGTCTAATGGGGTATTGCTACACAGCAAGAGGAAAGGACATTACATTTCAGTTTCCGAAACTTCTCCGCTGAGGTCGTCGTCGTCGGCCGGCAGAGCACCCCCACTCTTCTTTCGTCCATTTGTTCTCGTCGACTTCCGACCCCGGTCCTCATCGATCTGCATGTCTGGGCCATCACTGTCCGCATCCTCGTCGTCCCCTTCAGGCATGCTGGTCAATGAGTTTTGCCAGCTCATGTTCACGTCAAAGGAGCTGCCAAAGTCGCCGAGAACCATCTCGCTGCTGTTGCCATCGGAACCGTGCGGCGGAACGCCGCGGAAACCTTTGAGCTGTTCCTCCAGTTCGCGGTTCCGAGCACCTTGAGCTGTGACAAGTTGTTGCAGATATCTGACAGTGCATGGGAAGCCCGGACAGCAAGGTCGAAACAGGACAACGCACCGTATGTAGTCGACACTCTTCCTCAGGATCATCCCCTTGTTGGCTTTGACAACACCATCTTTGCCTGTCGTGGTGCCGTGGTTGTTTCCGCCGGGAGATGCAGATCCTGACTTGGTGCTGGCATCCGCGTCCTTCGAGTCGTCGTCGCCTGGCTTTTTAGTGTCTAGAGCAGAAGATGCGGTAAGAATGCGAAGGACGGAAGGCGGAGCCCGAACAGGTCAACGCACTGATTTCCAGCATGCATTCGGGAATTAAAGTCGCCAGCTCGCTGATTCGCTCATTGATATTGTCGCGTCGGCGGCGTTCCACGGCATTATGAGATTCGCGGCGTCGGCGACGCTTTTCGTTGGCAATCTGGGCCGCTTTCGATTCTAGCCGGAATGATGAGTATGCCGGTAGCGTTCAATAGAAGGACAATCACACACCCATCGACTCTTCCTTCGGTTCTTCTCGGTGACCGCCCGAGGTCCCAACCCCGAGGCTCATGTTGTTGATTCCATGCAGGTTCATCCCAAACTTGGTCTCCACGGGACTGCTGAACTGGGCACCAGCCAGATACGGAGAGTGCGGCGATTGTAGTGATGACGCTAGCGACGGAAGGGAGGGCAGCGATGTCAGCGAGGGCAGCGATGCCGAATCGGCCGGGGACGGATAATCAGAGCCCGAGAACCATGAGTACGACGACGAGGAAGCTGGCCGAGGAGTTGCTGCTAATCATTCAGGATGTATTTCGAAATAGGAGCGAGAGAACCATACCAGCACCAGGAATGACAATGGCATGCGGCACAGGCCGGTGGTGCGGAGGAGGGCTTCCGCTCGTGAAAGATCCGGTACGTCGAGACCGAGAGTTACGTGTAGGACCAGGCCCACTCGACCCTGTCGTCAAAGGACGGCTCCGGCTCCGGCTGCGCGAATGCGAGTCTCTCGGGCTTGGAGAACGGAAGCTAGAAGGACTCGGCGCGAAGTTGTGGCTTGTCGGCGTCGGCGGATGTGGATCATAGCGCATACTGCTGTTCAACGCGGGCAGCGTCGAGTTGAAGTTGTAGTGGTGGGAGATCGGGCCCTCGGTGAACGTCGAGGGAGGAGAGTGGCTGCCGCGAGAGAAGTGGGATGGAAAGGCCGAGCTGGTGCTGGATGCAGAACCTGCGTGGTGGGAGTGGTGATGCATCGGCGGCGCGCTAATGTCGAAAATGTTGTGCGTGTGAGGCGGCGGGCGGTACCCGACTCCACTGGGAGGTCGATCGTCTCCGTTTGCCGGACTGTGCGCGCTGCGATCGCCCGCCGCCCGCCGTGGGTGCATCAGACTGGCAAGTTCATCCTCGAGGCCATGGAACGCCGCACCCCCGAAACCCAAGCCGCCAGATTGGTGGGCTGCAGAGTCAGAGGAATGGTGGTGGTGGTTGTGAGGTGGAGGCGTGGGGTTCGAGTGAGCGCCCGGGAGATGGAATCCCTCCTGTCGCACGACGGGGATGTGAGGGTGCTGAGGCTTGTACATGAAAGCTGTCGCCATCGTGTCTGGTAGGGAGGAGTGAGTGCTGGACGCGGTGAGCGATGCGTAGGGGACAGCGGAGAGGGATGAGTTCCAAGAGGGGGGGACGGAAGAAGATTAGTCGTGTAGGCATTCTCGATCGAGTCGAGTTATGTATACCACCAACCCCGCACGCAGAATCCATTTCCGCTTACCAAACGGGTCGCAGTTTCGAAGAGGTGTAGCCGAACCAACAAGCAGACGCAAAGAAACAACCCCATTGGGATGACGCGAGCAGTGTTCGGGGGCCGGAGCTTGGCCGAGAGTGATGAGATTATCAACGTCGGGTTGCTCGCCTTTCTGCGGATGGTCTGTCGAAGAACCTTTCTGCATGGCACGTAGTTAGACACTGATTCGCCGATGACTTGAACACCGGAGACCCTCAGTCGCGAAGAAACACGGTTACGAATGTCGACCTCCTAAACACGGTCGGTCGCGAACATCATGGAAAACAGGAGGCTCGCATGGAACGACGAATATGAAATCCGCGGACTGATCCAGCGGGGGGAGAAAGCACAATGGTAAAGGATTTTCCTGCCATCAATCCCACTGATTTCGGCTTCACCCGTGTCGCACATGGATTTGACATCCAGCTTCTCCAACCCGACAATGAGCGTTAGGTTTTCGGCGGCCTACCATGCTGCATTGTCAGAATGTCCCGCTTCTGGCCAACTATTATTCCGTGTTCTCAGTGGCATTGTTCAACGCTCAAGGAGGCACTAGAAGAGCAAGAGATGCGCCATTTATCTGAGATAAGTGGGGCGGTGAGCCCTAGGTCGGCGTCTATCTGTCTGTACATATGTTCCACTCTGGCACTCCGGACGAGACATCAGCAGCGAAGGTCTTGGCACCCAGCGCGTCCGAGAAGCTCGACGACAACTTCTCGGCTACCGGATGGATGCGTCAATGGGACTCCAAAATTCGACAATCCGTCCCTGATCCCAGCGAAATACAATGGAAGCCAGAGTTATCCATCTGCACATCGCAGGTGAAACATATCTTCTTCCAGGCAGCCGAAGATCAGAAGCGTGCTGACTTGCCGTTCGACAGTCCCCACATTTCGCATACGTTGCTGCTTATCTCCGTGCCTCGATAATCGGGAACAAATCAAAAAGAAAATTGGAGAGCGAGGAACGTCATGTCGTTGGGGCTCCCGGGACTATCATGGCGCGGCACAGCGCCGTCAGAATGCGGGTTATTATCTGATTACACCGGGCCCAATTTCCGAGATATTAACACGTGCGGGGAGTCCGGGGAACAAAGTTGCGTTCACCGCAAAGAGTCCGCCCAGATTAGAACGCTGCCAATCCGAGTCTCTTCTGCTGGAGCACCGTGTTTTCCATCTCGGGATCATGGGGCCGACCAAAAACTTGGAAAGAGCAGGACAAACGCCGATTCGTGTGCGGAGATCAATCTTTGCCGTGCATCACGGGACCTGAGTTGCCGGTGGGGCAGAACGCGGGGTAAGGGGAGGATAGGGGCGGGCTCTGATCGACAGCTGCAGACGTCTCTTCTCGCGCTGTGGCTGTTTGAATCTAGAGCAAAGCACCAGGTGGAAAGTAGGGCAATATAGGATTTGTTTCAAACTTTCCGAAAACAGTAAGTAGAAGGGAGGCAGCAGAGATCAGCTTGGCCAGAAGTATGGGGGGATGCGGGGAAACAGCGATCTGTGCTTCCAACGTCAGCCAGAACCGTCGCGGAAGAACGCTGCGGGGGATATCAAGCCCAGGAATGGGACTGTCGGACCGAGCCACCAGAAAGAAAGATGGAGCATGCGCCGGCCCCGAGAGTTGAGTTGGCACCCACGCGTTGTGCGAGGGAACAGATGGGTATCGTGGTCGAACCGGCGCGATGGCTCAAGTGCGGCCTTAAGGAGATACCGCTAGCGAGACGACACGCTCGCTCAAGTCAAGAAGTAACTTGAAACAAGTCGGCACAAGACCTCACACTTGCTCTGGGCGACGAAGAGCACTTTAGCCGACGCCGGTCCACAGCTTGAAGAGACTCGGATGTGGCCCGCGGCGAAACGTCCCGATCGTAGTGCACCCTGCAATCGATACCGCCGATCTCCGCTTTGAGCCTTGTGGGACGAGTACTGCCTCATCCTATCACTCACTGCCTGATGTCAACTACGGCATGCAATCAGACGATGCCGTACCTGGGAAAAACAGGCCCGAAAGAGACTGCAGCGAGTATGAATATCAATCATCACCCTTGCAGGCCGCTGCAGAAATCCACTGCAACCGGCACTCGGACTATATCCATGCGTCGCAAGGACGGAATGCAGCCGAGCCTGTCGTATAACGACTGAATAGCGGCGGCCAGGAAATAGTATTGTGCGCGGAATCTGTAGCAGTAACTGTGGAGACGGAAAGAAGGAAGGAATGCGCGTCCAACGGAGGGCACATCCGTGGAAGAGGAACGGAGTCGGCATGTCTCGACACACACCTGGCCTTCTACTCCATTCCCGCTGAGCGCCTCGCCTGGCCCACCCCCGCAGTCCGCATCCTACGGACTGTCCCCCGTCCCCGTCCACCGGCGGTATTCCGATCGGCTGCTTGCGAGAACCAGCAGTACCCCAGACACCTACCCCGCATCATGCCCTTTAGCCGGGGTGGAGATCGGACATCAGCGGTGTCCGCTTCGCGCGCATCGTGGTTGGCTGGAAGACGCTTCAAATGGTTGGCTAAGCAGCCGAGCGTTGAGGACAACCCGTCTCCGGATTGCCCCACGAGCAAGAGGAAAACGGGAGGTCGACAAGATGATGAGGCTGGCGTATTGTGCTTCCGGCGCATGAACGATGTCGACCCGCGTCCGAATCGTACAAGAAAAATGTGTGGAGATGAGATTGATAGTCCGGCCGACGGAAGAGAGCCGAGCGTTGAGATTGATGAGTCGGCGAGCCAAAGCCCGACGGAGGGAGAGGAATTCACCTGCAGATGCACTCCAACGCCCCCATCTCTTATATAAACGAGCGTTATCGCAGGTGTCCAAGGCAGATAAACGAAGTCTCGTCACCTGTAGGCGCGTGAAGGTCATGCTCGCCGGTCACCAGCCCGGCTATCCAATCCTTGGCGCGATTATCTCCAGCCGAGTCTTTATCCGCTGACGCAGACTAGAGCGTTTTGGAGACAGGTGAGCTGAACTAGAGACGAGATGGAACACGAGACGTTAACTTGTGGAGCGATTGTGACCATTGCTACAACTTGTAAAAAGATTATCCACAAACACCTCGGCGACCAATCAATCTGTTGCGAAGTTCCCCTCGTCTGAGTTACTCTCATTGAAGAGTAGATGAGGCAGGCAAAGAGCAGGTTTTCTATGCTAAGATATGCATTCAACTTGATTCAAGAACAGTGTGAGAGTTAGGGGCACTTCATCGTAGGGTTGATACATCATCGATCGGATCAACCACTGTGTATCAACGGCTTTCTGCCCGACCCTTGCAGGCTTCCCTGACTTTGCCTTGACCTAGTATTGACTGGCCATTGGTCAGTCCGAGCCCATCTGAAGAGAGAACTCGACCACAATCTCCTCCCGCACACGATACTTTCTTGTCTGTGACATCTTCCGCTCATTGAAAGTATTGAATGCCTGAATATGTTATCAAGCAGTCGACTTCCAATGCCCGTATGACCTTATGCTTCAATGCGTGACGCTAAATTACACTATAATCTGTAAGCTGCTGGAATCCGTTCAATCAAGCTGTAAATTATGATGGGAACTGTTTTCAGTCCAGAAGAAACTGCCGAAGCGAAGCGAAGTCTTCCGCGTGACAAGAGTCTGTGAATGTTTCGCCAATGACAAGATAACAATTGGTAGTTGGTACTGTCCGTGCCAAACGTGAAAACAGGTGCAGTTGACAGATACTTGGACATGAGAGTACACGATTATGAAAATGCATTGAGTGAGAGAAGATATGGGATAAAATCCAGATACTATAAATGATTGGAACGGAAAGTTTTCACATGCCAGGTTTCCAGCTGGAAGGCGGTTGTCCTCCCCGCCGAGGAACGGATCCGGAAGGTTTTGAGGGTGTGGCTGGCTGACTGGCAGTCCTTTGTCGCGGAGGCTGGCGGCTAGCTGAAGATGGCGGCACCAGTCCACCAAAGTAACTCGAGTCGCGACCCGGCTTGGCTTGGGAAGGAGAGTTGCCAGGCCTTGCGTATCGCTCTGTCGAAGGACCAAACGTTTCCCCATACACACTACGGGACGAGTTCCAGCCAGAACCGCCACCGCTAGTGGGTCCCCCGTAATCACTTCTTGCACCTCCGCCGCCGCCGCCATACATTGACCGCGGTGCAGACGGGAACATTCCCATCCACGGATTCATCATCGCGGGCCCTCCACCACCGCCATAGACGCTTCCACCGCCATTGAAGCCTCCTACACTCGATCCTCGCTCCCATTCTTCGGCGGCGGCGGCCATTGCCTGCTGGGCGACTGCCATCTGGTAAGCCTGCTTCGCGTACATCATCGCCTGTTGGTGGGCTGCCATGAACGATGGATCCGCCGGTGGGGGCATCATGAACTGCGAGGGGCTCGGCATTCCGGGCCACCCAGGGCTTGGTGTTCCAAAGCCCATCGGCATCATCATGGGGTTGACCATCATGGGCTGTGGCTGACCCGGACGCATGACTGGTCGGTCTTCCTCCTCATCCTCATCGTGGAGAACGGGTCCCCGGCCATTGATCACATTCCCGAGCTACAAGTCGTCATCAAAACAACAGAGGGAAAGCATGATTGCAAACGCACCTCGATTGCAGCACGCGCTTCACTCCGTCGTCTCTCTCTCCTCTTTTCATCGTCGTCGACTGCCTTGCCCTTCTTGTTGGTCAACTCCTCGTTGAAGTCGAAACTGACACTCCTTCGCTTCTGGTTGGCCAATCCACGCTTCGTCAAGAGCCCGCTCGCTCCTCCGCTCCATTCTTTCGGCTTCTTCTCGCTACTCCCGACTTCACTACCGTCTCTGGGCGTCGGCGGCACCGGCGAGCTACTCGATCCTCCAGTCGAACTCGCTGGACTCGTTCGAGGAAGCACGAACGGTCTCGTGGGGGGTCCAATCGACGTCGGGGACGGCATCTTGGAGCTCAGAGAGGCGGACGACACCGCCGATGGTATCATGCTGCTGGCACTCCGTTGGCGGGCTGAATCGGGCATCATTTCCCCCTGGCGAGACCGGGAGCTAGCTGGAAGAGAGCTCTCAGAGATAGATTTCGGGGTTGACCCAGTCGACGGAAGCATGGTGCTACTACGTTTGCGGGACCCAGATTTCGAAGAGCTCGAATCGGCGGAGCTTTCAGTCGCTGGATTAGCTAGGTTCAGAGTCGTTCTGGAGACCTCTGTCGCCGGCGTACGTCTACTGGGACTCGTCCCGGCCAGGGGCAACATCGTGCTACTGCGCTGTCGAGATCGGGAATTGGCCGAACTGGAATCTGTCACGCTGTCGACAGCATTCTGCGCCAAAGTAGCACTAGTTGCCGCCAGCGAGGTGCTTCTTGGTCTGACACCACCCAAATCACCATATGCACTACTCGCCCTGGGCAAAATCCCACCCAGTGGCTGGGGCCGCGACGTGACGCTGAATCCAGGGGCCGGCGAACGCTGCTTGATTGGAATCGGGCGAATCTCCCCGCCTTCCAACGGTTCTGGCACTGGCCCGGGCTGTGGCTCGGGATCATCCTCTTCTCCCATCCTTGAAACAAGCGCAACACCACCGCCCAACAACGCAGCAAGATCCCGATTTAGATCCGCATCGGGCACGACATTCCGGAGGATGATATCGCTAGATGACCGTCGATGCATTGCTCTACGAGCGGGCGAAAACGAGGTTGGGGGATTCGGAACGGACGGACGCGACGACTCTGAATCAGAAGTTGTCACTGCTGCCGCTTTCAAACGCTCGCTCAACATATCGCGTCGAACAACGGGACGAGAAATGGTCGTCTCCCTGACCCCCAACGTCGGAGACTTCTCTCTAACAGGCGAACCGGGTGGAGAAGGAAACCGCATCAATCCCGTCTCATTCGTCACTGGCGGGGAACGGGTCGTCAGAACCGGACTAGGAGACGCCGATGGTTTCTCCTTCCCGGCCAGCATTCCACCCCCCGTGAATCCATCATTGGTCTTCGCTTGTGAAGCGAGGACTGGGCGCGCCGCAGTTAGCTCGTTGATATCGATGAGAGGTTTCGCTTTGCCCACTGGCGCTCGGCTTGTCGTGCTACTTCCACTACCCGAGGCTACTGAAAGAGTAGACTGGTGCTGGGGTCTGGGAACAGCAGCCGTCGAAAGAGGTGAGGGGCCACGTGTGTTTGGCGACGGCGACGCAGGCAAGTGTGACGTAGACCCATTGGACCCAATGGACAATGAACTGCCTGCTCGTCGAGGCAAGACCAAAGTCGCGAGTGGAGCATCGTCCGAGTCCGAAGAGGAAGAGGATCCGGATTGGGGCAGGGGTCGTGCTTTCTGTGCTGGCGATGGAGATGGACGGGTAGAGGAAGCAGGTGCTCGGACTTGTCTTGGAGGGATTTCGATTGACAGTCTTTTGGCTATGTCAAAAAGTAAGTTTGGCATGTTGTAGAGGGTAAGGGTGATAGTAAATGGCACAAGGGAAACATGAGGCAATCATGTCAGGCATAGATCACGACACTCAGTGCCACCTCATCAGGGCGTCCAAGAAATGAGAGATGAATGACCCGACCCACTCACCGTGCATATCAACGGAAGGTGGAGACGCCGTTGAGCCATTGACTCCCAAACTGGATGCAGCCCGCAGACCTCCACCATGCCCCAAGTCCGATCGCGCGGTATTCTTGGTGATAGTCCTCTGCCTTCTCGCAAGATGAGACCCATTTCCCGTCTTCATTCCATCGCCCTCGTCACTCTCTTCCTCCTCCTCTTCGACTTCATCGTCATCAGATTCCCATTGCCCTGGTCTGCGCTGATGTCCTAGCAACCTCTGTGGAGCAGGTTGAATTAGCGCTGCCGTTGGTGGAGTGGCCCGGGGTTGGAGCTGATGCTGCGGCAATGGCTGATGTGACCGACTGCCGCTCGCATTACCGAGGGCATATAGGCGTACAGTTCCCGGCCCCGGGCTTGGCGTTCGACCTCCTGCACTGTCCGGGAGTGCCGGTGAACCGGCTGCGCTTCTCTTGGCCTGCATCTCTCGAAACGCCGAGACACTGATCCTCGAGGAGGAGGCATCGCTGCCTCGATGCTCTCTCGGCGGTCTGGGCCGAACGAGCGGCAAGTCGCTGTTTTCGTATTCTCTGCCCAAGGAGCTGAGATTGCCAGCGGTGAGAGGCTGGATAGCACTAGCAGTCGGTCTCGCTGGTGATGGGTCTCGAGCATTGCGGAAAGACTGAAGATTGAAGTCTGGTGGCGAGGGTGAAGGAGGAAGTTCAGGTGAAGATTTTCGGCTGCCCCAAAACGAAAACTTCTTTCCGGACTTGGCACCAGCACTCTTAGACGTCTTCGAGGTGGCAGTAGAGCGTGTAGTCAGCCCGGACGCTACTGACTTGGTAGGACTGATCGTAGGCGCCAGCGGTGACAACGACGGGTAACGCCGCGCAGTTTCATGGGGAAGGCTGCGGGTTGACTGGTTGAAGACGCCCTGAGGCGGACGAAGGGATTGGACAGACGAAGACGAAGCCTGCGGTGACAGGTCGGAGGATGTGCTGATGTGTGAAAGGTAATTGGGGCGTGGCGCTTCCAAATCCCCGGATGCTGCAGCTAGATTCCCGCTCCGTTTCCTGCCAAAGATGCCCCGCTTCTCTTTTGGTACTTCGCCAGCATACGCCAGGCTGCGTCCATTGGGCGAGGACGGCAGGCGGTCGGAAGCGAAGGAGACGTATTCTAACGTCGGCGAGGTCGGCGAGGACCCAGAGCTTGACGGAGTTTGCGATGTGGACGGAGGATGACTGGGCTTCGATGAGAATAAGAAAACACGAGTCGCCAGCAGCGTACGTTGTTGGGTGTGCTACGTCTGGGGCGTTTTTGGACTTGCTGCTGCCACCATTCCGTCCGAAAAGGCCACCGAGAAGCGGCATCGTGTGGGATTACGGGTATCGTACAACGAGGTATCGCTTTCAAATGCGACTTCAGCAAAGGACGCGGTAGGAGAGAGACTGGGCGTGACGCACGAGGGAGTACGAGTAAAGGTACCAACAAGATGGCACGACAGCCCCAATGAAGCTGCCAAGCGGGTCCACGGCAGCTGTGGACGACGGAAAAAGTGAGAGAGTCGCGAATGAAACCTGAATGGGATCTAGGCGAGGATCCGAGCGGTCATGAACAAGTGGGATGTAGGGTCCCGACTCGAAGCACGGTGTCGGCAAAAGAGGTGGTGAGGCTGTGCTGCCTTGACAGACTACGGGCGTATGACGCGATCGATCATTCATGCTGCATTCACGCTCTCTGAGGCTCCGGGTCTCGTCTCTATCATCTCGAAAACTTATGACCGAGATAAATATCCATGGCTACGACGAGCGAACAGAATTTTGGCCTCTCGCTCTCTCAGAACTGGCAAACCTGGGCCTTGGATTTTCAATCTACCGGTCCAGGGCCAGGGTCCACGCGCGTAGCTGCCGAAAATGCGCCGCGCATCACTCGATTCACGGTTATGCGGAGTTCGGGCTTATTACTTATACGTGGGAGTGGAGAGGAGATAGTGTAGCGGGCCTTCGACTGACCCAAACGAATGTTCGAAAATGCTCCCGGGCCAGTGCGACTAGGCGGTCTGCTCCCCGAACGCAGGTGGATAATACATCTGTTCATTCGGCAGGCTGTTCTTCATTGCGGAAAAGCAAGGGGATAGCTGTTGCAAAGGAGGTGGGCACTTCCTCAGTCACGACTCGATTTCCACATGCTTGCATAATCAGTAATACAATGGGACTGGCGTCACTGAGTACAGACTCGTGCTGCCTGCACGGTTTCCAGCGCTGAAGAATGCAGGCATTCCTGCCTGCTGGTGACCTTGAATGTCAGAAACGGTATCGCCTGTGGCCAAACACTGCATTGACACTGCGCGCTCAGCACGCGGACCCCTCCGGGCCGTTCCTGCAAACAGCACATCCCTGGTCGACAACTACACTGGAAAAAATTGGAACCCATGTAAATTTCTGAATCATACCCATGCGAATAAGTTTCTAGTTTGTATTTCTCCGCGTTAAAATCCTTTGAATACTAATGGTGAAATCTTCCAGTGATATCTTTGAGTCATATCTCTAGACAACTTGAGTTGCATGAGTTGAATGGCACTAGGTTGGGCACAGACCCATGCTCTCCCAAGATGTGGGTCCGAGTGTGGCAGGTCACCAGTGACTTGCCGAATGAAGGGTCTGTAAGGTCTGGGGGCCGAGTTTGGACGGATCCGAGAGTGTGACTCCCATGTGACCCTGCATCCAGGAATGCAATCTTGAGCTTGGCAAGCTGTGTGTGGTCCAGATACCATGCCCACGGCGTGCATTAGCCGTGTATCGGTTCCTCTCTCCCGCCTGCCGCCCTTGTTCTCTGTTGCAGTCCTTCGGGAAGCACCCGCTGGTGCTGAATACCTGCCATGAGACTCAATCTCAGCTTCCTCTTATGTGTGGCTGCAGCAACATTACAGCTTGCATCAGCCCTCCCTAAGATCACAAGAACTGGGCGCTACTTATAATCGGAGGACGGAAATTGGTTCTACATCAAGGGCGTGGCCCATCAGACCCAGGGTATGCCTAGTACATTTTGGGGACGCCGGCCTAAGTTCCCGTCCAAAAAATCCGAAAAAATGCGAAAACCGTTGCTAATGCTCCCAGGTACGACTGCGCACACCGGCGTCCCACTTCTGGCCAATGGTGCATGTCCCAGATCGAATTCCGCGGAGGGTCTCAAAAACGATCACTTCCCATCAGAGCTTTTGATGGGACGGGGACGCAGAGGGCTGTTTACACAACATTCCGGTTTTGATTACATGGATCGTTAGATACATGCTGAAGGATCTAGGATCCCGAATTTCACATTTTTATCTTCAGCGGTTCTTGTGGAATTGAACAATCTCTCCGCGCAACCATCACTTGCAGCCGTCAGCTCTACATATGGGGACGCAGGGGGTCTATGGTCTATCTGAAACAGCAAAAAGTGCCTAGAGAACCGTATGATACAAATAGACTACTCAAAACAATATATATACTACGTTGTGGAAGGTACGAGACGAGATAACCTCGTCAAACATCTCTTGAGTCACGTCTCGTGACCACCGTCACGTCAGCTTGTGCGATCATTGCTCTGCTTATACATCTGACCAGGCAACCGCGGCCAGCGACGAACGGGTGTGGGGTGGATGGGCTAGTGCAGCAGAGGGTATAGGGCGAGTGGAGGGAGGGTTTCATGGAAAGGATGGCGGGGTCAACAGGTGAGTGCCCACCATGCAATCTGACCCAGCCCTCAGATCCTGAACCAACACGACGCCCCCAGCGGACACGTATACACCTCACCCCCGCCTCATTCGATCGACACGAGCGCTCATTCCCATGAGGGCGCTCCTAGCGTACATGTAAATATGATAGCGCTCGAATACATGTCTTCTACGGCTACCTGCTTTGCGCTCGGCACTGTCTCGTCTGCCTCGGTCTTCCCAGTCAGCCACCCGGGACACTTTCCCACCAGAAAGACTCGACAGCAGGCTTCGCATGCACTAAAATTGGAGCCACGGCGTCACCTCACGTTTGCACATTGTGGTGTCTGCGGCATCGCTCAGATAGTGCAGCTGTCCGATCACCTCTCCAATTCATCTATTGCGCACCCTCAACAAGCTACTTGTCACAAACGAATTGTGCAAAACGACAAAGAGACCCGAAGATCTAGAACCCAGATGCAGGAGAGCAAAGGAGTGCAATGGATGAGTGGGCAGAGCACAGGGAGAGGCAGGCTCAAAGGTGCACTCAATGTATGCCCCGAAATTGGACATTTGGGCTCACCTCTCTCAACACACCACACTTTTCGTGGCATTGCACAGCAGCACCGCTGCTCGATCACCTCACTGGGAGCTGCGAACGACCGCCGAAGCTGTATTTGGATGCTTCGAGGGTAATCTCAGTCCATATTGACTTAGGGATCTTTTTGCTCTCAAACACATTTGCCTTTGTAAGTCCCACCCCTTTGATCGCACATGCTGCCAGTGGTCTGAGCTCAACGGTGCAGACTCCCACACCGCTCACGTATGCGAATCGGCCATTCAGGTGCGAGGAGTACTACAAAACGCACCCACCATATGAGGGCAATGGCGACGCGTGCGCAGTGCCCACGATCGAGGCGATTGGCGACAGTGCAGCTCGGCGGTCAGATTTGGGTCATCGGGTCAATTTTACAATGTGCTTCGATTGTGCGTGCATCCGCGCTTCTGTGCATGTACTCATCCTGACTTTAGTCGACTAGGACCGTGGGACGCTCGTGGTTGGCTGTATCGTTTCTGGTATCTCTGTCTGTCTCGCCCGTTGTGCCGATCTACCAAGCTGAAGTCACCGCACCTCATCTCTGAGGACAGCTGATTTTCACTCCCGCCCCATTCACTCGACTCGAGAGTTCATGCGCGCAATGGCGCATATGGCTCACCTGTCCACAGAATAGCTCTTGGGCACATGTCAACGTCTCGAGCATGTGCGTGCATCCTGTGCCCAAATCCAAACGCGCAACCTCACATCACGCAGCACGTCTTCTATCTATGTCATCACACACACCGCGCAACTGGCGACACCTCACTGCAAGCTAACCACCCATCTCCCAGTCTCTCCATTCGGAGCTGCCAGAACCACTCAAAGATGTGTTAATTCTGTTTGCGCACTTGAACGCGCGGCCTCATATCGCAGGGCGCCTCTAGCTATCTGCGGCATCACACACGCGCGGTTAGGGTTGTTTAGTAGCTGAAACACACAAGAAGAGGGAAGCTGCTGCAGGACAACAGGCTGGTGAAGACTCACCGGCTCTAGGGTTATTAGAAGTGGTCTAGGGTCGATTCCCTAGGCCAGTCCTAACCCTAGGGCTGGGTTACCCTGGGCCAGGGAAGCCCTTTAGGGTTACGCTTGGACCAGATGTTGGCCTGGAGCGGAGTAATTTATGGGTTGCATGACATGGAACAATCAATCAAATGTTTGGGATCAAACCATGCGTGAGAGGTGGAAACGGTTGATTGGAAACAGCTTGACAGCGCTTGATTGATGTAGGATGTGATGCGGTGAATGGAGGTAGCAACCTGTCGTGATGGTGGGAACAGGCAGCTTACGAGTGATAGTGATAGGCAACATGCGCTGCTGGACAGAAGCCGGACACTCCAAAGGGCACCATGTTATGTTAGGGTGTAGTCATCGGGTGTCTCCATTGTCACGACACTCTGATGGAGTGCATGTGCCTGTCTACCAGACTCTAATCGAGAAGTGGTAGGGTGGTCAGACGAGTATAGGACTGGGTTGCCACTGTCTCCATTGTCACGACACTCCAATGACATGGGGGTGCCCATCCACCAGACACCAATGAAGAAGTGGCTGGGTGGTCAGATGAGTATGGGACTGGGTTGCCACTGTCTCTATTGTCACGACATGCAGGGATGTTTAGAAGGGATGATCCAGATCTGGACTTACGACAAGGATGTCAAAGGAAATCAGGCGTAATTTGATTCAAGGGATGCGGTTACGTGTGTCTCCACTGTCACGACAGCTTGCAGAAGGGCTGCGTTCAGTGATGGAAAGGTGCAGTTGCGCTTCTCTCTACTGTCACGACACTTCTGAAACGCATTAGAGACATGTAGAAAGCACCGGGTATGAAAAATGACCGAGGGAGAGGTTGAAGTACTGATGAGTCAGTGTAGACTCCGGTTTTTGAGTAGTTTCTGTGCCCGATCTCTGGTCGCGCTGAATCTCGTGAGAAAGAAGATTAAGGGTGTGTCACGTGAGATGAATGGTGACAAATGGATCAGAGATGGACTGTGACGTGACAAATACACTCTTGCTCTTAACCACCACCTTCCTAATTTGTATAAGTACAGCCACAGTGAGAACTTCCCGCACACGCGTATCTCCAACGTCACGACAAATTTCAGAAGATGACCCCAAGACTTGACCCGGCTGTGAAAGCCCAACGCCGAGCGCAGCGAGATGCTGCGAAAGCGGCTGAGAATGCCGCCAAGTCTGGCCCACCGGCCAAAAAGCAAAAAACAGGGAAGGCTGCGCATGACCCTCCTGTTCCAGACCCGCCGGAAGAAGAACGGCCTGCGCCCAAGAAACGCAAGGGGAAGGGCAGATCGAAGGTTGTGCCTGATCCACCCGAGTCGGACTCATCTGAAGATGAAGAGCCTGCTCCCAAGAGACGGAAGGGGAAGGGCACAGCGAAGACCGTGCCCGAGCCACCCGAGTCGGACCCACCGCAAGAAGAAGAGCCTGTCCCCCAGAAACGCAAGGGCAAGGGCAAAACGAAGGTTGTGCCCGAGCCACCCGAGTCAGACACCCCGCAAGAAGAAGAACCTGCACCCAAGAAACGCAAGGGCAAGGGCAAAGGAGAGGCAGCGCCTGAGCCCGTAACCGACGACCCGATGGGAGGGGATTTGACGGCGCTTTCCGGTAAGAAAACCGGAACGATGAAAGATAAGTCTAACGACGAGCGAAAAGAGGACGAGGTAGGGGCAGGGCCAGTGCCCCAGCTGACTGACGGTTTGGGGACCGCAAGCCAGGAAGGCCCGAGGAAGCAGCTGATCACCCGAGCAATGAAGCCCAAGCCCAAACGTGAGTGCGAGAAACAGGGGAACAATGGGCTGAATGTTCGTAGCCAAGAAGAAGAATGCGAAGGTTGTAGCCCAAGCGGCGCCACAAATTGAAGTCACCCCAACACCGCAGCCGGAGGCCAAGCTCCCCCCGAGTGCTAAGAAGATTCCTCCCGCGCCGACCCCCATCCCCCAAGCAGCCCCAACGGCTGGAGGGTCAAAAGGTGGGTGAATGAGGACTATAAATGGACCTGCTAACCCTGCGTAGGGAAGAGAAAGGCTACCGAGGCAGCGGAGGGGCAGAAGAAGAAGAAAGTCAAGGTGGACACCATCATCAAGGCGGACTCCAGCAAGCCGCGGAACAAGAACCGCACGGGGGTCATCATTGCAATGTTCGGAGCGCTTGGACAGCTGTTGCTTCGGCTTCCGAGGATGTTTGAGGACTATGAAGATGAAGATGGGACGAAAGTGACGCCGACGTTTGCGTTGGAGCTCCGAGCGAAAAACGTGTACCCTCTGTGGAGCCCGGAGTGGCCTGGTTTGCCGACGTACACCAAGGCGGAGCACGCAACGCTGCGTGAGACGCTGATCGGAGTCGGCCGGAAATTGATCACCTGGACGTACAAGACGGCTCGGGACTTCGAATGGGACGAAACGCCGCTCTTGGCCCGATTCATTGATCAAGGCTTGGCTGAGGAGTGGTACAAGGCGCATACGGAGCGGGTGAGTCAATGTTCATGACGAGAAGTCGGAGTTAAACGTGTGTAGTTTGTTGAACTGGTGAAGCGGTCGGATCTGGGGGATCCCGCGGAGATGTTCATGTCGGACTCCTATCAGCTGCAGGATGCGGCGCTTGCTCGGGTCCCGCCTGGGGCGGGCCATTACACTCCGGTCAAGCAGCCAATCCTGTCGCTGCTGTACCAATCGTCGGAGAGCCCTAACTGGCGATCGTTGAACGCTGAGCTGCTGTTCTCGATGCTGTTTGAACGGCAATGTGACACCTTGCGGGCCTGTTCAGGCCGATGCTTGAGAAAGGCACACTCCGATTGGGACAAGTTCCGGGTGTTCCTGCCCAAAATGCCTCAGGGAGAAGTTCTCGTGGGAGGCGACATCCCGATGGAGTCTTTGGGACTGGCGGCGCGGGCGGCAGGGAAGTTCATCAAGTCGTTGGACCTAGTGCCTATCGAGGACCTCAATCGACAGTTGCTGCGAGAGGTCAACATCGACACGAAGGTCGCATTGGCCGAGCACCTGGGGAGCTTCCTTCAGGAAGTCAAGACCAAGAAGCCCACTGACGAGGAGGCGCAGCCCGCATGGGGCTTGAAGATGGAGATTGCGGCGCGCACGCTGGGGTACCTGAGCGTTGTCGCTGAGAAGAAGGGGTCGGACATGTTGGAACCAGTGGACGAAATGCCCCGTCTCGCATGTGAGTGATTCTGTCTTTTCAGTGTAGGGATGTTGCCCTGTGGGCATCTCCAGCGTCACGATGGATCAGTCCAAGGCACAGGACCCTTTCAGTTTTTGACGCTGCAAGGGTTGCCTCGTGGCAATCTCCAGCGTCACGACGGATCAGTCCAGGGCACGGGACTCTTCTGTTTTTTTGACGCTGAGAGAGGTCGCCCTGTGGGCATCTCCAGCGTCACGACGGATCAGTCCAGGGCACGGGACTCTTCTGTTTTTTTGACGCTGAGCGAGGTCGCCCTCTGGGCATCTCCAGTGTCACGACGGATCAGTCCAGGGCACGGGACTCTTCTGTTTTTTTGACGCTGAGAGAGGTCGCCCTCTGGGCATCTCCAGCGTCACGACGGATCAGCTCAGGGAACGGGACTCTTTTATTTTTTTTGACGCTGAGAGAGGTAGCCCTCTGGGCATCTCCACCGTCACGACAAGCATGCTGATCACTCCACGACAGTCCTGCGCGGTCGTGCAGGGGCCGCCGCGTACGGTATCGACAGTGACGTCATCAAGAACATGGACGCACAGGCGCTAGACTCGATCGCCGTCGGAATCTGGGACGCATCTGAACAAGTAAGTGGGGACAGCGAGCTTGCAGCTGCCACAAATCTGTTCTCGGGTGAACTTGACGCGACCGCCGCACTGATGGCTTCGTTCGACAATTCCGCACACGCGCATTTCAACAAGTGGACTGTCGAGCAAATGATGACCTATTGCGGTGGGTGGCCTGTCTTTCTGCGCAAAAACTGGGCTTGCGACCCGAAGAAATACCAACCTGGACGGGGCGACGTCGTGATCCCGAACGTTACCCAAGTGCTAGTCCCGCACTGGCACCAAGCAGTGGTTTGGGCAGGGGTCAGCCGAGTAATGGCTCAACCAGTGACAGCCGCGGCCGCCGAACCGGCCTCAGTCCCGGATGCGTCCTCCAGCACGCGCGTTCTCCGTTCCTCCACGCTCGACCGTCCCCGGGTGGAAAAGTGGTGCGACATCGCGGGCTTCCTCCTGTGCGATTCGATGGGTCTCGGCAAGACGCTATCTGCCATTGGAATGATCGCGGTCTTGCAGCAGGCGGCGCTAATGACCGAGTCCTCAGCGATCGTCGAGACACCAGAGTTGACGGCTTTAACGCCATGGCCCAAACGTCTGCGGGCGGGTGGTAAGCGCGCAGCGTACAACTTTAACCTCGGTCTCACTCGAAGCAGAACTGAGCATCAACGGCCAGCACTCTGTGCCCATCGGCCCATCACTGGTAGTCGTACCGAACAGTCTTGTCCAGCAGTGGGTGATCAGCTGCCGGTCTCACTTCGACGAGCGTGTGCGTGTCATTGCAATGCCCTCTGCCCAACGGCGCTGGAGGGCCACCATGGACCAAATTCCCACTGACAGGAACACCACCGTCGTTCTTATGACATACACGGTCAGCGTTCTCTCGTCGTTCCAATGTGTTCTGACTTGTAGGAAGACCTTGCGCGGCATGCACGATTTGATTGGGCATCCTACTCGACTGCCGTTTCAAAACAACGATCATCTGCGCTCTACGGTCTACTCAAGAGCGTGGACGTCGGTAATAATGGACGAGTCGCACATGGCACGCAAGAGCGGCAAGGTCTTCAACGCTTGCCAGGCCCTGCTGTTGCTCGCGTTCTTCAAGATGTTGATGACCGGCACACCTGTCATCGAGACGCCACGGGTACGCGCATTGTGTCGACGATGAATCATGCTTAACGTTTCGTATAGGACATTTTCAATCAGTTGCGCCTTCTGCGACCGACGAGCGGCCCGCAACACATCCTCGATCGATGCGAACGTCTCCTCACTGGGACTGCGCGACTGCAAGCCCGTGAACGGCTGAGGAGTCAAGAGAGTCGACAGAAGTTACAGGCGTCGGCTCTGAAAGATGGCGTCGACGGCTTGAAGCAGAACAGTGATATGGCTGCCAGCATGACGTCCATCCAACAAGTGATGGGCTTGCAGCGCAACCTATTGGGCCATCATGTTCTCGTGCGTAGCATGGACACCCTGCGGGCGATGGGCAAGAGCGTCGGGGTCGGGCTGCCGGAACTGCAACAGCTCACTGTCATTACCCCTTCGCACGCTGATGAGGTAGAGTACGGGGACCTGATGCTCGTCCAAGAGAGCTTCGAGGGGGTGGATCTTAAGGGAGCAGGCGACGGCAAGCAGGTACGCCGCTGTCTCCACGGTCACGACGTGTCTCACTGACGATCGAATCCTAGTCGTTCTATCTCGAAGCTCGCAAGGCGAGTACGTTTGCGGAGGCCGCAATGGAAAGGCATGTGGAAATCACCGGCCCCAACGCTTTCTGGGAGAAAGATGAGGCACTGTTTTCGAAGGTCAAGGCTGTGGCCATGATCTGTCGGCGGATCCTCGAAACCGGCGCTGAGTCGATTGTCGGTGATCGAGTTCTTGCACACGATGTCGTTGACATGGACGACCTCGGATTCCCCCCTGCTGATCATCCCCAAGCGGCCAAGTACTTTGGAGTCCTCACCGCCGAGCAACGGCGCAAGCCCATCGCGGAGAAGGTGATCGTTTTCACGTACTTCGCAATGTACATGGAGTACGTGAAGGCATTCCTGGAGCACGTCGGCTTCCGCGTGTTGGTCATCAACGGTTCTGTAACCAAGACCGTCAAGGCGAGGCAGGCCGTGATCGACCGATTCCGCAATGAGGAATTCCACATTCTCCTCGCCACGTACAACGTCGCTAGTGTGGGCCTCGAGCTTCAAGTGGCTAACGTGATCATCGCGGCGGTGAGTCATTTTGGCGAGCTATGACGGCCTCACGAAATTTTGAATGCAGGACGTCGATTGGAGTGCCATCTCCCAAGCGCAGACACTCGGTCGGGTGTATCGGCAAGGGCAACAGAAGAAATGTTTCTTCTTCCAGCTTGTTGCCTAGTATCTATTGGCACCCATTTACAAGCTTAACACATCGGGGGACGCCGGCCTGAGGACCGCGCCGAAAAATCTGAAAAAATGCGCAACTCGTGGCTAGGGGTCCCAGGTAGGATAGCGCACACCGGCGTCCCCCTTCCAGGCAATGGTGCGTATCCCATATTGAATTCCGCGGAGGGTCTCAAAACGATCACTTCCCATCAGCACTTTTGATGGGATGGGGACGCAGAGGGTTGTTTACACAACATTCCGGTTTTCATTACATGGGTCGTTAGCTGCATACCTGAGGATGTAGGATCCCGAATTTTACATTTTTATCTTCAGCGGTTCTTGTGGAATTGCACAATCTCTTCGCGCAGCCATCACTTGCAGCCATCAGTTCAACATATGGGGACGCAGGGGGTCTGGTCTATCTAAAACAGCCGGAAGTTCAGGAAGCATTTTATGATACATATAGGACACTCAAAATCATATATATACTGCGTTGTGGAAGGTAGGAGACGAGACAATCTCGTCGAACATCTCTCGAGTCACGCCTTGTGACCGCAGTCACATCACTTACTTAAGTCCAAGCTGCTTACCACGTCATTCCACGTGACGTTCAGCATCTGCCTTGCATATACTCAGTGCCTTCTGCGTCATTCCTCCCTGCTTGCCCGGGATGCAGAGCGACGCGTGCTGGTTCAGAGACTCGACCATGAGACTTAACCAGCACACGGCTTGTAACCCCGGGCTCTGCAATTTTCACTTTCTCTTTCATTCTCCAAATCGACCACATCTATCGCCCGCTACGACTTGTCGACAACATCTTCAAACCCACAACGCAGACACCATACGATGTCGGATCCCTTGACAAATCCGCGACCTAAACTTGGATCCCTGCGTGACCGCATCGCGGCATTCGAAACCAAGGTGCATGGGGGACCGGTTCATAGGTGCGTTTCTCATTGGCCGCTTCTCCTCCTGCCTTCCGCCATCTCAACATATCGCTCCGCGTACACGCTGGAAGATCACATTTATCGTGCATTTTGGACTCAGATGCGGGCCTGCGTCACGACACTCAATGTACTTTCCGGCTCTCCTCTCCATTGCGCGGATCGCGCACCCTCAACTCACAACGATCGACTTACAGCAACCGGACCGACGAAAGAAATCGAGTGCATGGGGGCAGGGGAGTCGAATGGGCGAGTGGGCAGAGCACCGGGAGGGCAGATGGGACTAGGTCTACCGGTGCGTTTCTGAAAGCTTCCCTCGCACCATTCGCTTACTCTACATGCTGCGCCCCTTAGTGATCAGGACGCCTGGAGCATGCGCTCGTCCAGTGGCAACGGGGAGGGGTTTGGATTTCGATGGAAGGGGTGTAGCACTGGGACAGTGGGACAATGCGGACAAGTAGGTCTGCAATTTTTTTTTGCTCCCGCCGCCACTGTCTCCCGTCCTCCTCGCCCATTTTCCGTACTTGTCACTCTACAACCCATTGATCATTTCTTTCCCGACTATGATATCTGCCATGTCGTCCATGACATCCCCGCCAACAGTAATCAGTCCTAATCCGCAGTACAACACAGCGTTCGCCACTTATTTGCAGCAGCAAGAGGCTGACCCCCGATGCGGGAAGCTCAAGCTTCGTGATTGGTTGTTGACCATCGTACAGCAATGCCCGCGTTACTTGCTTCTGCTGAAGCATATCATTTTGTGTACTGATCCTGACGATCCAGAGCACGCACCGCTGACTGCGGTCCATAAGTTGGCGTCCAAGAGTGCGTCTGAGTTTGTTCTGAGCGCCGTTGTCTGCTGAGAAAGGTTGCAGTCACATTGATGCTGAACGCATCAATACACACTCACGCGCAGACTCTTGCTTTGCTCGCTCTGCAGCGCGCGACACCAAATCTTCCTTTCCAGTTGATCAGCCCTGGCTGAACGCTCGTCTGCTGCGGTCTCCTCGCTCATGTCGAGGCGGATGGGCGCAGCAGGCAGAGCAGACAGGGATCAGGTCCGAAAGTGCGTTTCTCATCACTCCTTCCTCTCACTGTTCGCTCACCCCGCGCTGCATCCGCACTGGGACGTCACCTCACACAACAAATCGTGGGTTTTGCGGCTCCGCTAACCCTCACGCCACGCTGACGTCTGACGCAACGCGCCGTCGTTCTGACCTCATGTCCCAACCTGCTCATATCTCAGGACTCAATCCGCACCGCACTCGTGTATCTTCGCGGCCGACACGACAACGCCCGTTGCGTTATCTTGGACGTCAGCGAGATGTGCAGGAGGGGGTCTAGGGGTTCCGATCTCGTTCTGTGGCTGTCAGCACATGCTGCATCACTTGCGGAAAAGGACATCCTCCGCGGGGGCGATATCTTTGACCAGGGCTTTGACCATCCCAACGCGACGTTCTTCCGCCATTGGATCTTTGGCGCGTTGTGCAAGTCGAAGCGCATGGGGCTGGAGACGCGCTTCAGCACGGGCGGATTCGACAGCGATGAGGAAGAGCAGGGATGGACAATGGAGTCCGTCTGCAAGGAGGTCGATGTCGAGCAGCCGATGGAGATCGTCGCGCCGTTGCCGTTCGTCCCGCCCATTCACGACTTTTATCTCCAAAACGGGCCGGCGAATGACGTGCCGCCCGTCCCTCTGTCTGCGAGTCCCTGCGGCCGAGCCAGTTGTCCTTGCCCCGCAACCTGCTTTTGTCATCCCACTTACGAGCCAACGATGTGACCGAGCTGAAGCGGCTGCTTGGGCTCTGGGTGCCAAGCTACATGGTGCCGCGGAATGTGTATTGTTTGCCGCGGCTGCCCTTGAACACGAGCGACAAGACGGACCACAAGTTGATCAAGCTGCGCATGGAGGAGCTGATCAGGGACGCCAAGTTCCCATCCAGAGCGACGACACCCGTCAGCACGAGCTCTGACGAAGACGACCTGAGCTCTCGAGGATTCCAGCCGCAGCTCGACCTTGGCAGATTCGACCATGCTCCAAGCCGACGAGTCGGTGTCGCATCAGGAACTGACCAACGTCTGGATCGAACTACTGGAGCTGAAATCGGCGCCTTCTGGGAAGAGCAGCTTCTTCGATCTCGGTGGGAACAGGTAACACTGGTCGGTCTGTGCCTGCCACCTCATGGCTGACGTCTTTCAGCTTGCTCGCGCAGACGCTCATCGAGAAGGTGAGGGGGCAACTCCCGTCGGGATCGTCGTTGGTGTCTGTTCTCGACCTTTTCACCTACCCGTGCTTGGACGACTTTATTCCGTTTGTCCAAAGTCGTGCTCCTGCCAAGGTCACAGCTCCCAGAGTGAAGGGCCCTCGGATGTCCAGGCAGTCCTCGACCAAGTCACTCGCACCAGCCAGCCAGGTGGATACCCCTGACGAATATCTGGAAGTCGGTCTTGCAACTGGATCGGGAGGCCAAGGATGTGAGCTTCTTTGATACGGGCAGAAACAGGTGCGCGTTTCACCTCATCGTTTCACGTCTTTTTGACCGATTCCCCTGCAGTCTGCTGATGACGGCGTTGCATAAGTCCATCGTCCGGTCCTGGCCCGGTTGCGGAGTGCAGCTGATCGACCTGTTCCAAAACGCGACGATCCAGAGCCAAGCTGAGCTGATCGCAGTGCCGTCGCCCGTGCACAGCACCGCACCGTCTTTGAAAGCGCGCAAGAAGAGAGCGAATGCCACTGGCAAGAAGGAGCGAGTCGCAAGCAGGGAGTCCGCCGGCCCAGAAGGGTTAGGGTTAGGGTTAGGGTTAGGGTTAGGGTTAGGGTTAGATTAGGGTTAGGGTTAGGTTAGGGTTAGGGTTAGGGTTAGGGTTAGGG